ACGGTGAGGCGGAGGCATTGCAAGAGAAACTGTGTTTACCTGGACCTCATCCGAAAAAGGATGACCATATCGGCCAGTGGCCCAGTGAGCATCACCAGCCAGGTTTTGCAGGTTCTTTGCCAAGCATGAACAGTTTGTATGGCGGGGACGTGTGTGCAGTAGATTCCACTTACTTGTAGTTGGACAGGAGAGGAGATGGCCGGCTCTCCACGAGGAGGACGACCCGACGGCTGGCAAAGGATGGCCATACCTGCAGCCGCCGGCTCGGTTGCGCGGATGTCTCTCAGAGGAGGGAGCATATCGGCCGGGATCAGGCGAGTAACTTGGCCGTTGCCTCGGTCGAGGAAGAAGGCATACGAGTTGTCCAATATGTCCTGGTTGACCACGACTCTAACCCCTTCTGCTCCAGAGCCAGGCTGGACATGTACTTCATTGCGAGGCCAGTGGTGAGTGCCCATGTTGAGAGTGCCGAGGTCAGCTGCCAGAGAAGATGACATTCCAACCAAGTTGCCACCTTGGGCCCGGGAGTTGCCGACTGGGATAGTGCTGGGGCCCATGAGGTCGCGAGTTGAGACTTGATGAATGTCATCGGACATGTCAGACCTCGTGGGAGTAGGAGCAGGGTTCCAGATACTGGATGTCAGGCCGCTCTGAGGGGAGGAATGGTTGAAGACGTTGAACGGGTCTTGGTGATCCATGCTTTGAATGGACAAGAGAAGTGTTGTGTGAAATGATCTGAAGATGTGTCTCGCGGAAGGGCTCACGGGTCGGTTGCTTGGTGAAATAAGAGAGATCTAGAGTGACTGAAAGCTGGTTGCAAGTTGTTGAGTGCAACCGATCCATGATACGAAAAGGAAGAAAAATGGGAGAGAGGAGACGCGGTGGACTTCTTAAATGGATCTGCAAGAGGTGGGAGTCAAGAGTCGGAAACAAATCGAAAGTGAAAAGAACAATAGCTCTTCTCCCATGAGTGTCAGGTCAAGGTGAGGAAAACTTGACCCCATTGTTTCTCTCGGTTTCACTATTCAAACACCCCCCAGTGACAACACGAGTAAACACATGTGTAGGCCAGTGGTGTGTGACTCTGCCCGATAGATTGATTGACAAGGGGGCCCGAGGAATCAAGGCCAAAGCCAACGACCCTTTTCGGACAATGGCCGCTCAAACAGATAAATGAAAGGGCGGGAAGCAAGCCTGCTCGCAGTAGGTGGAGAGAGGGAGTGTTGTTTAGAATTAAAGGAAACAAATCCCTATCGAGCAGCAGAGCCTGGGCCAGCCTCACCTCATACAAACACTCATATTAAGTCCCTCTCCACCACGGGCACCCCTTTTGCGTCAGGACGGTTACGTGCAGCTAGGCCACTGTGTTTCCCACGTGACAAACAAACAGTATTCCTCTTTTTGTCAGTTTACCTTCAAGGGTCAGGGCGACTTGTACTACAGTCCGCGTGGGACAGCATTGATGTTTTGCGTCTTGCATTCCATGGCCCTGGACATGTCACGACAGCGGGCAATTAAGATGACATGCTTCAAGTGGATTGTCATCTACCTGCACTACCTCTAAAGAGTCATGACGGAGAATCGATGCTCGAGTCTCTTGAATAGCAAGTCTGCCCTGCATTGCCACCGCACGCATCATGAGTGAAGCCACCATCCCCTACACCCCTTGTCATCTACCGAGAAAACGCAAAGACGCCTCCTTCCATTTTGAGTCTAGTAATTCAACGCCTTTTCATCGTCGAACGTTGCAGTATCTGCAGTGAAAAGAAAAACAAACGACGAGAGCATCGTCGAAGAGGAACGGATCATGTGGTGTGCCCCTGACCAGCCACACGATCGATCCGTTCTAGGATCCCTTTGAGCCTCCACCCTGTGTGACCAACTCGCGTAACCTGCTCCGGAGGGCCTCTTGAGCCTCCTGGGCTTCCGGAAACTTGAGGTACTTCTGTGGCACAAAGGTAAAGGCATCGATGGCCAGCCGCAGGTCCACCTCTGAACTGAGGTCCGGACACTTGGCGGTTGGCAAATGCAAACAAAAACAGGACTTGCAGGGGGCTAAAGTAGGATTGCGAGGTCGGCGTTGGCCCTTGGGCGGTTGCATGGCCTGCTTCGCCTTCGATGGCGCAGGCAAATTCGATGTCGGTATCGGTTGCTGTTGTACATGAGAAGGAGGAACCGGAGGCATTGTCTGGACGGGTCCGGGTTGCTTCGCGGGTAGGGTCGGCCCTAATTGGCCACCTCCTCCTGCTCCTCGGTAGGGGATCTTGGGGGCCTGGACGGGAGTTTCGCGGCCGGAGACGACTTGTCCTTGGCGCCTCTGGATCTGGGGCTCTTGCCCTGTGAGGTCGACGGTCCTAGGGGCTGCTTGTCTTTGTCAGCCTGCTGCCGCGGCTTTTTTGGTGAGGATCGAGCCTTGCTGGGGGAAGCCGACTTCGACTTCTGGGGGCTCTTTGTCTTCCTGGTGGCTGGAGACTTGGGGACAGTAGTTGACTTCCTTGGTGTCGTACCTTGAGACTTGGTGCTTGGTGGCTTGCCTCCTGGCTTGCGTCCCTGGTCGCCACGCTCGATGCCTTTCATGGCATCAGGGTCACTCTCCTCGGCCGAGTCGACACCATTATTAATGAAGTCAGCATCGACATCGGACTCTTCGTCGTCGGGGTCGAGACCATCATTTTGGCCATCCTCGAGACCGTAGTAGTTGTTCTTTGGCGCAGAGTATCGAACAGCCTGGAACACAGGTCAGCAAAGGAGTCACGGTTGAACAAGGAGGAGCGCTTACCTGACGCCTCCGTCCACCTCGACCCCAGGTGACCTTCTCGCGCTCGGCAAGTAGGCGAGCTGCTTCCTCGCGCTCCTTGATAATCTTATCCCAGACGCTCGTATCACCTGTGTCTTTTACCTCACGCACTTCGAGATCATCAGCAAGTTCGCCCGCATCGTTAGTCCAGACTCTGGCAAATGAGAATTGCGACTCGGAAGACTTCTCGACATCCGTCTTTGTCTCTTCGATCTGCGATCGGTCCAGAAGTTTATCCACCGAAGCCGAGTCGTAAGTAATGACGTCCTTCTTCTCACCGTCGAAGAGGGATTCGGCACCATGTTTCAGGATGGACTCGAGGTCGTTTCCTGCATCGTCTTCGACATCCATTGACTCAATGAGTGCATGATCAAGTGCCATCTTCTTGCGACCGATTTGCATGATCTTCTCCTCCACGCTGTCCTTCGTCATGAGTTGAAAGCAGAGGACCTTCTTCTTCTGACCGATGCGGTGCGCTCGAGAGAAGGCTTGGATATCCTGATGGGGGTTGAAGTCAGGATCTAAGATGATGACAGTGTCAGCGGTGGCAAGATTGATGCCCACGCCACCGGCCCGAGTGGAAAGAAGAAAGGCGAAAAATTCAGACCCGGGCGCATTGAAAGCATCAATGCGTTTCTGCTTCTCGAGACTGGACATACTTCCGTCCAAGCGCTGGTAGGACAAGCCAATACCAGCCAGGAAGTCTTCGATAATGTCAAGCTCCGTAAGGAACTGGCTGAACAGCAAGACTCGATGGCCTCGCGCTTTGAGCTTGGGCAGCATAATGTTCAGCAAGAGTAGCTTAGATGACGCCTCGATCAGGTTGCGGTGTAGAGCCTCTTGGTCAGAGACTCGCTCCTCGATAGCTTGGCTATACACGAAAGGATGGCAGAGGCACTTGCGCAGCTGCATGAGGATGTTGTTCAGGCTACCGCGCTCAGTGGCCTTCATCTTGCCCTTGGCAAAAATTGAGCGGATCAGGTCGGGATTCTTGGCAATGATAGACTTGCAAAGCTTCTCCTGCAACGAAGTCATCGTGACGGGGACGATAATCTGGCCCATAGGAGGAATGATCTTGGAAAGCACTTCGTTCTTTGTCCGTCGGAAGAAATAGGGACGAATGAGGGAATGAATCTCTGGGAGGTTCTCGGCGTTGATGTCCTCGTATTTCGCATCCAGGACAGCAGCATTCTTGGTCGGATCGATGAACTGCAGCAGGTTGAACAACTCCCTCTTGTTGTTCTGCAGAGGTGTACCCGTCAGTAGCAGTCGGAAATCGATCTTCATCGCCTGAAGAGCACCATAAAGCAGGTTCCCGTCGTTCTTGAGTCGCTGGCCTTCATCGACGACCAGGCCCGCCCACTGAACAGACTTGAAGAGGCGCCTCGTCTCATCATCCTGTGCAGAGTCATAAGACATGATGACGACATGGGCCTTCATGTCCTTTGAACCTCCCGGAAACAGTTCATTCTCGTAAGCAAGGGTCTGAGCGGCCTTGCCACCGTGATATGTGACCACCCTGAGATCCGGGGCCCAAGTCTTTATCTCGCGGCGCCAGTTGGGACAAGTCGAGTTGGGAACGACAATCAAGAATGGCCAACAACGAGGCGAATCTTGGACAAGCGACGTTATGAAAGCGATCACCTGTACAGTCTTGCCGAGTCCCATCTCGTCTGCAAGGACAACGCTCTTGCCCATGTAAAAGTTGCATAGAAGCCAGTTCAGACCGTCCATCTGGTAGCTCAGCAACTTGTGCTTGAGTCCGGCAGGCTGGACTTTGAGATCAACAAACTCATCAGCACGCTCGAGATGCTCCGAGATCCGCGCCCTCATCACAGAAACCGGCTCGTTCTCAAAGTATTTGCCGCTAAGGTACTCGCGGTATGCGGCCTCGAATGCGGTCCACAGCGGCCCGGAATCGCGAGGAGGGGGCTTGTCCCAGACAGCCTCGTCGTAGGACAGGCCTTGGAATTTGAGCTTGGCCTCGGCGATGTTGACGATGTGCTGCATCTCTTCCTCTTTGCTAGTGGCACGCACATTGCGGTTATACTTGAGGGCAAGCATGATGTCTGCGAGGAGGTACTCCATTGGGATTGCATCCTTCTCTTCGAAGTGAAGCACTGTGCCCTTGTGCTTGGCAAAGGCCGTCCGCATCCGTGCATTGGTCACGCCCCAAATCCAGGCTCCAGGCTTCCAGGTACAGTGTGCATAGGATTTTCCCTCCCACCTGACGAGGTACTCCTTGTCGTCCTCGCTGAAGTCGGAGAATTGCTGGCCCGGTTGGTAAGATTGACGGTCCCTGGGACGCCAAGCGACAAGACCGGCAACCTTCTCTGTCTGATCCAAACAGTCCCTGCATTTCCACTCGATCGCATACTCCTCCAAGCAGTCAGTACGGAGATCGGACTCGACGTCGCCACCAACGTGAGCGGGCATTGGCAAATGCTCAACATGATAGGCCCTATGGCAGGCCTTGCACCGGAAAAGCACGTTCTGTGCTTTGTTCACTAGTGCACCATCGACGGGGGTGACTGGGTCAACACCTCCGTTTTCCTGTCGCAGTTTCTCCTCCTGTTTGGGGGTCTTCTTGGTCGAGAACGGGGCGCAGGCAAGACCTTTTTCATGACATGCCTGGCACATATCATGACTCGGGCAAGTCGGATCCTTCTTCTTATAAAGTCCGATGCAGTAACGGCACTGGAGGACGAAGTGCTCCGGGCCGATCTTGGTCACAAGATGGTCACGGAGGCTGCGAACACCCAAGCATGCTTTGTGATGAGAGAGCGAGCATCCTTGGCAGGGAATGAGAGGTCCTTTTCCCGCAGTATGAGGGCCACCGTAGCAGGTATCACAATTATGCGAGTGGACATCCCTGAAGTCTCCGCTTACAAGCGGGAAGACTTCCTTCATGCTGACGACCTTGGGCGCGGCTGGAGCCCTGTCTTCTTCAACGTAGACGTCATCGTCCACATTGACCATGTCTGCCATGTTCTTTGTGTTCTTGTTCGACCTGGAGGAGCGCCTTGCCTCAAACTCAATCGAGTCGTCACGCAAGGCTCGGTATGCAGCAGCAGGTCGACCTCTGGCAGTCTTCCTGCGGCGCTTAGGCTTGATAGGCTGGAGGTCGGATCTCACGAGGGTGTAGTCTCCGTCGTCATCATCGCCCGCAAGCTCATCGGCATCGTCATCAAAAGCATTCGAGGTACCATTGTGCGTCCCGTTGTTGGCGGATCGCAGCGTATTGCGCGACCGAAGTCGACGTCGACCGGAGTCAGACTCATGGTCATCGCCAGAAGTGCCAGTTGCCGAGGTCTGCAGGGATGCTTGACGAGAACTCCTCCTGCGGGGGTTTAGAAGATCCTGGAGCCGACGGTTGCCACGAGATCGCATTCGCTCTTTGACCACGTCGCTGTCATTCTCTTCGTCAGATTCTCCATCATCAAATCCGCCAATACCCTCCTCGTCCATCTCGGACAACTCCGACAATGCGTCGGAGTCATAGTCAGAGTCCTGGTTGAATTTGCGCTTCTTGGACATGTTGGCGTATTGGTCCAGCCTTGGATCAGACCGCGTGAAAGCTTTGAGACTATTCCGTCCGTTTCTGAAGTTCACAAGATCGTCATATGACATCTTGAAGGTGGATCATTAGTTAGTCATTCAGAACGTAATCGGGAGCAAGACGGTACTCGTGGATGATGAAAGATAGAAGTGATCGTACTGGAGGAAGTGCTTTCAAGAGCAATGATAGGGTAAGAAACACATGGGATTTGCGTGCCACCAGGAAGTGATGATGATGTGATGTGGAGTTTGGTGGTGCAAGAATTGCCAACGAAGGTGGGAGTATGTTCCAGCTGATGGGAAAAGAGCAGAGCAGTTGGGGAAACCGTTGCGATTCTCGGGATGGATGTCTTGATTCGAGAACCTTGGATTGACAAAGGAGGAATGAGGAAGCACAGAAGGTTGCAGGTGGGTAGGAATTGATGGCAGAAAAGTGAGTTCGGGAAGAAGGTATGGAACCAAGGGACCTATCAGGACGAGAAGAATGTGAAGGACGAGAAGTGAATGGGAAGATAAAGTGTGATCAGCGAGAGGTAGATATTAACACACAGGGGAGAGCTGGATGAGGACAAGGTGAGACGTTTGTGGCAGAGACCTGAGAGGTTAATGAAGGAATTCCGAAAGAAGACGGAAGACCTCTGCGTAGTAGATCTGAGTAAAGAATGTGGAAGGGGGCAGTTCTTGGGAAATTTCTCTGATTTTATAGGAAATAGGTGCGGGCAAGATATCGAGAGGGGCAATGAAAAGTCCAGTCGTTCACAACACACTCACCTCTTCGACCCTCCCGTCATCAAATTCAACCATGTACCGCTCTGCACCCCGAGAAACACCGACCCTCTCAAGGACTTGAAGTACGTGGTCGCTTGGCGGCGGTCGTCTGTACTGTTCGACGACGTCGGGCGGTAGTATTCGAAGCGCGATCTCGAACAAATTTGAGATGTTCCCTATCGGCAGCGTGTGTTTGCCAGTCTCCCAAGCGCTCTCCACCACATCTGAACTTATCACGACCTGCTCATGATCCTCGGTACTATTCAAGACCTCCGGATGCGCAGCATCTTGCTTCTGCTCAGGGTCCTGCGGCTGTGGTGATGGCGCCGCAACAGGCGGAGGTGACTCGTCCGAGGCATTGTCGCTGTCTTCTCCTGCATCTGTAGGGGCAGACTCAAAGTCAAAGCTCATCCGGGTGTCCTCAAGCGACAGCTCTTCTTCGGGATGATCACGGGATACCTCCATTTCGAAGCTCAGCGAGGCGCAATACGGTAGGGTCGGGGAGATCGTCGTTGCGACAAGCAATCTGCAGACTTCAATGTTAGCCTTTGAACATAAGCAGACATGCCGACGAAACACAACCGACCATAGCGGAAATCATAGCATGGCTATGCGCTCGCGTGGCACTGCTTGCTCAAGGTGAATTTCTTCGCAAAGATAGTCCGTAGTGCCGGAATGCGGTGGTGTTGAGATCGGACGCGGCAACCAGACGCGTCCACTTCCCATTAAAACCCGACTTGATTAGTGCATGTGAACCCTGCAGATGAGCATGAGTGGACTCCGATAATGTCTGATCGAGTATCCAAGTGCCGATAAGCTAAATAATTTTTGGACGTCCTCTGCAGATCGTCAATGCTTGCAACATCATCCCCTTAATTTCTGTACAAACTTCGACTTGCGACCGGCCATGTTGAGGACATACCGGCACCCATTGGGCTTCCATTTGTCTGCAAGAGGCTTTTTGGGCCAGTGTACTACCAAGCCTGTTGGGCAATTGATTGTGCGCAACTCGTCCCTCTCCGCAATACACCGTGGACTTCGACGCTCTGAAAGGGCCAGGCCCCAAGGTCCCCAACTCTCTCGAGCCGCACAGCAAATCGTTGAAAAGCGTCGCGAAAGACGAGAGGCGCCACCGCCGACGTTTCGCCTCCTAAGGGGCAAGAAAGACATCACCGAAAAGACCGGCCCGGAGACCAAGACGCGACGAGCTCGGTTCTACGACCCGGAAGATGGATTCGGCAAGAAAAGCCTCGTTTACCAAATGAAGAGCGGCCAGCTGCAAGCACAACTGAAAGAACTCGGCGCGAAAAGAGATTCTTCAAGTCGGGATAGCAGCCTTGGCAGTCGTTCTGCAGGTCTTCGACGCCCAGAACGCAATACGACGAGACGGCTCGGCTCAGCGAAGCGCGGGGACTGGGAAGATGGCAAATTGGATGTGCAAAAGAGCGCCTACGGGAAGATAGAGAGAAATTCTCAAAGCAGCGACTTCCTGGACCGCTTCTCACGCTCCGACGACGACACGAGACGGCAAATGCCACGACAGGACGGCAGAACATATGCAAGGAGGGATCCACGAGCAGATTCAGAGGGTCGGAGAACAAGAGCAGGAAGGGAGAATCGTGGCGATACCCCAAGCCGGCCCGTGAAGGACACACCTGCACCAGTCTCCATCCCATACACAACGGCTGCATCGCAATTTCTGTACGGAAAGTCGGTCGTGGAAGCTGCTCTGCAGACATCTCGGCGCAAGCTTTACAAGTTATACATTTACAGTGGAGCAAATCGTCAAAATGTCCAACGCGACATGGTCATCGAGAAGCTCGCTCAGAGACAGGGAGTCCAGATTGTCAATATCGATGAGAGTGGGCAGCGGATGATGGAAAAGATGAGCTTGGGTCGTCCGCACAATGGGTACATTCTCGAGGCATCCCCGTTGCCGCAACAGCCCTTGGCCAGCCTTGGGGAGGCGGCCAAGGTGGGAGGCCGATCCGGATACAAGATTGAGCTGGGACATCAATCAAGTGAAGAGGCTGCTGTGAATGGTACCGCGGACTTCGTCCCTACGGCTTCCAGTACCCACAAGCCCCTTGTTCTCATGCTCGATCAGGTCCTGGACCCAGGCAACCTCGGTGCGATACTCCGGACTGCCAGCTTTCTCGGCGTCAACGCGGTTGCGATATCGAAGAAGAGCTCTGCTTCGCTGACACCCGTGGCGTTGAAGGCTTCAGCAGGAGCCTGCGAGGCTTTGACCCTCTTTTCGATCGAGGCGCCAGCGAACTTTCTGGCCCAGTCCAAGAAGGCGGGATGGAAGATTTACGCGGCCGTGCCTGCTGCAACGAGGTCGACGCGTAGAAAACAGGTCGACCTTGAGGATGTGGAGACGTCAGACCCTCTGCATGAAGATCCCTGCGTTCTTGTTGTGGGCAGTGAAGGAGAAGGTCTACCCAGAGCGATCAAATCCCAGGCGGATTACGAGGTCAATATCCCGAATCAGTCAGGTTCCGGCGTCGTCGATAGCCTGAATGTCAGCGTAGCGACGGCACTGCTTTGCTCGTCGTTCTTGAAGCAGCAGACGAAGTCGCTATTCAAGGAGCACAGGCAGGACGACCTAGGGATCTGGTAAGTGAAGATCTACAGAAGATTATGTATACTATTAGACGTGATACCCAATCTCAATGTACAATACCTCTGTAATACAATGACTTGATTCACAGGAAACGAAAGCGACAGTTTGATATCCTAGACGGAAACAAGCGCGGAGCTAGGGATGGAACATCCCGCATTCCTCGGGATCCCCATTTCTGGGACCCAATGTACGGTTGAAATTGATCTATCCATGCATAGTTTTTCGGTCGCGCCGTTTTCGCACCGTTGTGACTCAAGTGACCGCCGTTGAAAGCTTCAAGGGCTTTCTCGTATCAAGAGTCGAGACAATGCCGAGGACAATGATGTAAGCCCTCGAGGGACAAGACACTAAGATCAAATGGGGTGACAGGGGTGTAGCTGTGACCAGGAAGACCCCTGCTGCCCTCCAACCACTTCCTTTCTTTCCGTGCCCCGTCCACGTCGCTGGGCGAACAAGGCTAGTTGAGATGCAAATACGATCTCGTCCTGTCGATCCAATGACGCCCATTTCCAATCAGCTTGGTACTCGAAAGTAAAGCAGCCTCATGACGTTATCTGCGATGTCGCCTGCGATTCTTTGAGCTCGTAAGCTCCATCTTCGGCGAATTTGTCCGTGAGTCCATCCTGAAGATCACTGCGACACGTTTACACCGCCGGAACCTGCGCCTTCCTTCCTTCCAATCAGTCAAGGTCTCGCATCCCCGTCGAAAGAATGTATATCTCCCCAAGAGGGCTATGCCTCCGAGCAAGTCTCCTTCTCTTGGCCACTGGCCATACCGAAGCGCAGCAAGATGCGCCGACCACCGCGCTCCCGACAGCTGTCCGCAAAATGGGCCTCGACAGCGGTGAGAAGTTCCTTGCCGAGTTCTACGCCTTTGAAGAGTCAAACACGCCGGTCCTCAGGGACTCGCATCTCTTGGAAGAGGAAGCAGACCTGCTAGCAGCGAACAGCTCAGCCATCCTGCCGTTCCGACCCGCATTTGCGCCCCATCGGACAGAACAGAGACGCTCAGGCTGGGAAGTTCTCGCTCGCTTGCAGAGGCGGCAATGGGGCTGCCCTACCGGCACCAACAGTTGCGAGGGAATTGGGTATCCTTACAGTTGTTGTCACGAGGGAACGACGTGCTACAGGATCCAGGATACGGGGCTGGGACCGGTGGGCTGCTGTGCCAGCGGCCAGACATGTGGAGGTCAGATCACCTCGTGTGGCTCACAGGACCTTGCTTGCCCTCAGGACCTTGGGGGCGGTTGTTGCATTGCGGGATATGTGTGTGAGGGGGTCGGATGTAAGTTCCGTCTTCAAACTTGGTTTCTGAGCCACGTTGCTGACTAGTGTGTCTACGAAGGCGTTCGCAGCTCCTCTGCGGCACCAGGGCCGGCGCCGCAACCAACGACCTTTACCACTACATCGACCAGCATCCTCTCGGGACCTGCCGAACCGTCCACGGTCGTGGTAACCGTCATAGTCACGCAGACGCCGCCCTCGCCGGGCGTGACGACGCGCACGACTACACAGACGACAGTCCCGCCCAGCGGCAGCTCCACGACGGGCGGGATAGCACCGGTCAAGCCGACCCTGACGGCATCGTCGGATCAGACGGCCACATCGCCAAACACGCCTCCGGGGTACTGTCCGACTGGCTACTACGGCTGCCTGGCGACTGCGGGCGGCGGGTGTTGCCAGACTGGTCGGGACTGCCAGACGACGAGCTGCCCACCAGTGGCGTCGACCACTATCATATCCAACGGCGCCACCATTGTGGTACCGGCGACCAACCTACCTGCGGCACAGTCATCATCCACCTGCGCCGACGGGTGGTTCCTCTGTCCGGCGAGCGCCGGGCCCGTCCCAGGCTGCTGTCCGAGTGGGTATGACTGCGGGACAGCGAGCTGCTCTGTCGTGAATCCGAGCAGCACAGGGACGACCGAGAAGAAATTCCCTACAAACGGTGCGGTTTCCCGCAGAGGGAGACCCGTAGATTTGCTTCCAGTCCTAGCGGCGTCTGTTGCTGTTCTAGCTTTCCTGTGATGTGAAATGCTAATGGAGTTCATTTCTCGTACGTATACATGCACATTTAGAGATCGGGGTGGCGTTGCATTTGAGTTGATCTATCGAGAGCATTTGCATTGGGCGGAGTTAGCTTCTCAGAAGTAGATAGGGCGTCTGTGAAATGATTCATTTTTGAAAGATCTGCTCCTCTAACAGTGTATTTCGATGTGACACTGTCATCGGCACCATGACCCGGTTGTTGATCCGGAATGACGCTACGGAGGCCAAAAGGTCTGGTACGTGTTTCCTACCTTGATGAGCAGGCACCTTGATGGACAGGTTGATTAATATGACTTCAGCTTCCTCCCACTCAAATGTCGAGTCAAGCTCGAACACCCAATTGTTCTTCAATTGGCCGAGCGCCAACTCTTCACAAACCTCTTCCACAATGCTGTTCCTCCTTGAACATACCCCGGCTCGGGAGCGAAGGACTCCATACGCTTACGCGGAAATCACAACGTCGCATTGTTACACAAATCTTGGTTACACAAAGCTGCCGCTAGGCTTCTACGAAGCTAGTTCGAGTCTGAGCGCGCGTACGGGCAGACCCCGAGATGGAACTCCTTCGCTCGGAGTTGCTCAGCAAAAGGACCCGGATTTATGGCTTGAAGAGCCCAATCTGGTTACCAAGTCAGCATTGTCTTTGTTGGTGCAATTTTACAGGGCCGCTTAGCCGGAAATGGGACGCTGCTCTATCACTTACACTGGCGGACACCCAGTTCGTAAGCCCTCAGACCAGACCCAACACGGCACCAGCACGGTTCACGATATCGGGTTCGGCATCGCCAACTGCAAGTTGACTCCCCCCCCCTTCCCCCCTTGTCGTGTTCCTGTGACTGCCAACGACCACCTACACACTCCGGCTAAGTCGGGTCATTCATGGCAGCAAGTGCTGACCTGCCACCCAAATTTCCCTCTGTTTAATGCGGCTAGTTAGTCCTATTATTGTCTCGTCCCACTGCTTTGGTTCTACCTGTCGGGCCATCGGCGTCGTCACCCTTGTTTCTCTCCTGACTCGCGCCACCTCCGCGTGCCATTGTGCGCGAGTTCGTTCCCCTCCCCGCAAGCGCTCCCGTCCCTTTAAAATGCCACCGGGGGCCCAATCCACCGTCCTGGCGGCACCATCCCCAAGCTTTGATAGCTGTCAAAAGTGCTTGGCAGTCACTTAGCTCAAGTCGGAGCGCCATCGACGCAACTTGTCCTACCTACCCTACGCCCCCAATGCAGCCCTATAGCCCTACGCGATCGCGCAATGCAGCCCTGCTGCTGTCTCTCCTGAGCAGCAGCACTTTGCTCGTGCCCCTCGCCGCCGCCGCGACCACCACCGCCAGCGGCGGCGGCGGCGGCACCTCGTACGCGGACCAGGTCTGCAAGCCGGTCGTGCCCGACGGCAGCACCCTCCCGCCCTGCGTCGAGATCGAGAACATCCAGGTCGCCTGCTCGCCCAACGGCACGGCGCCCGTCGACTACGAGGCGCACGCGCAGTGCATGTGCCACGGCTCCTTCTTCCAGGAGTGGACCGCCTGCCGGCAGTGCCTCTACGTCCACGGCCAGCTCTCGGAGCGCGACATCGGCTACTGGCAGTCGGCCATCGGCCTCGCCTCGTCGTCGCTCTGCGGCTTCCTGGCCGGCGGCGCCGGCGGCGGCTCCCCGCCCACGGCCGCGTTCCAGGACATCTTCACCGCCGCGCAGGCGCAGGCCTCGGTCCCGGCCACGGGCGCCACCGCCACCTCGGACCGGGCGCCCTCGGACACGGCTATCAGCTTGTACTTCACCCCGAGCGGGTCCCTCGGCCCCGGCTCCATCACCGGCAGCGCCGCGTCTGCGACTCAGACCGGGTCTGGCGGCGGCAGCGGCAGCGGCGGCGGCAGCAACTCGGGCTCGGCTACGACGTCAGGTGGATCCTCTGGACAGTCCGGCTCGGGCGGCTCTTCCCAGCAGACGACACAGATGAATAGCGGCGGTTCCCAGACTACGGCCGCAAGCACCAGCCAGACGTCGTTGAAGACCTCGGGAGGGGTGGCTATCTCCGCCGGCTCGGGCACGGCGCTGCTTGGCGCTGCCGTCGGTGTTGTGCTTTCTTTACTTTGAATGAATGAAACGGGAAACAGGCTCCAGCGAGATTGTCACCTAATGTCATCTTCCTTCTCTTATATACATGTTATAACGTCCTAGCGGTGTTGGCGAATACAAGCGTGGAGTTGGACACGGCGTCAATATCATCAAAAAAGACCACTACCATGGGTGCATTTGTGCTTTGAGGCGTTCAGAGTAACGAAAGCTTTCGCACACAAGACCATTGGCATATGGGTGAAAGAGAACCTTTTTCATTATCATTTTGAGCCTATCGCCGCATGCATTCCTTTCGTTGAAATCCAAGACCTTACAACAGTTTTAACTTGTTGGGCATGCCTCGACCCCAGTATCTACCCCTTCGTTATATCATCAGAAAGCTCGTAGTTTTACTCGGGCATGTGCTTGAAAGGCTTGGCGAGATGCTCCTGGCAGAAGGGCAGCTTGCCGACGGTCCAGATCTCGGTGTCCTGGGGCGCAGGGTGTCAGCAAACTTTGATGAATCAATTGAACCCACGGCGGTATTTTTTGGGTCCCTTTTTGACTCACAGGCTTCAGGGTCTTCTTGATCTCCGAGTCGAGGGTGCCGCCCTTGAGCGCGATGATCTCCGGGGCCGCATCCGGGTCGTGGGCGATCGGGGAGCCGCACTCGGAGCAGAAGATGCGGTGGACGGCGTTGCCCGAGGAGCCCTTGCCGGCCCAGGACTTGGTCGGGCCGTTGATCTTGAGCTTGTCCTTGGGGACGACGCAGACGAGGGCTTATTTTGTGGTCAGCCAAATTTTGGTTGTTTGGAGGGGCAACGAGGACGGGACGTCATAAGGGTGGTGGGGGGTGTGGGGAAGCTCTCTCTCTCTCTCTCGGCGAGCTGCGAGTGACGACAATGGGGATGAATCATGACGGGAAGCGAAGCGGCCAACGCCAAAATTGGGGATGCGACGCAAATTGGACAAGGACGAAAGGGGGGAAAGAGATTCCTCTACGCACAGTATGTGGAGCCGGTCTGGCGCTGGCAGTCGTCGCAGTGGTCGTAGCCGGTGATGATCGGGGCGTCAACGTCGACCGTGTAGGTGACGGCCTTGCAGAGGCAATGTCCAGTGAGAACCATTTTTGGGCAGAAGTGCTCTTGGTTGGTAAGAGCCCGGTGTTACTGTTTCAAATTGGAAGTGGGTTGTGAACGGTGGGACGATGGAGGGCGTTGTTCCGGGGAATTTGCAAAACGTGTTGTTCTACGAGGATGTCTGAGAGAGTGAGAGAGAGAGAGGAAACACTGACGATGTCTGACAGGTCCGGCAGGATGATGTCTTAAATATTTCGAGCTGCCGCCCCCCCTCCTCCCCACAAGACTCCAACGCCTCAACAAGGCCAGCCTGCGTCCGGGATGCCGCTCCCCGGCCTTGATTCGGTTTCCACCTTTTGCAAGAGACACGAGTGGGCGAACGGACGGGTCGCCCAAATCGGTGGGTAAGATTGGCACCAACGGGGGGACTATCTCACGGTCAATCATGGGCGGATCTCTCTCTCCCTCGTCCTCACGGTACCAATGCGTCAAGGAGGGGCACGGAACGGATGTCCCACGCTTTCGACACACGCAGAATTCAGCACCAGGGCCGCTCTAGGACCCCCCTCCCGTTTCGCTATTTGGAAGCCAAAAAGGGCTCTCGTGAGCTCGATTCACCTTCTTTTCTTCGACTGCCTCGAGCTCCTCCCGATACGCGGGGTAGGTTCGTGCGCTCGAGAGAAAAGTTCCAGGTTGGCCTTCCCGTCGAGCACCTCCCACCGGGAAACGATGAAACAAAAGCAAGGCTCCGAACCGGGTACCATCAACGCTGATGGGCTGATGTACCTCCTGTCAGAAGTACTCATGCCTCGGGGACCATCCTGCACCTTGCAGATTTGTCACTGTTTACTTGGAGAGACATGGACAGGACAGGACAGCTCCCCTCAATTGGCAAGGGTCAGCTCCATGCTGTGGATCTCGACTAATACGCAAAAGCTCCTGCATGGCGGCGGGGCGCGGTCTATCCCGAGTGAGGCCTAGTGGGCGAGCTGCGTCGATGCGAGTATTTGGAATAGCAATGACGTTTCACACTTGTCTCCTGGAAACGCCAAGACGCTGACATTGCAAGCCAACAAGTCGGAGAATTTCCCACAGTTGTCATTGTCTGTCAAGGCAAGAAAGATGGTAGTTCAGCCCAGGGCATCATCAGATTTGACTATCTCATCCATAGCAAGCAACCCTGGCGTGTATGCGCTGTTTCTAATTTACTTCTGGGAGTATTGCTGGTTACGGAGTATATCTTCTGCCAAGTCTTGTCGCTGGAAGCCATTAACCGACCTTTCGACAACAACAACAACAAAAAATCGTTCTGTTGATGGACGATGGAGACTTAGTTCCAATGACACTAAAAGCTAGGCTGCCTATCCTCGCTGATACAATGCTATTTCTGGTCTACGTGGAAGTGACAAACTTGTCATAACGGCCCACGATAGCCCCAGTAGGCTACCCAACTCCGAACGAGCATGTCCATAATTTGTCATGCAGATAAGCCTAGGTACACGAAGCAGAAGCAAGAATAGCGCATAACACAGTCAAGCCAGAAACGATGGCAGATTAGCTAGGTTACACAGCGCCAATGCCACCACCCATGCGAATCCTGCGCGTAATACGAATAGCTGGGCGACGAACAGAGGAGCCAGACCAAAGGCTATTCGTTCGGCCAAGAGAAGCTTGAGCACCGCTCCACGATATGATGCCTTGTTCCCGGCGGTCTCGTGTTCGAGCACGTACCCATCCATCGACGAGATGCGGAAGTCGCGGATGTCGATGACAGAGTGCGTGCTAGCAGCCTTTGACTCGCCGGCTGACGATGATGGCCAGGTCATGGGCCTTTCTATCCGCTCGGGCCGGCGCCGGAGGTACTGGATGGCCTTGAAGGAGACAAAGTCTATCGGGTTGGACAGCTGCACCGCCGGAGACTGCTTCTTGAAGATGAACTTGGGGAGGAGGTCCGGGCGCGATATCCAGACCGTGCGGCTCTCTCGTAACTCGCAAAACATCGCCTCCAGGTCGTGCGCATATTGCACGAATCGAGCGTAGAAGACTGGTGTCAGGACTTTGAACTCGAGCTCCTCGATCGGGCCGGAGCCTTGCCTGGCCGTGGGGGAGAGTATCAGCTCTTTGTTGTTCTCGGGCACACCACTCGGGATGTACTTGACAGCCAGAGGTGCCGAAGACTGTTCGACGAGATATCGCAGATACTTCCTGAAGGCCAATTCCAGGCGCCTTTCCAGGGCATCTGCATTTCGCCCCATGCTTTCTTTCAGGGGCTCGGGTCTGAACCACACATGCAATTTGCGTTTGAAGAAGAGAAGCCCGGCCTCCTTGACGATCCTGGGAAAGGTAACAAAACCTACCCACCACCAGGATGCGAGGAAATAGAGCTTTTGCCAGGAAGTCATGGTAGTCGGGTCGAGAGGGGGTCCCGTCGACAGGAGGCGAGCCACAACCTTGCCATGGACCTTGGATGACCTGAGAACGATTGTGTTGTCAATCAAGCCCAGATTTTGGTCTCCAGTAGTCAGTATGTCGTGTGCTGACAGGGAATATGAGCCCTTTCGGGAGTTGAATGGTGACACATGGAAATCCTTGGGCCAAGTCTGCGTAAAGACCATAGGTCCCTTGGTAGACTCGGCTTCCGCTTCGGCTCCTGGGACCCCTTCGAGCTGGTTCTGCTGATCTGGCACAAGTAGATACATTCGACGCTCGTCGAAGGTGTTGTTTACCTCGAGGATCATAGCTGCCAGCTTCTTATCGGCGCCGTACAGATACCAAAAAGACACCGGGTTGAAATGATAGCCCAGAAACCTCGCCGCCGTCACAAGGTATGCGTGAGGGTATTTGGAAGGATCCACGTCCTTGTTGGTTAGCATTGATGGCAAATTTCCAAAAGGGCATGAAAGTACTCACTTGTGACCTCAAGAACGCATCCAGCTTGCCCCGAAGGCCGAGCTCACGATTACCCCGTTCCAGGTAGTCTGCAGCATCGATGTTAAACCACGCTTTGCGCGTCCTTCGTTTGAAGGAGAACCATCTGGAGAAGGTCGATGCGTCCTCCTCTACCCCGGAAGAGACCATGCCGCCCGCGGCACCGTCCCATCCCACGGGAATCCCAACCACAAGGTACGAATAAGTGAATGCATGTTTCTTGGGAAACAGCCTTGCATGAGTGGTCTTGCAAGGGAATAATGCCACTTTCCCGAGCCCAGTCCATCTGTGTGTGTCCAAGGTCGTGAAGCCCAGTCGAACCAATTGGAATCCGACGAACAGCGCCGCCGAGTAGGCAGCATACTTCAATGCACCTTGCACGTCCAACAAAGAAGACAGAGCATGTCGATTTTGGACAATGAGTGAACCGGACAGCAGGACAGCATCAAGGAGTCCACCGTAGCAGAAGGAGAGACCAAGAGCGAGTCCGAGAGGCGCATAGCCCAGGACACTCGGAGAGGCAATCATCATATCATAATAACGTCAATTGAAAAGAGAGAGAGAGAGATACCGCAGAATGCTTCTCATGTCCAGATGAGATTCAATGCATTGTGGGAGAGCGGATCAAGATGTACCTTCCAAAACACCGCCACTCACGGGCCCCCTTGTGATCGTGAGGTTTCAATGAGAGCGTCATGATCGATGAAGCACTTTGATGACTAAGCATAGGTAGTCAATGGATGGCTCCTACCCTGATGAACACACAGGTGGTCTGTCGCCCCGCCACCGCCAAAGATAGCCAGCTGCCACAGCGCCCAAAATAATATTTTTTTCACCTGGCTAATGCGGCGTGCTTGCCGATTGACTCAGCGTCACCAGCACAATCTTGGCTCCACTGTGGGCTTCTATTCCCTTCTACGGACTTTAGAGGACGGACGCCTCCCCATAAACTCTCTCGTCTCTGGCCATAACCATCTTCCGTGATCGATTTAAATACCTACCCATTCTCTAGCAAGACGACACACAGACAGTCGCGTGCTTCATCAGAACAAGCCACACATCACCACTCGCATCTCCGACCCCCGGCCCAAACCTCCCTCACCGATCATCCAACTCGATCCCCTCAAAATTCCCTATCGACGATAACCGACATCTAACAGCCCCCCCGCCACACCGCCCCTCATCCTCACCTTCGTCATCACACAGACCATCCAACAGAGACAAGATGTCTAACCTCGACTGGGAGACCACGACCAAGATCGGCAGCCGTGTCCGCGGCGGCGCTTCTGAGCGCGAGAGCGTCGTCCGCGGTCGGAGCGCCCTCAACGCCGCCCAGCGCAGCGGCGCCGTCATCGGCACCGAGAAGAAGTACGCCACCGGCAATGCTGTACGTATCCTGTCCTCTCCCTCCGCGGGTTGAAGCATGAAAAAGACAAAAGAAAAAGAAAAAGAATTGAAAAATTCGAGCATGTGACTGACCCCTTCACAACAATAGGCCGCGAGACCCGCCGTCGAGGGCCAGCACCTGACCAAGGTCGACCGGTCCGACGACATCGTCAAGCCCAAGACGGTCGGCAAGCAGGTCGGCGACGTCATCTCGGCGGCGCGGCAAAAGATGGAGCCCAAGATGACGCAGAAGGACCTGGCCACCAAGTGCAACACGACGCCCACCGTCGTCGCCGACTTTGAGCGCGGCACCGCCGCCCCCGACCAGAAGGTGCTGTCGGCCATGGAGCGCGTCCTCAACGTCAAGCTGCGTGGCAGCGACATTGGCAAGCCCAAGTTTGAGAAGAAGGGCAAATAAAGGGTGTCACTGCCCGCCCAAAGGGGGCAAATTGATGAAAATCATTCGAGTCGAGAGGTGTGGAGAAGCGGACTGATGAGTTTGTGTTTGCGTTGGATTCGCATTTTGACCAGTTTGGTACAAAGCACTCTCTGCCTTCGAGAGGTGTTTCCACAGTCATTTGAATTCGCAACACGACTATTTTGGAAGGGCATGGGAGAGCGCGTACCCTTCATGATGATTTGCATGGCACGAAAGCTTCTCTTGGGGGGAAATCAAAATCATGGCTGGTTATGATCACGGCTTATAGATGCTCTTTTTTCTTCGCATACGGGAAATAGACCTCTTCTTTTGCTTGCAATTCTGTTGTTGTATTGACCATGTCAAAAATGGCCTTTTTGACATCATTATCAAAGTGCAAATCGCTAAACGATGTTTAGTAGTGACAACCCTCCGAAACGCCATGCCGTACCCATGCAGACAGTGAATGCTTGCTTGCTATGCTCTCATCAATGAATTTCAGAACGACTCAACCAACCATCTTGTTGTGCTCTGTCCATTCAACCCTCCGATACACTTAATCTAACATCCCACCTTCTGAACCCTCTCCTGGATAGTCGCCTTGCTGGGCGTAAACTCGGTCAGGACGACGACGTTCTCCCTGTTGCCAATCGTCACGATCTTGAGCCACTCGGGCGCGATCTCCCTGGCCAGCGTGCGGACGCAGGCGGCGCCCTCCTCGCGCGAGATGGGCAGGCGCAGCGAGTCCTTGAGCTTGGTCAGGACGGCGCCCATGGTGAAGGAGACGCGCTTCTGGCCCACGGCCGTCGCGCGGCTCAGCATGGTGACGACGGCCGCCACGTCGTCGGCGCGCTGCAGGGCCGCCCTGCGCTCGAGCTCCGCCGCCGAGGGGCCCGTCGCCTCCAGTTGCGACTGCTGGAGCTGGCGGAGGCGGATGCGGTCGAGCAGGCTCATCTTTGTGCCGTCGGGGTTGAGGGCGGCGGGCGACGTGGACGAGGACGAGGACGAGGACGACGAGGCGGCCTTCTTGGCTTCTTCCTTGGCCTCCTTCTCCTGCTTCTTCAGGGCGATGCCGTGCTTGAGCTCTTCGAGCGTGCGCTGGCCCTTTGCCAGCGCGGGCGGCTTGGCCAGCGACGCGGCGCTCTTCTTGACGAGGGCCCGGGGCAGGCCGGCGACGAACTGCCGGGCGTCGGACGAGCTCCTCGCGGCCCAGGCGCGCCGCAGCTGCTCCTCAAAGACCCGGTTGAGCCGCTCCTCGGGGAGCGGGCCCGCGTGTACTCCTGGGCGGTGCAGCTCGAGGCAGACCTTGCCGCGGCCGTAGTCGGACACGTAGAAGGGCGACTCGGCGCCCATGACGCCGATGCAGCGGCAGACGTCGTCGAGCGTCACCCTGCGCTTGCCCCAGGCCTGCGCGATGCCGGGGCACACCATCTTGACGTCGATGGGCACGTTGCTGCCGTTGTGCGCATAGTGGATGCTGACCGTCTTGAGGAAGGCGCCCTGGAGGTTGATGAGGTCGGTGAGCTCCTGCGGAAAGGGTGTGGAGTCTGCCCTCCATGTCCGCGTGGAGGACGGAGACTGGAGGTTGAGACGCTCGAATAGGGCGCCGGCTTGCTGTGCGGCGGTGAGGTCGACGCCCGGCCGGGATGATTGAGGCTTGGTTTGCGTCGGGGTGCGCGGGAGCTGTTGGTGAGCCTCGGGCACGGATCCGAGCGGTTGGCGGCAGGACCGCTTTCCAGCTCGCGTGGTCTGTGGTTGCTCAGATGACTCGTCCTCGGCCTTCCTCTTCTTTGATGGTGCTGCTACAGGTGGCGCCGCAGGAGCAACAGTCGGGGTGGTGACCTCGATGGCTGTTTCCGCAATCTTCTCGGCAACGATCTTCTCAACGACGTCCTTGCCAACATTGGAGCGTTTGGAGATGCGGGTGAACTTGTTGATACCCGCGGTAGCGGAGATGGGCTTGGTGGCAGGACCGACTCTCGACGAGCGGCTCCTGCGGATGATAGCTCCTGGCATCCTGAAAGGACAGAATTAAGGGATAGATGTACAAGAAATGCGTCAAGGGAAAGCAGGATCCTTGGCTGCGCACAAACTTTGTCGAGTTGAGGGAAAGAGAGGGACTAAACAAAGGTACATGGAAATGGAACTTTTCGAAACAGTGAAGAAGGAGTCAAGCAGTCTGGATCTTATCGCGGAAGGTGAAATATGGTGGCAGGTTAGGAGCTGGCCTGGTATGCGGGTCGGTTAACCGCGCGACACATGGGTGTGCGTTTTCGCGTGGCACGCGTTCCCGACGCGTAAAGTGGATTTCTTTTCCCCGTTCAGGGACGCGTTCTTGGGCCACCCGCCCATACGCGCACACACGCTCTTTTTGACTGTGATGAGAACGAGCCAGTTTTGGCGTACGTCATTCAGGACTTGACGTCGATTTCAATGCAGCGACATAGAAATGATTGGTACATGGTTGATGAATGGATGTTGGTGATCATCTCTTCCAAATACTACCTTCGATCCGAGTCTGATTGCTTCGACACTCTGCCGAGCTGCCACCAGACTCGATGATTTTCTCACGATCCATCCATTGATAGCTGCATGGAGGATATCCAAGCTCAGGCTGCAACATGCTCACTGCTCACATAGGCAATTATTCAGTATATCTGGCTTGGTGTCTGTCATTTAGCTTCCACTACCTCGGCTTCTCGCTACAGCCTGTAGCGAGGGCCCACTATAATTCTTCCCATGTTCCCAGATGCCTCGAGTCCTGCATTGACTGAACGTGCGAGTCCGAGTAACCTACCTATCTATGGTGGCTTACGATGGGCGTTTGGATCGGACAAGAAGCGGCCAGAGCTCTGATATGGGCCTGAATGGCGATAGCCGTGAAATCAACGGAAGCCAGATCAGTTCCGCGGCTCCCAACACTCACGGGCATGTGAGCCAAGCTTGCCAACAAGGATCATCACACATTCACATGTCGTCAAGTGATGATACCCCCCATCACAGGCCCAGGCTTTTAGAAAAGCTGCTTTGATTCTGAACACGACAACAGCGAGCTAGAGTCGCCCGCTGGCAGACCAGTAGCTAGAGTTATAGATACACATGAAAAATCGAAATTATGCCCCTGCTGTTCATAACGGCAGCCGGTGGTGGCGTTGAGTTATGAATGAACCTGGCTGGGTGCGCTGACCAGTTCATGCTCTAAGACGTTTTGGTGTAATCCCTTCCCATCGAGTGATCCCCCGAGATTATCTCCTCGGTCCCATGTTTTAGCCCTCCAACTCCTGACCTGAAAAAGCAAACACACATCGTCGCTCAAGACGCAAAGGACCATGCGGAAACAAGGCTGGGAACCAGCAAGCAAACAGAACAGACAAGAACACCCTAAAATGCAGCGATGCCGGCCCTTTCATACAGACGAGAAAAGTAGAAGTATGCCGTGACAAGTAAACTCAGCGGCGGAGAGAGGTGTGCCACTGCTCAGTCCGAAAGCTGACCGGGCTCGGTGGAGGTGGAGCCGGGACGGTGTAATCGTCCTCCTGAATGCTGCGCGAGGTGGTGACGCCTTGGGAGCTTCTCGACGCCAGTGTTGCGTTCAGGCTGGCAAAGAAATCTTGAGAAGTCGAGATGTTGAGGTGCTTGCGGGCCGGGGCCACGGGCATGGGTGCGACGACTTGGGTCGGCATTGTCTTTGGCTGCTGTAGTTGAAATTGTTTGTGTTGGAGTTGCAACAAAAAGGCTGCTTCCGGTCTAATAAGATTAGCATGTGCAAGCGTGGAGGATTACAGGCAACACCTACGTCGAGGAGGAGGAGTATTGATGGTAGATTATGAGTCTAAGATCGAGGAGAGGATGGATCTTGTATTGACAGAGAGAGGCAGAGAATCTTTGATGGGATGAGGCCAGGCTCGAAGAAAATGGTGCTGGGGGAGGGTAATGGGCCGTGTTTTAAAAAAGCGTTGAAAAAAAGATTCGGCTTGGGCTTGCTCGCCTCGCTCACGGTGTCCCCGTTGGCGGAAGTTGCTTCCTGGGGTTCCGGGGAAGTTTCCCTTGCGATGTGGAGAAGAATATCTGGGACCAAGGTTCCAGGAAAGAGGGCCTCGAAGTAGCTGCGACAAATTGCAACCTCGGGCAGGGATGCGAGAGGCAAGCAGACAGGGAGGAGTAATAAAACTTCCTTTCTTTTTCTTTCTTCTCTGCCCGTTTCAATAATTGATTTGCTAATGAGGCCAGGGAAGGCAGGATGTTTGCATCCGTTTGGTGGTAGTTGACGGGAAGCAGCAGCAAGCACGAGTGCAGGAGTGCAGGAGTGCAGACACTAATGAATTTTTTCAATCGAGGAGGGAAGGTGTACAACAGCACTGGGAGAGAGAGACCTTATGGTCAGAGGAGGAGAAAATCTGGGGGAGAGTCTGGGGAACGGCTGAGTTCACGATGGGATGGTATTTGTATCTATCTGAAAATGCGTCAGGCCAGGCACGACGTGTGCTCTATCTGCCTAAGGTATGATTCTCTGATGATGAGGTGGAATGGAACAACAAGGACAGAGAGAAACAAAGGCACGTAAGCACATCCCCAGAGAGTGTGTGTCAGGTTGGGGGTACGAAGCAGCCAGCCTCGAGGGCGGAAAGGTGACTGAGTGATGGGACTGGGAATGGGGATGGGATGGATGGATGGATGACACGACGGGATGGCCTGCTTGCCTGCTCCTCGCCCTCCTCCCTGCGCATGCAGTTGGACCGGCTCTGATCCGCGAGGTATGTAAATCATGGGCTTGGACGTCTGAGTACCTTGTCACATCGCTTCAGCCGGGTCACCCCCCAGAAAGTTTTATGCCCGACTTGGCCGGATTAGGCACCTCCCTAAGCCTTGTGGCACAGTGAGCGTTGCCGGTAGATCCAATTGCGACCTGAATCTGCCCGGACGGGGTGATGGGAGCCTGGCTGCGAGGTCGAGTGTTGCATGAGACGGGAGAGAACCTTGGAAGCCCTGGAGAATTTTTGCTCAAGTCATTCTGGCTCAAAGGAGACTCGGGACGGGACGAGTCGCCCTGGGTACCAGTGATCAAAGAGCCCTGCAAGTACTCCGTAAGTTAGGTACTTTGGGTACTTGCTCCGTACTTCAACAAAGCACTCCACCGAACACTAAAATTTCCGGGATGTTCTGCGTTCGCTCGGAGACGACGCCAGATTATGCCAGCAGAAGGTCCATGGAAGGTTCCATGTTAGGGGTCCCCTGGCCCGTCTGTCGGCCAAGCGCATCACCTTCCTACGAAGTACGGAGTACGAAGTACGAGTACTTTGACCGAGGCGAAAAAAGGCCGACGAGGGCCTGGGGCTTTCTGAGCACGGGCTGCTGCTTTTGGTTCCCGTCTTTCGAAGAAAATTTTCCCAAACACCGGATTGTACTGCATTTTGCCTATCGCGGATCAGAATGATGCCACGACAGCCATCCACATCGCGGGTTGCCGCCTTCGGGGAACAAGAGGGAGGATGCCGTGAGTGCTGGAAGATCACGTATCCGTGAAGCAATCGTGCAGTCGTGGCACACGCACTTGGCGGCCCCCAAGTGCACAAACAACAGCCCTGGAGTCCGATGTTTCCAAGGCTGTTTGTCGCAGGCGAGTGGCCAGATTGTTTGCCCTGCCCGGAGCCCCCAACATCATGGTGGATTCACAGAATAATAATACCTACCTAGGTAGCTTCATACGGACTGGCATTGGCAAGTAGCTAGGCTTGTATGGCACACCGAGCTCCAAGAGACAAGAAAGAAAAAAAAAATAGCCGAAGCATTGCTGTGGTAGCTTGGGAGTCACTCCGTAATCTTACAACACAGGTACCTCGTGTTTTCCACTTGTCAGCTTGGCTGACCCATCCATGAACATCATCAATCAGGAGAAGCGGATACTTCCCCGGACTGGCTACCCGTCAGACTTGTCCGGATTTAGCACAATTGTAATGAGCGCTTCGCTGGTACTTCGTACTTGTACATCCAGATGAGACAGTTCGATCCTGCCACCCTCTGAAGCCTTCTGCTAGTTACCGGTACCTATCCATCCATCTCGTGCTCCTTTTCCCGAAGCAATATCGGCCAGGCAGGCCACAACACCCGGGGAATAATACCCAGCATGCGGTGCTCTCTCGAACAATGTAAGTACCAGCTGCATTCCTTCACCCTGACACCCTGCTACAAGCGCCGCCAGCATGGACAATGCATTCCATCTTGTCTCTGTTGTATGCTACGCTACCCTCTACGCTTGGATCGCTCGGCACTTTACTTGAGCAACATCTCTGGAACCTCTCGGAATGCGAAATGTGTGGGGAAGTGCTCGTGTTGCCAACCTGGCCAAGCTGGCTTGCAGGCAAGGCGACCTTTGGGCCACCCCCCACGATCCACGATCGGCGCGCTGCTCGTTGTCCATCCCCCAGCTCTCCAGTCCGGAGCTACGAGAGACTACTGTGCACACTGCAGGGCTTGTAAGCCCACCCAGTCGCATATCGTGAGAGGGTCCAGCAAGCATTTGCGCTCTTGATTGATGGGCTCCAAGACAAAGCAGCAGGCAAGAGAAAGAGAAAAAAAAGCAAAGTCCCGAACTGCGCAGTGTGACACACCTCTTGGTCACCGCTCATCTGCCGCAGCACCCCGACATTTGTAAACCACAAGATCTTTCTGGGCTGTCGCACACTCCACACCCGTGGAACGAAGTAGAGCGGAGGCAACGACTCGATCAGACTGGAGATTTCAGCGGCCATTGGCCATCGGCGACGCACAACGAGGAGGCATACCCGGGGCTCTTGGACGCTGCGTCTTTGACTCATCTCTCGGGGCCTCAACGGCGGCCTGCAGTGTGACTTGTTGGGAATACATGCGTCGCCAGCGCCTCTGACGTCGAGCTGGATGCCCGAGACAAGGGCCTAGAGTCGATGCTCCGTGGAGATCACTTGTCTGGCCCGGAGACCATTGCACAACTCACACACGTGTCATCCCCCAAGATTCTTTTTCTTTCCCTGAATCTCAATCCGCATTGGAATTCAAACGACGACGCGTACGTGAGACCGCACGGCACGCAGAGGCTCCCGAACACTCCGATGGGTGTTATCATGTGCCGTGTTAAGAGGCGATATGCCGTTCCCCAGACTTTCCAAGTCCTTGGTATGAGCGGGAGGAAGCCTTCATTCCTTGGATATGCTTGAAGACAATTTGCCGCCCTTGACAGCTTCAAAGATTATCCACTCACTGTGGTCTACAGGCTTTCTGCGTTGAAGGTGCGCCACAAGTCCTCATACCGGCTTGTTGACTCCCCTTTGGCTCTATTCCAACCCCAAATACTTGGTGAATCCAGACTAGCTAGCTTCCCGATTTCACGGCTACTCGCGTCCGCAGCGCGCGCCGAGAAAAGTTGGTACATATACGAGGGAGATTGTCGCTGCGAAGTTGCGGTGTGAATAAGTGAAAAGCCGTCACCCGTGCCTGGCCGTCAAAACTGGCCTTGCTAACATTAAATGCCGCTGTGACAGCTTCGCAGCATGACCGACTTCGCCATTGGTCCTTGTCGCGCCGTTCAGCTGCATCTCCCTATTCTTGCTTCCCCCTTTTTCTTCCAACCCTCTGTCTCACCGCTCTCCCTGCACCACTGGCTCCCGAATGAGTAATGATCACAATGACAGTGTCGAGAGAGCTGAAATGATCTCCACACAGCTCGAGTTCGACGTCACCAGGTCAATTTAGCAGGATCAAGCCAGGGCTAGAGTAATGGTGAGCATGTATATTGCGATGTTCAATTCAAGCCCTCTAGGGCATTCGCCTGAGATCCATTGGACCCCTTAGCAATTGATATTCTTTTGTAGGAACTCATCCTAGTTTTTAACATGGGAGGTATTTCCCTAGTAGACGTTCCAGGAATCCCTATATCGAGATGGACCAGACTTCAATTCGTCACTAGAAGTGAGACACCTTGCTCTTAGCATACTTGTAGCAGCCTGTGCCTTTCTCTTGGGCCATGATCACCCACAGCCTTGCCACGTACTAGGTAGGCCTCTGATAGCGCAAACAATATCTTTGTAGCAAACCTCCCGAGCACACGAGGCTCGATAGCTGAATCTCTGGTAAAGCGCCGAACCAGCGCCGCTGCACAGGCCCTTTTCGTCCTTCTCTATGGCGAAGAATCCTTCCCTTCCCAGGGGGGAAGAAGTCCACTAGTCGATCTCCAGGCCGTACGCCCTCGCCGCCGTGCCGCCCCAGATCATGGCCTGGTCCTCCTCGCTGAGGCTCGCGAGGTCGCACATCCTCCTCACGACGTCGCGCCACTTGACCCAGGGGCTGGCGGCGCCGTCGCCGTCGCCGTCGCCGTCGCCGCGGGGCATGTCGAGCGTGCAGACGGGCCAGTCGGAGCCGAACATGATGCGGTGGGGGCCGAAGGCGGCCAGCACGACGGCGAGCCAGGGCTGGATGGCCATGAAGATCTCGTCGGCGGGGCGGGCGCGCATGGCGTCGCTCATCTCGCAGAAGAGGCCCGACAGCTTCATGTAGACGTGGTCGCACTTGCCGAGGGTGAAGACGGCGGAGCGCCAGGCGATGAAGGCCGGGTCGGCCGTGTTGATGATGGTCACGTCGGGCTTGCACATGTGGTCTAGAGTGTGAGGGGGCCTCGCTGTTAGGAGAGTTTCACCAAGCTTATTGCAAGAGAGAGTGATGGGCAAAAGAGACTTACTCAGGACAAAGACGCACTTCTCCCCCTCCAGAACGCCCTCGTGCGCCCGGTCAATCATCTCCACCGCCTCCTCGAGCTGGATCCTGCCCCGCCGGTGCTGGTCGATGCCCAGGTCGAACACGAACCCCTTCCTGCCGAGGAGCCGGAGCCCCTCGATGAGCTCGTCCCTGAGCATCGACCCGTCCGGCTTGTCCTGCAGCAGGTACCGGAACCCCTTGACCAGCCGCCAGGCGGCCGGGCCCGCGGCCCTCTCCGCCTCGGCGAGGTACTCGGCCAGCCTCGCGGGGCCCAGGTGCACGGGCGCCCAGGGCACGACGCCGAGGCACAGCGCGGCGTCGGCGGCGGCGTGGCCCTGCCCCGGCCGCGGCCTGCCCTCGGCGATGCGCCGGAGCCAGTCGATCTCCATCAGCGGGCCGGACCAGTCGGTGCCGTCGCCGCCGTTCTTGCGGTCCGTCTCGAGGAAGACGAAGCCCCGCAGGGGCGGCGAGTCGGGCCCGGCGCCGGCGTGGGCGGCGGCGCGGTACTCCTCGAGGGAGTGCTGCTTGGCCAGGGGGTTCCCGGGCTTGCACCAGGCGAGGTTGTCGAGCTCGTCGGCGGGGAAGAGGTGGATGTGGGAGTCGACGATGGGGATGGTTTTGGAGGCCATGGTTGCTGCTTGCGGTTTCGTGATGTGGGGATGGGGGGATTCAGCTAGATGATAGAGCTTCGCAAGAATTGACCAATTCGAAATAGGCTGCTGGAGAGCAGCAGCGGTATCTGAACTTGCTCAAACAAAAGTCTTTCTGGCAGAGAGGAAAGAGTAGGGCCAGTTTGTGTGGCTTTTGCTATGTCGGTGTGGAAACAAAATTGGGGTGCTCAGGTCGGTGAAGAAGAGGAGAGAGGAAGAAGTTGTTACAGCACCTGTTTCATACAGTCCTTTTGAACCTGATCGATTGGGAAACACAGCCTTGTCACGGTCTTCATTGGAATAGTTTACAAGAAGAGAATGCATCCATGTTGGGCCCGTCTGGTCGACACGCAGATACCCTGCGGGTTTCCAACAATTCCCCCCTCATTCATATGTGGAGGTTCACCTAAGTACAGTCTTGCCGAGCCCAGAGCTCCAACGGCCAGGCCCCTAACTCTCTAATTCCCACCGACACGGCGGGGTTTAGCGTCGAGAGATTCCCACTAAAGGCCTGTCATAGGGCACTTTTTACCAACACACCCCACTAGCTTCTCCAATCTTTGCACCGAAAAGCGAGAGGACGTCACGGCGGGGTCGAAATGTCCGTCGGGTAAATTCCTCGAGGACCTCAAGGTCCTTAAGGTACGGTACTCGCACGCCAACCTAGCATCGACCTAGATCTGAGGCTAGAGGTCCCTTCAGAGGGCCAGGAAATGAATGCGGGTATCACAGTGGGGGACAGAGAACGGAAGCAATATATGTAGTACCGGGCGATCAACCAATAGATTCAATATCGTCATCTATATAGTATTACCCATGGCAGCGTGAGGCAGTGAAATGCTTGAAACAGGTCTACCAAAACACTGGATTCTCCTCCTCCACCTCCTTCCTTCCGGTATGGCTGGCCCAAACCTATCCACTTCCGACCAGAGGTGGGAAATAAGCTCGGGACCCATGCTTGACAAAGGTTGCAAATCCGCAGCAGGTCTGCCAGGGCCCCCAAGAGGAGGCAGCCCCGGCAGTGCTTTGGCTGTTGACAAGAAAGGATCTTTGGGATAAGACCCAAGCTTGGAAACATACGAAATAGGGGGGGTTTAACGCGCGACCGGGAACCAAAGGTGTGGTTCCCAGTCACGCGGGGCCGCAGCATCGGCCCAGATTGTCGGCGCACGCTTTGAACGAGCGTCGCAGGCCCGGCCAGAGACACGGAGCACTCCCCCAAGACCAGCTTGAGCGGGCTCCGGCAAGGGCGCATCGGGCGCGAACAGACTCGCAGCGGCTGCAATTAATAACAAGTCTGGAGGCACGGCGCCGGCGTAGCAAAAAGGAGTACGCCGTGCGCGGCCCGGCAATGAGCGGAAAATGGCTCAGTTTTCAGTCGAACTGGCCGCTGCGCGTGATGAATGATTAAGGCTTCTTCCGGTCCCTCGGGATCCGGGGAGAGCGTTCGTCTATGGTTTGTTCTTCTCAGTCCCTCGCCCGGGGCAGGGGCGACCCGCTCATGAGCGGACGACGATGCCGTTGCGGCGGGCGGAGCGGTTGACGTACTCCTCGTCCTCGGAGGACGAGCACGAGTCCTCGTCGTAGCCGCAGCGGGAGCCGCCGCAGTCGAGGCGGACGCGCTCGCCCTTGCGGGTGATGCCGTAGCGCTCGCAGGTGCACGAGCTGCAGTCCGAGCCGGGGGTGGAGTAGCCAGAGAGGCTGGAGCTGGGGCTGGAGCTGTCGGAGCGGTAGGACAGGGACGAGCCGGTCGAGGAGACGGGCGAGGAGGCGCCGAAGTCGGTGATGATGTCCTCGTCGTACTCGTAGATGCCGGTGTTGGCGAACTGGTCGGAGAGCTCGTCGACCTCGTAGTCCTCGTCAAGGATGTGGCGGGTGGCGTGGGGAGCCACGGGCTTGGGAGCCTTGATCTGGGAGACGGAGAGGGGGCGGCCCTTGGGGATGTCGGCCGTGGACGAGCGCTTGGAGGACTTCTCCTTGGACGAGCGGGAAGAGCTCTTGGACTTGGACGAGGAGTGGGAAGACGACTTCTTCTTGTCGCCGGCAACGTCGAGGATGTTCAGCTCGCGGCCGGTCGTGGGCTCCTTGGTCGAGGCCTCGCTGGGGTTGTGGGCGACGTGGTAGCCATCGATGATGTAGTAGTACCAGTAGCGCTGGCCGGCCTCGAGGGTCGAGTTGTTGAAGCGGAAGGTGCCCTTCCACGTCTTGGTCGAGCCCTTCTCCTTGGAGAGCGGGAGCTGGCCAGTGTAGCCGTCCCAGGAGCCGAGAAGGTGGACGGTCTTGACGCCGGAAGAGACGCGCAGGGAGAAAGAAAGCTGAAGCGAGGAAGACATGTTGAACTTGTTATTAAGAGAAAGTTATCGGTTTTGGAAAGATCAGTTTGGTGGCGTTCAGCGAACAAGCACAAAAAACCAGTTTTTGTTTTATTAGGACGTGAGGTTGCGAGGGGATACAAACGTAGAAGACCGGCAACTACGCTGTTGTGAGTATGATTTTGTTGATTTTGGTATTATTAGAAGAGCACAGCTCTTTGAAACAGGAAAGGGCAAAAAAAGAGAAAGGGGTAAAGGAAAACAAAAACTGATTTTTGAAGATTGGATGCTTGCTGAGGAGAGGGAAAAGAGAAAGGTCAAGGGAAAGGGTGGGAGAGGCCGGCGCCCTATATACGGTTGCGTCCCGTTATTGAGGCCATCCGACAAGGTGCGAGATGGGACGGGGGGCCAACCTCACAGCACAGAGCAACGAGATCGGTCCAAGGAGAAGAGAGGGTCACCAAGCACCTGCCAGTGTCCTTAGCACAAGCGAATCGGGCCAGCCACAGGGCAGGTTCCGCTCGGCAATCATCACACGCAGCCACCAGAGCTGGCTAAGCTGCACATTACCTGGCCGAGCATGACTGCAGAGGCCAATGAGAGGCGGGCTGGGTAGTGGAAAAGCAGTGACGGCCATGCGTCGAGTGGGGTGCAGATACCAATATCACCTCTGAAGCAGGACGGCGGGCGGGCAAGGCAGGCCTTCGTCCGTCTCCTCCCTGATTTGTGCTGGCCTTGTCAGCGAATGGCAGCACGGCGTATCCTGTCATGGCACTACTGCAAGCCTGGCGGCTATGCGGTATGGCAGAAATAGGGTGCGATTCACGTTCATGGTCATGATGATGGAGGTGGAAGCGGAGGAGAGAAGAGAGAGGAGAGATGTGACGGGTGGGACCGAGCTAGTCCCACCCCCGGCCCGTTGGGCGTCTAAATCCCTGTCCACGGCCGCCAATCGCCGTCCAGGATCCGCCTTGGGATGCATCTCCATCACGCAGAAACAAGACAAGCCCTCCCGGTTGTGGCCAATGACAATCAAGGTCGCGAAGAGCCTGCCTTTTTACACGGTCCTCTGTGAGTGGTCGCGTTCCCATTCGGAGAGAAACTTTCTGGTTGACCCCCGGCGCGCAGAGGATCATGCAGGCTTTGCTGCAATGTCGGTCGTCTCGTGAGCACACGGACAGACAGACCGACATCGTGTAAGCATGTCGCCTGTTGCTCTTGCAGGGGAGCCATGCGATGTATGTACATCGAGATGGCCTGGCCAGTGGTGATGGGAAGTGCGATCGGTTCAATTCAGGGGTGGTCAATTCAGATGCCTGGATCCGAATTGGATGCCAAATGTCTGTATGTATGGGCAGACTCGCTACAAGTCATCAATTCCTGGACGGCCTCAGACTACTGGTCAAGCCCGTACGTAGAAGAAAGTCCTTGTGTTGTACTTGCCATGCACTCCCGTACTCCGTATGCATGAACAAGGCATTCGTCCCATCTGCCAGCGCACCCTGTCCTTGAGTATCGGCGAGATTCTGGTCAGCTGTGTGACGAAGACTGCCTGGAATCGGCCTTGGAATTCGTCTTCAGCTCCCGAGGCCCTGGTCCATATTGCGGTGATAGATAATATTGCGTGCCGTCCCTTGCCTTGGTCTCGCGGAAGAACCACAAGTCCACTCCTGATGGGCTGCTCACCACCCTCACTGCTCGGTCTAATGCATGCAGTCCTTAGTCTCGGCGGGTATGCGCGCGTGAGACCTCGTTCTCGGTCACATTGATCACTCTGTCGCTTCCAGACGACCTTCCCATAGGCTCGTGCGGGTCCTGGACCGTTTCTTCTGTACAATATTTCCTGATCGAGTGCCGAGATCGTCTTCTGCACGGTCTGCCCTCTTTGGGCACACGACTCCGGGACGCACCTCTGCTGTCTTACCCGGCTACATCCCGTCTATCAAGGTGCAGCCAAACAGACGTCGGAGGAGAACCGTCTGTGTGTCTTAGAGCATGCAGGTATGCGCAGGGTGATCAATACAAGCTGGGCGAGGCAGACGAGCACACGGCGGCTAAGCATTGCAACACTAACTGGATGTCCACAATTCTTCTCAAGCAGCTGTCCTTTTGCCGAGAAAGTCTATTGAATCTACTGCGGTAGTGCTTCTCATCACCCTCCTCTTTCCCCGCCTCTACCCGCCGAGACACCGGACCGCTCCGAGAGGACCAGGCCCGGCTCTTGGTAGTGTCACGAGGGTCTCTTGGAGAGAGGCTCTTGGTCTGCTGTTCAGCGGAGAGAAACCGTCCCAAAGATAAACGCGGCCTCAGATATTTCTTGATAAGCTTGGATGATCTAATTTGCAGTATTGTCATAGCTGCCATCTTTGTAGCATCCGGCCGGCTTGGGAGGATGTTTTAATGGAACGCAAGTACCCCTGATACAAAGGCACCAGTACATTATCTTTATGGTCCTGCTTGCCCCTCCATTCTCCAAGAGGATCATCATCCCAGAGAGGATCGGTCGGCTTGTGAGAGGGACGGGACCGCCCCCTTGGAACCGTATAGATCCAATCTGGACTTGAGGTAGACGAGCAAGGAATACCACACAGCCCGTCAGGTGCTCTGATAAAATCTCTGCCTTCGTTCTCGATCGTATAAATATGTTTCACACATATTTGGGATTAGACGGCCAATGTCAAGACCGAAAATCTAGTCCCGTGTATGATGAAGGCACCTGTCCGCTTGGAGTCGTCGAAACCTAGCTCTGACTGGGCGCTTCTGATCTATGTATTATACGGATGTACTAGCACATTAGAGGCAGCACTGGGAGGTTGAACAAGACAGCAATGTATGCCGTTTGTCAATCCAAAGTCGTAGGGATGGGGCGTCCGGATCTCAGGGGAGTTCCATACCTATTCAGACATATTGGAGCTTCTTTTAGATGCTCTCATTGATCTGGTCGCAGTAATGCACCATGAGGTTGCCTGCAATGGTTCAGCCTGCCTTCTTTGCGGATAGCCGGGATCTCAGTACCTAGGGATTCGATCAAAGACAAGCGGAGAGAGTTCTACAAAGGCCTGCCTGTCAGTCAGTTTTCGGGTGGCCTCTTATGTTATCCGGGGCCCGGCCCGGCCCCCGAAGCCAGTCCCTGGTCAGCTCCCCAAAAGGGCTCATCCCGTTACACTCCGAGGTTATCCCACTTGACCCATAGCCGTCTGCGGACGACAGTCGTGCTCTCAGCAGAATTACCGCTGCAAAGGTCCTATTACGAGGCTCTCCCGACAGACTAGTGTCTTTTGGAATCACGTCCATGTCAAAAGCAGAAGGTTGCTGCGCCCCGCACGAGTCCCCTCTCGTCTAAACAGATTGATCGAACCGTCCCATGATGGCTCAATGGAAAGGAGGAGTTTGTTCCGTCAAAAAGCTTGTCCTTCCCCCGAAAAGCTTGTTCTAACGTCGATTCTATCATGATCGGGCCGAAGGCGGTGTTGTTGGTTTGGTATATTGCAATATTGTTGGGTATCAGATCTCGAATACGAGCAAGACACAGCAATCTTGCAACCAACAGAGGCATGCACCTTCCGCTTTGGTCCTAGTAACGAGGTGATTTTGGGAGATCGTGAGTCTCTTTCTGATGCATGTCAATAGACTATTGGATCTATGCCGCAATCCTACAGGTGCGAGACACTTGCCTTCAGAGCACAGAGTTGTTGCCGCTAATGCGTCGCGGTCTACAGATCACCATTCCAGGATAGACAAGAATCCTTCCAATGACTTGCGTATATGCCTCACGTTACATGAAGACAGCCCAGCTGGTTTGCCAGCTGAATAGGGTTGACCAGCACTTATATAAAAGGAGGGAAGCTCGACCGCCAAGCCCGTTGACTGTTCTGGACGACATGCAACACCAATCTCGCAGACAAGAGCCAGCTCCTTCCTGATTGGCTTCAACATGCTTGTCATAAAACTTCTCATTGCCGCGTCTGCGATGCTGTGCAGTGCCGGGGAGGTCCCAGAACTCGAAGAAGTATATCGTTCGGGTGATGATGGCTCCGTGCTACCCAGCCTTGAACAGCTCCGCCACCAGTACAGAAACACGGAGTTTGAGGTTGAGCCAAGGCCCGACCTCACGGGGCTCAGTGGCATGTGGAAAAGATCAGGTAAGGGAGCCAGTCGAGCAGCTGCGATCCATCTGATTCTGTGACCGCGGTGCTAACATGTGAGACTGACAAGAGGACGGTGCTCAGTGTATCTGTGGCGTCTGCTGCATTGAACAGCCGAACAATGCGTTCTGTGGGAAAGTAGCCGGGTGTCCGCAAGGGTGTTGCCAGAAACAGTCGAATGGACAATGCCCTTTTGTCATTTCTTGCTGTACTATCTGCCGCAAGTAAAGGCCATTGCTTCCGCTGATAGGTTTTCGTTTTTCTGTACACGGTGTTGATCATGATGACCTCGTTTAAACACATGCTGCTGGGCAGGTGGGAGTGAATTCTGCCATCGCATCACCCTATTCCATACTCTCAGTTATGGTGGTTTAAGAGAATCCGGTCAATGGAGACTTGGAGACCTATTTACGATGTCAAGGCAGTGCCACAGATGCCAAAACTCGTCAGAAGTGGGCTCTACAGGCAGCTCAAGCCCTCAAGGCTCTCCATGCTATTGATATAATCCACCAGGATGTCACGCCTCGTAACTATCTTTTGAATGAAAACTTGGACCTTCGGATCTGCGATTTCGCACACAGCTCGTTTCCTGGACATTCTTCCACGACTGGCGCCTCGGGGTCAAGATATCAACTCTGTGCATGGAACAAAGGCTACATTCCAACGGCGTCAGATGACATATTCAGTCTGGGTTCTGTGTTGTACTTTATCATGTGTGGTGAGGAGCCTTATAGCGACCTCTATGAGGATGAGGTTGAACATCGGTTTGCAAGTTCGGATTTCCCCGCATCTGATCATCTTGACTGTGGTACGGTCATCCAGAGTTGCTGGAACAGGACATTCACCACGGCAGAGGAAGTAATTCAGGCTTTACCTCACGACAAGGACGTCACTTAGAGAACCATCACACTAGGAAATTTGACATCAATCGAACCTGCCGGGACGCCGGACCGCTCCGAGACGGCGGGCCGGGCTTTTGGTAACGGCGCGAGGGCCATACACCAAGGCGAATCCTTGGTCTGTTTGTCGGCGGAGAGAAGCAGACCGGTAATCAAGGGGACCTTCTCGAAGATTGTGTCGCATAAATATGTTCTTTACCTCGGAGTGTTCTGTCTCCGTTGGAAGCCAACGGCGGGCCCCACCATTGACCGGGGACCGGGCTTGGCTCCTGTTCTCGGCACCGCCGTGGATCAAATATGGTGACCCACTATGCCACTCCCACTCGCGATACCCGTCCTGCTGCCTGAGAGATTGACGAAGAATTGATTTCCGGTATCATTCCAAATCAGACCCTGAAGTTTGTGTGTCCACGGCTGTAAGCACGTCAATAAAGCGAGGCGATACCGCACAGGACGCGCTAGAGGAAAACCCCATCATCACCAAATCGCCACGAAAACTCAGTGAGCTTGTCTCTCCCTCATCCGCCCACAAGTAACTATGGACGCCCTCTACGAAAACCCGGAGACGGCCGCCCTCCTGCGCGCCGTCACAGGCCACGTCAGGGAGTACATGTCGCACTACGACGCCTCGCACGACTTTGCGCACATCCAGCGCGTCGTCGGCCTCGCGCGCCACATCTACCAAGTAGAAGCAACAGCAACAACAACATCCTCGCCAGACAACCACAACAACAGCAGCAGCGAGCCCCTAGACCCCCTCGTCGTCACGCTCTCCGCCCTGCTCCACGACGTCGGCGACAAGAAGTACCTCAAGCCAGGCCAGGACCCCTCCACCATGGTCTCGGCCCTGCTCCTCTCCCTCTCCTGCCCGGCCGACCTCGCGGCCCGCGTGCAGGCCGTCTGCGCGGGCGTGTCCTGGTCCGCGGAGCAGGCGGACCCGGCGCGCGCGGCAGGCCTGCTCGCCGCGCACCCGGAGCTCGCGGTCGTGCAGGACGCGGACCGGCTCGACGCCATCGGCGCCGTGGGCGTTGGGCGCACGTTCGCGTTCGGCGCCGCCATGGGGGCGGCCGGGGCCGGGGCCGGGGCCGGGGCGGACCACCGCTCGCTGGGCGACACGATGCGGCACTTTGACGACAAGCTGCTGCGGATCGAGGCGCGGATGAAGACGGGCGAGGGCAGGCGGATGGCGAGGGAGCGGACGGAGAGGCTGCGGCTGTTTCGGGAGTGGTGGGCGGAGGAGAGCGCCGTCGCGGCGGCGGACTTACTGGAGTGATGCGCGGACTTTTTGAGGTGTGGGGTTGGCGTCACAAGGCTCATTAGACGAGAGATTCATCAAGTAGAGGTTCTACGGCTCTGACGATTCATAGAAGATAGCAAGAGGGTTCAATGGGTCTTGGGAAGGGGTGTTAGTGGCTACCGGGCAGTTGTTCAGGAGGCCAGTCAAAAAGCGTCCTAAATTCCGCAATGATTCAAGATCAAGAGACGGTTGCACACACGAGACGTGAAGTTGCAGGCAGATGATTCAGATTATTTGTGGTATTATGTGTGAGCTACCTCATCGGTAGCTCGATTTGCATGTACTGATCCAGCTGACAGCTATGCGACTTCCCCCCGGCTTTTTGGAAAAAGACAAACAAAAAAAGGACAACTAATGTAAACCCCAAGCCGCATGAGAACGCCGAGTCAATCCCTGACCAGATATATTCCAGACCGGTTTTATCCCCAAACCTGGTCTCATGCCCGTGAACACCGAAGAAACCCCCTCTAATATGAACCACCCAAGATGCGTCTATGATTAAATAATAAAAAGGGTCGCTCAGCCTGCAAGAGTACAACCTCGCGAGCGGGCATATATATGAAAAACCCGGCGAGGGAGCGGCCGCGTTAAGCTCGAAATGATGTGAGCGAACAGAAGAATCGAAAAGTGATTTTGTCGACGCAGGCGATGTCTGACACGAAGATATATGGTACAGCAATGCTTTGAAAAACACAAAGGAGGGAGCGAGGTGCCCGCTTATAGCACGGCGGCGGCGATGAAGCCGACGAGGGCCAGAGCGGCGCTGACCTCCTTGGCGGCAGCGCCCGCCGTGGGGATGGTCGTGGGGCTGCCGGTGCCCGTGGTGACGGTGGTGGGCCCGACGGGGGTCTTGGTCGGGTTGCCAGTCGGGTTGCCGGTAGGGTTGCCGGTAGGGTTGCCCGTGGGGACCGAGGTGACGCCGGTGCAGTAGGGGCAGGGCAGGGTGCTGTTGTAGACCGAGGTGACGGTCACGAGCGTGCTGGAGGCGGGAGGGGCCGTGGTGTTGGTGGGAGCCGGTGCGGAGGTGGTGGCGGTGTAGTACGGAGTGCACAGCGCAGGAGGCAGAGTGAAGGTGCCGTTGCCGTTGCCGGAGCTTCCGTAGACAACGCAGTTCTTCTCGCAGGAGGCGTCACCGGCGGTCTCGCTGGACTGGTAGCAGAGAGCGGGCTGGACACCTAGTGGGGGCTCGCCGGCAAGGTTCTATATCGCGTGTTAGTCCGTCTTTCTCTTAGATACAGATCTGGTGGGTTATCTCTCAAGACATACATCAGTGCAGCGGCCGGGCTGGCCCTTGCCGTTGGCATCACAGCGGATGATGATATCGGTGCCGAGAGAGCTGCCAGCGCAGTAGGCAACGTTGGCCTGGGCGCACTGGTAGGTGCCGTTGTTGAAGGTGACCTGGGCGGCAGCCAGGCTGGCCGAAGCGGCAAGAAGAGCAGCAGCAGTCTTCATTGTGTGCGGGTTTGTGGATCTCTGATTAACGAGTGGTGGTGATGTGTTTGATGTGTTTCAGCGAGCGTTTGTGCTATGCAGCAGACAGTCTCGTCGAGTGTTTGTATATGTGTGGACGGATGAGACGGATCGGTATGTGTGCGTGTGTCAAACTTTGTATAAGTTGCTACACAGGTATTGGCTGAATGTGGAAGTGACGGAGGAGAAGCTTCAAACTATGGATGGAGAAAGGGCTCGAGATTTAAATATCAGGAATGCCACAGAGGGAATGGATGATAACCTTTTTTTCCCTCACAGCATGTTCCTTAGTCATGCACCGCAACCAAGAGAGTGATTGTCGTGAGAGAGACGGGATGCTATTCATGGATTGGTGTCTAAGCTTATCCTGGTAGCAGACTGTGGAGCGGCCTCCAGTGGAGTGACGGCAGCGATGGCAGCAGTGGAGGGGCGAGAACTCGTAATGGGGCTTGGTGTGGGCGCGGTGGGCTAGTGGGCCACCTTCTTTAGCGGGCCTCTGGCCAATCCCCTGCGCCCGTCGCTTCTCCCGGCAGCTTACGGGAGGTTGGTTCGCTGATCCAACAGGCTAATCGCCAGTGACAGCTGGCTTTGGGGAGGCTGGGAATGCGAGCGACTGCTAACAGATCGCTTAACTGACTCGCCGGCGATGGCCGCTAGAAATGCCCTAGAAGAGATTGCATTCTGTTAAAGTTTTTGTCACTTTGCTAGTAGTGCTTCAGGGTCCTCCTTAGTTGCCAACGGACTTGCCGTGGCAACTAGAAAGCAAGACTGGCGGGAGTTTCGTTCAGAAGCACTGGCGGTGTTTGCTGGAGGTAACGTCACAGGGGATTCATCACGCCAAAATGGACTGTTCGCATTTGGCATGCTCTCTCGTATTCCACGCCGCCCACGACTTTACCATCGCCGGTCCACCGGTATTGCATGTGCATACCTGCTATGCTTGTACGCACCCGGTAAACACCTTGCTCGCGCATGCACTAAACAGGCAAAACCCGCCGTCCCTCTCGGCATATCTCCACGGGCCTATTCTATCCAGGGTAACGAAATGACCCATTCCGGCGGTTCAGAGCCAAGGAAGGGACCATGCTCCCCAGGTCACGCTTTCGTATGACCCGGAGCCGGGGTAATCTACAAGTATTCCTGTAGCACCACATCATCAGACGGTCTCTCACGAGAGACTGGACGATAGTGATCTCGAGATTCGCATTGCACGAATTACCCTGCCCACCAGACAGATTCATCCACCCATCAACCGAGTCCACTCTTCAGATGGATGCTCACACGTAAAAAGCATCGGGTTTATCAGTGATAGGTAGTTAATTATGCGGTCATGGACACGAATCTTGGGCTGATGGAAGCTTGCGAGGAAGCTGTCAGAGCGGGCCGGCAAGTAGATCCTTGTTGCAGATCGTTTGCCCAGATAACCGTCCAATCCGTCGTCCAGCAGCCTCTGCCTCATTCCAGCCACGTTCAAGCTTGCGCGAGTCGCACACTACAGCTGAACAAAGCCGCAAGAGGTGACGAAGTATGGTGGAGCGCTGGAAGGGCAACGCAAAGGTGCAATCCAGCGAATGAGGTCCGGTGTCGCTCCTCTGACCAGAGACTGCTCGTTGGTGGCCTCATGGCTGGCTTGGCACTGCCACATGCTGTGGTGGCGGCATGAGTCCAGGCCTGTCGTAAGGTTTGCGCGGCGTGAACTGAAAATAGCTTTTGACCTCGGCAAAGTGGGGCCTGGAGAAGGTCACTGGAAAATCCCCCAAACACTGCCAAATTCTGAGGACCCTTGAGCATCAAGCTTTTCTCCCTCTTCATCGGCGCATCTCGGGGCGGACTTGCTCCGCCTGTCCATCTGTTCGGGGTTTCCAAAAGGGAGTTAGGTATCGATTGGCTATTCTGCTCAAAATGCCATATTGAGCATTCAAGATAGCCATTGTCCGTGCTATCCATCGTTACGTCATAACCCCCAGACTACGCTTGTGCTAAGGTTTATCGATCCTTGCTATCCCTTCGCAGGGCTGAACCAAAGCAGGCTTTGTGCGGCAAGCCCGAAAAGAGGTTATTTTTACCTGCTTTTGGAGCCTAGTGTCCTGGTTACCTACCCTTCTACCTATTCGGGCCTTGTCTACCTAGGTAGCTAGAGGAGAGTTGCACTTGAGGATACCTATCGTGGGGTTTACAGGCGCCACATGTCCAGGTTGCATAGAGCAGCATGCCAATCTTTCCCCATGAAATCTTAGAGAATTCCTCGCCTATTTTTGCCAGCACTGGCCGTTAGTACCCAGGGCTCCTCTCTGTAAAACAAAGAAGCTACGAGATATGTTGAAGCCATTTTAAGGTTTGCCATGTGTGCCGTTGTCATGAACCTTGTCCGCCATTCCTCGCCTTGAGATATCCGAGATGATCGCATGCTTTCTGGCTAGCGGCAACGCAGGGACAGCAAATCCTCCAAAATTCGGCGTCCTTTACCTTTCTATGATAAGGCTCTGTCCTGGGTTGGTTACACATAGCTTCGACATTTTTGTTATTGCGAAGATGCCACGGGATCGTCAGTCGGCACTGTCTTAAAACCAGGCTGTCTAGTCAAGTTGGACTACCCTGGTACCTAAAAGCATACACATGTTTAAAGAGTAGATCACGATTTGTAGCCTCCGGGGGCACGTAGGCTAGATCAATGACGAGGACGAGGACGCCAATGAACCTCTGATAGACGAAGAGGCACTCAGACCAGGACTGAATCGTAATCGAGATACGCTTTTGGTTGTGTCGAACTGGAGATAAGCCAAAACGACCGTAGCCAACTGCTCGTATCGACCTTCCCCAATACCTACTTAGGACAGCCCTCTCTTTGTATCCCGAGTCTCGGGCCAATACACATGACGGGTTTTATAAGCTGCATGGGGAGAAAGCTCAACCCCTTGTGGGTTTTCGCCCGAGGCTGGGCAAGGAGAGAGGGAATTCATTGGCCAATACTGTCCTCAAGCTGTCGCTTTTACTCCGGAAGGGCTCGTAGTAAACCTACTCAAATTGGTTTCTGGCATCCAACCTTTGGGCCTTTACAGGTTGATTTCAAACAACAACCGAGCACGGTATGGTCCGAACACCTGCAGAAGAAGGCACGGCGAGATTGTGTTATACCAGCTGCAAAGACGTCCCTTCTCTCTGAAGGGTATCCCATTCGAAATGGATGTGTTGTTGGGTCGGGACGTCGAACTCTTGGGTCCGCCGTTATGGCTCATTTGTTGCTAGTCCTTCATCTGAACAAGCAGAGAACCTATACAAGACCGACATTGGTACACTGATGCCGATTTAATGCCGCTTGGACTTAGTGCCAGCGCAGCAAAGGTCACCAACGGTGCGGACATGGTATCGTATCAAATGTAACCCTGCCGGTCAGACGCCGGACAGAGGACGGAACCGTTGCGAGGTAGCTAGCTCCTCCGGCCCGGAGACCCCTCATTGCAAGGCCCTCCAAATGCTACGAGCCAGCAGAACCGGATCTTGCCAGGTAGCAATCTATCACAGGATCGCCTACAGATGATACCTGGTGGAGCGACATGAGCTCCCTATCCAGAAGTCTTCCGGAATGTGTCAGGGACGTGACAGGAGGTGGGGAGCGAGCGACAAGGAAAGGGCCGCTCCGAGAGGTGAGACAGCCATCGATCACTTGCTTCCTAACAACGAGAGATATATGGCCCGTTATTAAGAGCACAAGGCCTGTTTGGAGGCCGCAAGAATAGTTTCATTCAACGCTCAAGAGCCGATCGCACGTGGTTGAGAGAGGCTGGATGAAGTGACAAAACCCTGTAAGTGAGATGGGTGGGAGGGGCCAGGATGGGACCAGCGTCTGCCCCCCCTTCTCCCCCCACTCTCGTGCGCAGCCATTGATGGAAAAGCAAGATGCGCGACCACCTTTGGTTGCTAGTGTGTGCTGCATCGATTCTGCACGCGTCGAAAATGGTCTTGTGCCCGAGGGCTAGAGATCGTGAAGGTGTAGGCGCAAGCGCCTCTGATTTGTCGGCGGCGACGCTGGTGCAAGTCGCAGGACATGTTAGGTGCATGATGGTAACTGACCTAAGAGATTGGAGGGGGGGCCTGGGCACATGAGTACTTGGGCTGTTCGGGCATTCTGATTCGCAGCTGACCAGATGCTCCTCCTGCAGGGTGGGAAACCTGTGAGCAGATGTCCTCGTCCTGCTGCTGCGGTTTTCCTTTGCGCAGGAGTAGCTCGGAACTCTGGATCGAGTAGCAATGGTTTGCTTCTTGGGGGGCTGGGGCTTCGAGTCAATGGCGGTTTCATCGAGGTGTGCCCATGTACATGGTTGTGCATGGCATTCTCCGCATTTCTTTTCTTTCTTTTTGGCTTTTCTTCTCGCAGTCCTTGTTTTGTGCAGCCCGGACGGCTGGCGAGACTTGCGCAGGTCCTGTCGTGGCCGTGGCTTGCAGCATACCTGAAGCAGCATGCAAGCAAGCAAGCAAAGGGACACTTGCTGGGTTCTGATTAGTGATGGCTACAAGTAGTGTCCCGAAGCAGCTCAGGAGTGTCGTCGTGAGCGGGGCATGGCTGGGAAATGGTAGGTTATTCTTGGAAGGATGACCGCGCGTAGACCTGAGGAAATCGTCGGAGAAATCCAATCATCCTTGGGGAGATCTTGACCCCCCCCCCCCTATTCTCTCTTTCTGACAGGGAGTCGACCACCGGGGCCAAAGAGGAGGACGGAGAAGGAAGAAAGTCTACTTGGGAAAAGCAAGGGACCGCCACTATGAAAAAAGAACGAAGAGAATGGGCGAATCACTCGAGTGTCGACTGATCTCATCCAGTCTTGCACGTCAGTCCGCCATGCCGGATTTCCCTAGGTCGAAGTTAGCGGCCAAGTAGTTGCAGTTTTAGGGCCAAGGGGACGGACGGGACGTTCCCTCCTGTCTGCTCTTGCCATGCTGAAAAGGCGCACGGCGCGGGCCCTCGTTGTACCTAGCTGCCGTAGTGGGTTTTTTTAGCAGTACCACATCCTGGCTTAGCCCCCTCTTCCTCCTCCTGGACCTCTCTCCAGCCAGTGCTTCCAGGGCTTCTCCCACCGTTCTGCCAGCCTCTTCCTTACTTGTGCCCATTATTCCCTTGCTTCCAGGTTTGCGTCAGTCCCGTCCCCGCGTTCACCAATCAAGATCCCCAAACCTCTTCATTCCTCCCGGCGCACTTCCTTCTCAACCGCCACTAGGAAGCAATCTCCCCTCGGGTCTGCGTCTTTTTGATGCCGTTGTTCAATAGTCCTGCCGCTCGTGAAGCCTCGAGCTGCACTGCTTAATTTCTTTTCCTGCCGTCGCCGACCCTGTCTTGTCCTCGACGGGGCAAACGCTTTTCGAGGGAGCGTCTTTTGCTTGCGCCATGCGCTGGGATTCTTCGGACCTCTGGCTGGACATTCGGCCTTGGTGATACACTGCTTGCTTGGGGGAATTGAGCTGCCGTCCGGATCGAGAATAGATGGAAAGCAGTAACTCGTCTGCCCGACCCAATCTGTCTGTCTCTGCGGTCATTGGATCCGCGTCTTCACGAACAAAGGGCCCTGAAAGAGTGTCGGATGCGCCCCCGACAGCTGCTTGCCCGTCTCTCCTCGCTCCACTGGAATTCGATCGCACGCTTCACGTCCGCTCGCCGACCAAATAACGGCACTGCAACAAGTACGAAGACTTGCCGTCGCGGCAACCTCTTAAATTCCTCGCGCGATTCTCTCAAGCTCCAAACCCAAACCATGCACTTCCCTGTGGTCGTCGCGCGTCTGCAAACTGAAGCATAGAGCATAGACCCCTGCCATACTTCAGGTCGAAGGCTCCAATAAGGAACGATGACAGCGAACGCAGATATGAATGGCCATCTGGCCACGATGCCCACCGCGCCATCACCAGGCTCATTTGCGGGCCTATCAACCGATGGCTCTCCGGGACATCGGTTCAAGAAACACAAAATCTTACCCCATCCCACCAAGGGCAGTCTATCGAGCCTCAACGGCAGCATAGCTGGCCCCAAAAAGTACGATTTGAGGATCGATACGACATCCTCGACGGATTCAGGCTCCCTGCCCCCAAGTCCCCGTGCACTGAGGCACCAAGCGAGGAGGATAGGCAGCGGGCCAGACCTGCCTCCGACGCCTCCCGCGCATTCACGCACTTCGTCCTCGAGCCACTCTGCGCTACCGTCGAGCCCGACTTGTATCGAGAGTCCCGCGCGAAGCACGGATGATGTGTCAAGGAAACAGCCCACCACCCCCGTAAATCAGAGAAGCCCACCGACACCAGACGTCACCCCACCACAAGCCATGCCTGAGCGCCGTCCGCGTCTCTTCCGCCCCGTCATCACCGACAGGATACCGTCAAAGACGACGACGGACTCCCGGACGGAATCTTTCAAAACCGCGAGGGAGAACCCAGAGACTTCAGATGAAGAAGATGGAAGATCAACCCTCCGAGCTGTCTTGCCCTCCGCCAAAACGTCTCAGAGTACGGTTCGCCAGTCGCCAAGAGAGGGTAGGAAGAAGATCCAACCTGTCGGACTCGGACTCGGACTGGAGTCGAGTGTTGATGAGAGCCTGACCCCACGGTCCAAGGGCGAGTTTGGAGCCTTTGACGGGGAATGGGGCGGATCGAGCAGCGAGGTTGAACAAGAGTGGGACTACAACCTTGAGAGGAGTGTGACCGTCCGAAAACGGTCTGTACGGAACCAAGTGAATGGACATCAAGAAGTGCTCGAAGATGTGACTGTCTCGCCTACCAATGCCGCCAAAGCGGTCAGGTCGATGACGCTTCCCGAGCGTATCATGGCATTGCCCTCGCCACCACAAGACACACCCGGCAGGATGAGGCCTCGTATTGCGTCTGGCCCGAATCCTTCCGAAAGCTCCGTCAGCACAGACACGAGACGGTTCTCGGGCATGTCCTCCAAGTCGACCGTTTCCACCGTTGTTGAAGCAGTACTGGTTGACAACACACCGAAACGGCAGAGGACCCTGCGTCATGTGAGGAAAAACATGGCACTCCGTGATTCAAACTCGGATCTCTCACCTACAAGCTCCGCACCGACCTCCGTGGGCCAGGACGAATGGATCAGGAGACGCCCGGCACCACGGCGATACCATGACGTCCGCCATGACAGCTTGGCGTCAACTGGCACGGTCAATTCTATCATGAGCCGAAAGGCCAGGCGCGATGTGTGGAAGAATGGCGGGATCCCCGTAGTCATAGTTCCTGAACGCCAGTCGTCCGTGAGATCGAGCGCCGAGCCATCCTTGCGATCTACCAGCAGTCGACGATCCAAGAGAAGCCAAAGTCTGCACTCGGTGCCACTGTCACAGATTTCCAAGAGCCATGATCTCACACCACTGTTTGATCGTCCGTCACGGAGAGGCAAGCCTAATTCCGAGTCTGATGGCTCGGCGCCTGGCGATCAACGGACTATGGACTACCCACCAGCAGTACCAAGGCGGACGTCTTCCTTGTCAGCTCCGACCAGTCGCAATACGTCCCGCGCTGGCTCAAGGGCGGGGTCCCTTACTGCTGAAAGCTTGAAGGCTCACAATGTGTTACAGAATCAAATGCACATTCGACAGAACCAGGTCGGGAAAGACGAGGAGACGCCGACGGCTAGAGAGGCCCCCGAAGTGACGGTCCGCGAAGCGCCCTCGGCCGACTCGTTGCATTTGGCGAAGAATCACCCTGATGCGCACAAACTCACTGCCGATGCGCATCGCGAGCTTCATTTCGGGAGACTCTCTGCCAAAAACACGCCGTTCTCCCAGATATCTGTCGAGACCAATGGCACGTCTCATCATTCGCACGCCGAAGTCTCGGAGGCACTGGCCGTCAATATCTACCCACACCAGAACACGTCCGTCCTGATGGTTGATCATTCCAATAGACCATCTGAAGTCTGGCAATCCGGACATGTTAAGGAGGATGAACAGGCCAATGGAACTGTACAGACTCCGGTCATCAAGACTACCGCGCCAGATGACGAGCTGCCCGTGACGCCTCCTCAACCCAAATCGTCCCAGGACGAGGTTGATTCGCCCTTGAGGAACCCGCGAGCACCGCCAGAACCACCTGTGCTCAAGCTGATCCCCGCGACGCCTTCTGGCCTGACGCCCATGCAAGAGAAAGAGAAGCAACTGGGGAACTTTTTCGAGGAACCTGAGGTGCCCCAGGAGAAGCCTAAGCGCAGCGTATCGTTGGTTCGCAGGGCTCTTGGCCAACGTCGATACTCGGAGTATGGCCCCTCGGCGTCACGCAGAAGTGGCTTTCTTACCCGTACATTGTCTCTGACAAGGGGGACACACCGGCGTTTGCGTACTCGCGGCGATCTCGATGACGACATGGGACCTGTCATTGTACGGTATTCGATTTCCGGCAGTGAGCCGGCCGACGAGACGCGACTGCACCCATTCTGGCGGCCAGCGTCATCCTACCAGTACGAGGAGGCCTTTGACGACGACGACGACGACGAGGGCTTCGTGCGCGATGCAGAGGGTGAATCTCGTCGATATCCTCCCATCACACGCAGAGCGGCGGCCCCTCCGAGGCGAAGCTTCAGTGCTCGTGTCAAGCGGACCTTTGCTATCCTGCCGATCAACGATCCTGACGACGACTATCTATCTGCGAGTCCTGATGGGCCTGAGCGGAGGACCGTGCGCCGCACGCCCAGTGGAGCACTGCGCGTAGTGAAGCACAGAGCGAGCCTGGACTCGCTGCGGCGCTACGCTGCCGAGGACGGGCGCCCCTTCACTGCGCCCGAGCAGAGAGGAAGATCACGCCGGTACTTCTGGCAGCCGCAGACGCTGCTGGCGAGGAACCGGTCGTCGTCGTCGTCGTCGCGGCGCGAGAACAAGTGGACGCGCATCTTCCCCGGGCTGGGAACCAAGCTCGTGGAGTACGGGCCCGCGAACCTGCCGCGGAGGATCAGCGAGAGGCGGCGCGAGAAGAGGACCCGCGAGCTGAGGGAGAAGATCAGCGGGCCGCGGGAGGTCCGGGACGGGGTCGGGGACGTGATCCGGAGGAGGAGCTACAAGGACGCGTATACTCAGGCGCAGGCAGCCTAGGTTGCGAGCAAGGGCTGTTAGGAAAGGAAGGAAAGGAAAGGAAAGGAAAGGAAAGGTAAGGTAAGGGAAGGGAAGGGAAGGGAAGGGAAGGGACATGGATGGATGTCTTTTCGGGCTTTTGGACACATTGGTTGGGCTTTCATGATCCATCATGACTTTTATGACTATACCCCCCCACCCCCCAGATCACGAAGCTATGAGAGCATTCACATCAAGAGGAAGCGAGACTGGTTGAATCAAACCGGGCTGTTCCTTCTCTTTTAGGACCAGGGAACAAAACTCCCTGGTATGGACCTCTATTTTCTCTTTCGACGACTTTGCGATGACCATCACGTCCCGGAGGCGCGGCATTTTGGTTGGTTGGTTGGGTTGGTATATTGGCCTTGTTTACGCAGTGATTTGTTGTTTTCTGTTTATATGAAAGACCAAGCTCAGAGTTGCTTTTTTCCGTCCGTTTTGAATCTTGAACCAACAGCAAGATGGTCTCGATATGGATGGTTTGCTTTTGACGAGATGCGCAGATGGATGGATGGACGGATGGACGGACGGATGGATGACTTGGCTGGCTGGTGGGTAGGGGCTTGACAGAGATGTAACTCATAGACCGAATGCGCAACTGTTCTTCACGCTTTATATATTGTTGAGCAATAGATCTGATTGTGGCACTTGTGACCCCTATCCCCTGAGAGTCAGTCGGTGGAGGTCATGTCGAAGAGTAATCGATTCATGTCTATTTCAAAACACGCTTCTTCGACTCGAGCGGGCACGTTAGGCAAAGGGACCAAGCCACACGCCACGCCACGTCGTGTTGTTTCTCAACTATGTGATGCTAGTGACGAGGAAACTCATTTGGCCCAGTCCACTGAGGGCCTCAGTCCCAACTCTTTTGGTATTAACCTCTAAACCATGACAACAATTAAAACGCCGATTATGCGCCGCTTTCCCTGATAATGAGACAATCGCAAAGCTCTCACCTTTCCTACTTTCCCCTTTTTTCCCCCAACGCTATGTCTGTCGTACAACCCAACGTCCGCCCATCTAAAAACCTCTGGACCTACTCGCCATTGCCTGCTTTCACCTCCTGTCGCCAGGCGGACCACCGAGGCCAGCACCAGGTGGCGTAGGCCCCGAGCCGCCGAACGAAGGCGGGATAGGCGGGAACCCGCCTTGGCCACCGGGAGGCGGCATGCCGGGGAAGCCGGGGAAGTTGGGAGGCGGCGCGCCGGCACCGCCCGGAGGCGGGAAGGGGAGACCGCCCGGCGGAGGGAAAGGGAGGCCGCCCGGCGGCGGGATGGGCGGGGTGCCGTTGGCGCCGGCTGGTGGGAAGGGAGGCATGGGCATGCCACGACCGCCTGTACCGGGAGCTGTATATCCGGGCGGAAAAAGAAAACTTGTGGTTAATACGCGTCTTTGTTGCTGTGATGACGGCGCGGATACGGCTGCTGCAAGCGCCGGGGCTGCCGCAGGTGGGGGTGGTTGTGCTGGTGGTGGTAGGGGGCGGGACGCCACTTACGAGGAATCATGCCCTGGGGGAACTGGCCCGGCGGCGCGCCTGGCATGCCGGGGAAGGGCGGCGGCGGCAGGCCGCTGCCGGGAGGCGGGAAGGCGAACGGCAGGGGCGGAGGCGCGAAGCCGCCGGGCGCGCCGGGAGCGCCCGGGGCACCGGGGGGTGCGCCGCCGTGGGCGGCCATGGCGGCCATGGCCGCGGCGGCGCCGGGCTGGTTCTGGGGCAGCATGGGGTTGTTGTGGGCCTGGCCCTCGGCGGCGTAGGAGGAGGTGATGGAGTCGATGACGGACTGGGCCTTTTCGTGGCCGATCTCTGTTGTTGTCGGGCATGCCGTTGTTGGCTCGCTGGTTCTCTTTCTCTCGGGGCTGCTCCTCCTGGTCCAACGCCCGGCGAAGGAGAAGGAGGAGGAGGGAAGCGAGCCCGGGGGGAGGCGGTACTCACGTTGGTAGTAGTCGACGACATTGCGCAGGTGGTTGCGGCCGCTGTTGTGCGCCTTGCGGACGCTCATTGAGTCGTGGGTGAGGTAGACATCGCAGTAGTCGCAAAAGACTGTTTTGTTGGTGGTGCAGTTAGCCATCGACGTTCTTCTCTAGGGGGATGGGGGTAGATTGGAGAAACTCACATTTGGGCATCTTGACTGTCAACGAGCAGGTCTTGCACCCTGCGTATTGCCCGGGGAATGGGATCGAAGGGTGGTTGGTGGTGGTGGTGGGTGATTGTCCGATACGTTGATCAATAGCTACCCTAGGTGGTCGCGGAAAATGAGGCAAGGCTGCGCTGCGATAGTTATCCCACAGCGTGATTGATAGCCCTGGAGGTTTGCACGTGAGGCTAGGGAATCGCGCCCAGGCTGGACCAGCCAGCAGCGTCTCCACTTTGCGGTGGTCCAATTGCGAATCCAGGGGCGTGAGTACAAAAGTACTCCGCACCTAGAATTGAGAGGAGAGGTACCTGGCTACACGCTAACCAAACAGGAAAACGCGACAGATTTACCTTGTCGATTTCGCTACCGTAGACACATTTCCACAAGCACGAGCAGCACAGCACAGCACATGTCTCCTGGCCACACACGACCCTCGACTTGAAGGAGCCTTCTTTTTTCTTTCCCCCCCTTTCGCCGTCCCCCTCCTCTTGGTCTCAAGTCGTCTCGAGTCGGGCAATTCACAACAACGCAGCCATGGCGGCATCACGGTCACTGCTGCAGTACACCTGCAGCATCTTGCTCTTCTTCGCCTGCTGCTCCGAGGCGCTCAAGTTCGAGCTGCCCGCGGGGGCCAACCGGGAACGGTGCATAAGGAACTTCGTCGCGAGGGATACCCTGGTCGTCGTCACGGCCACTGTTGATGGGCACAAGGGCGATGGCATGGTCGTCAACATGAACGTGTGTCTTGTCGTTTGCAGTGCCCCTTTGCAGTGTTGAAAGGAGAGGCCAGCTCGGGCTAACAATTGCCGTTACACAATTCGCAGATCAGGGACGCCGTTGGCAATAACTACGGCCGCGCCAAGGACATTGTCGGCGAGCAGAGGACCGTCTTCACGTCGCATGCCGATGCTGCATTCGACGTCTGCTTTGAGAACAACCTGTCTGGTGGTACGTTTGGCAGTCCCTCCCCTCTCTATTCTCTTTTCACACGGGCATCTCCCCCACTGACTCCCCGTCTTCGTTCTTTAGGCAAATACCTTGATAAGGCCTACCGCAATCTCGAGCTGGACATTGACATTGGCGCCGATGCCAAGGACTGGTCGGCCATCCAGGCCACGGAGAAGCTCAAGCCCGTCGAGACGGAGCTGCGCCGGATCGAGGAGGCTGTGCACGAGATGGTCAACGAGATGGACTACCTGCGCTCGCGCGAGCAGAAGCTCCGCGACACCAACGAGAGCACAAACACCCGCGTCAAGTGGTTCGGCTTCGGCACCACCTTCCTCCTCATCGGCCTCTGGGCCTGGCAGATCATGTACCTGAGGGCCTACTTCAGGTGTGTAGCAGCGGCGTCGAGCATGCGCCGTGTTCTCTCAAGACGATCATCCGCTAACATTCCTTCTCTCCTCTCTTCTAGGTCCAAGCACCTTATTTAGAAAGCGGCTTGGGGATTTTCTGGACGGACGATGGATTATAGGACGCGCAGGAGTAAGGAACGGGCAGTTTGGAGGATTGTTTAATTGGCCAGGGAAAACTCTTTGCTCGAGGGAGCGAGTGTATAAACTACGGTTATCAAAATGAATGAAAGCATGTCACGATCAAGCTTGATAGGTCCATTTCTGCATTTGGCTCTTGGATGTAATGATCTCGACTGTCTCTGGGGGCTTCATGGGCAGTTTGTCCTGGTCTTCCGGAGGCGTATCTACATCTATGTAAGCATCAATGAGTCTGACAATGAGGTGAAGGACGGTCTTTTCAGGATCATTCAAGACAAGCTCAAGTGCTAAGCCAAGCTTTTCCGCCATGCGCAATCGACAAGGAACTACGATGTGTTTTGAAGCTCACCCCCCACAGAGCCCGGCAGGGGCCGGGAGCGGGCTTGGACGGCAGAACTTGTTAGCTAATCCTCGGCCCGGCCTCCATCACTAATCTTTTACGTCAACGACTGCCGGGACCGACGTCCTCTGACAAGGGAAACTGTTGCTCACCAATAATTAGACCACTGCCGTTTTGTGCTTTTGTCACCCGTCTTCTCTCGCTCCTGCTTGTTCCGTAGTTGTACAAGCCCGATTCTTTATAAATCCTGATATTACAAATCGAGCGGGACACAAAACACACAAAGAGACAATGGCCAGTCTATCCCAGCACCTGCTGCGGCCCTCGCGACGCATCCTCGCCGCCGGCCCGGCCAGGCAGTGCCTCCGCGCCGCGTCCTCCTCCTCCTCCTCCTCCTCCTCCAGCCGCGGCCCCGTGCCGGAGGAGATCCCCGACCGCGACCTCGAGGTCGGCGAGCTGCAGGGCGCAAAGTTCCGCATCGAGCCCCTGCGCCGCGTGGGCGAGGACCCCGAGACCATGCGCGCGCGCCTCCTCTGTACGTATAGACTCGATCATCCCAAACCCTGACCCTGGCCTTCTTTCCCCCCCCCCCAATTCAGATACACAACATGAAGCTAATACAACAAAAAAACCCGCAGACCAGTCCCGCAAGCGCGGCACCCTCGAGTCGGACCTCCTCCTCTCCACCTTCGCCAGCCAGAACCTGCCCGCCATGACGCCCGAGCAGCTGCGCCAGTACGACCGCTTCCTCGACGAGAACGACTGGGACATCTACTACTGGGCCACGCAGGACGAGTCCGCCTCCTCGCCCCCCTCCTCCGCCGTCGGAAGCGGCACCCTGCAGAGCTCGGAGCCCTACATCGCAGCAGCAGAGGAAGGCGCGAAGCGGGGCGAGGACGTGCCCGTGCGGGAGCAGCGCGCCGGCGAGTGGGCGCAGACGGTGGGCACCTTCCGGCCCGCGTACCGGCCCGTGCCCGCCCGGTGGAAGGGCAGCGAGGTCCTGTCGCTGCTGCGCGAGCACGTCCGCGACAAGTCGGCCGCGGGCACGCTCAAGGGCGCCCGCGGCGGCGGCGGCATGGCGTTTATGCCGCCGCTGGACAAGTGAGGGGAGAGAGAGAGAGAGAGAGAGAGCAAGGGCGAACGTTCTGTCTGTTACACTGTATTGCAAAAGAGGCAAAATTGTGTGTCATGCATATAGTATAGTCTTGTAGGGAGTCTCTACCTCAGGGGGACACTTGGAGGGCGCGGCCAGGAGGCATGTACGACTCGGGGAGCCCATCGCCCCCAAGCAAACAAGGACATATTAGAGTCTGTACGATTAGAGGGGAAGAGATGTAGAACGGATCCGTCTCTTTGTATTGTCTCCTTGTACGAAAGCAGTGGTGGTATTTCCGACTCCATGCAAAGCGAAAATGGTCAACAACTCCCAAATCAAGTGTCTCACCCCCTGATCCCAAGCAAGTGAAAAGGGCACCACAGCCGATGCATACAAAGCTTGCTCCTCCCGAATCTGAATTCTCAAGCAAGATCTTCCCTCCCTTTCAAGGACAACAAGGCCAACTCCTTTTTCTCCAAAGAGAAAAGAATGATGCCCATAGCCAGGACGCCAAGCAAAGCAGCTCATTTCCCTCCCAGTGTAATCATCACAACGCTCATCATGTCATCCGTTTGTAAAAAGCTAGAAAAAAAAACCTCCTTCATCACACAGTGCGTCAAGGGGGGGGACGAAGTCGTCAGAAAGAAGAAGAGGTGCAGGCTCAGTTAGACCGGTGGGAGTAGAGTACCCAGGGATATCAGCCACCACCCTCCGGCAATATCCTCCCTAAACTCCTCAGCACTTCCATGACGGGCATGTCTTTGGTCCCGGCAGCACCCTTCTCCTTCTCTTCTCTCTCCCGCAACCTGGCCGCGCTGAGGCCGAGGACCTGATCCGCCTCCTTGCCGGCCGTGGCGATCCGCTGGTCGAGCTTAAGGACTGAGTCTGCCAGGTGGTCAACCTTGAGCTCCAGCGAGGACTGGATCGCCCGCAAGCGTGATTGCGTCTGCGTTTTCAGGGCGCCGAAGGACGATTCGGCCCCCGTGAGGAAATGGAGCATATTTGCCTCCGCCGAGTCCAGGAGCGACTCGTCTGGTAAAGGTGCCCTGGTCGGGTCGCCGTCGGGGAAAAGAGCTGGAATCCTTTCTGCTGGCTTGCTCAACGCTTGCCACTTTTTCTTCTCTTCTTTTAACCTGTTTTTTGATCGTTAGTTGTCGTTGCATCCACAATACCTAAGCGTCTCCTCGGTGCTACATACCGCTTTATCCTCTCCTCTAGCTCCTGTATCTTTTCCTCGTGCTCAATGTTCCGAGGGTTTGGCTTCAAGACGACCGGCTTCTTGGGAGCTGCCTGCGGCTCATCCTCTCTGCTGAACCAGTCGGAGAACTCAGACTTGTTGGCAAAGTCCTTGAGCAGCTGATCTTGGATGGCACGCGCTATTGTCAAAAGGTTAGTATCGAGTGTTTTCTTCAACATGATCTCAGACACATGTTACTCACCTCCTAGCGCGGCACTCGAGTTCTTGGAGCCGTGTGGCGGTTTCTCGGGCAGTGCTCTTTCGCCGCACCACGTCAACAGCTGCTTCATCCGGCGCGGTTCGCTCAGCCCTTCCGCCTCGATGTGCTTGTAGAACTCGCTGGGGTCCACGTCTCGGTGCGGTATCGCGCTGTGGCCGTTCTCGATCAGCGAGCTCGCCCGTCGCCCGCGCATCCCCAGGCTGCTCCTCCGCTGCCCGCCTTTTTTCCTCAGCTCCTTATTACGATTGATGATGGGCGTGTCGCTAAAAGGCAACGCGATTTGTCGCGACTCCGAGTCCCCCTCGCTGGTGTTGCCGCCCGCCTTAACCGTGTCGACGGGCGTTGCAACAGCCGGTTCTTGGGGCTCGTCGCGCCTGCTCCGTGCTGTCCTGCTCTTTGAGGCCTTGGGTGGTTCCGGCACAGACTCCTCGACCTTTTCCAGCGAGGTACGCGTTCTCCCTCGGGTTGCCCTCGCCTTAGGCGCCGGTGCTGGTGCCGCTTCTGCAGGCTGTGCCGATGATCTCCTGCGCGTCGGTTTCTTGCTCGTCGTTGTCGTTGCAATTGGCTCCTCAGGTTCCTTGGGCGCCGGCGGTGATGACGCGCGCTTCCTGCCTCCGCCAGTCGACCTCCCCCGCCCCGTAGATTTCCTAGATGAAGGTGCCTTGGCCGCCGCCGGAGCTTCTACGTCCTTGGGCGCGGGCTCGTTCTCCGAGGAGGTCTTGACCCGCTTGGAGCCTCTGGTAAAGTGAAAGTCGCCATCCTGTTCGTCGTATACGGACGCGGCGGCGAGGCGCTTGCTGTACCTGCGCTCCGACTGGTTGCTCATGCTAAGGTCCTGAAGGGGCTGGCGAAGTTTCAGAACGGTCGTCATGGATGGCGGGTGTGGATTTGTTCGTGGCTTGCAATCTTGTTCGTGTTTTGTCGCGGGTGTGGCATCAACCACGTCGGCCGTCGTCGTCGGTCTGTCTGTTGTTGGGGCCCGACAGCACTACTTCTATCGCAGATACTGCTGGCCACCGTGTCTACCAATTATGTATGATTCGTATCGTTGCTTCGCATGAGCTCTTCGTGCGTTGAGAAAAACGTGGGCGAGACCAAAAAGCGGTAGGCGGGTGAATGTGCGGTGGTGATTGCTTCCTCAAAAAACGGCGCGTGTGTCCGGGGCAGGTGCGTTCCACCCGTTGTCCGTCGCAAAATGGGCGAGGCGCGCGTATGCGGCAGCAGTGCCCACCGTCGTCAGCGACACGCGAAACACGTTTGTCCTGCTCAATTGTCCAACAAAAGGCGAATGTCTGCAGTCGATTGCGTGGGAGGCTACGGCGTTGCTTGTGCACGATTAAAGATCGCTATCCCGGGCAACCAAGCAGGTGTGCATGGGGGGTATTGGCCTGGCGGAGGTGGTGGTCACTCTTTTGCGCGCGCGCGAGGAAGTGGGAGGGCGGATGGGGTGCGTCTCCTCCCGATTATTGTTTACATCTGAGTCCAAAATTGCCGGGTGTTCGCTCGCACTAGTCCCAATCGGGCAACGAGGCTCTCCTCCCAGCGTGCCATGCTATGTATGGATGGCCACGATCATTCCCTTTCTCTTCTTCACAGTCTACTCTAACGAATCTCTTCCTAGGTCGAAATTTGGTCTCTCAAGTATGGCTATTATCTTCTTTTCTTTCTAGACCGTATACAATGCTCTCAGATGGTGGCCACGCATCTATTTGTTCAGGTCTCTCCACCAGGCTTCAACCTCTCAAATCATCTAGACGGCCGGCCAACACTTGGTCGGGCCCTATTACATCAGACTCACACTTCATAATAATCTCATTACTCTCGCCAGTGAAGACCAAGATCATCATGCAAAAGATCATAAACTAGCCTGTTTCTCGCTAGCTATTCGCTTCTACCTTCCAGTAGATCCACCGCGTATAAAAGAACCATCGTGGGTAGCCACGCCGAAACGCCCGCCGTACTGAAAGCAACCATCCGCCTGCCAAACTCCCATTTTGTGTGTATGCCCCCGCCCCCGTATAAAATAGGTACAGAGAAACGGAGATGGCCAGGGTCACGGAGCGAGACTCAAGCTCTCCTCCTCCCACGCGGGCTAGCCATGCGAACCTTGCCAGGCTGTTTTTTGTTACTGTACAGCCACGAAATCCCATCAAACACCACAAATCAACGAAAACTGTCAGGTTGTCGCGAAAGAAAAAAAAACCCTATGCGTTATGATGTTACACAGTCCGAAAAACGACAGCCTGGCCACAGAAAGACCGTAGCACGCGGCTGCGAGGCCGGTCACCAACGATCTCCCATGGACAAGCACCCAGCACGATTCAGCCCGCGAGAGCTGAAGCTAAATAAAGTTATATGTCAAAGACCATGGCATCACCCGGCTACTTGGGTAACCTCGGGTGCACGGTGGGTGGTGAGGAGGAAAAAACCCCGTTCCTCATTATGAGAACCTTCGCTGGCCGACCTGCCCAGCCATGACAGGCTGTGGGATAGGCGCCGCCATGCCGTAAGGGTTCATCTGGGGGTTGAAAGGCTCCATGGCCTGCTGCATAAAGGCGCCGTGGAGACCCTGCTGTTGCGTGACTGGACAATCCTTGTGAGCAAGGAGGAGTGTCTTGAGGTTGACAACCTCCTCTCTCAGTTGAGAGATCTGAGCTGTCAGAGCATCGTTCTCGGTGCTAAACATCTCAACCTTGGATTGCAGGTTCGCCAGCCACTGCTTCTTGCGCTGTCGACATTTCAGAGCAGCCACCCTATGAAGGGAAAATAGATTAGTATACTGATGCAGACATGAAATATCGCAAGAACCACACTGCTGCATACCTATTACGTTCGAGGAAGTTCTTCCTCTTCTCCTCATCAGTCATCTTCGACTTGGGGTTGTCGGGGTTCTTGTCGTCATCTGACATGTCTTCATCCATGCCATCTAGGGACGGGGGTGCATTATTTGTCTTTGCCTTTTTGGCCGGAGGGGCCTTTGCAAGAGGATCTTCCGCTTTCCGCCTGCCGTTGGTGGTGGCAGTCCCGGCAGTGGAATTCCGCTTACCCTTGCCTCGCGTGTTGGGGCGGGCTTGCTCGCTCTCCTCGGAGGCGGCACTGCCCACCTCGCTGACGCCTCGTGCGGAACCGGAAGCAATTGAGCTGGCGCCGTTCATTTGAGGCGAGGTGTTGTTGGCCTGCACTGGCATGGGAGCGTGAATGGGTTGCTGTGGGTTTTGCACAGGAAACTGGGCCTGTTGTTGTTGTTGTTGTTGCTGTTGGGTTCCGTTCCGACCTTGTGCCAGCATGAACAGCCCGTTCGCGGCGTCGTTGTCGTGCGGGTCAAAGGGTCCCGACGCAGGCTTGTTCTCAGACTTGACGGTAGCAACGCCGTTTGCTTGTTCTTGTGGTTGTGACGTGACGGCCTGTGGCGCTTGGGCCTGCTGTTCCCGCTTGGCGGCAGCAGCGCTCAGGGCAGTGCGATGAAAGTCAAGTGTGCTCGGGGTCGCGCCACCGCTTTGCAACTGCGCGAAAAGTGCTTGGGAGTTGGGGCTCGGGGCCGGGAACATGGACCCGCTGCCACCGGGAGTCAAGCCTGTCCTCAAGGAAGACTCGTTAGGGGTGGGGAACCCGCCACGAAGATGATGTGTGTCACCGAAGTAATCATTTGTCGGGCCCGACAACATGGCCGGGCTGAGAGGACCGGTGCGAAGCGAGCCGCCTCCCCAGTTGAACGGCGTCACGCCGCTGCCGGGCAGGAGCGACGACGGTGATGTGAGGGCAGCCACGGAGGGCAACTTGGTGCCACCAGGCGTCTCAGGAGCAGTAGTGGCACCACCGCCAAAGGACTGCTCAAAGGGATTGGGCTCCAGACTTAAAGAGCCGCCGAGGTTGTTGGAGAAGTAGTCGGGTGTGTTACCTGTTGTCTGTTGTTGACCGGGTCGCGGAGGAGGAGCAAGGGGTTTGGCGGCTTCGGCATTGGCTGACGGGTCGGCTTTGATGGCATCCGCCTTTGCATCGGCTGTATCTATTCAAGAAGCATCATATGTTGGCAAAGGATGAACAGATAAGATGGATGGATGGACTGTCGGGAATGGGTGGGAGGGTGAAGACACCGAGGGTGACAGATAGTGGAGAGAGGTGGTATGATGGAACGGAAGCACTGAAACGGTGAAAGATGAGGCTTACCTTGATTGACCGGCGATGCTTTGCGTGATTGTTTAGGTGACTTGGACTCACCTCGAGCGGAGGTGGTCGGAGACTTGCCCATGATGACGATGATGTATTATATTGTGGCGTGGGTGAAAGCGAGTGGGCGACACAGGGCGGGAGAGCGAAAAAAGTAAAAAAGGGCGATATGAGGTCAGAGCCAGGACGGAGGCTTGGGGAGCGTTGCGACGCTAGGATGGCCGGCGAGCACCTCGAGTCCAAGTCATCAAGAGACAAGAAAAAAAATGGGCGGCTTGTCGCTGGGGGGTCGCCGTGGTGAGTGAGGCGACCTGACTGACTGACTGACTTGGAGAAGCACAAACGGTGATGGGGAAGTTTTGCGAGTCGCGAGGGAATGACGTACGAAAAGAGATCAAAGTCAGAGAGGAGACGTCATTTTTGGTTCGGGGTGGGAGGTTCAAATAAAAAGAGTTGGGCATTGGCAACAACCCCAAGCCAGAGAGGCAGGCGCCTCCCACCCGCCTCAACCCATGAATGGTCCCGGGAGTTCATAGGGAGGAAGGGGGAAAAGTCGAGGCCCCAGGACGCAAAAACTGGTCGCTACCGTTTTCGACACTGTCGCAGTACACAGGGTGGTGGGGCACTGTGGTACTCTACCTTGGCCTAATTCTAGGACTGCAACGGATAGCGCTGTAGCCCCTGAAAGCCGGCCGTTGTTGGCGCTGGGGCACGCTGGTAGAGCCAGGACGTTTTGGCCCGGGCAAGGACCGTTAGTACCGGTACGGGCAATCTCAGAAGAGATGTGGGGCCCGGGCCTGCGCACGGCCTACATTGAGCTCTCCTTTCAGTCACCACACACACTCTGATGGGGGGAAGATCGATCCCTTCCAGACTCAGATTTCTAAGCAGACAGAGGCGAACGAACTGCTTGCGACCGTAATAAAAAACGGGAACGGAATCGATCGATCGATAATCGAACATCGCTTTAACCTGACCCAGCAAAACTACAAAGTACCTAGGTAAGTTGATGCACACAAACACTTCCCCCATAGATCTCACCCCCATCCGTTCATTACCCGTCGCCTTGTGCCGTGTCACTGCGTGCCTGGTTTTTGGTAGTGGTGGTGGTGGTGGTGGTGGTGGGTATCCTCACAGTGTGCCTTTTGCCCTCGAGTCCGTATTGTCGCTCTTTTGGCTCCGGAAGAAGAAAATGAATGGTGCCATGATCCAGAAGAAGAAATGGCACAAGTTGGGGTGTGGATGATAAAGCAGGGATTTGCTGGCGGGCTGGGCCATCGTGTTCCCCACCGATTGCCCCGTGTAGCGCGTGTGTGCTGACATGGATACTCTGGGAAGATTCAACTTTATTGCAGAGAACTCGCCTTGTCGAGCTGATATCATGGAAGCTCGCTCTCGATACCTGACCTGACAGCCCTTCTTCGGCTTACAGACCGTTCCACAATACCATGGCATCCTACATCGTTGGGATGATTCGGTGTCGACAATAGATGTCTTCTTTCTCGGTGTGGCTTCGTTTTCCCTGGCCAGCCCACTGAACGAACCATGCTAAGAACTTTTTTTCTCCCCGAAAGGCTTTGGATCCCACATTTCTCACTCACTTGAGGATCTAGCGCTGCTACAAGACATGACTTCGTTCAACATAGCCGGGCAACAATTCGCCCTTCCACTGTCTGCATACCAACTTTCAATTACGGAATGAGAGTGCAAACTTCTGTTACAACCGCGAGCTAGCTGTCCAAAGACCTCGGCCTCCGAGTGTGGAGTGCAATTCGTTCAGGGGGGAAGGGCTGGTTATCCGACCGTATTGCTGCACCAGTCATATTGTCCCAGCAGAAACGATGAAAGCCAATGGAGCGCAACAATGTCCATGCTCGTAGCAATATCGAGTTGATGACGGTCAAATGAGGTTGCGAGTCTCTTGCTTTATCCACTCATCACCGTCTGCATCCTGGTCGCCTGGCAGCATTGCGTGAGCAGCTAGTCCTGGGAAGGAAAGCAGCCCCAGCAATACCGTCTCTCTGTTGCATCGCCGTTTTCCCATGGCCATCGAGGCCATCAAGGAACAAGGAATCCCAGCTCCACTGTATTTGTAGAAGCAAGCGATAGCGCACACACAACACACATGGTCGCAAACAAGCAGTCCTTCGATCATTCGACGCATTTTTAACCAGAAGAGACCGGTCTTTTTTTGTTTTTTTTTGTTTTTCTATCTCGACTCTCTCCCTTGTCCCGCTATCTTGCATTTTGTGCAGACTCCTGACCGCCGTCTCCTAGACTACATGCCGCTTGGTCTTAGACAAAACAGCGGCTGGGTCGTCTGTAGGTAGATGAGGTGTGACGAAAGCAGTGACGTAATAATGTAGACAGGCGAGTGGTCGAGAAATATGCACGCCCTGTCACACATTCTGTCTGGACGCGACAGACCGACACCCTCATCTTCTTTCTCATGCCGTTTCTGCAGTTGCAATTTACCGCGAGGGAAAAGATCAATTTCGCTTTCCATCAACGCACGCCATACTCCGTGAAGGATGCGTGCGTACACGCGACGACGACGGTGACGGGAAGGAGTGTGTCTCTCTCCCTTCTCGCCGTGGCGCCCCGTAACAAGCAACGCGACGCCAGGTCAGTCTTGAGGCTCCTCCAGTCAGAGTGGCAGGATTGCGGGTGCCCAGGTCCATGTCGCGTCGGTAGCTCGGCGCACTGTGCGGCTAGCGTCATGCCGGGGCGTGGAGCCTGCATTGGCTACGTTTTGGTTAGCACAATATTCTATGACGCATTCGCTGCTCTTTTGTTGCTCTTGATTGCATCAGCCCTCGTGCCTGGTGGGGGGAGCCCCCCTGGTCTGACATGGGTACGGACCCGTCCCAGTCCTGTCACATTTGCTGTCTCTTTCTCCCCTTTCCCTCCGTTCCAAGAAGCACGGCACGATACGTCCGCAAGCTTGGACGGCACGCTGTTCTGCAATACGGTCAAGCTCTGGTCACGAAGTCTTTCTCAAGCTCCCTCCGCTGTCTGCTTGTTTGCGTATATATTCAACAAGACGACGGCATTGTACAGAACTCACTACTCAACCGCAAGATCAAGTGCTGCAGGAACCAAGAATAGCGCCTCTCAATGGACCTGGAATATCTTACTGGTCTAATTGAAGAACTCGCAGACCTGCCGGTATCCGTGTCGGCTTGCATGATTTCTTGCTAATAGCGACCAGACTTTCGGGACTGGACCAGCTTAGCCATCTAAACTTCCAAATACCTACCGGCACGTCGCAATGGTTTACACAACATCCAGGACATCTGTCAGGTGGAGTTGCGGTTCCTGAAATATGACGTCTTCCCGACGTTAGATCTGTCCAGATCGGTGAGGCTACCAAGATCACCGGCAACGACATCCCGACCAACCCTGCAATCCAGCGCATGGCTTGCAAACGGCATGCATGCACTGCTTGTGAGGTTTGGACACGAGTGATTTGCATGCGGTGAAACCTCCATAGCGAGACTGTTCTAGGTTAAGCACAACATTACAGCTCCGATACTGCAAGCCTCACTCCGTGATTATCACAGCATCAGGCGAAGACACCATATAGTTGCCATAGGAGACCTTTGGTTGTCACGTCCTTCAAGAGTGTATCAAACACACAAAAAGCTTTCTTACATATTGAGATAGACAATGCCAAACTCGCATCGGAACAAATCTAGCTCGACCACGGGCAAGATAGAGTAACTATTCCCAAGAGTAGGTTATGATGGATGCTAGTACCAGAACAAGACACCGTAAACAATCTCCAGACGTGATATTCTTCAACTCAGAATCCACTGAGTTTTTAGCAAGTAAACTTGGACGGAGCCCATCTCAACTATAGACACAATCTCTTCCTCCTCGGCGGGCTTTGACCAAGCCCCGACATGACTCTCACAGGTTAGCAGCCGCCGGCTCAGCGACATGAGGCCGGACCCTAAACCCACGCCGCGGTGCGTGGACCCGCACGCTCGCCCCTGAGGACGAGCCCGGCACGTCCACCTCGATGACGACCTCCCTCTCGTCGATGCTCACCAGCCTGCCCACGTCCCTGCCCGAGGAGCCCGAGTCGAGCGGCCACACCGTCACCACCTGGCCCTTGGCCAAGCCGTCCGCCCGGACCGTCGCGTCGTCCCCGTCGATGGCGCCCGAGGCCTCCCGGAACGGCGAGTTGACGACCGCCTCGGCCGCCTGCTCCCCCTTGATCGTGGGCGGCTTCCCCCCCGGCGCGGCCCGCTTGACCGCCGCCTTGAAGCGGTCCATCCAGGCCCACACGCGCGGGTACTGCGCCGCCGAGACGCGGTCGGCGGGCAAGGCGCCCGGCAGCGTCGTCAGCCAGACGAGCGGCCAGACGGCCTCGAGGTCCGCGAGGCTCGGGCCCTCGGCCTCCTCCTCGGCGCCGCCGCCGCCGCCGCCGCCGCCGCCGCCGAGCAGCCACGCCCGGCCGTCGGACAGCAGCGTCGACTCGAGCAGCCGCATCGCGGCCTGGACCTCGGTCAGCGCCTCGGGCTGCAGCTCCCGCGGCGCCACGCCGCCCGGGAAGAAGGCGTTGCGGTCGCGCACGAAGCGCCGGTCGCGCATGAGCGGCAGGTCGTGCGGGATGAGCTGCGCGGCGCGGGCGAAGACGCCGCCGTCGACGACGAAGATGCGCAGCAGCTGCTCGAGGGCGCGGTGCTCGGGCGACGACGCCTTGCCGCCGCCGCCGCCGCCGGCCGGGCTGCCGAGCGGGCCCCGGGCGCAGGGCAGGTCGGTCGCCTGCTCGAGCTTGTCGATGATGAGGCGCGTGTCGAGGTAGACGTCGCGCCCGATGGAGAGGATGGGGATGCGCCGGTGGTTGACGCCCAGCCTGGCGAGGTCTGGGCGGGGCATGATGGGCGGTTGGAGCTAGGAACGTTGGTGAGTATGCGCATGGCTTTCTTTAGTTGCATATATGTGCGTATGATGAGCGAGAAGCACTTACACATTGGCTGTATGGGATGCCGCGGAGGTTGAGATACCAAACTACTCTCTGGGCGTAAGGCGAGTAGTAATAGTGGTAGAGGACGATTGGTAGGCTGTTATCTAGGTCCGTCATGGTGGCGAAGTGCTTGACCAGATTGCTCTTGAAGATCAAAGGTGTAGTTGTCCTGAGCCGCGTGGAAGATGCTCGTAATGAGACACTGGTGTAAGTGAGCGGACCGTAAGTGCCAATCCGGCGAAGTGCTTGCTTTGAAGCCAGTTCGGAGCAGTTTGCTTGCGGGTTACAGACGATGACAATTGACCTCGAAATTCTCTTCTCTAAAGTCCACATCAATAGTTGGTGAACCTGGGAGTTCAGGGCAGCTGAAGATATGGAGAAGGTTGAGACATCCCAAATCGCGTGCCTCGGCTCCCGGCTGGCTTTTGTCATCAATCGCGGGGCCCCTCACGCCGGCAAATGCGACACCGGACGCCCGCATAGAGCTAGGCCACTAACGAGATACTTGCATCTTCTAGGCTTCTACGATGGGCATGTTTGTTCGAGCTGAAAGCTAGGTCCTCGGTTCGTACTTCCGACCGGCAGACGTTGTCCTATTAAGGTTTTTGGTGGATGTAAGTGATTGAAATGGCTTCCTCTGTGTAAGTCAAGAACTCATTGACGACGGAATGGCGACACATGATATACAACACAACGCTAGCACTTGGAGGTATGATTTAGATAAGGTATTTATTAAGGTATTTTCTCCTGCATCATGTTCGCATTTCTTCGTACAGGGGCCTTTGTACAGTCTCATTGTTCTTCTGTGAGCCATGGAGCTCGTGGGATATCATCATATATATGACACAGAACAGCTAAAGAAAAGGAAAGGAACAGCGGCTGATAATGAAACCACCGACTCAAAAACGCCTTTGTCGAGGTCAAAACGCCTTATAGCAAAAAGACCACCTCACATCCTCCACACGATTGTTGGGTTTTTGTTTTCTTTTGTTCCAAGAAAGACAAAAATCTAGAACGGTTTGCTGGTCGCAGCTCATATATCCCGAGGACTTGCCCCAGCCAACTTAGAACCAGCGGCGGCGGCGGCGAGGGGCGACGGCGGTGCCGTAGTCGTCGGCGGGGACGGCGTGCTTGCTCGTGCGCGCCGTGCGCTGGCGGTGCATGCGGGCGGAGCAGCAGCTGAAGAAGATGACGATGGCGGCCAGCAGCTCGAGGATGGCGGCGACGAGGATGGTCCACATGGCGACCGAGTAGCTGGCGCTGGCGCGGCCGTTCCCGTTGGGCCCGCCCGCGTTGTCGTTGGCGTCGGACACGTGGTGCTTGACGATGCTGAAGAGGACAAAGTCGCAGACGAGGGCGGCGCAGGTGATGACGAAGGAAATCACGGCGACGACGGAGGCGAGGAAGGAGCCCACGACGCCGGCGCCGAGGGTCAGCGCGAACGAGATGAAGGAGACGCCCGTGGCGATGGGGTGCAGGACCATGGTCTTGGTCAGGCCGTTGGCCGTCCTGCGCGCGGCGTCCGAGAAGTCGACGCGCAGCTGCTCGCCCAGGATGTCGGCGGGCTGGTAGCCGACGTGCGAGCCCGTGCAGCGGTCGTTGCCGTTGCCGTCGGCGTCGAGCACGCAGTAGCCAAACGTGCCGAACGAGATGCTCTGGTCCGAGTTGCGCATGTTGACCCGCAGGATGGAGATGTCGTGCACGACCGGGGCCGAGATGGTCGTGACGATGAGCAGGGCCACGGCCACCAGGATCAGGAAGGTGCCGATGTGGTGGAAGAAGCCGACGACTGCCATGTTGACTAGTCTTTTCTTCTGTCGTATACTACTTTACTTTACTTTCTTTTGGGAAGACTGCAGTCTATTGGACCGGGCTGCCTGACGATGGCAAGTCTTGCGGTGGGTGGTTGGGCGAGAAGGGCCACGAGCGAGTGGGGGACTGCGTATTGGGCGATGCGATGAACGAGAGGTTACAAGAAGATGTGGCTGAATACAAAGGAATGGAGGGCAGACGACGGAATATAAACTTCTGTTTCAAGTCCAGACAGACGGCTGGTCGGCACGACATGGGTAGATGTGATCATCATGGCACAGGGTGCGATATTGGCGGTGCCGGCCCCTTGACGCATAACAACCGTGGTTCACAGCCTGTTACGGTGTAGCCTAGGGCAGTAGTTCGCGGCGCCGGTGGTGAGATGCGACGTCATCAGCAAACAAGCCATAGCATGGCACAGGGAAGCAGGGGACGATCTGGGGACCAAGGGGACGCAGAGTCCGAAGGGGACTCATCTGACGGCGGGCCCCCCTGGTCGAGTGTGATGCGGCCAGAGCATTCCAGCTCGGCGCACATCGTGGCTCGAATCGACATTGGGCCAGGGTAGACAGTCACACGCACCACACGCACCACCCGCACCACCCGCACCACAGAGAGAATCCCCAAAAATGGGCTCAAAATGCAACCTATGATGTGGTCTGAAATTCGTCGAACTTCCTGTTTTTGGCTCCCTGTCGGGTCCTGTTGTGACGTATGCTAGCCGTGGCTAGCGCTTCCGAGCCCTCTAATTTGTGGGGGGCCGGTGCCCTGTTTTTGGCAACAAATGCCAAGAAATGACGGCACTGCCCCTTTGGCCAGTTCTTGACCCCAGGCCCAGAATTCAATCCCAACGTCAGTTGCGCCCACCCATCATCCTCTGTGCCCTTGGCCAATAGAACAGAACGATGTAGTCCAGTCTATGAGGGCATGAGCCTCGCGCACTCGTAATCCGCACACGACAACACCTGCGCTTGTGTAGCGCTGCTGCATGCCGACGGTGCTCCATAAGCGCGGCATGCTGCCGCAAGAGGACTCGTCTCGCCTTGAGGTTGTTCACACAAGGTAGGGAAAAGTGTCGGTAGGGTCCGTGTGCTCTTAGCTCCTGGAAGGCGGCCTCCCGAGTTTGACTTCCCGTCCTTCCATTTCCATGAAACCGAACGCGTCAGAAGTGACAACCACCAGCCCACGAGCCTATATCAGATGGCCAGAGCGACCTAATGGGTGCGCTGGCAGATGCTTGTGTGAATCTTGGTCAAAGCGCGCCGCGCATGGCTCGGTATTTGGATGGCTATCGCACGGCACTCGTAAAGCTGCCAAGCCAATCTGTTTCGTGTTTCTAGGTTTGTTTCTGCAGATTGTATATTCCGGAGCTTCATCACGACACTGCATTTGTGGAGTTGGGGTGCGCGTCGTCTGGCGGTGAATGTTCTAAGAAGGTTCGGAGGTCTCCGTGGCTGAGGGTGATGATGATCTCTTCTCAGCTACATCGGTCGACCCGTTGCTGGCATTGAGCCCCGAATTCTGCCGTAGCTTCCTACGCCTCTGTCTCTCGAGGACATGAGCTTCCGCCGGCGCGTCACTCTGCGCTCGTAGCACCCGGGCCTCGTCCGAGAGCTGCCCGCCCGTTTCCCAGTCGCACAGAGCCTCAGCAGCTATGCCCTTGGGCACCACGGCCCGGAGGGCATTGTACACGAAAGAGTCCCTCTCTTTCCTGTCTTCCTCCGGCCAAGGTCCGTGCACAGGCGCATACCTAATCGTTGTCTTGTGTTTGTATCCCGGGCTGGGGAAGATGTGCATCTCGAACGACTTCTGGGAGAGGTGATCCGTCGTATGCTTGGAGGTGTTGTTTGGTGATGGCGTGGAGGCCAGAATTGGTTCGACTGGCGAAGTGATCCCCGGCGCACCCCATGGCTGGATTGAGTCGGACCTGGAGGTGACGAACTCATACTTCATAGGGCTTCGGTTGACTAGGCTCTGAGCTGCCGACTGTGACGATACGATCGAGACGAACGAGGTGTCCTCCTAAAGTAGTAGAAAGTCAGATATCTGCCCACAAGTTTCCACTTCCTGCATTGGCCATTGTTTGGCCATGAGTAGCCTACTCACAGCTAGCTTCTTGAAGACTTCGATGTCTGCGTATCGTTGGAGCGCCCGGAGGACGGCGCGACGTTCGGCCAAGTTCGATGGTGCCGGTCGCACACGGATGAAAAGCGATCTTAGCTTTGCACTCTCTAGTCCCGGCTTGATGCGGCCCAGAGGAGCCGCAGCAGAGGTTACAGACATGGCTGCTTGCGCAATTGAGGCAATGATCGGTTGCACTGGACTTGCGATCAGTCGAAGCTCTGCTCCGTTCGTGAATCCCCAGAAATTTGGAGTTTTAGTGGAGACACTGAAAGATACGACATTGATAAGAGCTTGGTCTACGAAGAGTATTAACAGCACACTTCCGCTTCCTACACCACTCTAACCTTCAGTCAATTTGTTTCTCTTTACAAGAATAAATGTTTGGTCATGGATAAGGAGGCAAATTATTCTCCTTTTGAATATCTTGGCACACTTTGGTTTTGTTTCTTCCAGTATCACAAAGGAAAGCCTGGTGTTCTGCCTCCTTTATCAGCCGCCATCGAGTCAAGTGCAATTAGCGACAAGTGCTATTTAAAGGACAACTCTTGATCTGAACTCGAGTAAAACCCGTAATAGCACACTTCAACCTCTGTGCTAATTATAAATGTTCGAAAGTTCATGACTGAATAACTGAAATTCAAAGTCGAACGATATATGACAGCTTCTGAGACATCAGTTGCATCTTCGAGTGGTAACGTTTCCCCCAACCTTGCATGTGAGAGTCGCCGACAAAATCTCCGTCCTGGCAGATTATTCCGGAGTGTATCTAGAAGTTCCTGTCCAACCGAATGCACCTTCCTAATACTTATGTGATTTGCTCTTAGACATCGCCAAGCCTACTACAAGTACATGTCTCCTTGGAGATGTCCCGTCCCTGGGACGTCAATGACGATCCGGCTCGTTAGGCCGGGCATGTCGTCTCAGGCAGTCCTCGGAACATGCGCTGAAGATAACTAGTGGGGAGTAAGGGGCCTTGCATGCAGGGGCCTGACTCCACTGCATATAGTTATGCAGCCTAGGCTTAGTAGAGCTTATGATAGACGGCTATGACAAGGTTATCGATGTCAGATCCTATGGTTTGGTTTGCACAGAGGTGCTCTGCCGTTGTATGAAACCAATGTCAGAAGGTGCCAGATACTCGGTAACAATACCGTCCTCGACGTGACATCTGACATATTCTGGGGCAGCAAGGGGTCCCAACTCGAAAGGGACACACTCCCCCGTGGCCGACGAAATCGCGGGACCGGCTTCTGCAAATCTGACTGGCCACTTTAGTGATGAACTGCTGTGGATCTCAATCTGGGTAGGTGCCGGTTTTCTTGAATGATTCGCTGTCCTACTTGTATTTACTTCGAGTTCTCAGCACCGACGAGAGAAGCCGAGATTGAGATTCTAGAAGCCTCGTTACGGGATGATGATGTGCAACAGTCCGGTATCAAGAGGCCCAATCACGAAGCCCGACAGAGCATTTCTTTCAGGCCGGCAGTTGTCCCCAGACCAAGAGGTGGCTGTCGCGAAGAGTTTGCTCCCGGCCAGTGCATTGGATCGCAGGGACGTGACTCGAGGTATCGACGCCATGTATGATCGCACTGACAGATGTGTCAAGCTTCATCAAGCTTGACTAGGTAGGGCGCTGTCGGCCCTAAGTTGACTTGGCTAAGCTAGCTTGGCTCTTTTTAGCGAAAGAGGCAACTAAGGTGAGGGTTCAACGCCAAGTGCATATCGACAGACTCAAGATAGGAAGCGCCTCGCAGATTCCTCTACAGATCACCGATCGAGGGCTTGAAGGAGAGATCTCGCCTGGAGGAACTGCTAGAATAGGTATGTCCTTATTGCAGACGGGCATCCACCGAGGTCAGGCCGTGATCATGCAGCGTGACGAGCCAGCCGAGCTGAAGTCAATGCGCCACTGGGCAGATTGATTCGGTAAGACTTCCTCCTCGTCCATGGCAGCGCGTCGGTCGTGCTCTGAGGGGAGAGGCCTGAAAAGGCGGCCAGGAGAAGGAGAAGGAGAAGCGGAGCGGTTGCGTTGCCGCCAAGCAAACTTGCAACATTGGACGGGGCGTGGGGAACGCGCATTCCAGCCTGGAATCCAGAGCACTGGCTCGGCAAAAGCTAGGTACGAGAATCCATGCTGCGCTAGAAGCGCCGTTTGCAAGGCCAGGGACTCTAATCTGCTGGGTCTACGGGAGGCCCAGGCCGGCGGTGCGGTAGTTACTGGGACATTGTCTGACACGGCACACCATGTCGCACGAATCGCAGGTTCTGCACCACATGCTTGGGTCGCTCACTCCGTCTGCCCTGGAGAATCCATACCGGTGAAGAAGAGAAAGAAAGGCTTGCGTGGATGCAAGGGTTTGAAGCCCGCCCGCCTTGCTTACCCGAGGTTGGCTTGGCAATGAGATGTTTCTTTGTCAACGAAAAAGAAGAAAGCATACCTACGCGCGTAGGTAGTGAGTGTGCGCCGCCGCCACTGACTGGGCTTGCAGCAACAAGGCCTGTTGATGATGGCGTTGCTGGCGTGCCCCTGGCAGAGGCTTTGCTCGATTGCTGGATTGGGAACCGCCGTCACTCCTGGACTCCTGGACCCCGGTTCCATGCAATCTGCAGGTTCTCTAACCACCCTAGTAGGCGCTGCTGATGTGTGACATTGCCGCAGCTCCGGGTGCTTGCTTCTGGGACTGGAACACCATCCAACCCGCTCTTTGGCACTCCCGACCCCGTTCTCTGTCTTCGAAGAACTTTGCCCGGGTCCGTTTTTCTTTCTGGAAGAACCGATCGAATGGTTCGATTGCGCCGGTGAATCTCCTCTCCGCCGAACTAGTGCTCGACTCGAGGTGTCAAAAAAGAAGTGTCAAAAAAAGGCGAGAAGAAAAAAAACTCTATTTCCGGTGGAGGCCTTATCGCTAAGCTGTGAGGCGTTTGACTCGTGTCGAGGATCCAGCCCAGCGGTCGGCACGCCCGCCTGGCTTACTGGCTCAGCAGCGTGGGTCGCTCGGGTTCGATTCCCATTCTCTTCTTCAGCAGTTTGCATCCCTGCCCCCCACAGGTACGTACCCACGAATACCACCTCAGTACGCGATCTTTCCGCCCCGCGCCAGATTCCGCCCGCGTTTTCCTTCAGCAGGCTGGCAGGTTTGGGTTTGGGTGTGCTGCAGAAATCCATCCGACTCGGCAGAATGTGTGTGAACGGAGTAGTTAACTACCCACCCAGCAAGCAGCTAGCTACTCCGTAGGCTCTGCTCGTCGTCCAGGAGGTTACCTTCTCACACCATCCCCCGCTGTCAAAGCCGTGGCTTGAGCGCGCGCATCGCCCTGGCGCTGCTGTCATCTGTCTCGCTCATACCCGGTCGTTGGTCCCGGGGCCTTGTTTAGATTCTCTTGCTTGGCTGCAATTTGCTGGGTGTGACGCTTTCGCCACCACAGAGCAACTCTGTGGCTTCGCTTCCATGTGCTCATAACCTTGCCCTTGGACCTGCATCTGTCCCCGACAAATGCTTTTTGACCGTTTCATGGGCTCTCTCCCCATTTATAACCCTCTGCTTGGCCCGCCGCCGTCCCACGGACCTGTTTCCCCGCGGGTCAATAAGACTCGATGCTGCGCAGTGAACAATCTATTGTCTTATCTGCCAGGTCTGCCCGCTCCCCCCTTCAGCCGTAGACTCCCCTCTCTAGCGCAGCGCCGCATCTCCTCCTCACGGCTTTCACGTACGGCTCGCGATGCATGGTCGTCCGTCGGCTCCAGTGACGGCATTCAATCAGTCGGCGGCGTCAATCTGGCCTACAGCCACATCTTAAGCTCCAACCCACACAGCTTGGCAGGATCAGCATCGACCGATCGTGTCCGCCCGCCCGCGCCGGCGTCCTTAGCGCTGGCCCAGTCCATCGTCTAGTCCGCCGGCACTCACTCCGTTTGACAAGCCCATTTATGAACTGGGGATCCGCCCTCGACTGTTCCCCCGAGTCTCTCTTCACTGCCGGACCTGTCACACCCCCCATCCTTTCACCAGATCCAACATCATACCCAACCCATCAACCTGCAGGCTCGACTAGGTCGCAGCGCATTGATGGTTCTCTAACCTCTACCAAGGCGGCGAGCCAGCCCTTCATGTTTGAGCTATACGCCCTGGGGATGCGGGTTCAGGGACCCCGTCCCCAAGAGCAGCAGATACCGCCTGAAGACACAACAAGTGCGCCACTACAACAACAACAACAACAACAACAACAACAACAACAACCGCCACAACAACGACATTTCTCGCCAGAGAGGCCATTCCCCTCGCCGATTGACACGCCCGGGGACGGGCAGGCCTCGTCTCGGCGGGCGAGCATCGACTCGCTGACCAACAGACTGAGCAAGCAGAACCTCCGACTAGAAGACATACCGGAGAGGCCGGCGCCGCACACCTGCTACCCATCGCCGCCGTCGACACAGCACCACCACCACCACCACCACCCGGACTACCAGCCGTGCCCGGCCCTCGAGGTCGACCCGGACCTGTCCCCGGACTCGCCCTCGCGCTGGTGCGCGCCGCTGCCGCTGCCGTGGCGCGCCGACTTCTGCAGCGACAGCGACGCGCCGCCGCCGCCGCACTACACGGACTCGAGGAGGCTGCGGCGGCAGCTGTCGTCCAAGTTCCACAACGACCCGGACAACGCGAGCAGGATCCAGAAGCTCGTGGAGGGCATGATCTCGAGCGGCGAGCAGTGCAACGTCGTCTCGCCGCAGCCGTCGCCCCTGTCCGAGGCCTTCCCCGCCCTCGAGCCGGACGACGATGCTGACGCCGCCGCTGTCGAGGAGGGGTCCGAAGGGGTGGACGACGGCTACTTCGGGCTGGCCCTTGCGGCGCGGCGCGGCCCCGCGAAGAAGGGTCATGGCGGCGAGGAGGGCGAGCAGCAGCAGGCGGACCAGCAGATGAGCCTGCGCAGGGCGAGCACGCCCGGCGGCGTCAGGAAGATCGGCCCCCTGCGGTACAGGCTGTCGGCCGAGGTGGCGCTGCAGTGCCCCAACGTCGTCCGGAACAAGCCGAGGATGCGCCGGCGGAAGCCCTCGGTGTCGTCGAGGAGCGGGTGCCCGCCCTTGCCTGTCCCGACCGCGAGCCCGTCCCGGGTGACTGGGTAAGAAGAAGAGGGAGGAGGGAGTAGTTGATTGGAACATATCGAGATGGATCGTCGGCCGGGGGGGTCTCAGTTGCGAAGAAGGGTGTGGACAAGGGAAAGGCAGACTCCTTCCCCTTCCATGGCGTTACCGGGGGGAGGGCTGGGAAACAAAGGCCTCGCACCACACTGGTTCTTGTGGGCGAAGAAGGATGTTGGGCGCATTTGGTTTTTGAATTCTTCCACTACACACATTGACAAACGGCGTTGATAAGGTGGATATACCCCATGATAGACACACAGCAGCTTGTACACAATTGGTTTTTTTTTCTTTTTAGGAAGGATTCTGGGCGTCCAAGGCATTGTGATGGTGGTGGGCATTTTCCCACCACCTAGCTACCTCGTAGTGTACACGGCATTTATTTGTTCTTGGTCTTGTTTGCGAGGCCGGTAATCTCAGCAAATTGAACAAAGAAAACGTCAAGGAATCTGTGCATCTACAGTACTGCATTTGCCCATTGATGGTATTTTTTTTTTTCTTTTCTTTTTGGCAACGAATACTTCAATTTGTCCGAACACCGAAAGTCAAACCCCCCTTCTCCAGGGTTAGCAGCGCTGAGGTCGAACGGCGGTCCCATGCCCTGTGCTGTGCCCATCCCATTCCGGCCCATTTTTCAAGCATCATGCAGCTAAACTCTGTTATCCATTGATCTGCAGCTCAAGCTTCGTCGCATTGGATTAAGTGGATCTTGTACCGTGCCTCTGGGAATTGCCAGAAGAGGCAGCGTTAAGAGGGCCAAGGAAGACTTCAACAGAGACACAATCGAAGCGAACATCGAGGGCATTGCAGCTATCCAGCGTCGGCTGAGAATACAGAGGGCTGCTTGTTGTTCGGGTCGCAAGTTTGGGGGCGGCGGCTTGCCTCGAGCCCGCTGAATGTTTGCCCGTACTTGCTTGTACTTGTAGAGAGACTCGGCCTGTCTGCACCTTCCCCCAGTTGCCATGCCCCGCCGCACTGGGATTGCCCAGGCCCAACTTCACCGACTTCACCCCATCTGCAGGGCAAATAACCCCCGTCACCATCGTTGTTTGCTTTCTTCTCTGCCGTGGACATCACAAACTCGACATGTCATTGAATTGATATCGGAGTCTTGTCACTGCTTTTCTGTCAACGTCGAACAAGAACGATTCGCCGCTAGACTCACAATGGGCGGGACAGGGGCCGGCATCCTCCATCGAGGCTCCCCCGTGTGCTGCGGAGGTCGCCGAAAGCCCAGCTCTCAAGACAGAGAGACGACGACTCTCGGTCCCGCAACGCTCTTGTTTGTTTTACTTCCCCACGGCCGGGGATCTCAATCCTCAGCCCTATCACATCCCATCGTGGGCCTTGTGATCCTCGTCTTGGCCATTACCCCTGCCCTTGTCGTCACGCCCACCCTGTCACTCGTCATCACCCGTTGTCTACGATATTTCGTCCGTGAGAGACCATGCAATGCTTGGACTAGTGTCCTATGCCCGGTTACCGTACACCGCATCGAACATGGAAGACATCGGCGAGATGATGAACGAGCAGGGGATTTATCGCGATCCCTTCCTTATGCTGCCCATTGTGTTGAGCTCATCCAGCGATGGCTCCGACTTCTGGTCAACGGCAAAATATGCCATCATCCTGCATGGATCAAAGAATCTATTCTGTTCGTATGGAGAACCCGAGGGTCTCTTTGTCTCTTTGTCCGTACGCCTTGGCCCGCGTTGCGGCTAGCTCCATGATGGATGGCTTTGTCGCAAAGGGCATACACAATACCTGCCGTACCATGAAGCAAAGATACCTCGACACTCTTCATATGAACAACACTATTGAATGGATGAGAGTTGGGAAACAGATACAGCATATTTTGGACAAGATACCCACACACAGAGACTGGGCAGGATAATTTCCTGCGCATACAAGTGTCTCCTTCTGCCCAAGCTCCTGGTGCCGTATGGACAACGTCGGAGCGTGATGGGATGTCGTTCGTAGCAAGTGCTTGAAAGATCGCCATCACCAAAATGTCCGGCCTGTGCTTCTTCTATGTTGATGGCAGTCGCACTGGCTGTTTCTATCTTGGTCGTTTGCTCTCTCCACTTAGTCTGCACCCTCGGCGACCACAAAGCCTGACCATCATTGTATGCCGCGAAGATATACTTTTGGCCTTCCCAGGCGGCTGGATCCGACACGCTGCTAGGAGACTTCCAGCACGTTGTCGGTCCCGCCAGGCCCTGGTCTATGATGATGTTTGGCGTAGCTCTCCTCATAGGGCGGTGTCTAGTGTCATCTAGCCTTGTCATTGGTAGATTGATTGCAAGGGTGAAGGTATTCCGGGCGTTGTTCATGACCGAAAGAGAAGAAACAAGGAACAGGGAAACGGCCCCCCACACGCTAATACAACATCGTGGTCCCCGTTCGATATTCAGATCAGCAGCTATGTTCAGTATTCAGTACCTTGTGCTCGTGGCTGAATCTGGAGCCTTGAGACTTATTGGCCAAACTACCCAGGTATATATATTCCTGACGATCCCAATTCCTTGCTTTGACTGCTACCAACTTTTTTTTCAACGTGCATTTCTTTCTCTTTACAACTTTGATACCTCAGCGAAACTGGGTCCATTCGGTTCCAACTCGCCAACACCTCATAACACGATTCAGAAGTCTGGACAAGCAACCCTCTCATAGCCCACGCCTTCTATACCATGACAATCCAAATTCCGTGGGATACATCGCGAATGAGCACCCCAAGCCAGGAACCCCCTTCTCTGTCATTTGCTGGCACGTCCCCGGCTTCCAGTTACGGCGGTGCCGCAACTATCCAGGACGACTCCTTTGAGCAGTACATCAGCTTTGACGACGGTGTTGCTGCGGACCCTCAGGACCCCTTTTACACCTACCTGGCAAACGACGCTTCCTTATCCACGGAGCTTTCGACCTCTTTCGCCGAGACTGGCGGCGACCTAAGCCACGGCCAGCTTCTCTTCCACCCCGCGCAGCCTGTACACAAAGAACACTCCATATTGGCTGGCAAACGCATAGGACAAAGAAATCACCAAACCGGCGGCCACCACCCCTCCGGCCGTACAGACAGCAAAAGTCTCGAGGCACGACACTACGGTCGAGGATCCAACCCCCTACAAGTTGTCCCATGGACATCTCATCGGGATTGCAATTCATATCACCAACCCTCACCAAGGTGCTCACCCTGCACCACAGTATTACCTCAGGACACAGGAATGTTTCAAGGCAACCCAACAACCCCAAGTCAAACACCCAGGGCTCTCGGCAGGTCAATGCAGTCGTTGGCTGCTCCTGTCACGGCTGTGCCTTCACAGTCAAACGGCGGAATGAGACTCCAGGCTCCTTCCATGGGCACACACGGCCATCACTGCTACGGGACCTTGTCTCCAAGCCACCCTGCACCGCCCCAGGTGAAGCCAAACCAGCACCATCCCGTGTATCTGCACATGAGCTCAATGAATGAGACTTGCGTCGACCCGGCCGAGCTCACGTCTTCGGGGCACAACAGCAGTGATGAGTCGAACACGCCTTATAGGAGCCAGCCCACCACGCCTGCCAACACTCCCGCTCCCGGACGGAGCCTCAGTAGTTTGAGTATTGGCAACGCTGTTACTGACTTTGCCAGCCCGGCGCTCGTCGCCAAGTCTTCTGAGCCCTGGCCGTATCCTTTGCCCGGTGCCGAACTACCAACTCCTTTTCCTTCTCACGCCTCGGCACCGAACCACATACAGACGACTGCCGCCGGTGGCCAATACAACAACAGACTGCCATCCTCGGCGTCGGCAGCCCCCCTGGGGACGACCAGCCTGGCACATCCTTTCGACAGCCGGTTTCACGGCTACAACGGAGGCTACGGCCATGACCTACCCGAGAGCTGGACTGGCGTACAGGAACATCAGCCCACCGCTCCTGGCCATCGCCACCATACGACGTCTGGCCAACCCAGACATCAGCGTACTACCACCTCCAGCGGTGGCGCGCGGAACCAGGCTTCTTCTAGACACCGCTCTACTCTCAGAGGCCCGGCAGGTGTGCACCCCGGGCCCAAAGCGCCAGCATCAGCACAAAATCATGCGCCGGCCTCGAGCAGGAGACAACGCCGCCGCAAGCCCAAGTCCACAGGCAATCGCGTCCGCCACTCCTCCTCCTCTGCCGCCGCCGTCACCACCGCCAGCAGCAGCACTCCACAGCACCAGGAAGTCTCGTCACCGCCGTTTTCTCCTTCATCTCCTCCTCCTCCTGCTGCTGCTGCCGCTGCCTCCGGCGGTGGCGGTGGCGGTGGTGGAGGGATCAGGTTCGTCAACTTCACGCCCGAGGACGGCCGGCGGCTCATGGCCGGCGTGGCGCCGAGCGGCAGCAGCAAGACGCGCGCGCGCCGCGACCGCGAGGCCGAGGAGCAGAAGCAGCAGCTGATGAGCGAGGCCTACCGGCAGGCCGCGCTGGCCGTCGGCCTGCACCACCACCACCACCCTTCGCCGATGTACTAAGCCTTTTTTTCTTTTTTTGGGGGGGTACTTGGGTTGGTAGAAGAAAGGCAAGAGATATTTTGCTAGTTTCTGGTTTGTTTGTCTGGCTTGAAGGGTGGTTGGTCAAGGGACGTTTGGGAGCGGCAGACGGAATGAAATGGAATTATACATATAGTTGGGGTTTGATTCTGCAGGGTATATGACATGTCTGAATGGCTGCCTTTTTTCCCTTTGTTCTCTCTTTTGCGCGTCTTATATGAGTATCTTGGGACTTCACCTTGACATTTGAAATGGGTATTGGCGGTGTATTATGAATATAACTCGGTCTCAATATCTGCCCCCTCAATGCTCTGTTTTGTTGTCTTCCGTGCTCGAGGTTGATATCAAAGTTTCTCAATGAGAGAAGTTTCCACATGTAGTAGTCATTAATACATAAGAGGCGTTTGGCAGAGCACTATTCACGATCACAGTTCAGACTTCATTGAACAAGGAGAAAAAAGTACGATTAGCTATATCACTTCCCTAAAAGTAGAATTGCCCCGCCCCTGATTCCCGATAGAAAAAACTAACACACAGGTCGCCGAAGCGCGCGCGTGTGTGTGTATCGCGCGGTGAGATGCTTTGAAAAAACCGCTTTCACTCCCTTCACCAAACCAACAAGCCCAGGGGGGCACATGCGTGGTCGAATCCTTACAAAAAACCAGCCCACACTTTGCGGGATCCGTCACAGCCGGTCATTTCCTTCGAGCGACTGCTACCTTCTAGAAGGACTGGGGATTTTATATACAAAAAAACAATCCCAGCGGGTTCCGATTCGCTGTGGGTTCGCCAAACCGGGTTGACGTTTGTGGTACACGTGAGAACAAAACAAAATAAAAAAAGAGAAAAATTCCAGGGTTGTGACCTCTTATCCGACGCCATGTCATGATGCTTTGTAGATTCAACAGGACAAAAAAGTCCTCTCAGGAGGTGGATGCAATCCACATATTCCTCTATCACCTTCCGTCCAAGAGGCGATGATGGTTCCAGTCGAACCAAAGCGCAACATACAGTACTCGGTGTGGCGTATGTACGTTGTAGCTGGTTCGCTGGCACAGCCAGATCCTCGCCTATGCCGTTCTCAACAATCCCGTAAATGACCCATGGAGGTACAGCGAGGTCGGCTGGAAGCAGAAGTCGCTAGAGCCAGGTAGCGCTGTCACATTGCTGACAATGCGACATGCCACTGTGCAAGGCTCTGACGACCTGCCTCTCCATGCAATCGCGAACTTAGTGCTCATAACCGGCACCACGTTGCCACGGGCTGCAGGACTGTTAGTACGGTGTATGCATAGCTGTGAAATTCATGTTGATGCTGCTTACCTGGCGTTGTTCTGAGACCTGAAACCAGCGGGACTAGCGTTGTTCTGCGACCGGTACCCAGAGGACAGGTTCGAAGCAGAACCGTTGTAGGGGCTTGGTGACCTCATCTGGTTGTTGCCGTACCCATTGTTGTACGGGTTCTGGGCCTGATGCGGCTGCTGAGGCGGGCGACGGCCATCGGCAGGGAACAATGGCATTGAAGGGTCCACGGGCGAGCGAGGAGGATCCCTGTACGAGTTGGCGGTAGAGGGAGGAAGAGGGTGGTTGGCGGGATCGGCGCGTCGGCGGAGAGAGTCGGAAGAGATCGAGTCCGCATCGTCGTCCAGGTCGAGGCCACCCTTGTACCCGGCCTTGTCACCACGGGCAGTCGCTGCCAGGGCGTCGAGCTCGGTGGTGGTGGTGAGGCCGGTCTGCGACTTCATGAAAGAAGCACGGTCATCGGCCATGAATTGGTACCTGGCATCGGGGTTCTTGCGGAAGAAGACAATCACGGTTGTGACGATCAGCATGATGAGAAGAACCAGGGCGAAGATTGCGTTGGCGATCCAGAGAACGACACCGACGACACCAGTGACCAAGGGGGGCTGGTTGAACACGTCGGAGAAGATCAACAGGAAGATGGCGTTGAGGAAGTTGATGACGCAGATGGCAATGTTGAACGAGTTGGTGCTCTTGTCCATCCAGGGGCGCAGAACACTGGCAGCAATCAGAGCAGCGGCCTCAATCAGAACAAAAGCGATAGCCTGGACAGTGCCGTTGTGCTGCGCGCAGGCAACGAAGATTCCCTTGATGAGCAGGTATCCAAGGAAGGGAACGATGAAGTAGTAGGCCGAAGCACGGAACTGGACGTAGAGGAAACCCCACTTGTTCAGGGCCTGGGGGTCCGAGAAGAGGATGTAGGCAGGGTTGCGGTGCATGGCAACGGAGCGGCGGGCGATGCGAATGACCTTGAAGGCAGCCCATCCCAGAGTGACGAGGAGGCCAAAGAAGAAGAAGACGGCAAGGACAACCTCGGCAGCCGAGTCGACCTGGGTGAACTCCCACAGGCAGAGGATGGTCATCTGAGGGAAGCCAATCAGAGCCAGGCGGAAGAGGATACCCTTCAGAACGGTGAACCAGCCATTGCGGAACTCGAGGAAGGTATCGCTCTTCATCCACTTGTTCTTGACGGCGAGCTCGCAGTAGCCCTTGAAGGCAGCCACGCCGAGAACGGTGAGAACGACAAAGATGCAGAAGAAGGTCAGGCCGGTCATGAAGAGGTTGGTCGACTCGATGGTGGCGCGGAAGGCCACACGCTGGATACCGTAGACAATGTAAGATCCAGAACCGGTCTGGATGTTTCCACGCTTGGCCAGGGTGTTGGCTCCCTCAACGGCGCCCCTCGGCATCATGGCGACAGCCCGCTTGAACATGTTCAGAGCGGGAGCGGCAGCTTCCAAGCCTCGCCTGAGCAGAGCGCGCTTCTCGACCTGGACGGAGACAGTGGTCAAGGAGTCGAACAGAGTAGACGGCGTTCCGCCAGTAGCCCGCTGGTACCAGGTGAAGATCTTCTGCATGAAACCGACGCGAATGATGCCCATGCTCCACTGGAAATCCTGGGTCCACGACTGGACGACGGGCGGGAGAGGGACACTGCTCATTCCGACCATGGCTTGAGCCTGGAAGTACCCGAAAAGAGACATCGCGTTAGCAGCCAAGTGGGAAGCGGCGTTCGAGTGGCCAAGACCAGAGACGACGGCCGAGGAAGCCAGAGCGAGACCAGCGATGATAGCGGTGGCCCACTTGACGCCGACAAGGTCAACCGTCTTTCCGTTGGAGATATCAGCCTCGACACAGGCCAGACTCTGGCCAGCCTTTTCGCCATCGGTCGCGTTGATGCGAACCCGGACCTTGGCGTCGAGATCGGGAAAGGTGTAGGCAATGCCGGGAATCTGCTTGGCAGCGCTGGGGTCGACTTTGAGGTTGAAGGGCAGAGGGATCTTGCCAGCGGTCATGGGGCACAAGCCAGCGAGGTTGGCATCGCAGGGGTTGACGGTGGTGCGAATGAACTCGTAACCGTAGGCCGAAATGGCGACATCGAAGATAACGTGGCCTTGAACGGACGAGACGGCCAAAATGTTGACGGAGGCAGTGTTGTTGCTAGGGTAGAAAACAACATTGAAGAGACTGGCCGTGAATCCGGAGTCCTCTTGGCACGTATTGAGCGAGGTCGACTTCAGGAGCTGTTCAGCAGCAACGGGTGAGAGCACGGCTGCTAATGAGGAAAGGACGGCCAACGGCCGCGCAAGAGAGAACCGCATAGTTGCGAGCCTCGTTATGTGAAATTGCAGTGGTTTTTGTTGGTGTTGATGCTGTGCCCGGACGGGCGTGAACGAGTAAGAGAGGAATCCGACGCGCGTCGAGGATCGCCAGCAGTTGTCCACAGAGTCCTCAGTGGGAAGTCGTCGATTCGTCCGGTTCTAGATCCACGAACGGCCTACACCGAGAACATCAATCTTCGGCCGGGTATCGAGTGTATAAATCGAGGCGACGAGACGGGATTCGTTGTCGGTTGTCGACAAAAGCGAGAGGGCCGATGGCGAAGGCAGGGGGTGGGTGGTGAGCGAGAGGCTGCTGCCGACGGATTCCAGGTTAGATTGGATTCCCGGAATCAATCCAGCGCTGGCTGCGAGGTAGAAAAGGAAATCGAAACGACGGTGGTAGAGTGGAAAAAGGTCTTCAATCCCTCAGCGACGGAAGGCCTGGGAGGGATCAAATCAAGGTGGGATGTGAAGGAGAGAAAAAGAGGGTGGTGGTGAGGTAGTGGTGGAGTGTGTGCAAGAAACAAGGAGAGAGGAAGGCGATCGAGTTGACGGCCGGCCTGGCGTGCTGTGATTGAATGCGTCAACGAAAGGGGAAATCTGGGAATGGACGAGAGAGAGCAGCCGGGCCTGAACAGGGTTGGCAACAATGCGAGAATGGGGGAGCAGCAACGGGCAGGGAATGTACCTCCCCATCCATTACGTTGCACCCGCCATCAGGAGCTTGCGTAGCCTGTCTTAGCATTCATGCGCAAATTAGATCTTGGCGCACGAGCCAGGTACTTTAGGTCTGGGGCACTTCTCGGCCCCGCTGAGGTACCGCCCACCCACCTGGTGGTCCGGGCGGAGAAGGCACCGCTAACAACGGTACTTTGTGTCAGAGTGCAGATGCTGCAGGGACCATACGAGAGTACATTGGCCGATCACCCCTGGCACCACGTCCTACACGTACTCCGTACCTCTCTTTCTCTCCCTCCCTCACTGGGGGACCAGCGCCCGCCGCGCGCTCTCGACTCCCCTTCTGTGGAATGTGTGGAATGTCTGTACATGCCCGCTTTGTCCTTGGCGCCTAGCCATTTACAGGCTCGTATTGCCTTTGGGCGTCGGTCTCTTGATGGCACGGATCTTCGCGTTTCCCATCCAGTCAGCACTTTACGGATGCAATTTCGTGCCTGGATGATTTGCACAGCCCTCCTCTGCTCACACTGGCAATTTGGAAACGAAACCTCTCTTGCCTCTTTTCGCCTTACTCTGTACAGCAATCCCAGGTCATCACTGGTATCGCGTGCGTGTGCGACAAACCGTTCGACCGATACGGTGCCTGAAAGACTTCAACACCGGATGTGGCCTCCGCGACAAAGGACACAGGACGGGTGACACTCAATCAAGGTTTCCCGCGCCGAGGGTCCAGCAACAATGCCCAGAGTGCCGAGTGCACTTGGCTGAAGCAATAAAATGCCTGCCTTCCTGTGAAAATATTCCCATACAATACCTCATGTCTCTACCGACCACAGGACCAGAGTTGCCCCTGATAGTGGATACACCCCTCGCTCTAGCTCGCTACCATCTCAGTACGGGGATCCGTCGCAGAGGCGCTAACATCGAAGAGGGTTCCGGGCTAGCGAAGACGGCCCCAGGCGCTACAGTCCACTCGATCCTGATGGGCAATAGCCTGTAGTCGCTTACCAGAGACATACGACGACGACTACCAAATACGAGGGGAGATACAGCTCTGTATTCACCACCGATGTGTTATTTTTGGGAGAGCCACAAGAGAGCAATCCGTGACAAGATCTGACTCGGAGCTTCTTGGAACAGCTTCTCGGCTTCGAATGGTACCTTGTTCGCGCCCAGCCAATCTTTGCAACACTGGGCCACTGGCGGGCAATTCTTGTGCCATCTCGAGACACGCAGTGTTTTGTAGCGGGACCCGTCTAATCTGCCATTCGTCTTGCACAGCCACCCTGTCCCGAATGAGGGTGCGACACCATTCCCCATTCTTCTGCTCCGTCCCTGTACGTACGTGCCTGTCTGGGAAATATCCCAGGCGAGCAGCAGACCAAAACTGCCACTGCTCACTGTCGTGGGAGTGCCTCTTGGCCCCTCTGGGTGCCAATCGCCGTAACCGCTTACCCCGGCCGCGATGCAGATCCGATGTCCCGCCCAAACCTGTTCCCTGTTGAAGCACCGACCGGCACCGGCCGTTGCGGTTTTGTGTTCCAGGGCCATGATACAGACGTCATCAGCTTGCTCTGCTTCTCTCTCAGCCCTTGTCGGGCAGGGCGAAAACCGAAAACTGTATTTCAAGATGCCAAATTGGCTGCATCCAGCGTCCTCGCGATTCAGCTGGGCGATCTAAGACAAGCGTCCAACCCGCTCGAGAGGTTAAAAATAAGAACGTCCTCCAAACCTCTTCTTCGGTCCTGCAACGTTGGATCTCGTGTGCAGACAATGCAAGGCGCCCTGACTAATGAACACCACCGGCGCCGCCGTTCGCACCCACCACCCAGAGTTGCAAACCACGAGGTTCGGTGCTGGGCTTGCACACACCACATGCACCATCCATCCCACTGGCCACTGGGGAAGTCTCACCATCAACACCTCTTGCGCCGGGCCTGTCACAGGTTCTGCCAGGGATGCCTACCACACCACCACCGCCGCCACCACACATCATGTCCCCTTGAATCGTCATGCGCGCCGGTGGAATGTGTCTTGTAGATAGCCTTCCCGGGTTTACACTTTTGTGTGCAAGATCTGGTGGTTCTCTTTTTCATGTGCTTGACACTGATGTAACGAAAAGGGCTCGGAGCAGTGAGATCAAAGCTCCCGTCCCAACCAAACCCCCCCTTGCCCATGACGACTTGTTTGTTGCCCTGTGTCTGGTGCGCATATATCAGGATCCGTTTTAAGGTTAATCAATTTTAGGACGGGAGGGCATGCCGACGCCGTCAATGCGAGCCAGGGCAAGACAAGAACAGGACAGGACAGGACACGGGGGATCTACACAGGAAAGAAGCTTTTTGATTTCCCGCTGGCGATTACCAGATCTGGCAATCTGATGTTGTCATCCTGCATGGAAGGAAATATAAGCCCAATGAAGTTGGCCCAGTAGCAGTGTAGATCGCCTGCCTTGTTCGCTACAACAACAGCCCGGCGTGTGTTGTCCCTGACGGAAACATCATCAACGACGGAATGTCTATTGTTTCGATATGTACAATTATTACCATGACAAACCCTCCTTTCTATCTATCTCCCCAAGTATGGAAAGATCAAGCTATGCTATGAGGACCCAGAGGAAAGCAATATCATCTCTGCAAATGCTGGTTTCCTAATGCACCTTACACGTAGACGCCTGTGAATGATGCACACTGAAGAAACTCTAACCCCCCTCGCTCCTCTCTGCAAGGGCAGCCCAAAACAAAAAAAAAGTTAGAGTCACAATTCTATCACAGCCACTCGGACGGCTGCTCGACCCACGGCCGGTTGCTCTTGGCGTAGTCGTACCCGACCTTGTAGCTGCTCATGAGCTCCTCCTGGTCGACGCCGCAGTGCGGCTGCCCGTCGCGGCCCTCGAACCAGCCGAGCCCGTACGTCTTGCCCCGCGGCGCCGCGCGCTCGAGCCGCCGCACCATCTCGGCGCCGCCGACCCCCGCCGTGCCCACAAAGTCGTAGAGCATCTTGCTCTGGTGGATAAAGGCCAGCACCGACGCGATGGTGTTGGGCTGCCGCGGCAGGAACGGGTGGCGCCGGCGCGCGAACACGACGGCGGCCACGGCGGCCATGTAGGCCAGTATAAAACTCGCGAGCGCGAACGTGATCCAGAACGACACCTCGGTCTCCTGCCCGGCCTCGATGCTGTCCGAGGCGTCGCTGCCGCCGCCGCCGCCGCCGCCGGGGTGCCCCTGGCTGCCGCTGGCCCCGAGCAGCGAGGTGAAGGCGCGGCCCTCGACGGTGGCGAGCGAGGTGACGAGCACGGTGAGCAGCTCCGTCATGACGGTGCCGAAGCCGACGAAGAAGACGAGCATGTGCCTGTTGCTCAGGGCCTTGACGGGGACCAGGGCGAACGGCATCGCCGTGTAGTCCAGGCTGAGCGTCGTGGCCGGCGCGTGGCGCTTCGAGAGGATGTAGTAGGGCTCCATCATGCGGACCGACGTGTCGAGGCCGCCCCAGCAGATCTTGATGCAGACGGCGATGGCCGTAACAACGCCGGGCGCTTTGTCCGTCAGGGCGTTGACCGGGGTGAATAGGAACGCCGGTATCAGGCCTGCGAACAGGATGATGCCCAGTATGAAGGGGCCGAACCCCCAGATGGTAAGCATGAGAGGGTGAGGGTTCTTGGAGAGGTGGTTCTCCTTGTACCGCTCCTGTTCCTGCGACGAGACGGGATTCTCGTCGTCGGGGGCGAGGGTGGAGTTCTTGAGGATGTAGCGATGGTTCTTCAGTTTGTGATGGATGTCCTGGTGCGTAGCCACGTCCATGTCTTTGAAGTCCATCAGGATGTGGGCCGAGACAGCCATCGAGGCCAGGCCGGCGATGCCCTTCACGTCTGCCAGGAGACCGGACCTCCTGGTCTGGAGCTGCCAGAACAATATGCACCCTAGGAACGCGATTATGAAGAGAAGGACCGTCAAGAAGCGCGACCACACCGCGTTAATGGTGATGAACTTCTCGGCCTCCGGATGAAGCTGTCGCTCGTCGCGATCAGGCTGCAACGAGATGGAGGCGGCACTCAGTGTCGGGACGAGGGAGATGGCGAGGATGGACGCAATGGACGACACCGCCACAGCATAGTGCTTGCAGTAGATGGCCCGGAAGGGGCGGAGAAAACTGAAGTGCGTGATGTAATCCACATTGATAGATTCGGCCGCAAGGGCGCCGCCCTCCTTGGAAAGCTGGTAGAATGCCTCCAGTCTCTTCACCTCAAAGTCGGTAATCTGCCACAGCACGCCGTACGAAACAGAAAGTAGCGTCGGCGCGAATTTGAAGGCAAAATAGTTGAAAGGGTTGATGTCGTTGGGCGATTTGAAGGTCAGAAGAGGGTTCCTGGTGGATACCTGGTAGACCACTTCCTGGGTGCCGCCGAGGAGGATGGAGAGGATGATCAGCATCAGGAGATAGGGCCACCTCATGGAGAAGGGCTTCCAGTCGGGCTTGGGGAAGAAGACCTCGGTCCTCTGGTGCTTGACCGGCAGTGTTGAGCGCCGCATGCCCGGGTAGGCGTCGTCCGGGTTCGGGCCAACCATAAGGCTGAGGTCAACATCTGATGGCATGGGTTCGGACTCCTCCATGATCACCTCGACGACCTCGCCACGCTTGTTCGCCTCGTCCTGCGCAAGGGCCTTGATGGTAGCGCGCCGTCCCACTGGCCGCCTCTTTGTAAACGATCGCGTAAGGCTGCGATCTACCGTGTTGTTGGTCGCCAGCAGGTCAGATTCTTTGATAACGGCCCCGGATGAGGGAAAGCCAGAGCCCAGGCCGCCGGTGAGGTGCCCGCTTGCTTCTTGCTGCTGGCGCCTTTTGAGGAATTCTTCATCCTGGCTTGTTGCCGGTCCCACGAAGCCCGTCACGTCGTACGGCATGCCGTCAAAGCCGTTCTGGTCATCCTTGGCGAGCGGGGCGTATGCATCAGAGGTGCCCATGGGGGCGGCGGCCGGGAGCAGTGTTGCCATATCGATGCTCTCTCGGGGGCCGTCGTCCTCCTCAACGATGGTACCGTGGTTCCTTCTGAGCGAGTAGCCGCGCCCAAAGTTCCGGGGAGGCTGCGAATGCGATCCTCCGCCCCCATCTACGGGCTGATAAGCACCACCGCCCCCACCGCCGTAACCTGCGAAGGGCAAGGACCAGCCGGAGACATTTGAAGAGGATCGCGATACATTCTGCTGGGCATATGTGTTGCCCCTCAAGTCGTGCGATGACGGAAGTGAAACGAGTGACTCCCTGCCTCGGAGAGGAGGATTATATGTCTCTGCTGGGCTTGAGTAGGTATCGTAGTCTGTGATGTCAGAGATATTTGATATTCGGTGACTGAGGTGCTGATCAGAAGGAGAAGGAGGCGAATAGGGCTGCCAGGCGCGAGAGCCCGTGCCGTGGGAGTCCATGATCACTTCAACATATTAGGCGACCCGACCAGGGAGCACTCTTGTGGTTCTCCGGGTACGCTAGGCAGAAGGTTATCTCAACGTAGCGTTCGCTGCGAATTCCACAACTACCGGGCTCCTGAGAACTGAAAAAAGGGTCATGAAAGTCGAGGAGTTTGGGGTGAAGATGAGCAGGCAAGGTTGGGGTCGAAAAACCAGAAGAGCTGGATCGAGAGCTACCTATTGAAGTGATCAACGGGACGGCCCCCAAAGAAGCGCGTCCCCCTCGCTATAGGTACTTTAGTGAGTCTCTGTTGGAGGGACCCTGCCTGGTGCGGCTGATTTACGGAGTAAAAGGACCTGCCAGCGGGACGTCGCCTCTAGCTATTAACGATCCAATTAGGCACGGGCCCTAGTGTCGGGATCCAGCAGCTGTCCACTAGACGCGCGGGCCTGTGCCACCGTTCCTGGAACTCAGGCTAGCCCTACCCAGCACCTTGTCCAGAAGGAAAAGCATGCAGGAACACCTAGGCTGGAGTTGAATGGCAGCCAGCCAAAATCAACAGACTCGCCATGACTGCATAACTACTATGTAACCTACCCGCATGGGCCCCACGCTCGGCAACGCTGGTCTTCCTTCTCCCCTATTGTACAACCGCAAGAATACGCCTCATGCTAGACGGTGCTCGGTCCTGGCGCCAAGAATCTTGGAACAGGCATCGGCAAGGACACCGCGCGGCACCCAAGATGTACAGCCCCCGCGATCGAGAGAACCGGTTCACCGAGACGCCTCAAAGAGTGCACCGAGCATCCTCTTCGTCCGCGATCATGATCTTGGTCGCAGAAGGCAATGGGAGCCCTCCCGATCTTCCCCAGCCAGCCGTGACCAAGCTGAGGATCCTCCGGAACAGAGCCCCAGACTAATGCAGCCCAAGCAGCAGCTGGTCGCTAGTGGTGGCAGCCCCAGCCAATGGACTGGGGTGCTTGTGAACAGGGAGGGCAGTAAGACGGGTTATTGATCCTTCGCATGCCCCGATATCCAAGCATTTGTAAGAACTTTCTTGGGGATTGAAATGAGCTTTGGCTGCCCACATCCCCACACAATCACAGCCAGTGTTTGCAATGGAGAAGATGTAAGGTAGTGGGATAATCCACTTGCCAACTACACACAAGTCCCCGGTTTCAAGTCTTGAAAAAGAAGTTGTATCTACGAGGATCAAAAACCTCAGGAGCAAACATTCCAAACTCCCCTTGCACCCTTCCTTCCATCTTGAGCACTTTGGAGAATAAGGCGTCCGCTCGGGACTTCAATCCGGGTAGGTTGGTCAGTAGACCTTGCGCAAGTTGCATCCAGTCGGTGACTTTCAGCAACTCGAGACGAAGAGGCTATGGGCAGAAACCATCAGCTATAGGGTCCTTTGCAGAGGTTTTTCCCCTCCTGGACAAGGCATACGCACCGGGATAACACCGTCCACATCAAAAAGGCCCAACCTTGTGGCTAAAGCTATGGTCTCGGCCGGCGAAGCTTCCCCTTTGATAGCATGAGCTGCGATATAGTGTAGCTTCGAACAACCATCGACTATCTTCTCGATGCCACATCCTTTGGCCTGCTGGTTGCGTAGGAATACGACGAACTGCCTCATCAAGTTCACGTCCGAAAGGGCTTCCGTTGAAAACGGATCGTCGAGCACAGCCGCTAGCAGTAGAAGAGTTGCCGAAAGTGGGTGACAGATCAATCCCCTAAACTACTTAGTCATTCTGCAGAAACATCAGGATAGACCTTCTTACCACATGGTTATGAAAGGGACCCTTGGAAAGTTACGCAAAAGGGCGATGATGGCTCGTGCTGCACTGGTGCATTTAAGCCAGTCTCGTTGCGCCCCTTTCCCGACTGGATTGGAGTCTTGGTGCGGTCGAGGCAGTGTTGAGCCGGAATGAATCTTGATCATCGCACTGTGGTACTCAAAATGCATCCAGACGGCATGTATACAGTTCTGCTCGTCCGGATAATTGTTGATATCAACCAGGGCAGGCACAGCCTGCAACCACTCATCCAGATCGTGTTCTAATCGTAACCGCACTGTTTCTGCATCGTCCTCCTTTCGATCGCCAGAGAGATAGAGTTGCTTGTGTATGCGTGACTGGATAAGGGAAAGGTTTGCCATGATATGTAGAGAGCGTATCGACTTGCCGTCGCCTGTGGTGGGAACTGCTTCTTCTAGCTCGCTGTCCCCATATATAGGAGCCACCCCGTACTTCATTGTCGCATCGGAACTAGCAATTTGAGTTACCCATACCGCCCGTGGAAGCTTCTCAACAAGAGGGCTAGTGTTCGGAGCTTGTTCCTGTCTCTTTGTCAATGTGATAATCCGCAGAACTTGGGCGGCTGCCCCCGTCAGTTGCAAATAGCTTCGGGCGTCTCCAACTGCTCGAAGGAAGATCGCCATGGATACAAAAGCTTCGCAGGCGATAGTATCAGTTCCGGACAATAGAAGTTCCGGAACAGTCGAGTAGGCATTCTTGAAGAATCCCCAAGCCATCGGAGACAACACATCGAGGGATTCATTCGAAGCTCTCAGAAGGACCCCAGAGGCCAATAGTGTATTGAATAGAGCCCATCGGCCAGGATCATCGTCTGTGTCATCATTCGTTGTGTACTGGTTGTCGATTATGCTTCGGTCTGTCAGGATTGTGAGAAGCGGAGAGTAATTGTCTTCGCCGTCCGTCAGTATCAATGCCAGAGCTCTCGCCTCGGACTCCGGGGGACGCGGTGAGAATATGTGCCTCCTGAATGGTTCACGGTCTAGATGGTCCTCTATCCGCTGACGGACCCTATTCAGGTCCTTGAACTTTTGAACTAATGCTCTCATAGGGTTGGAGTTGCTTAGATCCGTGGATGACGTCTCTCCTGGCTCGGAGTCCAGTACATGGCCTCCTGCAACCCCATGCAGGCCAATCATCGGGTTGAGCTCAATGTTATTTTGGGTGGTCGGCGACACTAGCATGAGCAACAGCATAATAATCAGTTGTTATGACTTGATATCAAGGTCGAACATTCTTAGAAATAACCTACCATTGTCCGCTTGACTTGGATTTGGCAACTCTTGCTGCTCACCAGCGACACTTGAATCTTCTTGGCTCTCAGTGCTCTTTTGAAAGGAGGCTTCTAGTCGTTCCAAACGATCTTCAAGACTCTGAATGTAGGCTTTACTATAATGCAATTATATTAGTTGCGTTCCGCGAACCATCTGGCGACGCGTCACACACCTCTTTCCTGGTCCCCTTTGTTTCCTTTGGGTGTATTGGCAAGTGAGAGTCAGTGCCGAACAGTTGCTGCAGGTTGGTAGAGTTCCATCACAACGCTTCTTGCGCCTCCGGCACTGTAGACAAGCCTACAGCCATAGTCAACCACAACTGTCCTAAATTGTTGCTTTAGCGGGCAGTGGGGACTGACACTTGTGATCCTTCCTTGCGCTCTGTTGGCTGCTCGTACCGAGCCTGATTGGTTGCCGTTGGCTTCTTCCATGTTCTTCCAACTATGGTTACAACATCATTATTGTGTGTCTGACCACAACCGAGGGCATTTGTTGCCGTAGTATGTCATCCGAAGCTCGGGAAGGAGTGTGATCCACTTGATTACTAACGTACCCGTTTCTGAAGACATAAGTTCCAATGCAAAAGTCATGTACTAGCTCGGGGGAATTGGGTGGTTTAGGTACCTAAAATCTCACCCGGAGGGAACAATAATTACATCGGAAGTCTTTCGAATACATCCCTTGGTCGGATACAGATTGGGTCCGCTCTAAACCCGTCTTTCAAATCAGTATAGATCCTCCAGGAAGCAAACGGCTAGGTTACAGATGTAGTATAAAATAGCTGTAATCTTTCATTTTGAAATCATGGAGATATCTCAATACTTCAACAGGTTCGATCTATTTTCCCTTCAAGTATAATCTGAAATTCCTTAAAATTCACGGAATCACACCTCTCCTCGCACTTTACACAATGACTGGCTTCCAGAAGATTGCCCTCATGGGTGTAAGTGTCAACCACTACAGAAGAGTCAATCATGTCTAACAAAACGCCCAGAGAGGTTTCCTCGGATCCGCTATCCTTGAGCAACTGCTGAGTGCAGGGTACTCGGTCACAGTTCTGGGGCGCTCGGAAAAGTCCAAAGAAGGCCTTCCAGCCAACGCCAAGTTCGCCGTAGTCGACTACGAGTCCATCGACAGCCTCGAGTCTGCCCTTCGCGGGCACGACGTAGCTATCTCGACTGCTGGGATGACAGCCATCTCCGGCCAGAAGCTGGCCATCGACGCCTGCATCCGAGCCAGTGTCAAGCGGTACATCCCTAATGACTGGGGTTCGGTCACCACCGACCCCGAGGCCGCCCACTTGCCTTTCCTCGTTCCCATGAAGCAGACACAAAAATATCTCACGGAAAAGGCTGAAAAGAACGAGATCGAGTACACCATCTTCTCTGTCGGAGCCTTCACGGAATACGTCGTGAAGGGTATCATCGGTTTCAACTTTGCTGACAAGACGATTCAACTTTTCGACGACGGAAACGGTCGGTTCAGCACTACTAGCGTCGCCAATATCGGCAAGGCGGTCGCTGCGGCTCTGAAGAAACCCGAGGAGACGAAGAATCGAAACCTTTTCATCAACGACCTCGTTGTGTCGCAAGGGCAGCTTGCTTCGTTGGCAAAGAAGTACTCTCCGCCTGGCACCCAGTGGACTGAAACGTCCATCGACTCCAAGGCTCAGTATGATAGGCTCATGAAGGAGGTGGAACAAGGTGCCGACCCCCAAAAACTTCTGCAGCTTCTCATTACAGTTGTTGGAAGCGGGATGTTCGGCGCTGCGTACAAGCGGGTTGACAACGAGCTGGTTGGCCTGCCCCTCCTGACCGAGGAGGACCTGGATGCAAAGTTTGCGGCTGCTTATGGTCAGTGAACCAGATGGTTACGATAGTGCCAACCATTCCAACCTTTCATCGAGTTAGTTGTAGCTTTTAGAGATCTAAACATGATGATCCCCGCGTTGTCCACTCCACAAGCGTTCTCCACTTAGTACATAAAGCAACATCCCGCTCGAAGCCACGACGATTGTGAACTGGCACAGATACACTAGATTACCAGCGACTCTCAAACTACAACCTGCACACCAAAGCACTCGCCGACACAATGCCAGCTACCGAGGTTCAGCGCTGGGTAACCCGGCAAGATGGCGTAGACAACCTCTTCCGGGACAAGGCACCTCTGTCTCGTCCGGGCAGAGGCGAAGTGCTGGTCAAGATCAACGCTGTCTCCCTGAACTACCGTGACGTCGAAGGTTCGTGGCAACCTATGCCCCCAAGTCTGCCGAATAACGTGTCTCACCAGAGCATGCACCTCCAGTCGCCGTGGGCGAGTACAACCACCACCAGTCCGTATCGGCGGCCGACGCCCCGCCCGTCGTGCCCTGCGCCGACATGTGCGGCGTCGTCGTCGAGGCCGGCGAGGGGGCCGACTGGGCCGTGGGCGACCGCGTCGTGTCGACCTTCAACCAGGCCCACCTGACCGGGCAGGTCAGCGCGGAGACCATGCGGCACGGCCTGGGCCTGCCGCTGGACGGCGTCCTGCAGACGCACCGCGTGTTCCCCTCAACGGGCCTCGTGCCGGCGCCGCGATACATGTCCGACGAGGAGGCCGCCACGCTGCCCATCGCCGCCCTCACGGCGTGGATGGCGATCAACCAGTTCCGGCCGCTGGGTCAGCCCGGGGGCAAGGGCGAGGTCGTCCTGCTCCAGGGCACCGGCGGGGTGAGCGTCAGCGGGCTGCAGATTGCGCATGCGGCCGGTGCAACAAGTCAGTCTTGCTTTCTCTCTAACCTTCATTCTGTCGGGTTGGGATTAGTCTCGTGAGGACGTCACTGGCTGACAGGGAGAAATTAGCCATCATTACCTCCTCTTCGGATGCAAAGTTGGAAAAGGCAAAGGCGCTGGGGGCAGACCATGTCATCAACTACCGAAGCGTTCCGGACTGGGACAAGGCCGTCATGGAAATCACGCACGGCAACGGTGCCGACATCATCTTGGAATGCGGAGGGGCTCAGACATTGCGAAAGTCCTTTCGATCGATCGCCTTTGGGGGACTGATTGCCAGCATCGGCTACGTTTCGGGGAAAGAAGACGATGAAGCCGGAGATCGGACCAGCATCAACCTTCTGGCTTTACTTCGCACTGCCACCCTGAAGGGTATCATCAACGGGCCCCGGGATCGCTTCTTGGAGATGTTGAAATTCTATGAGGAACATGAGATTCATCCAGTCATTGACCGCATTTTCACTTTCGAGGAAGGGAAAGACGCATTTAAATATCTTCAAAGCGGAGCACACGTCGGTAAAGTCATCATTCGAGTCAACAGTTCCTGAGAGCATGTCAGGGGCGCAGAACGAAAAGAGAATGCGAATGGTATGGTCATATCGACGCTCCCAGAGATCCTAGTCAAGGCGATTGACTCGTGACAATGTCACAGTGCTTTAGGCCATACTTATGAGAACTTGACATGAGATATAATTTATTCATTATGATACTGTGTAGTATATGTACGCACTCTCAAGAACCGCGAGAGCACCGTATCAAGATCGTAAAGACGCCAGACGCCCTGACAATGAACCGTCTATCTGTTAAACGCCGAAATACAGTCTAAGTGATCTTGAATGGAGATGATACTAAGCATCCGCCCATTCATCTTGCTCTGCACCCGCTCATTGTGTGGTAATTCGACTAGATCCACGCGGCCACTGCGGCCACCAGCGCGATGTACCAGGGCCAAGCTCGAGGGAGCATCTTCATGTCTGCTGCGTTGGCTTTCTTCCCACAGCACACTCGGTCATAGGTTACATTGTTCATCTTGGCGGCCACTTCAAATACCGATCCCGGGGGGTCTCCGTAATTGTAGTAGTCGACATTGAGAAAGTTTGGTGGGCGTCCCCATTGCTCCTTGCACTGCTGCGCCGACACACCCAAGCTTCCGAAACCCGTGGCGTTGTTCGTTTCGTTTAGCAGCGTGGTTGCTGGTACGAGTATGCTGGTGCCCAGAAGCGAGACTTGCACGTTTAGATTGTGGTTGACGAGGTACATGCGCTTCTTGGCATCCTCAACCGACAAGTTCGGCGGGCGCTGAACGGTACAGGGGAAGGCCCGGTCCTCCGGGTCGAAGGGAGTCTCCCACAGCTGGCTGAACTCGTCGAGCAGCCAGGGGTAGGCGGTTTGATTTGCGTTGTAATCAAGAAACATGACGACGCGCTTGCCCGTCAGGATCATGTCCGAGAGGGTAGGCCACTCGTCTAGCGACATGGGAAGGTAGGGCGGCACGTATGCGAAGTCCACGATACCAGTCGACTCGATGTACGGGGCGTACAGCTCAGGTTTGGAATAGTTTCCATTGCCCAGCAAGATGGTAACCACGTCGTATGGGTGAGCCGCGACCCAGTTCTTGACCTTGGTCAGCCAGTCCGTGATGGGCCCCGCGTCGAGAATGTCGCACGAGGTGTGGCAGAAGTGCGGCTGGGTGCCGTTGGTAGGCCACTGGATCTGGGCCTGGAGGAAGCGGATGCCGTCATCGAGCTGCGTGACGACGCCCAGTTCTTGGTTCGAGGCAGCGCTGCCGGCACGGTCGAAGGGCGAGTTGTGGGCGGCAACCATGGTGATATTGCTGTACTTGCGAGCGCAAAACTCGGGCCAGTTATTGCAGGGCCGGGTGTTGGTGACGGCCGGCTGCGTCGCCGTGGAAGATGCCGTGCCCGTCCCGTTGACCGGCCGCGTGACAGTAGTGGTATGGGAGCCGGTGATGAGCGTCACAGTCTCCTCTTGCGAGGTAGCTGTTGACGACGAGCCCGTAGAGTTGGACGTCATCGATGTGCCCGAGCCGGACGGCGTCGAGGCCAAGGTGATCTTGGAGGGAAAGGACTGGTAAGTGCCTGTTGCCGGCGCCTTTGTTGACACCGATTTGGTGCCGGTGAGCACTGTGATACTTGTCTCGTCTGTCTTTGCATTTTGCGCCGCCGCACCCGCCAGCGAGGACAATACGAGGAGAGGTAGGAACATTAAAGAATACATTATGGCGGTATAAGAGACATAGAGGACAAGCTCGGGAGGTGAGGCCAGTCCTGCATCGGCAGGGCACGATAAAGTTACGAAATCAACAAAAACAAAACGGACGGACGAGGGTCAGTCCCAAGGCTGCATGGAACAGCCGCGAGATATGGTAAAAGAAAAACACGATAGTCTAATGACTTGTCAAAGGAAGGTGTGATGTTTGGGACCCAAGTTCCGTCATCGAACGTCAACGTCAGCCCTCACCCCCCCGTTGGAGCTTCGGCATCTGGACTGACGACTCCTGGCTCGCTAAAATTTAGTGAAGGATGTGTGGGTTAAGGGGGAGGCCCCACTGACAAGACCCGCTAGAAATCGTTGGTACCCAGCCCTGGAGGGCTGTGCTTGGCACCTGGACGGACGCCATGTCACCACTGCAGTTCCATCCAATCTAAAGCGGTTTTGACCGCTATAGCTCGTAAAGAATCAATGGCAGAGTGAGGGGTGTGGAAGATGCGTTAGTTGATTAATTCAGAAATACGATGATCTGGGAGACTATTGCGTTTTCTGCAACGATATCAGGGCTGAAATTCAGCCAAGGGCATGACTTCATGTTTCTAGAGTCTTGACTGCTTCTGAATGACGTCGATCTCCCCTGAGTCCACCGAGAAGTTTTTGGAGTAGGGATGGGCCGGCGGCTCTTGGCGATCGACAGCTACCCGCTGAAAAAACCCAGCTTGGAGATGATGATTGACGGGAGTGGTACTGTTGCTGTGGTTCATTCAATAGTTATTCAGTCCTCACCAAATGTCTGAAGAAAGAAGTCATGCGGCTCGTGAAACATGTTTAATGTCGTCCATGACCTGTCAATCGTGAGACACAAAACAGCCCTGGGAAAACATCCGGCTGCGCCACTGAGCAGAGCAGGGTTCAACGCCCAGTTAAGCTTACACGATCAATTCCCCATCCCTCCCTCAAATGTCCCATGGTCTTGCCGACCTAATAGTGGAACCAGACGCGTGTCTATGGAGGACTTGCAATCCGGAGACCGTAGTTGTTAGATCCGGGCGCTGTAATCTGGGCGGCTCTCCTCAGCAACTCCCTCCTCGTCTCTAAGAGCCCTGGGAAAGAATGGCTCAATGGGTAGCGTGCTGAACCCACATGCTACCCACCTGTCCTGCTGGCCTGTCGATCAGCACTCCCAGAATCTTGATCTGCCGTGGTCCTGTGCCTTGGCTCCGATCGAGCAGCACGGGATTCTTTCCCATGACCAGGTTCAAGCTGCTGACCTGTTGAGCATCGTGAGCCTGACCCCAATTCTTTCGTTTCAGATAACTGCTCAGCTGGTTCTGGCTCTCCTTCCACATCTTCATACCTTCCTCTCTGAACCGGGCATCGTCCTTGATCTCGGCGAAGGGGCCTGCCAGCCTTTCGCAGGCATCGTCTTGAGCTTCAGGCGCACGTCATAGATACCCGTTCATCATGGCGCTGCCGTCAATACTCGGCATTCGAAAACGCCATCAGACCAACGGACAACTTTCGACAAATTTAGATACCCAGTCGGCATCGACACGTTACGGCAATGTCTCCAAGGCAGATCTCAAGAGGGCCACCAAGACGCGCCGCATTGCGACGATGATCGCCTCGTTCTCATATCTCCTATCCGTCATCTTTCTTCTCCTGGTAAATACACACGACAGCACGCCGCACCGGCCCAAGAAACTAACCAGAGACTAGGTGATCATTGGCAACATTAATGGTTCTGGTGCTCTTCCTTCGATCTACTTCTTCAAGCTCGACCTGGCGGACATTATCCCCCAGTCAGCACCCAATGCCAACCTGATCAACTCCATTGCGAGAACCATTGGTCTTCATGACTTTTACCAAGTTGGCCTTTGGAACTTTTGTGAGGGCTATGCTGATACGTAAGTCTTGATTCTTGGGACTCTCTCAGGCCGAGTGATACAAATTGCTGACATCTATGAAGCGGCATCACTTATTGTTCAAAGCCCCAGAGGCTGTACTGGTTCAATCCTGTCAAGATCCTCATGAATGAGCTGCTTGCAGGCGCGACCATCGCGCTTCCCACGCAGGTCGTCCAAATATTGGACATTCTGCGGCTCACCTCACAACTCATGTTTGGGTTCTTCATGGCCGGAATTGTGCTGAACTTCGTCCTCATGCTCGCCTCTTTCCTGGCTGTCCGTTCGCGCTGGGTCAGCCTGCCTTTTGGCATCATTTCCTGTCTCGCCGGGCTCGTCGTCCTTGCCGCAACTGTTATCGGCACCGTCATCAGCCTCGTGTTTAAAATCGCCGCCGAATCTCAGTCAGAGCTCAACATACACGCTTATGTCGGCGTCAAGATGTTTGTCTTCATGTGGCTGGCTGTGGGGTTCACTGGCCTCAGCTTCATCATCCACTCCGGCATGGGTTGCTGTTGCACATCGCAAAGGGACATCAAGATTGGGCGGAAGAAGATACGCGAGAAGAGCCCTGTAGCTTCTACTGCAAGCTGAGGCTACTGTCTCATCGTCAGGCGAGGAACGTTTACCAATCGTGTTGGAATTTTGTCGCTCGCAAGAATGTTTGCTGCCCAATCTTACACACAACTGGCCAACACCAGAGCTCTGGTGAAACTGGCTCACCACACCTCGACGGGATTAATCTTATAGACATAGATATAGAATAGGCTAGCGCCGCATTTATCAGCAAAACATCGAATACCAGGAAATACACCAAGAGGTATAACGTGAAGATCTGTAACATATCAGTCGAAGATGGTACTGATTCTCTCTGGCTTTCTAGGCTTGTCTTGCAGCAGGCGCCACTAGATCCAAAGCAATCCTGTAAACACATCACCTCAGTAATCCAATGGCATTTTATGCCAAAATATCCCCGAGGCTGAGTCGAATCGCTGGTGGTAGAGTCGGTCATCGAGGCCCGCTTCCTCGGAGTTGGGACACTTGGAGGCCGACGTCAGCTCGTGGTGGAGACCCCACATTCGCAGTGGTGATCAACTTCATCCAATTCGGGCATGAATGGCATTGGTGTTCATCAACCTTCCTAGCCGTCTTTTGCTTTTTGGTTCTATTTCGCATTATCGTAAAGTTTGTTCCGCATGGCTTTGACAGATATCCCGAGGTTTCATCGCAACAATGTCCAGACACTGCGACGGTCTCCCCTGGCCGAGATCTCGGGAGCTCTCGGGGATCTAGGCACTCTCCTACCTCTCATGATAGCCCTCGCCATACAAGGCTCTATATCCCTCTCGACCACTCTTGTCTTTTCAGGCTTTTTCAATATAGTGACGGGGGTTGTATTTGGGATACCGCTCCCCGTCCAGCCCATGAAGGTAAGCTCTGCAGCCAAGAACAGCAGTCTTTCAGTTTTACTAACACCACACTCGCAGGCAATAGCAGCGGCAGCTATCGCCTCCCACTCCTCCCTGCGCGATACCGTGGCTGCCGGCGGCCTCGTCAGCGCCGCGGTGCTTCTGCTCAGCGCCACCGGCCTCCTCCGCCGGCTGACCGACTTCATCCCCGTCCCCGTCGTCAAGGGCATCCAGTTCGGCGCCGGCCTGTCCCTCATCATCTCGGCCGGGTCCACCCTGCTCCGGGACCTCCCCTGGGTCGCCGACCCCTTCGACAACCGCCTCTGGGCCCTGCTAGCCTTCCTCGCCCTCGTCCTCACGCAGAAGCGCCCCACGCGGCGCTTCCCCTACGCCCTCGTCATGTTCCTCCTCGGCCTCGTCCTGTCCCTCGTCGCCGTCGTCGTCGGCACCACCGCCCACCGCGGCGCGCGCCTGCCCTCCCCGGCCCTCTGGCGGCCCCGCGCCCTGCTCCCGGCCTTCGCCTCCGCCGACGCCTGGTCCATGGCCGTCGCGCAGCTGCCCCTCACGACGCTCAACTCGGTCGTCGCCGTCGCGAGCCTGGCCGCCGACCTCTTCCCGGACTACGGCCGCGCGCCGTCCGTCACGGCCATGGGCCTGAGCGTCGGCGCCATGAACCTCGCGGGCTGCTGGTTCGGCGCCATGCCCGTGTGCCACGGCGCCGGCGGCCTGGCGGCGCAGTACCGCTTCGGGGCGCGCAGCGGCGCCAGCGTCGCGCTGCTCGGCCTGTCCAAGGTGGCGCTCGGCCTGGCGTTCGGCGAGACGCTGCTGGACCTCATGCGGTGCTTCCCCCGCGCCGTCCTGGGCGTCATGGTCGTCGCCGCGGGGCTGGAGCTGGCGGCCGTGGGCCAGAGCCTGAACCACGGCGCGCCTGACCTGTGGGAGGAGGCGCTGGCGGCAGACGGGGCCGGCGGGACGGGCGACGCGGCCGCGGCGGCGCAGAGGATGGTCGCGGGGTTCAAGAGGCACAGAGACATTTCGGACGAGGAGCGCCGGGAGCGGTGGACGGTCATGCTGATGACGACGGCGGGCATCCTCGCGTTCAAGAACGACGGCGTGGGCTTTGCTGCTGGTATGTTGTGCTTTTGGGCATACAGGCTATCTGACTGGCTGGACCGGAAGACTGGGGGCCGTCTGTCTGCTCCCGAGTCTCGTCCGCTACTGCATTGAGGCAACGACGTTACTTGGCCAAAGAGGGCACGAACATGATTATAAAAAGTTTATTGGCTAGGCATATAATCAATCCCACGTCCCGATTCATGGCATACCAGGTTGTCATTCACTCTCGAGGCATACAATCTCCACTTGGGGGTCTTCACACGATACTCCCGGGGGCAAAGGAACGATCCGTGGTCACTCTCTCCAGTTTCTTCAGGAAGCCATCTTCGTCAATCCCAATCTCGAGTCCGTCACGGTGCTGCTCCTTGACCTTGTTCAGCAGGAGGTTGTTGTATACAAAGAAGAGCAGCATGCATGTCAGTGTCACACTCGCCTCCACAATGGCAACCACCGTGGCAGAGGGGCCCCAGTCACCACGCTGTTGGCTGTAAACGATCGTCAGAGTCGAGAGCAGGCCGGCGATCCCGTTCAGTATCCCGGGCATGTACAGCTTGTTGAGCAGCCAGATGTAGTTGTGTCGCCACCTCAAGGCCAAGCAGAACATGCCCAAGCCCCCCATACTGCAGAACAAAACCCCGACAATGATGAAGGGGGTACTGTTAGCAGCCGCCAGGCGTAGATTGGACCCCGAATCGTTCTGGGTCGAGGCATCGTCACTCGATTTGGGGATTGAGTTGAGAGCCCCAGCGGAGATGATGAAGCCGGCGAGGAGGATCCACGTGAGGAGAGAGGCAATGATATTGTGCAGGCGCGGAATGCGGTCCAGAGCTAGCAGCATGCTCATGTACTTGGTATGGGCGAGCGTCTGCCGGCTCGAGGTAGAGAAGGCGGATATGCCGGGGCCGGAAGTCCCCAGGGGCATGGGAAAGGGCGTGATGGTGCGCCCGGGTTGAGAAAACGCCGTCGCGGTCGTGCCGGTCTCGGCGCTGGCACGCCGCACATCGCGCTCGGGACGGCCCAAGCTATGCCGGACACGTGGCAGAGGCCAGGGCGATTCAAGTTGAATGAGCAGGTCCCTGCGCAGAGACTGGCGGCCGAGGTCTCTTGAGCCGCACTGGCGGCCGCTGGGATATACGGAAGGGTTTTGGGGGGTCTGAGCCGGTGTCGAAGATTGCTCCATGGTCAGTGGCGTACATAAGAGGCAACAAAGGAGGGCGTGCTTGGAATAGCATCGATTCAAGGCAATGGGTAGCCTGTGGATGAGGGACTTTCAGTACGTTGTAGCAGTTCTTGTTGTCAGGGTGTCAAATGCGTGAAGCTGGATGGTTTAGCAAGGTAGGTGTAAGTTACTGATCAAAATAGGATGTCTGAATGATCCAGATACCGTCGGAAGGAGGCACATTATATACGCGTGTCTACGAACGACATTGCGTTCCTGAAAGGAGCGTAGCCGTTGTGAACGGTTGAGGTTAGCTTGGGCTGAAGCAAGGTCCATGGAAGAGAACCTGACATGTGGCGCATCCCAAAACCGCACTTGACGGGTATCGAATCAGTTCGCGATGCTGTGGCATCAGATCAGAGTTGACGGCCCAAACCCGGATAGACTCCTTGACACGTCGGCTCGTTGGTGCGGATTGGCTGTGGTTCTCATACCTACCCAAAACTTGCCCAATACGGAGTGTTCATGTTCCCGTCATAGGCTCCTCTTGACAGCGATTGCTTGCATATGCCGAAACCCGTTCTCCCAGACACGATTTGACTGGCTGCCCCCGTGGGGGGTTCCGGGGGAAGCGCTGTCCCTGTTCGTCTTGACTTTAGTGTTTGGCGATACTTGATAGGTGCGCATTGCATGATGCTTGGGCCGTTGATGCCTTGTACAAGTACCAACTGCCCTACAACGAGGAAAGCTGCAGGTCTGGTCAATGACGGACCGCATGAGCCAGTCTGGAGAAAAGAAGGTACCACCTGGGTACCAACCTCGAGTGATCTCGGGCTTGGTCAGGACTGGGTCGGGCTAAGATTCTCCTTCGGGTTCCCGTGGTTGACGCATGGTGGTGACCGCGATCCATCCACACATCTTACATGCTACGAGGCGACTGAGTGACTGAGTGGAGTATAGACCTCAAGTCTCGATCCAAAAAGATAGAGAGGTAGCCATTCCGACTGGGCTCCCACTTCCCATGGCTTGATGTACAGTGATTTGAGGTGACTCCGGACTGCAGTGATCACCCAAAGAGATGCACAATGTTGAAGAAGACGATCATGACATCGAGGATCACAGTTAGTTAGGTTCTGTTGATGGTAGGTACCTAGGTAGAAGGAACGCAGCGATCCCCTGCACTAATACCTACCTACCTACAGTACTTGCCTTAAGGAAACCGCCTCTGATAAGTAAGAGTAATATCTATCTGCTCAGTTCAACTTCGTACCAAGGGCGACTGGCTGTCTGGAAGAGGGGAAGGAGCGCCCATCGGTCGGACACCAAGGATAAGTCCCGCTTTTTCCAATTCGTAGTGGAGACAATGGAGGGTCATCAGCCAATCAGCACAGCCAAACGTGGGCAGGAGCAAGGGAGGTGCGGTACAGTTGAGGTGGTTGCCCCAGCTAAACTTTTTTTGGGATGCGCGATTGGACGCTGCAGGCAGGCAGGACTGGCTTCGACTGGGTCGCTCCCTCGCCTGGCCAGGTTAGAGTCGGGGCAGAATTATTGTTGCTGCCGCCGAAGCGACGACTTTCGCATCGTCTCCTCTCACCACCCAACCCAGTCGCAAATCGACCCAGGCCCTTCCATCCCCCATCCACCGGCCTCCCGGGGCGCAAGACGAAGGAGCTGTCCCTCTCCGACCAGCGATGACTTCGTCCGCAGTTGCCAGCGGCCAGCTTGGCCTGCCGACGAAGTCCGCGACGCCCCCGCCTAAGCCCGAACCTGGGTCACCGCCCAGCACCTACGATGCTGGTTCCAGTTACCACGGCGCACCACCGCCGGTTGAGCCTACTCAGACCCAGGGCGAGGCTCGGCCCTCAGACCAGCAGCAGATGCTACAAAATGTCGAGGCTTCCTCAGCGGCCGTGGCTCCTACAAAACCCGAGCCAGACAGCGCGCCTGCCGAATATACCGGCGCAACAACAGAGGCGACTCCCTCTACGCCCGTTGCGACAGTACCGAAAACCGAGCCGCAAGATCTGCAGCCAAACACCATGAATCTGCCCTCATTTTACAACACGCCTCAGAACATGCCGCTCTATCCCGCAAACGGCATGTCTTCTGATGTCATGGCCATGATCCAGCTGGCCCGCATTGCGAATGCCGAAGTCATGAGCCGCCACCATGGCAACACTGTCACTCCTGCCGAGGTGTCCATGCTGACCCCGAGCCACGAGATGGCCGACCCCCTGACCATGGGGAATGGCGCCAACACCACTGCTGTTGCCGCCGCCATGTCACAAGGCTTGGAGTCGTTCGCGCGCATAGAGTTCGCCGACAGCGTCTTCCAGATGACCACCTATGCCGTCATCATCGGCCGTGATCAACGTGCTCTGAACCAGGCACGTCTTGATGAAAAGCGAAAGCAAGAATACAACAGGCAGGTTGAGGAATACACCGCCAAGGGCCTTCCTGTACCAGCGCCACCCTCTCCAACGCGTGGCAAGTTTAGTAAATCCTACGTCAGTGAGGAGGGCGGTATGCTGGGTCCCGAGTCCGACGGCGACGAAAACCCACGACCATCAAAACGGAGAAAGACTCACAGCGCCGCGGGCTCATCGTCCCACAACTCACATCAACATCAGGAAGATGCCGTCGAAGCCCAGCAACCCGCCGATGCCAAGAGTCAGAATCTGATCTCAAATAGGCAATATGTTTCCCACACACCTGGTGCTGCCACCGTTGACCTGGAATCTCTCCGTCCCTCGCCTCACCACGTGCCCTTCATTGGCATTCACTCCCCCGGGCCTGATATCGCAAGCCGGACCAAGGCCATCTCGCGAGAACATTTGAAAATCAGATATAATCGTGAAAAGGGTGTATTTGAGGCAATTCCACTCCACAGAAATGGCTTTTTTCGAGATGACATACATTACAAGGACGAGCCCGTCATCCTCAAAAGCGGTGACAGGCTCCAGATCAAGGATGTCGACTTTGCCTTCATTATCAACGGCGTCAAGCACGGGTGCACGGGAGCAGAGGACGAGTTCGAGGAAGAAGAGACTTCGAGTAAACGTTACTCTGAAGGCGGAAAGGAAATGAGTTTCGAGTTCGAAAGCTCACATGCGGGAGAAGTACAGGAAACCAGCGATGAAGAAGAAGCTGCTGAAGGAGAAGAGAGTGATAAAGCATCCGCCGATGGCGATGAGCGAGAAGCAGACGAAGACGAGGTTATGGAAACCGTTGAGTTGGATGAGCAGGGCGGCGACAAGGCAGCTCTCCTTGACCCTCTACTGGGTCTACCGATGCCCCCCAAGAAGCGAGGACCTGGTAGGCCGCCCAAGAATGGGATCATGTCTAAGAGAGAAGAGCGACTTCGCAAAAAGCTGGCTCAGGAACAAGCCAAGAAGACTTTGCCACAGCTGCCTCCCGGAGAGCCACCAGTCAAGAGGAAGGTCGGTCGTCCCAGAAAACACCCACTGCCGGAAAATGCTGGCGACAAGCCGGAAAAACGCAAGTACAAGCCTCGCAAACCCAAGAACCCCGAGGACGGTGCTGGATCCGATCCAGAGAAGGCCATCAAGGAGAAGAGACGAGAGAAGCCGAAGACTCCGCCACTCGAGCTCAAGGTGGAGGACTTTACGCCTGCTCAACTCGAAAAGCCCAACAAGAACTATGGCGTCCTTATCGACGAAGTACTCTCAGAAGCACCGCCTGAGGGACTTACCCTCAAACAGATCTACAAGAGGATCCAGAAAAAGTACCCCTTCTATTACTTCAACGTCGAGACCAAAGGATGGGAGAGCAGTGTCCGTCACAATCTCATTGGAAACGATGCTTTCAGGAAGAACGAAGAAACACATCTCTGGAGTCGTATACCGGGTATTGAGCTCGACGCGGGCAAGAAGCGGAAAGCGAACTCTCCTGATCAGTCCACCGCCGCTCTTCACAACCTCAACCCACAATGGAACCCACAGATGCCGCACCCTCAATTCCACGGCGATCACATGGCTGCAGGACCGCATGGCTTTAGACCAAGCCCATTACCAGCTCCAACACATGGCCTGCCAATCGTCAACAACCAGGCTATGGCGAATCCGCCCAACTTCCAGCCGCAGCCCGGACTGGCGGGCTCGCCGCCACAGGGTCAGAACCCGGCGCGGCCTGCCTTTCCGCTTCCACCACAGGCCCCTGCCCCTGCCCAACTGCCAGGGTATGGCCCGGCAGCCGTCCAGCGCCAATTGCAGATGGGTGCGCAAGCTGGCTCGTATAGTTCCCCATATGCGCCCAAACCACCGCAGACGCCTGCGGCCGGCGGCGCTGCTGGCCAACAAGCACCGGTCATTCAACGGCCTGCGCAACCAGCGACCGCCGTTCCACGACCACAGGGACAAATGCCACAGCCTGGGGTACCTGCGGGTCAACCTAGCAGTGTTGCCGCAGCCAGCAGCGCGACGGTTACCCCGGCTGTCGCGGGTGCGTCTAATGGCGCAGCGGTCACGCTCAAACCTGTGGTCGATCCGGAGCTGTTCAATTTCCTCAAGACGTTCAAGAACCAAGTCATATCACAACTCGAGAAGCGCTTCAACAAGGCCGAGGCCATAGCCATGTCCGTCATCAATCGGGGTATTGGACTCTCGACTGAGAGCATCGTCCCGGAGCACGAAAACATCGAGAAGATCATTTCAGGTGTCTTTGACACTGCGAAAAAGAAGTTTCCTGACAGCAAGAATCTGGATCCCAAGTTGATCTCCATTCTGACCACTTTCAAAGCTGGCTGGGTCGATACGCTAAAGCCGAAGCTTGGGCAGCCCAAGTCGGAAGCTCTGCTGCTTTCTGCGATTGATCGTGTGCTCGGTTTCACCGACAAGAGTATCATGCATCCGGCGAACGACACTGAGAAGGAGGAATTCGAACAGGCTGAGAACCTGTTCATGCCGCACATCAAGCAACAAGTTGAACAGTATCAGCGGACCATATCACTAGGGAGATAGTCACCATGGGGGACCAAGCAACATCCGGCGTTATGCTTTTCTGATGTTTTAGAGTGCGGCCACATGTCGCCATGTCTTATGATCACATTTGGGAGGGCTACAAAAATATCTGGTAGAACATGTCCTTTTGGTACGATGGGACCTAGGGCGGGTGTTCGGAGGGATTAATCTGAGCTGCATACATACCCCTGATTCAAGGCTCTCGAGCGAATGAAAGTAATGATTTTGGCGACGTTTCTTTTTCATACCTGCGAGGGCTTGTTATGTTGAGGAGAGCTCTGGTGGGGTGGTAGCTGTGAGAGATGGTGATACTGTGACGAAGGGCAGGCGGCGCGGGAGGAGATGATCTATGTCAGTGAGAGCCAGAGCCAGCAGGCCAACGACGAAAAGTCCACACAGTCAAGCTGTTGGTCGGAATGTATGTAGGAGTATCCAATTATGGGTGTATTTCTCGATTCGACGACTGTAATCGTGAGCGCAGAACGCCGTGACATCATGATGCTTTACAAGAATTGGCAAGAAAACGAAAATGAAAAATGAAAACAAATGCCCTCTCATGACCAAGCTCGACCTGTCTAGATGCAAACCCGAGTCTCCCGAGCCCAACGAGCACACGCATCACATCGTCGTTCGTCCGCATACACACCATGGTCTAGACGACAACTTGCTTCTCTCATAGCTTGGCGCTGTCGGCCACAGTGCCGACCTTGAGCTTGCCGGCGTACTTGTCCAGCACCTTCTGGTTGTGGTACTTCCAGAACTGCTTGGTGGCGTCCTTGCCGGCCATGCGCTTCAGGATCTTGGCGCCGCCGGGATGCTCCTCCAGAAAGCCTTGTGCGGTTGGCAGTTGTCTTAGTAAACGGCGCGAAATCCTTGAGGGGAGGGCAGGAAGAGGGTTTAATCACGAACCGGCAACGTCGTAGACGCCGTCATCTACGATGATGAACATGCCCTCCTTCTCGTCCTTGTGCTTGGCGACCTCGGCCTTGGTGAACGACTTGGACATGTTTACGGATCTGGACTGTGGACAGGGCCTGAAGCGATTCTATGCGATGGCGTACAGAGAAGAGTTGCAGGCCGTGAAGCAGCAGTATAGCGGATTGCAAAGCGATGGTTTGTCGTGAGATGGCAAGATTGAGCGTGCCGAGAACTTGGAGAACAGGTCACACTTGAGGTCATCGAGGCTTGTTAATCCCAGCGACGCCTTTGGCTAGATCGGGGGGGGCAGGCTCATGGCGGACCTCGGCTTGTTTTCCTGGGGTTTGCGGAGATGGCGCCGCGTGATAGGCCGTGCCTGGGGCACTACCCTAACCCTGGGCCAGACCTCGGGTGAGCTAAGAGCGGGAAACATAGTTGAGTACAACGCGCTATTCACAGTCAACAAACTCCGTGCACAACATCTTGAAACAGCCTCGCGATATGGCTGGAAAAGGACAATGCCGAGTGGCTTGAACGAGCCCATAAGGCTGAATACTGGAAAGGGGTTGACTTGCTGCTCCGCCGCATACGCCTTCCCGAGGTAGGAGATCAGCGGTAAGCTCCGGGAATGGGTGGCCTGGAAAACATCCGGGCTCCTGACCTCGTGCGCTTCGACTATTGTTCCATGTTCTTCCCTCCTATTTCTACTTCTGGTTTCTGTATGCCGTGTTATCACAGCAAACTTGGGCTCTGATTTCCGACAATGTGCTGATGACTAGATGGCTGCATAATATCTGTTTCGCCTACTTTACAATGGCTTCATCTCTTCCTCCCGGCGACTCGGAGCATTTCTCATAACCTGGAAATCCTCATAGCCCACCACGGCAGCGAGTGCGGCCGTGGTGAACACGTACTTCGGCACTGCGACGCTGTGGCGTGAACCCGCTGGCACTTCAAGGCACTGTCAAGTGATCGTCGTCATGCTGCTGTTGCATGTCAATATGTGGTCGAGTGACCCCATTCGCCATTTCGGGTCGCAGGGAGTGTTTCCGCCTTGTCCCTAATCTGGAGCCGGCCGGTCTGCTGGCCAACCCCACACACGCGGTACATGGAAGAGCCTCGTTGCGTGCGTACGCCTCCAGAGGTGCTCTCCTCTCGGCGTCCCTACGGAGCGTGCCCAATCTGGGTGCGCAATGTATCGAATATAACGCTTATATTAACCGGCCTCCCTCGCAGGCCTGGGGACCCCGCCATGTCAGATTGCCGACTGCAGCGGCCCCGTGTTTCGGCAGCGCGGCGATTCGCTGGAGGCGTTCGCCGTGCTCCCCCAAGCAGGGATGGGGGACGCCTGGGCACTATGGGAATCGTCTTCTGCGCACTTCTGCGCTGTCCGGGAGTTGACGCCCTCGGCGCTTTTTCTGTGCTTGAGAGGGCGGCCGGCGTTATATTGGTGTTGTGCTGTTGTCGAGTGGCCGTCTGCCGAGCACATTGCGCGGCGTGACGAACCTGCACGGGGGATGATATACATATAAAGGAGAGGCTGTATCCTCGGATTTCCCAGAAACTCGTGTGTTCTGCTGGCCTTCAGATACCGCTTGACCAGATACGTGATAGTAGTCAGTTACAACTACCGGGTCATCATGAAGTTCTCCTTGGGAGCCGTCGTGGCGTTTTGTGCTGCCGCCCAGGCGCACTGCATCTTCCAGGTTTGTCACCCGTTTTTTTTCGCATTCACGTTGTTTTGCGTGACGAAAGAATAATAACCATTTTTTTTTGTCTTTGTACGCGTGTACTGACGGAGAGACTCTTCTACCAACAGCAAATGTCGGTCAACGGCAAGTCGGCCGGCCTGCTCAAGGGCCTCCGCGCGCCCAACAACAACAACCCGGTGCAGGACGTCAACAGCAACAACATGGTCTGCGGGCAGCCCGGCTCGACCTCGCAGGACGTCATCGACGTGGCGCCGGGGGACAAGATCGGCGCGCTCTGGCAGCACGTCATCGGCGGCGCGCAGTTCCAGGGCGACCGCGACAACCCGATCGCGCACTCGCACAAGGGCCCCGTCATGGCCTACCTGGCCAAGGTCGACAACGCCGCCTCGGCGGCCCAGCAGGGGCTCAAGTGGTTCAAGATCGCCGACGACGGCTTCGACACGGGCAGCAAGACGTGGGGGGTCGACCGCATGATCCAGAACCAAGGGTGGTCCTACTTTACCATGCCCGCGTGCATCGCGCCGGGCCAGTACCTCCTGCGCGTCGAGATCCTGGCGCTGCACTCGGCCAAGAACCAGGGCCAGGCGCAGTTCTACCAGTCGTGCGCCCAGGTCCGCGTGTCCGGCAGCGGCAGCTTCGCGCCGTCGCAGACGGTCAGCTTCCCCGGGGCGTACCGCGCCAACGACCCGGGCATCCTGATCAACATCTACGGCCCCATGGGCCAGCCCGACAACGGCGGCAAGCAGTACAAGTCGCCGGGTCCCGACGTGATCCAGTGCTAGAACGGTGGTGCAAAATGTGGGAGTCCGGTCGGCCCAGGGGGGCTTTCGGAGGGTGGCCATTGCGTGAGGCGGCAGGCTGGCCGTCGGCCGTGAGAACAATGACCATTTTTTGTCCGCTTCGCATTCACGGCATAGCAATAGCTCCTGTCCCACCTCAAATGTCAATAGCATTCACCAATCACACAGCGCAGCCACATTGAACAGCCTAGGTACAAGTAGTTGTATGTGACTACCATGTAGAGATTCTTGGAAAGTGTCTAATCACAAAGCTGATTTTGCCTATCTCGCCCGCGTCTGGTTAGGAATGCTCTTGTCTAGGTGCTGGGCATGCTTGGCTGGCTCGGGTCCAAGCATTGGCGTTCTGAATAGCTTCTCACCGCCTCGAGGCTGCGATGGGAGGGAAATCCGGTTCGCCTCACTACCGTTATTTTTGCGTGTGTAGAGTCTCAAGACAGAGAGAGGGACTGGACTGGCAGGCACATTTATCGTGAGGGGATATCAACTGGATATGGCGCAGAACGCGAGGCCCCGAGATCCGCGGACAGAGATAGAGCTAGCGGTGATAAGGCCGGCCAATGCTCGGAAGCGCGGAGGGCGCGGTAGGCCGCGAGTCAGCTCCCCCCCCCCCAGCAGGCCAGGCGAAACGGCCGGGTGGGCTCAGCTGTATCAGAAGGATCGCCCTGTTGGAGCCAATTCCCAGGCGAGCAATTGCACCAGTCATTAACGTGGTGGCTGGCTGGCTACTCGAGCAACACGTGCTGTTTCTGAGCCTTGCACCAAATGTGTCTATTTTGACTGACGACGCTTGCGGTGTCTCGTTGCATTCCACGACCTTTTTTTTCTTCTGGATATGCAGCTTGATGTGATGGGACCAAGGAAAAAGAAAATTCTGGATGCATGAGAAATATGGAGCGCTACGGGCTTGTCCGGGGGGGATGGACAAGAGTAAGCGACAGCAACCTATTCCATTTAGTATCGCCATCCATGTTCGTCGCGAGGGCATCAAATCGCTCACTCATCAGCAATACGGAGCACAAGATTGGGCTCGGCAATCGGTATTGTGACGGACATAGCCAGAAGACCCGCCCCAAAAAAAACAACAATGGCGGCAAACGAAAACAAATGGGGAGAGGAGAGGAGAGGAGAGGAGAGGGCAGGGAATGCGCCGGGGAGTAGGAAACAACCGCACGAAGGGTATGTACAAGAGGGTAGGGGGGTGCGCATCAGTCATCCGCTCCATGATCCATCTCGTGGGCTCGGCCGGCTGCTGCTCGAGGCGGACTGAGCGGCGGGCGGCCATCGCATCCTATCCCCCAGCAAATTGAAGAGCATCGCAAAACAACGCATTTTTCTATCCGCCTCCACACCGACCCATGGAGAACCCGAGGAAGGTAGGCAGGTACTTGCGATAACTCCCATTGGACTTTGGAAGCTCTGGGCACGCCCTCCAAGAAGTCCGAAGTAGATGCCCAGGCTCGGCCCAGCCGCAGGCGAGAGGCACCACTGGCCCTTGAGTGCGTGCGTCTGGGGCTGTCTCTTTGATGATATAGTTAGTTACCTGCAGCTCGCCCCGAATTTGACCATCGATCATGGTACAACTAGTTACGGGACCTTGGGTATCGTCATACTTCGTAGCTCGACACGAACGCAGCTCGTGTAGTTACCCTGATCGCAGCCTCCCGCTGTCTAGCAAGAGTGCCAAGACCTGGAGTGCAGCATTGACTCGAGCGACAGAGCACGGTGGCACTGTTTGACCAGTCAAGTTGCGCCTGTGAGCGAGCTCTCAGCTTCCCACTGGAGCCCAGATACATGTACAAGTAGTAGTGAAGTTGGTGAAGCATCGCATCGCTCATTCTCAGGTACCGATAGGCGTTAGGAAGTACCTGATTCGGCACCGGTCATGCAGGTGGGTAGCTCGAGCACCGAAGCAGATTGATGCCCCCATATTTCGTCACTTCGCGAGTGCCCACCTTTTGGGGATCCCTGCTTGATGGATGCGGCATTCGCAATGGGGATAATTCGCGCAAAAAGGGCAACGTAAGAGAGAGCCACAAGGGCCTTTTGGTGGCCACGGCGACACACCCACGAACTACAAGTAGCTAACTGCTTGGGGCGTATACAGCACACAGAGCACAGAGCTCCTCTAGTACTGGGGGGGCCTCTTTTTTTTTTTTCTGCGCTCTCTCTCACTATCTCACTCAGATTCCCTGCCGTTTCCCGACCAAGCTTTTTTTTCTGCCCACTAGCCCCGGTCCTGGGGCCCACTGCAGCACCGCTAAAACTCACTGACCAGAAAACTGACTTGATTACTACTACCGCACATTTCCCACCGATCCCGAAGCTTTCTTCCCTCTCTCCTCTTCCCTTCCTTTTTTCCCCTCCAACGCACTCGACGCCGAAAAAAAACAAGAGACTTCTTCTTTTTGTTGCTCGCCAGCTTCAGATCGCATCCCCAATCCTCCCTCCTGCTCAGACTCGTCTCTGCCGTGTGTGCTGTTCGCTTCCACCACCCGACGACCGCCGTCTTTTTCTCCACTCTGCCCCCAGCGCAATAACAACAACGCGTGCCAATCCGATCACCTGAGAATCACCACCTCCAATTCAAAACAGAAAAAGGTAATTCCGCACTCCCTGAAGCCATCACGACGTCGCACGAGCCCTGCGGCCCTTCAATTGCTCGGTCCCTGAGGCCTGCGATGACTTTTGACTCTACCCGCTGCGTTTTCTCGTCGTGTCGTCGTCTCAGTTGCACAACTTGGGATGACGGATGCCAAGACTTTTTCGCTTTGGGCGCAAACAGCCCAGAGCTAGACGACGAAGCTCCAAACGGAGCTGTTTCAACGAAACCATATTTCGGATCCGAAACAGCGTCAGGATGGAGTCAATTGCAGTCGCCTGTCCAATTGGCAATTTTTCTTTTTCTTTTCTTTTCTTCAAGTGGTCATCCATGGGTCCGGACATTGTTCGCTAACAGATGAAATTCGCGCAGCCAGCTACAATGCCTGCCATCAACACCATTGCCATCCGCGACGCCGTCATGAGCGAGCTCGTCAAGCGTGAGAAGAGCTGGCCCGCCCGCGAGGCCGGTGTCATGGTCGTCTTCTGCATTGTCGGTGTCGTCGCCATCGGCCTGATCTCCCTCTTCATCCACAAGAAGCTCGCCGCCCGCCGGGCGGCCAAGGCCTCTGTTGTTTAAGCGGGGGGACGCTTGGCGAAGGAAGGAAGGGGGGAGGATTGAGCATTGGGCGATGGCGTGGTCGGGCCCGCCCCGGGGAGCGTGGCCGATGTGTTTTTATAGAAGACGTGTGTGTGTGTGTGTGTGTGTGGTGATGTGGTGCAGACTCGGAAGGAAATCTTTTTTGTCCCCCCCGCCGCCGGAACGGGCTCTTTTCACCTTGCACGGCTCCGGGACCCTCACCGACGAACCAAAGTCTGTACGCAGCTTTCTGGTCGACACGGGACCTTGTCTTGTTCCGACAACCGGATACAGACGAGAGGGGCATTATTGGTCTGACATCAAAACCTGGCGATCTCGTGGATCAGACGATGCAGGCGATCCAGCCTGCCGAAGCTGTGCCCTCTTTTATCGAGAACGCGGGAATTCTCAAAGGGGAGGTTTCAACACTGCATATATAGTTGTGCCTCCCTTTCTTCTTACTATTTTCCTAATACTATTGATACCAATCTTGAACAGCTCTGCTTGCTTTCGGCTGCTCATGTTGTGTCTCATGACGTTGACATTGACCGTGATGTACTTACAAAACAGAAGTCTATTTCCACGCCCAGATACTTTCCTGAAACCGCTATGGGAAAGGGGATGTGTATGCTGCGTGGACATTATTCATCTCATTCGCTCCGCTATGCTACAACTTCATTTCTCTCTGGCTTTAATACAAGATCGCCCCCTCGCGCGATGCGGCAGCACACCGTCACCGACACAAAAGGGGCTCGTTCTAACTACCGCTCCGCCCTACTCCTGCTCGAACATGTCCATCTTCTCAAGATGGATCAGACCTCCCGCCGGCTGCAAGATACAGATGTCAGCAGACTGAAGAAATCCCTTACGGCAAGCACAAGATTACGAGACAAAGTCGAGACGAGAAAACCAGATTAAAATCACTCACCGGCACAAACTGCCTCAGCCGCACGCCGGCCTCGCGGAACACGGCCGCCGTGTCGCCGTCCATGCTGTACCCCTGGCTGTAGACGACCTCGGAGATGCCGACCTGGGCGATCTTGATGCTGCACGTCAGGCACGGGCACGTGTCGCAGTAGAGCGTGGCGCCCTCGCGGATGCGCTCGCGGCCGGCCTCGAGCAGCGCGTTCTCCTCGGCGTGGATGCACAGGCAGGTCGCGAGCCCGACGCCCGACGTCAGCAGGCCCTCGTTGCACCGCGCGCACCCCCCTTCGTCGCAGTTGCGGAGCCCCCGCGGCGTGCCGTTGTAGCCCGTCGAGATGACGCGGCGCTCGCGCACGAGGACGCAGCCGACGCGGCGCTTCATGCAGTTGGAGCGCCGGGCGGCGAGGGAGGCGAGCGCCATGAAGTAGGTGTCCCACCCGGGGCGGAGGCGGTCCGGGTTCGGCAGGTCGACGCGCGCGAGGGTCGCGTAGAGGTGCGCTAGGTCCGTCGAGGTGTTGAGCAGCTTCACCGAGGCGCGGGACATGAGCGGCATGTGGCCCCGGGCCGGGTCGTAGAGGTGCGCGTCCGACTGGGTGAGGAAGGACTCGAGGGAGATGCCCCCGCCGCCGCCGCCGCCGGCGCCGTCCTGTTCATCACTGCCGGAGCCGGAGCTGCTGCTTGGTTGCGCCTGCTGGTGCTGGTGCTGGTGCTGGTGCTGGTGCTGCCGCCGCCGGGCGGCCTGGCGCTGCTGGTACCGGCGCCAGCGGACGGTGGTCGGGGCGTCGACCGAGATGAGCAGGAAGAAGGGCCGGCGGGCGAAGGTGTCGAGCACGGCCTCGGTGGGGATGTCGGTCGTCACCCAGCGCTGGCGCCACCGCTTGGTGACGAACTCGAGGAGCTCCTCGGCCGAGGCGCAGGTGACGGCGGCCTGCCTCGGCGGGTGGACGGGCAGCAGCACCTGCTGCTGCTTGTAGGCGCCGTTGAGGGCCGCCGGGGGCACCTCCGACTCGGGCGTGGCTAGGTCCAGGACGCCCGCGGCGGCGCCATTGGGCGCGGGCTTCGGGGGCTGAGCGGCGGCGATCCGGAGCCGCTTGAAGCCGTGGTGGTCTACCAGGTACTGGGCAACTGTGCTCTTGCCAGCGCATACACCTACATAGGGGAGGTTGGGTTAGTACCCTGTGGATGGTTGGTTGAGGGGATAAGAGTATGAGTGGGTAGCGTACTGCCGCAGATACCAATGAGCATCTTGTCTGACTTTGGGGTTTTCAGTTCCTCAAGTATATTCTTCAGTATATCAGCCTTTGCCCGCTTTCAATTGCTCGCTTTAGAGGTGAGACAATGTCGTCAAAGACGTTGTGAAGACCCCTGCTCTTGATGTAGTGGTCCTGGCTTGGACCACTTGGACCACTCAACTTCCTGTCTTTTTGGCGCATTGACGCGACTATTTTGACGCGTTCTCAGGCTTCACCACGCAGGGTCATTCGGCCACTAAGAGAGGAGGCGCTAGAAGCCGAAAATCAGCCGGTGGGGTAGAATTGCTTGCAGCACTTAGTTAGCCCAATAGTGCCTGACAGAGCCAAGTGCCCAGGTGGTCATGTCACCCCTCTCTCTATCTGGTCGTGTGAACAAGAACCTGGCTGTTTCCTGAATGAGGCGTTTCTCAATGAATGTCAGGCTTCAATTTCAGGACCCTTGATTAAACAGCTGATCAAGTTTGAAGCCTGAGGTCTTTTGAACATTTATTCTCGTTTCTGCCGCACAAAGGCTTGCTCCGTTCAGCTCACAGCCTGCCTAGAGGTGCTCCTCGATTCCGCTGGCTTATACAGCGCTTACCCCACTGATCTGTCATCCCACTTCCCCAGCGCCTCTCTCTAAGCACGCCGCTGTGACGCATGACCTTCCCTCGGCAATAAGAGAAGCACACATCATCAGCGACGCAGGAAGGCAGCAATCCAGTCCCTCATGGAACCCGGACAGATCCAGTCTCAGAACTGAAAGGCCTTGCTTTTCTCTCCTCTTTCATAACCTGTCTGAGTCTGTGTGTGTGTGTGTGTGGTTGCTGCAGCAAACGAAACGACTGACCCTAGGTGACGCGAGCGCAGAGTGACATCAGCGACCAGGAACCCCTCCAGCCCAGCATGGCGGGCTTGCAGTTCGCGACGTTCTCGTCGCAGATCGAGTTGCCCTTCTACACATCGCTCTTCGCCTCCAAGCTCGACCATGACAAGCTCGACGACTCAGCCCGCTACGTGCTGGGACTTTACGAGGCCAAGGGCGAGAAGGACCCGACGGAGAGCACCAGGATGCAGCTCTTTGCCAACGCGCTCACGAGCAACACAGTGCCCTTGCACATGCAGCGCGCAGAGGGTATAATTCGAAACTTCAATACGATCGAGGACTTCAAGCAGGCAGATAAGGCTGCGATACTCCAGACAGCCGGTCGGCAGGTAAGTTCCAGTGCGGGTGACTCACTGGAAGTGCGGGTCGCATGCGCAAAGGTGTGACTAACATCGCGTGCTCCTTCGCAGATCTGGGATGCGATCAAGGACGGCACAATTTACGAAATCCCCTCTCTACTCTCCTCCTTCAACATCATCTCCTTTGCCGACCTCAAGAAGTACAAGTTCACCTACTGGGTTGCCTACCCGGCGCTGCACTCGGACCCGCAGTGGAAGCGCGTTGGAGACATCGGCAAGCTCACCCTTGCCGAGAGCGGAAAGCTCAACGAGCAATACACAACCTTCCGCTATGCCAACGACGTCAGGCAGCGCGGATTCTTCCTCGCCAAGAAGGTGTCCAAGGCCGAGCTGGCCAAGCAGAAGGAGGCGGCCAAGCGGGCCAAAAGGTCAGACGAGGAAGACGATGATGAGTCACGGTATCATGATGACGATGGTGACGACGACGACGGTGGTTTCGAGGACGATGATGATGATGGACTTGATTTCAAATGGGTCGTTGGGTGCCTGCGCGACTTCGAGAAGGGATTCTTTGACGGGGTAGAGGAGAAGGACCGCTTTGTGGGGTTTGTCGATTCGTCAAGCTACCCAGAGAACCCATCATGGCCCCTACGCAACTTGCTGGTCCTCATCCGGCAGAGGTTTCACATGACCAAGGTTCAGATTCTGTGCTACAGGGACACACGGGAGACCAGGCACGAGTCACGCAGCATCATCCTGCCTCTGGCTATGGAGGATGTTGACGAGCTGGAGATCTCGACGATGCCCAAGATCACGGGATGGGAAAGGAATGCAGCTGGCAAGCTGGCGGCGAGGGTCGTCAACCTGGGCGAATACATGGATCCGAACCGGCTGGCCGACCAGGCCGTAGACCTGAACCTCAAGCTGATGAAGTGGCGGCTTACACCCACGCTCGACCTGGACGTTATCAAGAACACCCGCTGCCTGCTTCTGGGTTCGGGAACCCTCGGTAGCTACGTCTCCAGAAACCTCATGGGGTGGGGTGTACGCAAGATCACCTTTGTCGATAACGGCTCGGTCTCGTTCTCGAATCCCGTGCGCCAACCGCTTTTTGAGTTCAAGGACTGCCTCAAGGGCGGTGCTCCCAAGGCGCTGCGCGCCGCAGAGGCGCTTCAGCAAATTTTCCCTGGCGTCGAATCCGAGGGCCACGTCCTCTCGGTACCCATGCTCGGTCACCCGATCGTGGATGAGGCCAAGACGAAGAAGGACTTTGAGAAGCTAGAGGAGCTCATGGACGATCACGATGTCATCTTCCTGTTGATGGACACCCGGGAGTCACGGTGGCTGCCTACAGTCATGGGCAAGGCCAAGGGCAAGATCGTGATGAACGCCGCGCTTGGCTTCGATACTTTTGTCGTCATGCGGCATGGCGCCGCGCCAAAGGACGGCAGCGAGGACACCCTGGGCTGCTACTTCTGTAACGATGTAGTAGCGCCAGCAGACGTAAGTTTTCCTTGATTCCGTTAGTCAGTCAATGCATTCGCTAACATGGCTTGCATAGTCTGTCAAGGACCAGACTCTGGACCAGCAGTGCACAGTCACTCGCCCCGGCGTCGCAACCATCGCATCCGCGCTCCTGGTTGAGCTCATGACGAGCATTCTCCAACACCCGCAGAAGCACTATGCCGCGGCGCCCGTCGCCAAGGCCGACTCTTCGTTCGAGCGCGACCCAGAGGACCATGCGCTCGGCATCGTGCCTCACCAGATCCGGGGGTTCCTCGCCAACTTCCATAACATGCTGATCCGCGGCCAGTCGTACCCCAACTGCAGCGCCTGTAGCAAGCCCATCCTCGACGCCTTCAAGCAGGACAGCTGGGGCTTTGTCAAGAGGGCCCTCGAGAACCGCGACTACGTCGCCGAGGTGTCGGGACTGAAGGAGATCCAGGAGAGGGCCGAGGCCATGGCTGCGGACCTGGAGTGGAGCGAGGAGGAGGGGACTTCTGATGGGGAGGCGGTGGTACTTTGAGCTATCCGATGGTGCTCTTCGTCTCCGGTTCTGGGGGCGTGCGTGAATGACTGGTGCTTTTGTGTTGGTATTGAAACACGTGTTTATGTTTTTTCTTTCTCTTCCCTGGCCCTAGTGGTTTCTCTTGAAGAGAAAGGCACGCTCGAAAGGTGCGACAAGAGCGCATCATGTACTGTTATTAACCCTGCATGGACAAAAGGAGTGTTGGTCAAGAGTGGATGACTTTGGAGTTTCGCGATGATTTGATCTGGACATGGACAAGAGGGGGGCAAGGCTTTTGGGAATTATGTATGAAACTCTTTCCCAAATCTTCATGATAGGCAGCAGAGAAATCTAGCATGCCTGAAGGCTTTATCATACCATACCAGTACGCCTCAACTCCCGCGGAGGTATATTTGTCCCATTGTTTGCTGTAATTTCAAGTACATAGACTAAGTCTATTTCCCCGGATTACCCTATCCCCACATTCCAGGGGGCCAACTGAGAATGCTCATTTTCGAAAGGTTGTTGCAGGTCTTGTTGGTCTCTAACGAGAGGCTTGTATAAAACGGTGATGCAATGGTGCAGATGGACGCTTTTTCTAATTCGTTTGGATGGGCAAAGTGCGTGTTGCTACTCCGAGTCGAGGCTAGAGGCCTGCAAGACATCGATGATTACCAACCATGAATCTGCTACACACAGAGGCGCAGCGGGTTTGTGGCCTGCATATCTTGGGCTGGGGGAGCACAGCGTCTTTGGTCATCTGGGGCGCTCACCTGCATGCATGCACGTTTCTCGTCATTTTTGCATCTAATCTCCTAATTCTTTTTTCTTCCTCCTAGATCGGAGTGCCATCCCACCCTCTGCCATCTTCCTGAGCTATCACCTTGGTATCTGTGTGCTTTGAGTATATTCATGTCCTGGAATCCCACGATGTAGTAGCGGACCTCGAACACGGTGTTTCATCCATCGCTGTCTAATTCAGGCAGGGCTGGAGATTAGCGACGTTAGAGAGCTTCTCCACCTGGGGCGCTCGCCTCCCCAGTTGCCGCACATTCCGCCGCCGTGTCCACAATAGGAGGGTCCGGTACTAGTGTCGTCACTTGTCAGCTTCACGTTCAGGACCTTCCAACTCTCTTGATATCCCGTCCTGAGACATACGGGGCGCATCAAATCTTTGTTGGGAATTCCTCCCGGATCACCAAATTGTTTGTTGCATTTTGCACGAGCCTCTTTGATTTCCTCTCAATTATCATCATATCATACTTCTATTTCATCCCAAGTCGCCCTGCCTCGCGTGGCTGTTTCAGCCGAGTCGTCTTGGTCATCCCAGCTACCAGTCTACGTGTCTGTCTACAGCAACTCTCATCAGGCATTTACATGATCGCTATCAACAAATACCTAAACACCATTCTTGGAGCCACCCAGTCTTGAATTGTTGAATAGCAGTCACTCGCCTTCAGCTATTTAACCAGAGGCCCCCCCGCGCTACCTCTATCTGTACCGCGCTGGAAGGGAAGAGCGCTACTGCGCCAAGGGAGCATGAGGATCCTGAGAATGTGGCCCGGCACCTCAAGGCCAGCCTCTGCGGAGGACTACTCAGACGTACTGATCCCGCTCGAGGAGGCCCATCTGCACAGCCACTCGGCGAGGTTAGGGAGGACAGAGTTCGAAGAGCCGCCGGGTGAGGATTCTCCCGGCCAAGGCTACGACGAGGACGATGACGGCAAGGACGGCGAGCATGAGGGCCGGGGAATGCTCGAGATGCGGGCTGCCGAGTACAGCATCGAAGGGCTGCGGAGGGAAGTGCGGCGTGGGGAGAAGGGGCAGGTTTCCGACTACGAGAGTAAGTTTGCTCCCTGGAGGGCTCGGGCCTCCCTTCGGCATAGTTCTATGTCATGGCAATACGTGCTGACGGATGTCTTAGTGAGATCAAAACTTATAAACAAGGCCATCCAAGATATTGGAATGGGCAGGTATAACTGGCAATTATTTGTCCTTTGTGGATTTGGCTGGTTCGCAGACAAGTAAGTACCGTTCTGATCTGTTGAAATTGGCAATTTGATACTAATAGTCCTCTATAGTCTGTGGATGCAGGTCAGTGATCCGTGCCGTGACCTTCCGTGAAGGAAAGGACAAGATGATTATCTGAGCTCATTGCTGACTTTGACTCCCAGGGCATCTCACTCATTCTTCCCTCTCTATCCGCAGAGTTTGGTGTATCAGAGAAAACGGTCAGGTATACGACCAGCTCTCTGTTTATCGGCCTCTGCTTTGGAAGCTTTGTCTGGGGCATTGGATCGGACATTGTGGGCCGACGCATCGCCTTCAACTGCACTCTGCTCATCACCAGCATATTCGGGATGGCGTGTGCTTACGCGACAAGCTGGGGCTTTGTGTGCATCCTCGTCGCAGCACTGGGCTTTGGTGTGGGCGGGAATCTGCCCGTGGACGGAGCTCTGTTTCTCGAGTTTCTCCCAGACTCATCCAGCTCTCTCCTGACGCTGCTCTCCGTCTGGTGGCCCATCGGCCAGCTGAGCTCCTCCCTTTTCGCCTGGTTCTTCATCGCGAACTGGCCGGCCGACGAAGGCTGGCGGAAGTTTCTTTGGGGTATTGGCGTCGTGACCTTCATCATGTTCTTCGTGCGATATTTTATTTTCCAGCTGTTCGAGTCACCGAAATTCCTGCTGTCCAAGGGACGCCAGACCGAGGCCATCGCCGTCATCCACGGCATCGCCTCCCGGAACGGAGCGAAGACGTGGTTGACAGAGGATGTCATGAACGCCGTTGTCGACGATGTCGCTGTCGCGCCGAGGCGGAGCAGGGTTTCTACGACCAACGTGCTGAAGAGCAAGCTCGCCTCGTTCTCAGGCGAGCGCATCCGACCTCTGTTCGAGACCAAGAAGCTCGGCCTGGCCACCTCCATCATCTGGTTTGTGTGGGCCACGATCGGCATGGGATACCCTCTGTTCAACGCCTTCCTGCCCCAGTACCTCTCCCACGGCGGCGCCTCCTTGCCCCCGGAGGACGACGTCGCGCTGCCCATCTCGGCAGAGACGTACCGGAGCTATGCCATCACCAGCATCGTCGGCGTGCCGGGCAGCCTGCTCGCCGCCTACACGGTCGACCACGACTCGCCGTTCCTCGGCCGCCGCGGCACGCTGGCCATCTCGACCTTTGTGTCGGCCGTCTTCCTCTTCATCTTCGTCACCTTCGGCACGTCCCCCTCGTCGCAGCTGGCCTTCTCCTGCATCGAGGCCTTCTCGCAGAACATCATGTACGGCGTGCTGTACGCCTTCACGCCCGAGATCTTCCCGGCGCCCGTGCGCGGCGCGGGCACGGGCGTCTCGAGCTTCCTGAACCGGCTGACGGGGCTCGTCGCCCCCGTCATCGCGGCCAACATGCCCGGCGACGGCAACACGGCGCCGATATACCTGTCGGCGGTGCTGATCCTGGCTGCCTTTGTGGGCATGTGTATGATACCGATCGAGACGAGGGGGCGACAGAGGTTGTAGATGTTACAGATATCTTTTAGCAGTGATATTACTGAGACTGGGTGGTTGCATATAGAAACATATCATAGGTTACTTGTGGTGGATGGATATTCCTGAGTAAGAAACTTCCAGGACAGCTGGGATGGCGAGCAAGGGTTGCTGCAATGACATGGAACGTTGTAGACCCCAGAGCGTGGTACTAAGTGCGGACAGCTTCATGGAACACACATATACAAAGAAATGTTTGATTTTCTATATGCCGTAGATGAAGAAGAACCCCACCTTGATCTACTTGGTCCCTCGCGCGCCGCTGGGAGCATCGATCCTGCGCTTCTTGAAGGACTGGCCCAGGGCGTCCCTGACCATGGGGTCGGCCCGTATCGTGTTCTGCACCAGCCACTCCTTCATCTTGGCCCGCATGCCGGCCATGACCTCCGGGTCGCCCGAGAACGGCGTCAGCTCCATCTCGAGCAGCCGCTGCGCGTCCTGGTCCACGCTCTTGGCCATGGCCTCGAGCCTCTCGAGCCCCTGCCGCAGCAGCGCCTCGTCGTCGCCGCCCTGCTGCGCGACCACGACGCGGCCGCCCGACGTGTCGGCCGTCAGCATGGGGCCTATCTGCGACAGGGCGATGTACAGCGTCAGGCAGACCTTGCGGGCGAGCGAGATGGCCTGGAAGGGCAGGTAGGGCGGGTGGTTCGGGACGAGGTAGCCGAGCAGGGGGTTGACGACGCGGTCGAAGAGCGCGGGCGGGCTGGGGCGGGTGACGGTGTGCAGCTCGAAGACGAGGAGCCCCGCGAGGGCGAGCCAGCGCCAGTAGCGGCCCCAGTCGAGGTAGCCGAGCAGGCCGAGGGCGTACATGGCGGCGGCGCCGACGGCGTAGTAGGGCACCAGGACCTGGGCGCCGCGCATGACGTAGTCGCGCACCGTGGCGCAGTGGGCCCAGGCGACCACGTCCGGGCCGAAGCGCTCGTAGGCGAAGCGCTTGGCCGGGTCGGCCAGCGTGTCGGCGGCCGTCTTGAGGTGGACGAAGAAGGCGGTCGCCGCGACGGCGTCCGGGTTGGACGTCTTGTCCGGGTGGTGCAGGGCCGCGAGGCGGCGGAAGCGCGCGCGCACGTCGCGCTCCGTGGCCGACAGGGGCAGGGACAGGTCGGCGTAGAAGGACCCCGCGCGCCGCAGCTCGTAGTCGGCCTCGTAGACGGTGTAGGCGAGGTAGAGCGAGACGACGAGGATGTGGAGGCGGCGGCGGTGCTCGGCCCAGCGCGGGGTGCCGGGCTGCGGCTTGGGGTCGCCGGCGCGGATGAAGATGGAGTAGAGGATTGTCTGAACCCAGCCGGTGACCAGCTTGTGCGCGAGGGAGCAGCCGAGTCAGCTCAAGAAGTGGACATATTTTGGCCGTGGGAACGGGGGCAGGAGAGGTACTCACGTTAGGGAGGAAGGTCCATCCTATCAAGGAGAGGAGGTTGGACATCTTGTCAACGGCGAGACAGATGCGCTCATGCCGTGGAATGAGAAGATCAAGAAGGAAAGAAAAGCAAAGTAGACCGCTGGCAGGCAGATGCAAACTTGTTGCCCCTTCACTGCAACCGACCGTGTGTTGTGGTCCAGTTGCTGATGCTGCTGATGTCGCGAAAAGTGTCCAGATCTCTCGAGCGATAGGAGAAAGGCGCGACCGCTACCAAAGATAGAACAAAGAGCACACTGGCTGCACACTGCACTGACGTAGCTACCGGTTAGAACCCTAACCCTAGAAGTCCAACTCGGGGGCAGCTTCGCCTCTGCTCTGCCCTTTCCTTTTCTTGATGCAGCGCTTACCAGTATGGAAGGACAAGCAAATCCAGACAGATTATGGATTGAATGAATGGCTTTGTCACGTACCAGAGTCATCCTTGATTGGCACGATCATACGTGTGTGCAGGTCATCCCAGCGAGACAGAGTGTCTCCAATCAGCTTGCCGTTTTGCCATCACCAAACACAAGTGCAAAGCATCACAGAGCTGGCTGCTCGCTTGACGCAAAGGTGCCACCTTCGCTTGCAACAATCAGACAATATCGATATTCCCAGAGTACGCGCATCTCCTGGCCAGCTTTTGACATATATTACTTTGGCTCTGTCCCCTTCGGCGTCACTTCATTTGATACTAGTGATCATAGTCCGTGTGACCAGCACAAACTCAGAAACACACCACCGACTGAGATGGTTGATTGATTAAGCTCAGCATGAGAAACGCCGACGGCTCGGGTCGGAGACTTGCATCCAGCAAGCTGTCTCGGGAATCGCTTAGGCGTCCACTGTGCAACGAGGCGGACGACCCATGGCGTCCGGCCCGTGAGATTGGCGAGAGCTGCTCTGACAGCACATGCGCAACGGGCGTCGTTCGGCAAGGCCCATGCTTGCTTGCCTCTCCGCCAAGCCTATCCGGGACGAGCCTCACGTTGCACGAGCGCCTCTTCTATGATCTACACCTATATTCGGTCGGAATGCCACAGCCTCAGCCTTGAAGCTCTTGGTGGTACCCCGTAATCGGAGCCTGAGCAGGGTCGGATGCCACGAGATGCGGCAGTATGTGCGCCGGGATAATCTCAACGTGTGACGATCTTAATGACGGCTGCACCAACGATATGACAATGTCTCCTGCTGTGCTGCATCGGATCTAGGACAGCAGAACGCTGCGGTTCTGTCGCCACAGAGAAGCGCAAAACAACGGCGATCCAGCCCTGTTGACTCGCCAGAGAACCGAGAGAGATCCGGACGTGTGTCTGCGCACCGCCATGTCCACGTGTTTGTTTCTCTTACACACAATGGCACAAAGAAAATTGTCTGAGGACATGCCGATGGGCTGCAAGGGCCGAAAAGAAAAGAAGAAGAAGTAGAAGGAATGGGCCCGAGATTTAGACGACAGCCACCTGCATTACCCACCCACAACAAACCACGTCGCCTCTTGACCTGCAAACTGCCTCTACCCGGAGCCTTCCTTGGCGCCTTCGTCCAAGTCAAGCGACGGTACGCGAGACCGACAGTCGTGAGGCTATGACGAGCTCAGCTCATTGGTTAGCCCGGCGTCCAGGCACGCGAGGATGATCACCAAATCGCACTGGGGGAAACCCAGGAAAGTTTGCCGAAATACGAACCCGTGAGATCTGTTACGGGGTACTAGCAAACAGCGAAGCGTCGCAAAGCTAGCCCCGCGATCTACACAGATTGGGCAGTGCCTCGGCTTGTCGAGAGCTTGTCGCCCCAAATCGCGGAGAAGTTCAACACTAATGGCGACGAGAATGTGTGCGAAATGCGGGGAAGAAGCTCCCTGACTCTGACCTCTGCGCAGACAGGCTGTGTTTCAACCACACTGGCTGCCCCCAATAATTGACCCTCTTACTCGAAGGAGTAGGTCTTGCGCACCAACACACCCAGTTTGCCGAGTAGGGTCCACGCCAGATCCCCGCTCGTCTTGATCTCCCGGGGCCTTGGACCCCCGCTCCTGTTGAGGTGCGAGGGCTGGGGGGCCTGCATGCGATCTCGCTCCTCTCGTCATGGCGGCGTCCGGCGATTGTTGCAAAATTGCGGCGGTACCCACGGACATTAGACCTGCGGCGTGGACACCCTTGTATGACTTATCCAGGTAGGTCTGAGACGAGGTAAAAGATCCCAGCTTCATCATTCCTTTTGCCTTTTGTCCATCCTCTTGTGATACGCCTTGGGTTGCTTAAATCCAAACGCCCCTGCGTTATTCGTCGAGTCGTCGTCCCCGAAGCTTGCTCTCCAATCCTCTCCTTAATCTAAGGAGCTTCATCTTGTACCCATCTGTCCCTCACATCCCTCCTTTGTCTCTGAACTCGCCAGACACCCTTCTTCCTCCTCTTGAAGAACGCAATGGTCATCAAATCGCGCTGGACGGCTCCCATACCGCGCTGTTCTCTTCAGCAATGGATCTTCGAGTCCTCCAGAAGTCCGCTTCCGGACAAGAAGCAATTCCTCGACGCCGATGACCCCGAGAATAACTACATCACTCTCTCCGAGTATCGGCTGTTGTCGAAGCGTGTTGCACTGGGCCTCATAGAAGCAGGTCTGAAGCCTGGTGACCGCGTGCTCGTCTTCTCCGGCAACAACATCTACTTCCCGTCGGTCTTTCTCGGCATCTTGATGGCCGGGGGCATCTTCACGGGTGCCAACCCCACATTCGTGCCCCGGGAGCTGGCGTACCAGCTCGACAATTCGCAGGCTACCTTCATGATTACGGCTGCTGCTGCTCTGGACACGGCCCTCGAGGCCGCTCAGCAGGTGGGCTTGCCACGGTCCAGCGTCTTCATCTTTGACAAGCCTTCCGAGGTGCGCTCCGCCAAGCCCGGCCCAGGTGTGAACGGCAGGAAGAACGGCGCGAGGCACTGGACCGAGCTCTTGGCCGGCGACCCCGGCCGGGCCGAGTCCTGGGACTGGGTCGAGCCCGCCGACCCGGCCAACACGACGTGCTGCCTCAACTACAGCAGCGGCACCACGGGCGTGCCCAAGGGCGTCGAGGTCAGCCACTACTCGTACGTCGCCAACGGCGCGCAGGTGGTCGCGCTGCGCAACCTGGACCCGCAGGGGCGCGGCGTGCACGAAGGGTCCCGCCTCCTCTGCTTCCTGCCCCTCTACCACGCCTACGGGCAGACCTACTTCATCGCCAACTTTGCGCGCATGCAGCTGCCCGTCTACGTCATGCCCTCGTTCGACTTTGAGAGGATGCTGCGCCACGTGCAGACGTACCGCATCACGTCGCTGGCCGCGGTGCCGCCCATCGTCGTGGCGCTGGCCAAGCACCCGCTCGCGCGCAAGTACGACCTCAGCAGCCTCGAGGCCATCGGGTCCGGCGCCGCGCCGCTCATGCGCGAGGTCGCGCAGGAGGTCGAGAAGATGCTCTGGCCCGCCGGGGAGACGGTCATCCACCAGGGCTGGGGCATGACCGAGGTGACGTGCACGTGCATGGCGTGGGACCCGACGCAGCCGGCGGCCAAGACGGGCAGCTCGGCGGTCGGGGAGCTGCTGCCCAACTGCGCGGCGCGCATCGTCGAGGTCGGCACGGGCACCGATCCCGAGACGAACCCGGCCGTCGAGATCCGCGAGCCGCGCCGTCCCGGCGAGCTGTGGGTCACGGGCCCGACGCTGATGCGCGGGTACTGGCGCAACCCCAAGGCGACGGCCGAGACGGTCGTCGTCGACGCCGCCGACGGCACGCGGTGGCTGCGCACGGGCGACGTCGCGTTCGTGGAGCAGTACCGGCCCGGCACGCTGTTCCACATCGTCGACCGGCTCAAGGAGCTGATCAAGGTCAAGGGCAACCAGGTGGCGCCCGCCGAGCTCGAGGGCGTGCTGCTGGACCGGCGCGACGTGGCCGACGCGGCCGTCGTCGGCGTCACGATCAAGGGCGAGGAGGTGCCCCGGGCGTACGTCGTGCGGGCGGCCGGGTCGCGGGTGTCGGAGCAGGAGATCGCGCAGTGGTTTGCGGGACGGGTGGCGCGGTACAAGCAGCTCCGGGGCGGGGTCAAGTTCGTCGAGGCGATTCCCAAGAACCCGGTAAGTCTTTTTCCTTCTTTTTTGTCTCGAATCCTACAGCAACTAGGTCTCGGGTGCATGGGACAGTTGAGTTGTCGTTGGGAAGAAGGCATCATGCTAACCTTTGTTATAAAAACAAAAACAGTCCGGTAAGATACTTCGCAAGATCCTACGGGACCAGGCGCAGAAGGAGGTCGGGGACAGGCCTCCGCAGGCGTCGAGGCTCTCTTGAGAGTTTCACATTCTGCGGTTGTCGGGTTGGTGGGTTGTTTTTCTCCCACGTGAAGACTTCTCAAAGCTCTCGGGCTTATACATCTTGTTGGTTGTTTGAAGCCTTTCTTTTATCTACCATAAGACTTTGTAGAAACTGAGAAAGAACTATGTGTAGCGAGACTCTGTTATGATTCCCTGAAGATGCTGGACTTGTATCGATTTGACTCTCTCTCTCTCTGGGCGGATTCAAAATGCTTGCAACATCCTCATCAGGTCACCAAATTGCTTACGTGAAACACGAGTCCGCTCCTTCACTGCTGGGTTCTTAGACCTATCATAGTCCTCGAGTCTTCACGGAGAGAGGGGGGGGGGGGGATCACGCTACAGTAGTCTCCAGGGATGAGATTCCCACTCCATTTCGTAGTGCTTGCATCCTGGTGTGGTAGACACGCCGTATGAGAAGCAGCTGAGCTTGACATGTGACGTAAACCAGCCCAATGTACGTATGAGCTTCCTGCCCACGAGGTATCATAGTCCACGGCGTCGAAAAGGACCGGGTCGACTCTCATCTGGAAACTGGCAAAAAATACATCGATTACATACACACACATATCAGGAGAATTTCATGATCGAAGCAAGAAAGCTGTCAATTTAGGAGCCTAATATATCTGCCTCAGCCTTCCGGCTTTTTGTGTGTTGTATATGTGCAAATGAGTGACTATAGTTGGAAATACTCTCTCGCAATAGACGAGCCCAGTCCAAGGGGAAAAAAACGAGCAAGGACAACCACTCCGCAGGAAACATCCCCCCCTTTTCGCACTTCGGATTTCATCTCACCCTTTCAAATCCAAGGGGGAGAAGATCTATCCGAGATACTCAGCCGCTCGCAGGCAGACAGGCAGACAGAGACCCTAGAAGAGCTTGTGCTCGAGGGTCATGTCCGACTCGGGCTCGAGGCCGACGCAGGCGCGGAAGATGTTGGTCAGGGCGCCGCGCTGCTTGGCCAGGGCGTTGACGACGGGGGTGCCGGGCGGGGTCAGCGGGGCCTTGAGCATGTAGCTGAGGATGCTGAGGACCGAGTGGAAGTTCTTGAACTCCTTGGTGGTGGCGGCGCCGTCGGAGGAGGCGGCCTTCCACTGGATGCGGCTCATCATCTCGGCGACAAGGACGAGGTCGATGATGAGGGGCGAGGCCAGCAGGGAGTCCTCGCAGACGTTGAAGAGCCTGTTTTGTGTGTGATTTAGTAAAAGAGAGAAGCCAAAAAAAAAGGGGGCATAGGTTTCCAGCGAGGAGGGAGATATATATATATATATATATAAAACACTTACGAGATGGTCTGGTGACCGCCCATAAAGATCTCGGCGTAGTACTCGTCGAGGGCGCGCTTGTTGTCGCCGACGGCGGGCATGTACTTGATGACGACGGTGTGGTCCGGGTGCTCGCCGGGCTTGTAGAGGACCGAGTTGGCGGCGACCATGTCGTCGACGACGTTGGACTTGGAGATCTCCTTGGAGCGGAACTGCTTCTGGGAGCTCAGGTTCTTGCCGTCGTTGTTGCCGAGGTGGTTGTAGCTGGCGATCGAGGTCAGCTTGATGCCGGCGCTGATGAGGAAGTCGACGAGGGCCGACTTCATCTTGGTCTGGCCCGACTTGAAGTCGTCGCCGCCGATGAAGGCGCTGTGCCGCTCGGCCAGCTCGATGGCGCCGGGGACAAAGGTGTTCTGGGGCGAGCCGTTGATGAAGGGCGCGCCCTCGAGGATGGAGGCGACGGCGAAGACGGTCGAGGGCGAGACCTCGTCGTGGCCGGCCTCGATGGCCCGGAGCAGGTTGTCGGCCGTGTCGTTGACGCCGGGGATGATGTCGGCGTAGCGCTCCGTGTTGGCGGTCCACTGGACGATGACCTTGTCGAGCGCGTGGGCGGCCTTGAAGTCGCGGATGTCGCGGCGGATCTGCTCGACGTGGGCGTTGCAGGCCTTGGAGCCCGGGATGAGGTTGTCGGCGCGGTCCTCCTGGTTGGCGGCGATGAAGTCCGGGTAGTAGATGCTGGGCAGGGGCCTCATCTCGGCCATCTCCTTGCGGACCTGGTACTTGAGAGTGGGCTCGAGGACGCCGGCGCGGTCCATGGCGTCGGCGAGGCTCATGCCGCTGATGTCCCAGCCGCCGATGACGAGGTCGTTGGGGTGGACCATGGGCAGGATGTCGTGGAAGGGGATGTTGACCTCCTCGTTGGTCCGGGCGTCGGTGCCGAGCTTCATGGTCGAGCCCATGATGACGGAGCCGTAGTAGTTGGCGGTGCGGGGCCCTTCGCGGGTGTCCCAGGTCAGGCCGCGGCGGTTGGCGATGATGCCGGCGGTGACGGTGGTGCCGTTGTTGCCGCCCCAGCCGACCAGCATCATGCCGACCTTGGGGACCTTGCGGTCGACCTTGAAGTCGTAGACGGTCTCGGTCGGGGTGGCGGTGTACTTGCCATCGTCGCCCTTGGTGACCTTGGTGGTGCGGTACGTGTACTTTGTGTTGATCTCGGTGTCCGAGTACACGACGTTGGGGGAGTCGACCTTGAAGAGGTCCTTGGGAGCGGCAGCGGCGTAGCCAACTCCGTTCGAGGAGCCCATTCCAACCTCGGCGTGGGGAGCCATTTTTTTGATCAGAGAGAGGTGGCTTGAGGTTTGGTTGCTTGTCTTGTCTGGGCGATATTCAGGTCTTTAATGAGTAAAGACCGAGTCCGGTGCGCAGCCTGGGGCGGCAGAGCAACGGGCTCCTGCGAACGGGTGGTGAACCCTGGAAGGAAGTCGATGTTAGCATCGCGAGAACGCTTCGTGTGTGCTCAAGAGGGAGGGAGGCATTTCGCGCCTCCCACGGGAAAGACCGGGACTACTTACGAGTTGAGGAGATTGGAGAACGTCTTGACGACTGTGGTGATCGCGACCCGAAAGTGCGATCTTCAAAGTGTTCAATTTGATTCTTTACACGAGAGAGCGAGGAACCGGTGGTGGTGGTGGTGTTACGAAGAAGAGAGGAAGAGGGAGAGAGGGAGAAAACACGATTCAAGGGCGATAAGACTCGGACTTTAAATTGAGACTCTCGGTCACTAGGGAGAAGACGGCGGCGGCGGCGGCGGTGGCAGCGGCAACAGCAGCAGGTGGTGGACCTCTTGATTCAACGCTTCCTCTGACAATAGATTAGCTCGCGTGATTCGGGAGGCTTAGGAGGACGACGACAGCCCGCCCAGTGGGCACTTTTAATCGGGGATGCCAAAACATCGGTGAGCCCATCCCCATCCTGTGCCCATCCCATCCGGGAAGGAGTCTGTGTCTTGTCTCTTTCTCAACATGTTCCCTCAAGAGCAATTGGACGCTGGCGAGGCATCGAGATCCGCCCCTTCCAGTGTCCCCCTTCCTCGCGCATCTTGCTTCGCTGTCCCTGCCTGCTGCTGCCCCTCAACGCCATCCATGGAAGCACTGCACCGCAAGAGCTTTTATCGTGAAGAGATGCATGTGCGTGCAGAGACAGGTCAATTGCCCCACCGTTTCTGCATGTGCGCGACGCAGAATGGCGGGGTGGTCGACTTGTCTCCCAGGGTCCGTTCGAGGCACCAGCCCCGTGTGATTGGCTCCCACGGACAACTCGGATGCGCCATGAATCCGTCGTGCTCTGCCACTGGCCTTTTCACGGCTTGGCCTCCCTCTTCTGCAATCAACCCGGGCCCTGCGGCCGATGTCGGGTTGGGTTGGGCCAGCGACCCCGACTGCTACTCCGTACGGGGTAGAAAGGGAGCAAGAACTCCGGCCAAAGAATCAATCCAGTCCCGGCCGAGGTGATGTGAAGACTGTCACTAACAGTAACTAACTTATAAGAGGACGATCGCAGCGCGTACAACTTTGTGCGCGCAGGTGTAGGCAGCTGTGCGACTGGACGGGCGATGTGTTCAGCAATTGATTCTCCCCAGCAACTCAGGTTCGCAAGCCGAAAGAAAAAGCCAACCGAGCCTCGCTTGAGCGTTGATCTTGCTGAATGAAGATGCCGCTGCTCCGTGCAGTTTTGCGCACTTGCGCCTGCAACGTATTGTGGCCTTGGCTTGCCGGAAGAATCCCGTGTATCAATCCAAGGGACGTTGGGACTGGAGATCGGGGGCCGTAGCTTCGATGCCAATGAAGCCGAAAGAGCTGGTCCTCACGATCTCCGGCGCCTCCCTCAAAGCGAGCGTCGAGACTCTGGCGCGCAAGAGACAAAGTGCCCGGCTTCTGTTCTTGCCGTGCCGTGCCCCGCATAGACATGAGGAAGCCCGACGCCCACGGTTCATGCCCTGAATAAGCTCACGGGAAGTGCGCCTCAGTGGTTTCGGTAAGTTGGAGGTGCCGCCTCCGCAAAGTCATGGTTTGATCTGCACCCAGGAGTCTCGTAAGCTTTTTGACGTATTCAGCCTGGGGTAGATCCCCTATCGCATATCGCACATCGCATCTCGCAATGGTTCGCCAGCCAGGGGGAACGGGCGGGACAACAGAGCTGGTCTGTGCCACAGCCTCGTCATCTTCCTGTTGTTGTCTGTGTGTTTGCTGCCCCTCAGCACCAGCACCAGCCCGCAAGGGTCGGCGGCGAGGGGAGGGGACCTCGCACTAAGGATCTTTGATAGATGAGGATTGTCAGTGCACCCCACCCTCGAACCCTTCCCCTCGGACCCTCGTGATGAGGTGACGAGGATCCTAATCACCGATAGATACACGAGGGGCTGGGGAGTGCTTGAGTGCCTGGCAGATGCGGTGCACATGCATGTCTGGGGAAAGCGGTGAACGCCAACATCACCCCCTATGAATCGTCGTCATGCTCATTCCGATACTCCATGTGGCGGCGTTGATCATCATGATAGCTAGGTATCCAAGAAGGGGCCGAGCTGGAGCATCCTGTTATGATGAGCACCGGGACATGCCCCATTTTCTTCACGAGCCCAGCAGCTCTGGCTGATACCGAGCATGTACTCCGTAGATGACTACTTGCCTGCAACGCAGACAGACTCGAAACGCAGACACGACGGCACTAGGCTGATGAAGCTAAACAAGGTCCGCAATGCGATCTTTAAGCAGCGGCTCGAGCACGTTTACTCCGTACAAGTAACTACATGCAGGGTCGGTTGCGTGTGGATGTGCGACATGACAAAAAGAGAGAGATCCTCTGCGGAAATTAACAGCAGCCAGCCAGCCACCTTGTTACCATGCAGGAGACGGAGGTTCAGCTTGCGTCCTGACTGGCCGCCATGCCCCTTCCATCGATCTGGTGTGGCTGTCTGCTCAGCTGAACAAAAGCAGATGCGTGAAAGGCACTCTGTGACGAGAAGTGTCAGAGAAAGCGGCGGCGCTTACAACTGTCAGACCCCCGACACCACCTCGCCGGTAGCATTGGCCACGACGATCCCTGACCGCAAAAAACGAAACCACCAAACAAGCCAAGGCAAGGCCCGGCCCCTCTATGTATAGCTATCTGTAACAGAATCTACTCAGGAATAGGCCGTCATCTCTTTCGTCCATAGCCTGCGTTCCTCGCTCGCTTGTTCTTGACGAGGACGACACGGACGGGTCGCCACATGTTGTCCCCTCATGGGGCGGTCACAAGGCCGACGGCATTGGCATGGCGGGAGGCGCATTTTGAGTTGGTGATCACAAGACGAGACCGACTCTAGTCAAGCGCTGTCTCAAGCAGAGGAGGGCGAGAGGGCGAGAGAGCGAAAGAGAGAGCGTGGCCGACGATGCCGACGATGTCTAGTTACAGGTACTTTGAAGGAACTTGCTGGAGGCGGTTTGCATCTGCATACCTGTGCTATCCGCTCCACACCGTTTCCCCCATGATCGCCCTTCTCGGCGGCTTTCTTTTCGGTTTACTTGCATACATCATCCATGCTGGCCGGCCTGGTGACGACATATGTACTTCGTACAACGGTGGGGGGAGGAAAGGAAGGAAGAAGGCGGTCGATTCGATGGGGCATGGCTGTCACGTTTTCTTCTTCATCGTACGTTTCGAGGGCAAGTCAAATGATGCGCGAGAGATGATTTCTTCGTTTTAAAATTAAATCGATATGTCAAACGTGCAGACTAAACCCCTCGCGGTCGAAGGGTGTCCCGAATGGGGCTGCCGACCGGGGTGCATGCGATGGATTTGGCATGGCCTTGGGCCCCATTCGTCGAGGAAATGAGACCTCCAATTCCTTCCACGGACCAATTGGCTTGCCAGCAGTACGAGTACCGTTCGTTGGTGGCAGTTTTGCATGCCTCTCTGTCCTTTTTTTTCTCGTGACAGCGGCCGGCTTCTTCTGGCCGAAGAAATGGTGGCGGCCGGCAGACAGGCATTATTGTGAAAATTCCCGTAGTCTCCCACATGAATAGACGACGGAATAGGCAAAGAGGGAAGTGCATTTTTTCTGCTTGCCGGAGTTCCTCGCGTGCCTCAGACGAGCGGGTTCAGTTCTGGGCTGCCGCGATGGGTTTAGCCAGCCATGCACGTAATAACGCCGCCAGCCAACGGACTGCTCAGCTAGGAACAGGCTACTGGTCTGGGCTGGGAACTCGGTGTGCGTGTAATTGGCGACTGACTTGCCTACCGCCAGTCCAGCCCAATCACACACAACCAGGGCGACGACTGGGAGAGAGCTCATCTTGGATCAAATACCGGCAAGGGAGCAACTCATATCGCCCGCGACCAGCAGGACGAACCAGTACTTGTACTTGCAATGACCGAACCTCCCGTGGGCAAGGCGGGCCGGGCAAGGGGGCCTGGCTTGCTTGGCTCTATCTACATCAAGCAATACAGGTCAAACAAGTCAATTCGGGAATAACTAATAAAGCAAAGCAGGTAATTCCTCGCCGGCAGTCGGGCGTGATAGGACGGTGACATTGATGAGTGGCGCAAGCAAACCTTGGAAACATTGCGGTAGGTATCATTTGAGATGGAGCCGGTGTTGGCTCGTCTAACACAAGCTGCCTCGATGACACCAGGGCACTGTGGCTACCGGCCTCTTTGCTGTTAACGAACAGTACCGCCGACCGCAGTATCTCTCTGTCTCTCTCTCTCTTGTTTACCGACATGATCCGTGGGGGGTTTATTAACGTCAACGTCAATCAATCATTCCCCTTTTCTCCCAAGATTAAAGGCCAACACCGGGCCATCCTCACTCATGCCCTTCAGCTTTCCCTTCTGCCCTTTTGCCACGCGATTTGCCGGATGCCAGCTCGAACGGGAGACGGGCATTGGGGAAATGATCAAACCGTAACGCGGGCGTAACGTGTATTACATTGTCTTATTTGCACATTCTTCGGCTTCTGGAAGAAGGGGCCCGCCCAGGTGAGAGTAATAAGAAAGAATGCGGCTCGAGGGCCTTGGGCAGGCTTGGATGCCAGCGCCGTCGACTAGAGGCCCGTGCTAAGCCCAATTGCTCCCTTTGTATGTACTTGTACGAATGTCGCGCTCCATTGCTCGCCGAGATAGGATACCTATCTGTGTATTCAATGTTATTTGCATTGCAGCTCATGCCCATCTTCAGCGACTGGAGCCCACCGCAAATCGACAATCCCCACGCCGCTTCATGCAGCTCATGATCGCCCATTCCGCTCTTTTTCGTCAGTCGTCTCAGACACATCTCACCTTTCCCAGCTGGGACCTAGACCACTGCTAGGTAGCCCACCGACCGCAGGACCACAGGGGTCCCGGGCCTCCACCGCCCACACACCTCGACGCTGGTTTAGGCGGCTCTGACCGTCCTTGCCGTGCTAGCTTCCATCGTCTTAGCGTAGCCTGAGGAGAGCGGCCACCCCCTGGCTGGCGGACAGAGGCGGGAGGCCACGGGTTCCCAAAGGGGGGTCCCTCTGCTACGCCTGTCACCGCGCTAAAGAAGGGGTGGATGGGCTGGTGAGGTGAGTGACCTTTTGTTTTGGATGGGAGGAGAGGTGAGCTACGAGGGATTATTACAAGTACTTACTTCGTATCGGTCGGCTCAACTCGTGGGCAGCCTTATTAGCATAGGGCGCCGCCTGGCGCCTAGGTGTGTCTCTGAATCTCTTGTAGAGAGCACCGAGCCTTTGCCAAGGACATAGACTCTTTGCATAGCCTACAACAGGGAGACGAGGTCGGCAAGGTAAGGTCAGCAAAGGCGAGGAGGAAGAGTCTTGTTTTCCCCTCATTAGATATCCCGGCGATCCTCTTGTTGCTCCTGCGTCCTGCTCCTTTGAGCGAAATGCTGATACATCACCCCTCAAGGCCCCTTGTACTTGTATCCAACCGTTGACCAGCCTGGTCCCCAAAACGGCGAAAGAGCAGCGCGGCCGGCCTAGGTCTTGCTTGTATCTAGTTATTGTAGGTACTCAAACATTAGAGCCAAGGGCCAAGGGCCAAAGGGCCAAGGGGGATCCGCTTCGCCATCTCCAATTGCTGCTGGCCCACACACCGACTATCCTATCCGGGGCCCACACACCCCAGGATGCGACCCTCTCTCTACCTTCGAGACACAAGTCGCATCACCAGTCCAGGTACCCCCGTACCTCGACGGAGTCCTTTCTCGCCGACCTTCTGGGCTCTTGGGGATCTCGGTCTGTGCATTGTCCATTCCTCGCTTCGATCTGTTTTCACCCTCAGAGTCTCTGTGCCGCAATACGGATCGAAACATCTTATCCCTGGACCTGCGCCCAGTGTGGCTCCTTTTACACTCTTCCCATCTCTAAACTGCATCTTTCTCCACGATCTCTCGCGTGCCCAGTATCCCCTGTTGCTTCGTTTGGTCTTGGACGACTGTTTCCCCCTATCCGACTGTCCCGTGAGATACTAGGCGCCGTTCAACGACATCGACTTCACCTAGGAACGAAAAGAGGCATTAGCTGTATTAGACTCCTGGCTACTCGCTCCTTCGCCGTCCGTCTCGCAGACGTGCCGAAGGGTCGACCTGGACCTCCCGTCACCGACTTGTCCAGGACCGATCCATGTTTCCGCAAGCCTACGCCAGACCATTAAACCCATTGCTCTTCAGGACGGTACACGTTTGGAGCTTGGAGGCATAGCTCCAACAAGCCATACAACATGGCGGGACTCGCGAGGCAGTCGAGCTTCCTGCCGACGATAAAATGCTCATCATGTGGGCAACAAATAGAGATCTCCCTGATGGGAGAACACATCTGCGGCCAAGGATCAGCAGCAGCACCAGCAGTACCACCACTACCTCAGCGTATGCGCTTCCGTCAGCTCTCTTGCCCCTAGACCAAGCCCGTCGTGACTAACACCGAGTCTGCAGCTTCTGCTCCCTCATCCGACTCATTGGATGCTTTCATGCCCTTCAACAAAAGCGTCCACGAGAAGATTGGACGAGTACCTCCGCCACCCAGCGTGGACACCAAAGCAGCCAGTATGAGCACCGGCCTGGACGTGCCCACGGAGCGAGGTGCTAACGAGAGGACAGACCGCAGTTATTACCGAGCTGGCCAGCTCACGCCGCACAGCCTTTCAAGTGGTTCCCGCAGTGTATCACCACAGACGCCCGTCGGACGACCGGGCGGCGCACGGAACGACGACTACGCGGCACCCAGGATCGCAGATGACTATGATCCCGCCGTGCAGCAGCCGCGACGGCCTGGTGGTTACGGCGAGTTTGACGAGCCAAACGGCTACGGCGCGGAGCCCATGTACCCGGCCAGCCCCAAGCTGGGTGGCCCGGACCTATTGCAACGAATGAACAGCATCGCGCCCGGTCCTTTCGAGATGAAGAGGAGAGCGGAGGCTCGGGCCGCGAGAGGTAGCAACGCGGGCGCGTCCGAAGAGGGCGGCAACGGCCCCGTACGAGCGCCCTTTCCTGATGAGCGACCGGGAACGTCTGCTTCGATGCGGTCCAACGGCATGCCGCCTCCGCGGATGCCTCGCAAGGACGGCTATGGCGGCTTCGGGCCGCCGGAACGGCCGCAAGACGAGTTCGAACCTCGCCCCTTCGGCGGCCAGCGCGCTGGCACCTTTCCCCGACCGAGCGACCCGACGGAGCAGCCGCCGGCACGCGCCCCTTCAGCGCCCGGGCCGCGGCCAGACCGGCTGCGGAGTTCCTCGAGCATCTCGGACGAGCCTCCTCTGCCCACGGATCGACTTCGACGACCGTCCGCCGGCATGGGCGCGGACACCTCGAGACCGCCGCCGCCGAGGACCAGCGTCGTCAGGCCCCGGACCGCAGGGCGCGACGGCGGCTCCGTGCCCGCGATCAACCTGGCCGAGGAGTTCGGCATCGGCAACCCGTACCACACGCCCTCCGAGTCCATGTCGTCGAGCACCTCGAGCGTCAGCCGCCCCACCAACTCGTCGCAGTCGAGCCCGCCGCGGTCGGTCGCGTCGGACAGGTCCGGGCGCAAGCCCTCGGACACGTCGACCTTTGACACGCTCATGTCGGACATCCAGTCGTCGATGGACGAGCTCAAGCCGTCCTCCCTGGACAGGCAGTTCTCTAGTAATAGTAGCAGCCGGGACAGGTACGACCCGGCGGTGCAGGCCCCGCAGGGCCTGGGCCGCAACCGCCCCCGCTCCCCGCTCGCCTCGCCCAGCTGGGACTCGTCGTCGCCGTCCTCGGCGCGCAACGACCCCGCGGTCCAGGCGCCCAGCGCCGGCGGCGGCGGCAACCGCCAGCAGCAGCAGCAGCAGCAGCGCTCCCGCGGGGCCTGCAAGGCCTGCGGCGAGGCCATCACGGGCAAGTCCATCTCGAGCGCCGACGGCCGCCTGACGGGCCGCTACCACAAGGCGTGCTTCGTGTGCACGACGTGCCGGGCGCCCTTCGCGTCGGCCGAGTTCTACGTGCACGGCGACCGGCCCTACTGCGACCACCACTACCACGAGCGCAACGGCAGCCTGTGCGGCGGCTGCGACGGCGGCATCGAGGGCCAGTACCTCGCCGACGAGGGCGACAAGAAGTACCACCCGGGCTGCTTCCGGTGCGGCGACTGCGGCGTCGTGCTCAACGACGGCTACTTTGATGTCAGCGGCAGGGCCTACTGCGAGAAGGACGCCTGGAGGAGGGTGCAGCAGCCGTGGCTGAGCGGCGGCGGCGGCGGCGGCGGCGCTGGTCCTGGTCCTGGCCCTGGCCCCGGCCGCGGCATGCCTCCTCCGCCCGGCCGGCGGATGTCCCCCGCGCCCGGCGGCCCGCGCGGACCCGGAATGGGCATGGGCATGGGCGGACTGCCGTCCCGGCCTGGCCTGCCCATGGGCAACAGGCTCGCTGCGCCGATGCCCCGCATGGAGAAGCGCATGACGCGCCTGGGGATGATGGGCTGAGAAAGAGAGGGCAGACTCAAAAAGAAAAAAAAAAAAGAAAAAAAAAAGTCTGCTTTGGAATCGGGGATGAAATTTACGATCGGGACCTCCGCGCCACAATTTACGACCGCCTTTGCATATATCGCACCACCTATCTACATCTACTGCCATTTCCCCGACATCTTTTTGACACACGACATACACATACATAATATCGACGAAGGGACTCGTACATCCCATATTATCGATGGGAAGAGTCCACCGTCAGTCGTTCGCGGCAATCTGGATTCGCTTGCTTATATTATACCCCCCCTTCCATTGAACGTGCGTTGGCCGACGTTCTGCTCTTACATATACCCTCAAGCCATTGTGTGGCTTCTGATCTTTCGTTCTGAGTTTTTTTTTTGGTCTATTTGTGTGTCATTGCGGCTGCATCTACAAAAGCCCTGTATCGGGTTCCGCCTCTACGGTGACCCTGGAGTTGGATGGCATTGGCGGGATTGCTTTGTGTTTTCCATGGTGCTGCCCGCAGGTGCAACGGCGTTGGCTGGTGTCTGGATGCGCTAGAAGTTGTGCGCATCTGGGAATGGATAGGACAGCGTGCTGCTGTCCAGAGAAACGAAGTCATTGAGGACGCGAGCATGAGGGAACAGATGGCCCCGGGGTTTATGCTTCGTGAAATGTACATAGCTTTGATCTAGGCACGGCAGCAGCTTCTGCTTGCTGTGACATCTTTGACTGAGAATCGATAATCATCAACATTCAAATCAGATATCTTGGCTCCATCGGTTACCTCTGTATTCTTGACACATTGCGATGACGATATGTGATTGCTACAAATCAGTTTGGAAGAGAATAACTCAGACACATGGTGACAACGTCCACCAACATCGCATCAAGACGGGTCCGAACCATCTCCAGGGTTAGGGTCCAAGGTGAGAATAATTTTTCGGTTAAATCGAATCTCCGGCCGTTTCGGGCTAGAGCGTCGGCCAATCAGCGCGTGGCATTTTGTCAAGCAAGCAGCCGAATCGACTGGGCAAGCTTTCGACTCTTGACGACCACGATACGATCTCATCGCCCTGCTCCCGAGCTTGCCATTGCGACACCACGACCACATCACAGCCCACGCCATGGCGAGCAAGCTCTCTCCCTTCATCTTCCGGACAGCCGTGCGCTCCGCCTGCCGGCAATCACAGCCGTCATGGCAGCCCCAGATCAGGACAATCTCTGCTTCGGCGGCGAGGAGAAGCGATAACCTCATGGTGGTACGTTCTCGATGCCGGGACATTTTGCGGCTCCCTTTTCATGGCCCCTCCGGAATGCGGATTGGACGGATTGGGGCACCTCGTGTGTGTGTCTCTTGGCCTGCGCAGGCAATCATGGAGGCCCCAATCCAAGTCCAGGAGTCGTCGATTTGGGGGACGAACACGAGATGTCAAAGACGGGGGGGAGGGAAGAAACATAAAGGATCATTCGCTAACGACTTCCCAATCGGAAAACACTACAGCACCGCGACACGCCCGACAACAACGCGAGCCTGCCCTTCAAGTTCACGGCGCAGAACGAGGCCATCGCCGCCGAGATCCTCAAGCGCTACCCGCCCCAGTACAAGAAGGCCGCCGTCATGCCGCTGCTCGACCTCGGCCAGCGCCAGCACGGCTTCACCTCGATCAGCGTCATGAACGAGGTCGCCCGCCTGCTCGAGATGCCCCCCATGCGCGTCTACGAGGTCGCCTCCTTCTACACCATGTACAACCGGACGCCCGTCGGCAAGTTCTTTGTCCAGGCGTGCACGACTGTGAGTTGTCCCCTCCCTCCCGGCCCTGCCCCTGGCCCCCGACCCGAATACAATCCCCTTGATATATCATCTCCTTGTTGCGGATTCTCGGACAACTCCTTGCTCGCCTCTTGGGAGCTCCACACATGTTAATATCCTTCCAACTCTGCTAACTTCAATAACCCCCTCCGACAGACCCCTTGCCAGCTCGGCGGCTGCGGCAGCGACGTCATCGTCAAGGCCATCAAGGAGCACCTCGGCATCAAGCAGGGCGAGACGACGGCCGACGGCCTCTTCACCTTCATCGAGGTCGAGTGCCTCGGCGCCTGCGTCAACGCGCCCATGATCCAGATCAACGACGACTACTACGAGGACCTGACCCCGGAGACGGTCAAGTCGCTCCTCGCGGCCCTCAAGGAGTCGGCCGCCAACCCCAGCGCCGCCGTCCCCAAGCCGGGGCCCCTGACCGGCCGCGACACGTGCGAGAACAGCGCGGGCCTGACGAGTCTGAAGGGCGAGCCGTGGAGCACCGAGACTACGAGGGCGGACCTGTAGAATTGGGGCGGCGGGACGAGAGAGAGAGAGAGAGAGAGAGAGAGCAGTAGGACGAGGCGAGAGGAGGGGTCATGAAAGATGGGAAAACACCTATTTGTACATACACCGTGTAATTGTTGTGATCCGAAGGAAAGCAATTGCTTAGCAGTTTACAGCTCTTGATCGTTTTAATTGTTTTCTTGGTGCATGTGTGTGTCATGCATGTCATGTCATGTCTTCGTATCCTTGTGTATCCCGTCCCAATCCAATCTGCCCAATACATCACTACACACAATCTCATTCTCTCCCCTATCCTGGTTTGCTTCAACCCAGCCTAAAGATCCACCCATCCCCGAGCCTCGTGTTGGACCCGTCCCGGCCGCCAAAGACCACGACGCCGTTCTCCTCGAGCTCGAGCATGGGCGACGTGGCGACCCAGCCCCTCGCTCCCGGCCCGCCGGCCGAGGCGTCGTCGTCCTCGTCGTCGTAGGGCGCCGTCTCGACGCGCGTCCACGTCCCCTCGCCCGACCGGCGCCCGAGCGCGTGCAGGACGGCGTCGGTCACGCTCGCGGCGCTCATGCCCAGCGGCGGCACCTGGAACGCCCACGCGTCGTCCCAGAACCCGCTGCCGCTGCCGCTGCCGTCGGACTTCTGGCCCAGCAGCAGGACGAGGTACTCGCGGCCGCCGCCCGTGGTCACGACCTGCATACCCGCCGCGGACCGGGCGCCCGGCCAGTCATCGCCGTTAGCGTCCTCCCCATCCGACGAGGACGAGGCGCCTCGCTTGAGGGGCGAGGTGGGTTCCTCCTCCGTCTTGTCGCCCGCGGCGGCAGGGCGTGACGCCGTCTCGCCGCCGCCGCCGAGCAGCGTCTGCCACGTGCCGCGGGCCGAGAGGGTGACCTCGCCCTGGGCCGTGCTCCTGTCGTCGAAAGTGTCGACCCCGAGCTCGAGGAACTCGATCTGGCGATGGTGGTCCGCGGCCTCTTCCCCGCCGAAGCGGTACAGCCTGCTCTTGCTGATGCAGATGCCGGCGCCGGCGCGGGGCGCTCCCGGCGCGCGGGGCAGCTCCTGCCAGACGCGGGAGCGCACGTCGAAGGCCCAGGTGTCGCCCGCGCGCCGCCCGCCGGCCAGCACGCCGCCGTGCACGATCAAGGTGCCGTACCCGTCGGCGTCGTGGTCGCGGGCCCGCGCGCCGACGTTGCCGACGATGGGCCGCTGCGGCGTGCCGACCTCGGCCGAGTCGCCCTCGGCCCACTCCCTCCACGTCTCGGGCTTCTTCTTCCGCCTCCTGCTGGCGCCGTCGTCGGCGGCAAAGTCCTCGGGCTTGTCCGTCGCCACGGCGCAGTGCGCGCTGCGGGCGGCCGGGTAGTGGGCCGTGTGCACGGGCGAGGTGACGGCGCCGGGGGCGATGGGGTCCGGCAGGGAGGGCGCCGCGGGGTCGAGCGCGGACCACTGGTGCGACTTGGTGTCGAAGACCCAGACGCGGCCGCGCTCGTCGAGGGGCTCCTCCTCTGCGCCGCCGGGGCGGCCGCCAAAGACGAAGATGCGGCTGCCGATGACGGCGGTGGCGTGGCCGACGCGCGGAGCCGGCACGTCACCCAGCGAGATCGGCTCCGGCGCGGCGACTGCCTTGCCCTTGCCCTTGTCTGCCGCGGCGGCGGCGGCGGCGGAGGAGGAAGCTTGCGTGGGCGTCTCGTCGCCGGCGCCAGAGGTCAGGTCGACCTCGCTGAGCTCCTTGCTATCGGCAGCAGCGCCACCCTCGCCGACGGGGACGTTGGTCTCCAGCTCGTCGGGCTTGTCCTCCTGTTCCCCGTCGTCGTCGCCCTCCGGAACCGCCGGCTCCTGGATGATGGGTATGGGCGGAGGGGCCGCGACGGCCTTGATGGTGTAGTAGTCGGCGGGGGCGCTGCTGAAGGGCAGGACGATGGCGTGCATGTCGTTGTCGACGGCGGCGCCGCCCTCCTGGGCCTCGCCGCCAAAGACGTAGGCCGTTCCCGCGACGACGTCCAGCGAGTGCGAGGAGCGGGGCAGGCTGGGGATGGCGATGCGCTCCCAGGTGCCCTTCATGGCGGGGCGGCGGCCGTGCTTTGACTGCTGCTGGTGCTGGCCGCCGTGGCCCTTGATGGGGTTGGGGATGGACTGCGGGAGGTTCTGGAGCAGGTCGGTGGTCCGACGCTTCAGGGCGGCGAAGGACTCCATGATGGTGAGACCTGATGGCTTGGCTTTGCTTCCGATCTTTCTTCAATGGATTTCTCTTTTGTCCTCTGGATCACTCTCAAGAAAGCTGATGCACCGATGGAGACAGCAGCTAGACCTTTTGGTGAAGAGGGTCAAGCCAGGTTCCTCTGGGAGGTGAGAGCTTTGGATTGATAGGTTGTGGCAGTGCTGATGACGTATCCGGGAGCTCGTGTTTACGAGAATCCAGATCAGTGCATCGAGGCCGCCCTGGTGCCTGGCTAACTACCTACTATCTGCTGATGGTGCGACAACCTTGGAAGCTCCAGCGAGGGTCCGGCCGCTGCGGGGTAGTCTAGGTCCCTAAACTACCAGACCCCGACCCAACACGAGAAATCCGAGGGCATCCCTTGGAGATATCCTGTGATGCTCACAAGGTAGGTGACTAGAGGCAATTGAGCTCCAGTTCCGAATCAGTTGGCAACCTGATAGCCAAGGAGGTGAATCCCAATATCGAATCCTCCGATTAGTCCTGGAACTGTGCTGTACCTTGGCTGTCGAGTGCATACGCCGTCGCTTGATTCTTCAACCTTGAGCCAGGTCGAGGCCTAGACCGTGCTCCACAGGGGTTCTGTTCAGCACGGACACTGCCCAAAGCTAGGTGCCCGTCCTAGTGAAACACAGGACCGTCGGCAACGCTAAAGAAACACCCGGAGCTCAAGCTCATTACCTTACTGTAAACTGCCGCCCGCCGCCCCGGCCAGGCCCGACATCTACCTGCGGAGATCTACCCGACATCGAGTAATCTCGTCTCATCGCCGGCCACCAGGGTTCCCTGGGAAAATGCTTAACCAGCCTCGTGGTGCTCACCCCCCCTGCCCACACCGGTCTGCTACCTGGTGATGGTGGTGGTGGTGGCCTCATGTGGGATCTCATCTCCAGCCGAAGTATCTCATTGTACCTCAGAGATGCCCTCATGTATCCCCATCCTTGCTCTCCGAGATGGAGTACGGCGACAGCTTGTCATGCGATTCCAGAGCGTTTCATCAATCGCCTGGCGGCGGCGGAGGTGTTGTGCGCCAGCGCCACAAAGCTGACAGGGCGTCAATGTCCGCACTTTTGTTCGGCATTCGTTGCCTCTTGCGAGAGAGAGGAGCGTGGTGTTTGCGCCTCGCCTTTCTTCTCCCCAGGGATAGCAAAACACCATCTCCGCGGGGCGGCAGGCGCACCCAGCAAGAGCAAGCAAGTGACATACCTACATGTATGTAGGCACGCCCTCTCTCTCTCTGCGACCGGACGAAAAGGCGACCAGAACGCCACTTCTCTTAACCTTTCCCCAACGAGGACCCAGAGCTGAACAATAGAGACAATAAGGTCGTCGATATGGGTTGCGCGCTAAATGCAAGCTGATAATCCTCATGTCTCACATTTTCCTCGTTCTGCATTAGATGGGCGGCGCCCCCCGGAGTAACCCCAATTATACGCCCATCATGTGTTTTTCCCTCTCGCAACTTTCGTCATTCCAGGTATAGGCCAGTCCCTTTTCCGTCCTCCCCGGCAAGCCACAATGGAGAACAGCAGAGTGGAAAGTGCCGTTCTACCCGCAAACCACGCCTGGGGTGTAGGAGCCGGTCAGTCGTCTTCCCCTCCCGGGCGCTTACACTATCGACGAAACAACAGCTCGCAGTGGTCGTCCACCTCCATCACCTTTGGGACAAGGCAGCCGAGCCCACAAGTACCGGCGCCGAGCTGGGGAGGGTTTAGCAAACCTTGGAATCCCTGCCCGCCCACTGCAGGCATCTTGATCAGCTGGGCCGTCGGGGGGTGTAAGAAACAAAGGAGGGGGTGGCCCCGTCCCCGGAACGACTCTGCATTCTAGAAAAGAGAGGAAAACGAAACGTAGCAGCATCCTGTGGTTACCTAAACCAGCCCCTTGCATATTCTGGTGATGACCGGCCTGTTATGGACGGTGGCCGGTGTTCAATGACAATAATAGCAACAGAGACAACAAGCAAATCCCAACGCAAGCCGCCGAGGCAGTGCCTGCGAGACCACCACACATAGTTGCAGGTGAGAAACCCCCCCTGGCCCCCAAATCAGGCCAACATCATTCTGCAGATAGCCCGGCCGTTCTAACTATCGCTGCTGTCAAAATCTTGCTCGGGCCCGAGCATCACGGTATCAAGGTTGCATGCAGTCGACCCAACAGAGAGGAAGGAGATTGTCACTGTCGTAAGCTGGGACCCCTGGGCTCGGAGACGAACCTCCTTTCGGCATCTACGCCCCAGACTTGCAGCCCTGAGGGTGTCCTTTCATCAGCGATCACAAGCCAGATTTGAAGGCGTCCATACTCGAGGATCTGTATCAAAAAGACGGTGGTACTATTGAGCAGGCAATATCTTTCAGTCTCATTGAAAGCTATGGGGAAGTGAGGCCGTGAAGAGTCGTTAATCTATCTGATTACAATTTTCCAAAAAAGTAATGAAGAAAGCAGAAAGAGGAAAAGAGAAAAGAGAACCGAGATATCCTAAACATGACTCCCGCAAATCCAACAGACAATAGACAACAGACATTAATCAAAAAGGAAATAGAGCATCAGAAACAGAAAACCAGTCAAGGAAAGAAGGAGAACAAAGTCCCCCTTTTGCGCCCAGCGCACCAGTCGTAGAACAAAGCAAACAAACTGCCAGACGCAAAAAAAAAAAAAAAAAAAAAAAAAAGGGATTCAAGTGCACGCATCCAATAACTCAACCAACCATTGCATTCACTCCTCCTCCTCGCCCTCGGCATCAACATCCTCGTTGTTGTTGCCGCCGCCGCCGCCAACTCCCCCAACCACAACAGTGGAGGAAGCCATGACCCGGGGCACAACCCGGCTGCCCCTGGACCCGGAAGACCTCCCGCCGCCGCAGGCGGACGACGACCCGGGCCCGGACTCAGCGCTCGTGGGCCGGTTGTTGTTCAGCTCCCACTGCTGCTCGCCGCTCCCGTCCGCAGCCGCCGCCGCCACCCTCCGGATGACAGCGACGTCGGGCCTCGACGCCCACGCGACAAGATCGCCGTCGTTCTCGCCGCCGAACCTGACGCGGCCGGTGCCGGCATCGCTGCCCGACGCGCCAGAGTTCGCCGTCGTGGAAGAAGAAGACGAGGCGCGCCCCTCGCGCTGCAGGTGCTTGGCGACGTGCTCCATGCGCTGGTCCCACGCTTCGCTGCCCTCGAAGACCTGGCCGCAGCCCGCAGACGGGCAGCCCATGAGCGTCGGCAACTTGCAGCGGCACCTCTCCGCCATTCTCTGCAAGTCCGGCAGCGAGTCCTCGTACTCCTGCATCTCGGCCTGGTCCGCGGCCGTGGACGACGACGACGAGGCCGACGGAGCGGCGGCCGTCGACGACGACGTCTTCTTCTGCAGCGCCTTGGTCGCGCGCCTGATGCTCTCCGGGCTGTGCATGCGCCGGAGGTGCTGCGTGAAGAGGTCCTTGCGGTTGAAGATGGACCCGTTGGGCAGGCTGGGCCCGGCGGCGCCGGCTTCTCCCGAGCCGGAGGAGGAGGTGGTGGTGGAGGGCGGGTTGGCGATCTCGGCGCACGTGCCCTGCGTGCAGAGCCAGTACGTGAGCACGATGTGCTGCGACATGACGTGCCTCTTCCACTCGTTCTTGCTCGAGAAGGTCGAGAAGCAGCCGGCAAAGTCGAACACGCAGCGGAAGTGCCGGTTGTGCTTGTGGTTCATGTGGTTCTGTAGCTCGGTGACATTGCGGAACCGCTCGCCACCCTGGCACTCGGGGCAGCTGTGCCTCTTGCCCGCCGTCGGCAGGCTGTCGATCTTGGTCTTCCTCTCCTTCGTATCCGGCTGCTGTGAACGCGAAGGGACGAGGCGCTTGTTCTTCGGGCGGCCTAGCTGCTTCCGGGGCGCTGCGGCAGGCTGGATGCGTCGCTTGGAAGATCGTCTGCCGGGCTTGTAGTCGTCGTCGTCATGCTCCCTCTTGGGCTTCCGCACGGGGACCTCTTCGGCACTGGAAGGGTAAGGATCTTCCTCGGGCTGGGGAGGAGGGTAGTTGTCCCATTGCGGTCTGTGATCTGGGATCCGGATCTCGTCCTTGATATCGGTGCCTATGTCCTCCGGGCTGGACGCTCGTTTCATCTCGAAGTCGGCTGGTGCCTGTTGGCTCCCGTAGTCCAGCTCGCATTGGCTACTGTAGCTGTGGTAGCTGTAGCTCCTAGGAGCGTACTCGAAGAAGCTGTTGTCATTTGGCACGCTCTCCACGGGGAGTTCCTGGTTCGGGTTGACCTCGTCCAGGCTCACGCAGGTCGCCATGCCCGTGCAATGATAGAGAACAGGGTGGTGCAGCTGCATCTCAGCAAGGAACCCGTTATGCGCGGACGTGGTCATGTTATGATCGGGAGGCGTCGAGGGTATGTTGCCCTCGTAGTTGGAGTCACTTCCTCCCGTGGGGCTGAGGGCACTGCTGCAGGTCGAGGACGTGGCGTGGAAGGAGAAAGGCGAGGTGTAACGGGGCTGTGATGCCGCTGGCATGATTGGCACTGGCCGCGCAGCGTTGTGATGATAGGGCTGTGAAGCCAGTGAGAGATGGAGGAACGCAGTCTTTTGGCCGTCCCCGAGATACTGCTGCATTGCCTGCTGGTGGCTCCACTGCCCGGCCATGAGGTGCGGCGAGCAGGTGCTATCGAGTAGAGGATCAATGTTGCCGAGGAATTCTCCAGTGATGTCCTGAGATGGCGGAGAAGGTAAGTTTGTGCCCTCTGCAAAGCGGACCGAGTTTTTATCGCAGCTAGAGTTGCCCATGGTGGATTGGGAGACGATGAAAAGGGGGGTTGGTCCAGAGATATGCGTCTTCCACAAGACGTAAAAAGGCCGTTCCTGGAGTAGCAAATAGCCCTGCCGTATACACTGAGTCTCGCGCACGAAGACGTGCCGAAGGTACTACCTATAGGTAGCCTTACGCCCAGTCAAGATGGACCGGGAGCCTGGTTGGCGAAAGGGGCGTGCCACCAGCGTGACAGCGGTAAGGGGCAGGCCGTTGCAGTACTCTCAAATGCAGGGTGGTCGTGGAGGAGTCGAGTTTGGTAGTAGATACTCGATCATTCGAGTTCTTACTCACACACCTGAAGGGAGGACACAAAATGTAGAAGATGGATATGGAAAGGAAAGGGGCATCATGGAGGCGGAGCATGCTCTGCTTTCATAAGTAAAAGGAGAGAGGCCTTTATAAACGGGCAAGAGTAAAAGGAAAACAGAATGGGAACGCCAACTTCCCATGTGCCTAACAGATCAACTTACACGAAGGGGGGGAGGGGTGTGGGTGTGTCTGGCGAGGGGAGGCCAGTCTTGGGGGGGGGAGACTGAGGAGCATCGAGCAGAGCAGACGCAGAGCCTCATCTACCTGGTACTTTCTCATACCGCATGGTGACTTGAGCAGACCCTGGCCAGTTGTGCATGTTCCAGCAGCGCTGTGGTGGCTTCCAGTCTCTCTCGTCTTGCAGACAGGACGAGCTGCAGCATCCCCTCCCATCTCCCTGGCGGCCCACCACACCTTCCACTCACTCTCTCACCCACCGGTTTCCCTGCCGCGCCGGCCCCCAGAAATTGGGGCAGGATGACCCCTTGAACCTGGCTTCTCGACCACCCTCTCGACTCTCGAGCTAGTCGGGTCCAAGATAGGATTATCCTGTGTAATAGAATTCTGTTGTGTGTCTCCGGTCGTGCGTGCTGAAAGGGTGAGAGACTCCCTCCTGGCGGTCTAAGCGCCTGTGCTTCCACGAGATAGCGGATATCATGACCAGGAGGCCGTGACGTGTGTGGGTGCGAGGAGGAGGACGACGACAAACACGTTCTGGGAGTTGCTGGCCGTGTGGCGCGCGCACCACGCTCCGGCCTGTGGTCTGGCTGATGACCCTGGGGCTGTTGGTACGCGGTCCATTGCCCATCACCAGGGTCCCTCCCCAACTACCGGGACTTCTGGTCCCAATGCTGTCATGGGTAGCATGCACAAACTTCACTCACTGTCACCTGTCTCTGCAGTGGCAGTGTTGCATCTTCCCCCCCTGCAGTGACATATCGCAGTCGTGTTAGTTGTCCGACCCAGCACGGAACGACGTCAACGAGTTGGGATGATGATGAGCCTAGAGATGAGCCCCATCCACTGTCTCTCCCCAAAGTAACAATCCGAGAATGCACCCCCGAACAAAGACGGCTGGCCTGGGGGGGGCGGTGATGAGTGGCTGTCCCAACGAGGCAACATTGCAGGCACTCCCTCCTCTCGCAGGCACCGCAACGCACCGCACCGCACGGCGAAGAATGTGATGGTCCAAGATTCGTCGACGACTAATCCCAGACCCAGACGGGCCTGCATGAATGAAGCAGGTCAGACGGGTTGCCGACTCAGACGAAAGAGCGGCAACGCAAACCTCACAGGCAGAGTTGCAATACCCCATTCCGTTGGGACCGGGAAGGGAACCTTGGAAGAGGCACGACAGGGGTCTTCAGAGTGCTGTGTGCCCCGTTTCTTAGGGCAGGCCTGCGGCGGGGGCCAAACCAAGGCCATCATCTGCAGGTCAGGTCGCTGTTCGCCGATTTGGAACCCTGCTCCTGCTCAGTGGAGTGGCCTGGCCGGGCCCCAGTTCGGGCAGGATCGCCCTTCAGCTGGTCTTTCGCTTAGAGCACCCATGGACTGGAGCCCCTCCTCTCTCCCCCCCCCCCCCCCAGTCCCTTCTGCCACTGAAGAGCAGAGCCTCATCTGCTCTCTTGTCAGGGAGGTCCTCATCGCCCACTCGGCATGCCCTCGACCTCTCCTCGTCGTTCCTCGGGGCTGTTTTGCTGGACAGACCTACCTAGGTAGCCGCCCATGGCCCAGCGCTCTGCCTTACCTAATCACGACTGTCCCCTCCTCCTTGTTAGGCACCTCCCACCAATCAATCCAACCATCCCATTGTCTCCCCCGGGCCGTTCCCTCTCCCCAGGCCACCCTCTCAGCTGGTAAGCTGAGACCTTCACTTTCAATGCGTGGCGTGCCCTCCTCCGCATCCTCTCATCACCGCGGGATCCTGTGATTTTTCTTTTTTACACCAGGGTTAGCCAGAACTCCCTCAGCACTTACACCCACACCCCACCGCCTCATGGGCAATTAGACGCCCAACACCTCTTCCGCCATTACACATACCATCGGGATTGACGGCAACTTCCTTTTGCTTGCCCCTCAAGACGGTCCCTGTTAATAATAGTTCTGCGTGTGAAGCACAAAGCAATGTCATCTGAGGGAGGCTAATGCAGAGAAGCGCCCAAAAGGCGACGAGTGTTGCCAGAGCAGTGACATACTCGCTCACCCACCCACTCGCCCGAGCCACGCGGGTGGTATGGACGGGCCGGTCCTTTAACTCAAATACTGATGGAGAGAGAGAGAGTGCCCAGGGAGTCACCAGCTACAATACAAGGTCTCCGTAGTCTAGACTGTCGGAGCCAGGAGAGTGCGCGTACGAGAGTATTCATGACAAGCCATGGACATGCAGATCGATCCAGAGTCTCCCAATGATCACCAAGAGGGTAATCTACCTGTCTGACAGCCCAAACGCTCTCACTTCCGAGAGGGATGACTGCCTAGCGCCATCATCGTCACCGTGATTGCACAGGTTTGCTTTTCAGTTTCTTGCCTCTCTCCACCCCATCGTATACCCCCCCGATCTATTTTCCCCTTCGCACAGGCAAAACGGGGCGCAGCCAAGCAGCCTTCTGCGCACCACCCAGGGCGGGCGGTGAAGCAGACGCCATGTGTGTGTTGTACCAAGCTGCCACCCTCCCATTTGCTCGCGACCTTGGGCGACCGCCTGACAAAGTTGCCTAGCTAGATGCCTTCCCAGAGGGCCAGCCTATCATCGGCTCTGCATGCCGAATCCGTGCCATGTTGTCGTGCTCTGTCCGTCTCCCTCTTCGATTGCCCCCTGATCCCACACAGGATACCAGTCTACCATGCGCTAGGGAGGACAAGTCAGCGTGCTTCTTCTCTCCACGTCAATGTCTCTGTTCTACACTGGGCATCAAGGACACCACTTTCTTCGACCCGTCCCACAAACCCAACATCTATCTATCCGGTCGACACGAGGGGAACAATCCTGGCAGACCGGCACTGAGTGTATTAGTCCAGGTCCACAAGTCCAGGATCGCCAAGCAGATAGGCTTCAAGTTGTTTTATTGGAAGGAGGTCATCAGCATTGCTATTAAGAATCGTCGTAGAAACTAGATCATCATGGTATCTCTAAGGCTGCCCATCCAAACACGATCAAAGCCAGAATTCCGGGAAAAAAGAACAAGTAAACCTCCGTTGCGAATTGGACAAGAAACCAGAAAGCTCAATGTGAAGCCTTTGATGGACCATCCTCAGGCGGATCATGGTACTCCTTTTTGCAGGACCTACAACGTTCATGGCCACATCCTGCAGTGATACAGCTGAGCGTTGTATCCCAGTTCATTAGAACGGGGTCTTGACAGGAGCACTAGAGTAGCGATCAGTATATGCAGTAAGTCAAGTTCTTTGGGATTACGAACGCAATTCCAGAATGTCTCCTGCTTCGGATGTCTCGCCTGCCTCTTCTTTTTCGGAACGGCCGCTGCTCGGTCATCCCTCGAGGGCTTGCGCTTGTTGCCACGGCGGGAGGCATGATTGGTAGATTCATCTGGGTTGGCGTTGCGTTGAGTTGAACTAGAGGGAGCCTTTTCGTTTGAGGAGTTGTGCTGCTGATCGACATATACCCACTCCGACATCTCTTTCTTCACAGAGCCGTTTCGGCCCCAGATGTGGTCGTCAATGTGATCGTACCTCTTGGACAACGCGCCGCCTCCGGCATGCTTCAACGTGATCTCGACAATTTCCTGGCACAAGCCACACCAGAACCTGTCCTCGCAGCCATTGCCGAACCGGCATTTCTCCAACCTCTCCTCGACAGCGGCTGCGTCGTCCACCAGGTGCGTTTCGCGAAGATGCTCCTTGGCCAAGTCTCGGCTGTAGTAGACCTTTCCACAGCAAATGGCTGCGTCGTCTTCCAGCGTTTCGCTTTCGCTGCACCTCCATGCCTCTCGCTGGACGTGTTGACTGGTCTCATGTCTCTTCCAGTCATTCTTGCTGCCGAATTTCTTGACGCACTGTGGGAACGTGCAGCCGTAGGGTTTGCTATGGCGCTTCATATGCTTCCTAGGATAAAGGTGTTAGTGTGCGGGACTCCCCAACATGTAGAGGACTTCGGATACTATACTCACTTCAACTCGCTCGGTCGAGAAAACCGGCTCCCACACTCCGGGCACACAGTATCACCGCTGGTATTGCTGCTGCTGGCACCACGTGTAGGCGGGACTGCCTGGCCTGTTTTTCCGGGAAGAGGCTTCGGCCTTTCGCAGCCGCTGAGATTCTTGAGAACTAGCTCCAGGATGGGTCCGTCCACGCTTTTGAGTTCGTGCAATACGGCGTCTGCGTCCAGCCCCGCCAACAGGCCTTCTTTCTTGGGGGAGTGAGCTGGCGAAGCTTCTGCTGCCGGGTCTTCCACGTCAGAACACTCCGCCTGCGGTTGCTTGGCCTGCTGTGCTTCGACCGGCCCTTCAGCATCCGTCGAATTTGATGGTGCTCTTGCGTCATCCGAGGTACTCCCGAAGTCATTATGCACCTGGTTATCGCCGGGTCCCATCACAAATGTCGTTGTCTGCTCGTGATCATCTGAGAACACCCCTATCTGGTCGCTTTGTTGGGCGCTTGTACAAAGGGCATCGCTGTCCAACCTTTTGGCGGTCTCTGGCCAAACATCGGGGCCATCAGAGTCAATGAATGATGACGTATCTGAGACTTCTTGCCCGTTCTCCTGCAATGAAGATGACTCTTCCCTGAGTCTACCATCGTCCGTTCGTTGTGGATTGCAAGATTTAAGTTCCTCAGACGGCACGTCGTCTGCTTGGATGCAAGAGGGAGCTTTCACTCTCTCCTGCAGTTCTGATTCCTCTGGGCTCAGAGAGAGGGTGAAAGGAGGGGGCAGGAGCTGGCCTGAATCGTCGCGTCGGACGAAGTGTTGGCCCCCGAGGGGATCCTTCGAGTCCGCTATACTGCTGTTGGGAAGATGATCGGTCTGATCCATATCCGGATAGCCTGAAGTAAGTATGACGGATCCAGGACGGTCCTCTGGAATCATAGGGTAGGCCATAGACGTGCCAAGGCCAGCAAGGTTGTCCGACATGTGACTCGCATTTCGACTGCACGGAGTAAGTTGAACAGGTTGCACAGGAGAAGAACAAGATAGGTTCTGACATACCTAGTCACTAAAAACTCATCCAGGTTCACCTGGTCGAGATCGACCTTGTGCACCTTTTTTAGATGGCTCTTGAAGTTGTCTGCTCTCGGCCAGGGCTTCTTAGCTTTACAATTACCAAGATGGCACTTGTAGCCCTCATCGCCGTTGGAATGCTTGCTCTTCCTGTGCCGATCGAGATCGTTCGTTGTGCCGAATCCTTCACGGCTGCGATCACACCCGGGAAAGCTGCAGCGGAATGGTTTTGTATGCCGTGCAATGTGCTTCCTTGACCTCGCAATCAGAATTTGATTAAGCTACATGGGAGAAGGAGGGCTACCTACTTCTTCTCGGATGGGGTCTTCAAAAGCTTTTTACACTCTTGACACCATAGATTGGTATCTCTCGTAGGTGGAATCAGCGAGAATTGAGCGGCTCTTGAGTCATTGTAATGAGAGTGGTGGCGGTCCCTCTCGCCGACCTGGGAAGGGTGAGAGCTAGCATCCTGGAAGGAGAATTGTGCAAGATCTTCATTGACGCTTTGTGTCTCAGGGCCACGATCAAGGTCGCCAGGGATAGAGGGGTTGCCAACGCTCACTCTTGCAGCACTCCCATATCCCGAGTCTGAAGGAGTGATGATATTGGAATCGCAGTCTGATAACACAGTGCCATCCCTACATGGGCCATACGGCATGTGATAGGGCCTGTGCTGGAGGCCGTTTGGGAAGTTGCTGGAGCGTGGTTCATCGATACGGGAGGGTAGAGCCGACCCCCTCACCGGGTTCCAAGGGGCATCGCGGTTGGTCCAGTCGATCACCGTACTGTTGCTGCTGTTGTTCATTGACCGGCTGAGATGCAACCCAAACCCGCCGGTAGTCCCTTTTGAACCCAAGAAAGCGAGTTGTTGGAAATAGTTAGGGGTGGAATAAGATCCCCTGTTGCTCTCGGCCAGTCTTGTTTGATCCATGCTGCCGAATGCTAACGACATGCTAGGAATGCGAAACGCTTGGTCATCTCTTTGGGTAGAGGTAGGCTATCATCTGTTAGTGCTGGATGGCCACCTCCGTGAGGGCGCGATCGAAACACCGACACACGACAGAAAGGGAGGTGTTCCGTACCATCCTATTGTCCCGGAAGGGACCAGAAAAGGGAGGCATCGTCATGATTTCTACTTGGTAGCACGAGCGTCAAGAAATGGGCGGCCACTTTGGGATCGTGGTCACTGGCGAGCAGAGGGGAGGCCCGGGCCGGGAGAGAGACGGAGGGTGGTGTAATGCTGTGTCCGGTCTTTCCAGGTTGCAATAAGCCGTAGCCTCAAAGCGCGATCCGATCACATATTACAATGCAGTACCAGGGGTCCGGAGTCGAGATATGGGTTGGATGTCATGGGCATTTAAGTCGCGGGAGCAAGCATTAGTCGGTGGGAAAACAGACCAAAATCCACAGAAAGAGGAGACAACAGCAGCCCAAAAGATTGGGAAAGGCGAGGCAGACTTGAGAGAAATGCGTGAGAAGGGCGAGAAGCCCACATCCAACGCAATGCTGGCTGTTCTGGTGCAAATAGGTGTAGGCAAGTATGGTTCGCGATCCAGTCGGAGAGAGCACTAATAGAGGGAAAGGATGTCCTCCCGCACCATAGATCGAAGAACGGGCAAAGAAGCTAATATCCTGGAGTCAGAACAGATGTCTTGAGCATTTGATTGACTTGGCGGCGAGATGCCGAGTGCGAGGCCAGCTCTGGATTGAGGCCTGATTAGAGAACCAGAGGACCAGAGCGACAGCAGTAGCTGCCCGATCATCCGGATTGCGAAAGAAGGCCAGATTCAAGAGAGCCGCGAAGGGCATGTACGGAGTAGGGAGAGATTGCAGAGATGCTTGGGAGATTGGACACCTGCCCAGTTTCGCTGCCCATTTCTGAAAGTGAGGCGGCCAATGTGGTTGCCTTGGTTGCCTAAACGTGTGGACAAGTCTTATTGGCCAGTGCATTCTTCACACCGAAATTCAAGCATGATCGTCGATTGGCAGCCCCCCCTGAAATCTACCGTCCATTTGCAAAGCTTGAGCCTTTCCGACCCTCTCTGCTTGAGCGGTGATGAGGAGTAGACTGAGTAGTCCTTCTGCAGAGCCGCGATCTATCATTCTTCCACAGGGCCGCGCAGCCATCCCAACACCCTTGCATCCGGATCTCGGAAACCCGGCCAGCCCTTGCACAGAAGTACAAACACATGAAAAAAATGCTGACTGTGGAGAATAGGCGGTGTGCTCTGCTTTGTCATCGAGAACAATGGCCAAGCCATCATTTCTTCTGTGTATCTTGGTATCGAGCTCTTGACCAAAGTCGCGGAGGTCGGCCTCTGGAACAAGGCTTTCTAGTCAGCCTATCACTGTCCTTCACATAGATGCTGTCAAATCATCAAGCAAGTCAGAGTACTATCGCATTTTGCAACCCTCAGAGTGCTGCCCGATCACTCTCAACACCACTGTGCCGAGTCTCGTAGTCAAAGGGCGAATGTCATGCAAGTCGCAGACCAGTCATCACCCAAAGACAACTTGACTGCAGGCAAACTGCCGCTGTTAGGAGGGCTTTGACCCTGCGCAAGCCACCTTCATCAGAATTGTCCAGGGGGCAGTGTTGCTTTGATTCGAGGGTGTTTCCTGGCAAGTGAGGGCTTTGTTTGTAACCAGGGCGTGCCCCATCATCCTGTGTCACGGCATCAAGCAAACATGCTAGATGTCGGGCATCGTGCCCTTGTTTGCCACTTTTCCCAGACGATAAGTCGACCAGAAAAAAGCAAAGCACAACCCATGTGCTTATGTCGTCGGACAGCAGAAGTGTTGTCGATATCCTTGCACGTCTAGAGACCGCTGTGTTGCATCGAAGAGAGCGAACCACGTCCATTGCATTACATCCAAGGTACTCTGAAAGACTCTAGGATACTTGAACCCAGATTTGAAGGATCTACGGCCGTAGCTTGTGAATGTTGACGTTACATGAGCTTCTCCAAGTGGATAGATATTCCGTGATCATACCTGCGACGTATATGCTAGACAGGATATGCCCAGAGCCGAAGCGGTGAAGTTTTGATCTGCGGTTTGTTTGGACGGCTTGCATCAAAGCTGGCAAACTGAGTGCTGACTGTATGTTTGTACGAGGTAGACAGGGTGTCGGATAGCATCCGGCCTCGCCAAGAGTCCTGCGCCTTTGACATTGACAGCATTGCCTACATGACGCAGTCATACACCGAGAAAGAGGATCACGGCGGATGAGCTCGCTAAGTATCCTGCAGACATTGGATGATAGAAGCTGGTCATACGGAAATCATGGGCCACATCATGTCGTCCCCTCGATCCAGTGCAAGTCCTCGAGGATTGACCTCTTGGGTTGTCGTCAAACTGGATTCTCCCTTTGCAATTGTGAGCGTATCAACACGTCCTGGATCCAATCAGATGCACGCCTCTAGCGAGCATCCTCCTCAGGCAAGCGAGGCGGTTGTCACCATGAGTCGTACCCGCAGCGGCAGCTGCCGGATGTTTGCTTGCTCGTTGGTCCCCTGCACACGCCTCGCTGCCCGGGCCGAGGAAGCGGCAGCAAGCCCAGGCCGTTATTGTCCAGGCCCGAGTCCCTGGTACACGGAGGTCGATCAAAGGGTGACATGGTGTACACTCGATGCATCATGACAGGAGATCCGCGCCAGCACGCAGGTCTAGATCCTGCAAAGATGAACAAGACGTCGCTTATTTCATGCGTAATTTTTACTTGAAACAGCCGTGTATACAACTGTGAGAGCCGCAAGAGCAATTTAGCGCGTGTGTCGACTTAAAGAACCAACGTACGTAAGGTTCAAGTAACTCTCGCGATACTCTCTGCGGCAAGATCAAGTACCTGGGCCGCTTTCAACACCTGGTCTCCTGCAACTGGCACGGGGATCGCTTCCGGCATGATGTGGAGTTAGAGCAATGTGATAGTTCGTTTTCGAAGAGAAGAGTTCAAAGATAGTAAAATTGCGCGGTCCACTTCACTTCCATGCAAGCTGTATCAAGAGTTGTACACTTTGAGCTGCTCAACCAGGTTTGCACGGCTCTTTACACACTCTCGAGACGCCACTAGCCAGTATGCTTCGTAGCAGGGGAGTACCATTGACGAACAAACAATATAAGTAGCTTGGAGCCCTTGCCAGTGAATCCTGAAAAATGCATTCGACAAAGCCGTTTCAGTCTCACGACCAGCCAGAGCTCCCACAAGCTGTGAGAAGTCTTATTCGAGTGAAGAAGCTTTCTCTAAAGGTACCACTCCCTCTATCCATTCATTGGGAAACACCCTGCAAAAGTTATCTATGCTCACTACGTTCCAACTACCAGGCGAACCCAACACACCACCACACATTGTCAGACCCCGAAACACTACAATATCATCATCATCATGTGCGACTGGGAAGAGTTCGCCTTCACCTGTGGCTGCTCGGTGCGCCGGCTGAGATCCTACTGCCACTTTGCTCGCAACGACCCAAACCACCAGTGTTTTGGCGTCAAGCGCCTCCGCTACATTTGGGAACAGGGGGTGATGTGCGATCAGTGCATTGCCGCCTCGCAGCAGAGAAGGGGCCACAACAATGGTCAGTGGTAAATTGTTGTCGGTGATCCACTGTTGGTCAAGGTGTGCCAGTCGCCGTCGTTTTGCATTGGAAGCAGCAGGGGCAGAGCCGTGTAAGAAGAGGGAGTACTGACACTGGGATCGTCTTGCAGGAAACCGACAACATCGACGTTGACTCAAGCCAACTGGACCTAGGGATGGCTTGGACATGGCTACAGGAATTCGGGGACAAAAGCAAGACTTAGGCACCTACTTGGCATAGAAAATTGACTTACATTGTGATCGATGATTGCGTACAGCAAAGCCATGACTGAGTGGCAGCATTCGAAACCCTGAAGCATGTCGATGCAGTGGCAAGGGACATTGACAGTTGCAAAAACTCTCGCTAATCTCGGAATGCACAAGAATGCCGTAGATGGATATCCGGTAAGGGACAGCATGCAAGTGCTCGAACTCGGCAGCACAGCAGGGGAAAATGCCCGATAGCTTCGAGGCGTGGTGTTGGCAGCCGCTGTAATGCTAGCGATGTCCATCAAACTGCATGAGATGATCTTCTGTACCACTCGAGATCGCAGAATCCAGAAAATTCCATGCATTGGGGTGTGACACGTCTCTCTACAAATGTAGCCAGAAGGCGAAGTGCAGCAACAGTAATTACAATCCGCTTCATGCTTGCGGCAGCTTGCTTGAAAGTCTCTCACCGCATCTCCTACGACCACTTATGTCGACAGGCATTGGATTGGACCTTTTTGCTATCTCACATACATATCTTGACACAGATCGTGCATCACATGCGGTGAGTGACAGGTCTCGATTGCGACCTGCATATGAAGCCAGCCATGAGTACAAAAGGTCTACTCTGCAGGACAGACATGACGAGGAGCCGCTCACTCAGTATTCGTCGCACCGACCACCTTTCCTACCACATTGTAGCGCTTGCTGAAGAATGTTACCCAGTCGTTCAGAGTGCTCTTCTGGTTGTCGTCCAGATCGTGCCACTCGGGTTTGACGTCTTCTGCCTTGGTAGATACTTTGCCCAGTGCTCTCGACGCATCATGCCCGGCAAACGCTGCGATATAAATTAGTATTTGTATGTGTGTTTGTGTGTGTGCCTCGAAGATGCAAAACACAACGCCCCTGGCCAGCCTCCATGACAGTCTTACCATGGTACGAGCCTCCAGGCTGATATGCCTTGTTACCGGTAACATCGTAGACCGTGCCCTGCAAGCTGTATTAGGAGATGAGGTTCCCAATTGAACATAGTGGTGAGCTATAAGATGTCTTGAGTTCACACACCTTGATGGCGACATAGCATTTCCCTCCATTGACTCCTAGAGTCAGAAAGTCAGAAGAACCTTCATGAGATAAGTGCCCTTTTGACATCAAGCGAGATATCAGGACATACCATCGGCCTTTGCCAACTCCTCGAGGGTGATGGGGTCATCCTTGGGAGGATCAAGGTTGACGGGGGTCTTCGGCTCGAACTTGCCAGCCATGATGCCGAGAATGCGGTGCGGTGTACCACTGTGACTTTCTTAAGGGATATCGAGACGGGTTCTAAGATTCAGCCGTACAGCACTAGAAGTATGAGTAGAGTAAAAACTCTCAATAAATCGTACAGATTCAGGAGCCCCGGAAGATCAACGATTCACAATCAATTGGGGTGAAGTCGAGGTCGATGCCGGGACCTGGGGTTTTAGCATGTGGGATCGATGGGGAACGCAGGTACGCCATAGCGGGTATCGCGGACCCAACTCAGCCAATGAAACGGTCCGTTTTAGGGAGCTCCGAAAAGAAATTGGAGAGTATGGGAAGCTCCTTCGTCGGCGCACGTCGGCATCGTCATCCATCCGTGCCAGTGTCTGAACCGAAGCTCATCCCCCTCTCGGCAGACGGCCCCAACATAACTACATCACAACCAACCCGTCGCAACCAACCCGGCACAACCAGCGCACCGCACTCTGCATGAACGCCACCCGTGAGCAATGTTGAGAACACTCGAGCCCGTCCGAGCTCGGGTGGCCATCCGCCCGCTCCCCTGCGGCGCCCACAGACTGCAGCTCCACGTCCAAGTATCGCATTCGAGACTGGCTTCCGCGCCATTCAGAGCCACAGCCACGGTCGTCCTTCCTTCAATTCACCATGCGCGGTATCAATCGCTTTCGGGAACCGGCGGTCACCATGGCCAAGCGCCGCCTCCTCCTCCGCCGCCGCCCCCGCGACCCTCCTTCGGCCGCCTACTCCTGCGCGTCGTCGGCGGCAGCTTCAGAAACCTCTTCTCGGCATTCCGCGGCCGGAACCTAAAGACGCTCTACCGCCAGAACCCCGAGGAACTCGTCCTCGCACTCGCCATGTAAGTCTAGCACCCCCACGCGAAACTGCAGCTCCTTCGCCGCCTGCTGACCTCATCCCTCTCCCCCCTTCTCCTCACGCAGCCTCGCCGCCTTCATCTTCATCTTCGCCTACGTCGTCCGCATCTACTTCACCTACTTCTACTCGCGCCAGTTCACGCGGTACCCGGCCCCCGTCGCCAAGTCGCTCCGCCGCGCCCTCTACTTCAGCAACTACTCGCCCGACCCGCCGCGCGCGCTCAAGTACTACAAGCTAGCTCTGGAGCAGTGCGAGGAGCTGCGCATGGACCCCTTCTCCGACGACGTCATGGGCATCAAGATCCAGCTGGCCGCGTGGCTCGAGCAGACGCAGAACTTCAGGGGCGCCATCAAGATCCTCGAGGTACTCCTCGGCGACTGCAGGCGCTGGGTCGAGGTCATGGAGAAGAGCGCCAGGGACGGCACGCTGCCCAAGCCCGCCGCGCCGCCGCCGCCCGCCGCTCTCCCTGCCGCCGCAGACAGAGGCGGCTCTGCGAACGGACAGGAGCAACAGGCTACCGACGTCCCGGTTGAGACCATGTGGGGCAAGAGGGCAAGACTGCTTGGGAAGGCTGTCGGTATCAGCGTCAAGCTGGGCGAGCTCTACTCGGACGAGCATGTCCTCGAGTACGACCTGGCACACGAGCGGCTGACATGGTCAGTCGAAACGGCCCTCAAGGAGCAGCAGCGAAGGAATACAGAGGGCACCAAGGATGGCGAAGGGAAGTGGATGAGCCCCGAAGAGATCGGCGGCGCTCTCGAAGGTACGCATTCCTTCAACCTTACCCGGGTCACGACCGATCTACGGTGGAAAACTAACTCTCTAGCACAGCCCTCGGTCACAGCTACGAGTCGCGGTCGCAGTTCCACCTCGCGATCCCCTTGTTCTTTCAGGCGCTCAACCTCTGCCGCGACCCTTGTCACAGCGCCGTCTTAAGTAAGCACTGATTATATATACCTGTCTACCCCTATCCGCTGTGCGCATGCCGCCATGCCGCAACGAGCAAAAAAAGGCTAATCGTTTTCCGCCCCCGCAACCTTAGTGAACAACCTCGCCGTCTCCTACGCCCAGCACCCGGTCCTCGCCCCGGGCCAGGCGCTAGCGGGCAGCACAGCCTCCGCCCCAGCAGCAGCAGCAGCCGCCGGTGCAACAGTCCAGCCGGCCGAGCTGACGGTGCCCCAGGCCAGGGACCGGAGCGAGTACGTCGAGTCGGCCCGAAGGTGGGCGCAAAACGCCCGCAGGCAGGCCAGGGAGCCCCAGGGCGAGCTGCGGACGCCGGAATGCGACCAGGCGTGCGCCGTGGCGCTCTGCACCCTGGCCGACGTCGAGGCGCTGTCCGGCCGCCCCAGCGAGGCGCGCAGGCGGTATCTCGAGTGCGCCGAGCTCAGCAAGAAGATCGGCTTTGACGCGGGCGTGAGCCAGGCCCAGGCTGGCCTGCGCAAGCTCCCCAAATGAGTCAAGGAGAGCAGAGAGCTACCATCCTCGTTGTGTGACAGGCGCCCCCCCCCCCCCCCCCCCCCCCCCCCCCCCCCCCCCCCCCCCCCCCCCTTTCCCCCAACGCCTTCGGGACATGGGCGTAGTAGCAACAGAGGAGACGAGGAGAGAAAGGGTGGGGGAGGCGGAGGTTGCGGAAGGCCGCCTTGCCAGAAAAGCTCCGGAGCTGGCACAGAGTTGTGCAGCATGCGGGCTGTGCCGCCTGCATGAACAGCTTCCGTCGAGGACCCCTTGTTATCTACGAAGTCGGTCAGTCGCCCACTGCGGTGGACGAGCCACCCCAACAATTCCGCTGCCTTTGCTGCGGAACATGGAGGGTGTTTCCTGGACGCTCCAGGCCTACGAAGGAGGGGGGGGGGGGGGGGCCGGGTACCGTCGCCGTTTGCTCTTGACAGAAGCATGCGGCGCGGGATTTGATCAGGCAGCTGCTTCCATCGTTGGACTTACGAAGTTAATGGCACGTTGTTAGGAGCAATCTCCGGACCAGAACGATGGCGGGGTCGCCCCCAATCATGTCACGGCGTTTTGTGGTTGGCTTGCACGCAGTATTGTAACGGTAGATCACCTCTCCCCCCTCCCTTCGGGTATGGCCTGATATCTCCTTCGTCCCCCCCGTCGGACGCGGATGTGTGAAATGTTAGCTTCACCGCCGGATGGCTCGCAGACAGATAGACAATCTTTGCCCGTTTCTCTGACTCAGAAGGGCGCACGTGGCGGCGACCGCTCCTTCCTGCTTGTCGTTCCTTTTGGTCCTGGGTGTGTGTGTGTGTGTCTTTTTGACCTGCATTGATAGCAAGCTTTTGGATCCCTTTTTGAGTTGGGAAAAAGGCTCGCGGGAAGCGCATACATATGCATGGCGAGACCATTTCACACCCCTCGCGCGCCAATGGCGTGCGCTCCTCTCGACCAGGGGTGGCAGTGCAGAGTGAATTGTCATGCCGCCCAGAGGGGAGGTGGCCAATAGTATGCGCTGCAACCCTGCCGTTCGGGAACCGTACCCTGGTGGTCAGACGAAGCGGCAGGTATTGTCAGCGTTGCCACTTTTGCGACCAAGGGGAGGTCTGTCTTCACTCCCAGCACCTTGGACCCGGGGCAGGGCCAGTCCTGGCCCCCAAGGACTGAGCTAGCACAGCGGGAGAGGCGCAGGCCAAACAAAAGACGAATAACAAATCGACGACAGGAAGCGGGCGCGCGTCCGCAAAGGTTTCCGGTTCGGCCGCGGCCCTCTGAGTGAGCCTTTAGCATAGAGAAAAACGTGTCTTGTCGGCAGTCGGAATCGGGAAGGTGGTGGAGGGTGACACTGCCAGCGAGCGAGACAGAGAGAGGGAGAGCGGAAATGGGGGAGCCTGAGACTCTTTGTCACAGGCCGGAAGGTGTGTCGAGGCTCTGTGATGCGATGGGATTGGAGGGGTTCGTTGGTGATAGGCACGGGAAGGGATGCGTTCAGCACGAGGACGCCCGACGGATGTGCGTTGGCCCTCGTTGGGAAGAGAAAGGGCTTGACAATGCCAACGGAATGTCCGTATTCGTTGAAGGATGGGCGAGATTGTAGATGCAAAGCAACTCTAGCTTGCGACGTCATGATGCTGCTGCTTGCTTCCCTCGTCTCCGGTCTCGCCTCCATAGTAGGATTACCTTATCCTGAAGCGGGAGGAGGAGGACAGACCGGTGACAAGCAATATGACGAATTCGCACGGGAATGTCGACAGCCTGCAAGCCTGCAGTCGCTCTATTTCCTCCAGACACGGCCCTTCCCAACTGTCCAGAACAGGAACATGGTTCGTGGCAGTCCAAAGTGCTGGAGGTACAGATACTTCCGTTGACCACTGCCCTACCGTTGGTTGTGGTCCACTTCGCCGAGCAAAGCCGATACCTCCTGGTGCCTGCTGCTGGAGATAACGAGAGTGCGGCCATTTAGGCTAGAGAGACCCAAGGTGAGTTCTGTTTTGGCTGCCCTTCCAGAAGGCCCCTAGAAGGTCTCGACGCCCTGTTTTCCCCACGAAGCTAGCACCGGCGTGGAGCTTCCGGGATCGCTGGCACGGTAATTAGTCGGATCGCATCGCGCCCTTGTCCTCGCAAGGGCGACGCGACTGGGACGCTTTCCAACTCAAAACGAACAGCAGGCAGGGCCCTAGTCCAAGGAACCCTGTTTGCGGTGCTTCGAGAGTGAGGCATTTTGTAATCCTAGACTTCCTGGTGGCCCGAAGCCCTGGGCCATGTGATGTCGATTTTCAGGGCTACCCTGTGCTTGGCAGAAGGCGACGTAGGTTGCCTCGTCAGTGGTAGTCGTCAACGATCTCCGCGGAGTTTACGGTTGATCGAGACTGCCAAAGCGGTCTCAGTGCCGTTGATTGACCATCGTCGTTCTCATCAGCGGCCGCTGGTCTCGAGCTTGTTGGGGGCCGAGGGAGAGATTATATTGAGTGAACAGCGTTGCACATCCTTGGGGCAAGGCAATTTTAGGATTTGCGACGGCGAAACTCGAAGCTCACGAAACACAAAACGGGCTGGACGAAAATGGCCTGGCCCGCACCTGCCGCTGTCGTTTACAAGAAAGCCCAAGGCGTGGAGGCAGTGCCTACGCCCCCTGGCCTTTCCCTATCTAGGTACGGTCTGCAAAGGGGATTTCTCAAAATATCTTGGGCATGTTGATGCCATCGTATTGCATTCCTTTGACCAAGCCTCAGGCCTCGGCTTGGCGGGCCTGAAGAAGGCTTGTATGTGCTTGTGTATTCTGCGCAAGCCCGCCGAGACAAAGCCGGACCACGGCCGGCCGCTTGTGGGGGCGGAACGCCGGTATGAGACGGTTCGAAAACCAGGTCCATCTTGTCCTCGTGGAAATTACTTCCTTAGCCACGTACTCTACCAAGCAGATAGGCAAGAAGCCGGGTGCTTTAAAATGAGAGCCAAAAAAAAAAAAAATCTAATTCTACAAATGCCGTCGATCGATTGCCGTACGATCTCGGAGAGTGCCCAACTAGTAGGAGAGAGACGGCGGTTGATGCTCCACCAGAGCTCTGCTGATATCCGCAACATCCTCAATACCCGCAGCATCCTGCAAAGCCGCAGAAAACCATAGATACCCGCGCTAGTCTCGGCTTTTTCTCAGATACGTAGACTCTGGAGGGCATCGAGATCGTCTTGTGCACATAATGCAACAGAGTTTGGGCAATGGGATGTTTCTAAGAGGGTAGTAGCATGGAGTGGAATCAGGTCAGAATTCACTGATGCAGGTTGCAAATCATCTGTATGGCACCCACGGCACCCACGGCACTGGGTGGTGGGCACTTGGGGAGGAGGTGTCTTGCGTCAGGACGACGGTGCCATGGGGGGGGATGTCACTGGCATACCCGTCTTGGCATGATGCAGGCACATAAGCCCCCCGCCCATGTATTAAGTATTAAGGGAAGTTACTTCAAGTAGTTACAATGGGTCATTTGTCAAGCCTTGTGCTTGCAAATAACTAAGGCCTTCGACGTGGAGTCTAGTGAAGGGGGCTGTTGGCCAACTTATCGACACTTGGTAGATCCATAGTAGTCTCGACTTGCCTGTAAGGATTTTTGCATGATCTCAAGGAAGAACACTCGGTGAGGAAAAGCGATGTCACCCTGGCCATGGGGTTTGGGAAAGGGCCCCCTCATCGTCTTCTATGCTCCGATGCACGGCGGCTGGTGTAAGTGAGTGGTTTTTTAGGTAATACTGTATGAGCAAACGGCCATGTTCAGGCGCTAACGAAGTACTTGTAAGTAGGGCAAGCATTCTACCAGCATGTAGACTCCTCTGGCACCCCTAGAAGGCCACTAGAAGCATCCAAACATTAGCAGCAACCGCTCATGACCTTTTGATGGTGATCGGCGTCTCCATGCGGTTACAATCATCAAGTATGCAACCGGTCAATGCAAAGCAACGGTCTGGACAGAACTGTTCCCATCCAAACGAGTGCATGGTAGACAGTCGAGACAGTCCGTCTGAAAGATTAGACGACCCGCCAACCAAGATTTGCAGGTGATGAGTGATGCATCAAAGTCAGATCCAGCAATATGGACAGGGCAGTGCCGCTCAGCTCGACATCTGGTCGGGCTCCATGTAGGCTATTGACCGGCGCGAGGGCATCCCATCGAGACCCCTCAACAGACCGAATTCAACCTGTCCAAGCCTCGCATCTCGCAGATCAGTAAACCCCAAATCGAATTCCCCTGGCGCGAGACCCCGGCTGGTGGTCAGTGAGTGTGCATTGGAGGCAGGTAGCGGGAATGGAAGCCCGGGAGTCCAGTGGCGCAATGTACGAACAAACCCTACTTAAAATCTGATCCAGACACCGCCCGGTGCTTGATAATGATCACGAAGAGGGCCTATTAACGCCGTGAAGTCCTGGGCTATTTTCGGACAGCTCAGTGGAATCGCTGACAAAGAGTTGCGGAAAGCAGGGTGTGATGTGCAGCCGAGGAAAGGTCGTGTCCCCCTCGCTGCACGTTTGCAGATCCTCCATCTCGTGGTGGGTGTGGGTGATGGTGGGCGGCAGGCAGGGCGGCGGGTTACTCTTTTCTGTGGGGGATGCACCTCGGTGTCAGCTCGATTTCCCCTTTCTGGCCGTCTTACCAGGTGTCGCAAGCAGTTTTCGATCATTATTCTCTTTTTGTTGATGATGATGATGATGAAGCAACAGTGCACCACGATTCTACACTGTCGTCGTTGCTGACGGACACAGACAGCTGCCACCCCCTCCATCACTTCATTTGCCAAAAGCTGTGATTGGGTTTCTCTCAGGCAGCTTGTGCTTTGTTCGGTGATGGCTCGGCAAGGAACTGATGGCCTGGAGGGGAGAGACACATCCGCTTAAAACCCGGAATTTGCACGCCAAAAGACGACCAAGCGTCGCTCCCGGCGTTTTCGGCCTTCCGGGATGGGCGCTCTTCGGCGCTCGCGTCTAGCAGCCCAGGCATGAGCCCTCCGCCATCCGCGATGCTCCGACCAAAGGCCCTTGACGTCACAAATACGGCTTTGCGTCCCTTCCTGAGATGTCAAATCGGGCTGTTCTGTGGGGTGCCGGACAGGGTGATATCAGCAAACCATCTAGGTAGTGTGTAGTGAAACTGACAAAGCACAATACATGACCCTGCCACGATGCCTCGAATTGTGTCCCCATCTCTTCTTCCAGGTGTCCCCAAACGAGAGAGGCATGGTCCTGAGGCACGTCTGATTTGATGCTTGCCATGCGGGTTCGGCGGGCCCTGGCCGACACCCAAAAGCTACCCCAGCACCGCTTCGTAGGAATTTAAGGTAGCCGGCGGGCGGGCCTCGCGAAACAAAGCTACAAGTAGGAGGGTGGTGTCAAGAGACCTCGCTCCCAAGGTCCGCTCCCAAGGTCCACTCACGACATCCACCGCAACAAAAAAAAGGTGGCCCTCACACACACACCCTTCTTCTTCTTGGAGGTCTGACTCTCTCTCGAGGGTCGGGTCCGTATCCACGAGGTACGTACCTCGCTGACCTGGGTACATCGCCTCATGTCGTCCCGTCTGAACCCTGCCTGCATCTTTTGGGCTTGGTGTGCGTCAGATGGAGGTTGCAGATGTAGAAGAAGGTGGACATAAAATCGATTACTGAACACCTCCCTCATCACTGATCGAGCTTAAACTCAGTCTGGCATGCTGGACTAGTGAAGCTACCTACCACCGCATTCGCGCCTCCACTATCATCACATTGCCAGACAAATATATATAACCTCGCCCCCCGTCTCCTCCAACAGCCTGATCGCTTTTGCACCCCTCCTAATAATTCAACCACCCATACATTCATATATATACCCATCTCGCTTCACCCCATTCACCACAGCTGTAATACAACACTCATAGCATACTACCAAGACCATCTTGTCCTTAGCAACTCTAGAAGAAGACCACCTCACGATCGGGAATACAAATAATACACAACTTGCCACCAAACCGCTACTTCCAGCCATGAACAGTTTTCACGATCCAAGGTCGTCCATGGACCCCGCCATGTCCTACATCTACGGTGACACGGAGCAATATCTTAGCACCACCTCGTCCGAGTCCCAGAGCCCGCTGAGCTCATCGGTATGTAAAACTGCTACTACGAGAACCACACGGGGGCAGACAACGACTGACCCTCCTGCTCCGCATGAACAGTTCGACATGCAGTTGTACATCCCAGACTTCAGCGCGGCAGACGTCTATCCCAGCCCAGACAGGGAAACGGCCTCCCCAGACACGCCGACGGAAGCGCCAGCCAAGACCCCGGCCAAGAGGAAGAGGGAAAACCGCTACAAGAATGCGCCTCCCTCAGTTCTATCTGTAAGTGTGCCGCCTTTGCCACTCTCACCAGTCGTCACTCGTGCTGACCTTGGGCTTTTCCCCGCCTCTTGTAGCGCCGCCGAGCACAGAACCGAGCGTCGCAAAGGGCATACCGCGAGCGCAAGGACCAGCGCATCAAGGACCTAGAGCAGATGCTCGGAGAGGCCAAGCAGCGCAACGAGACGCTCACGCAAGCCTACGCACAACTGCAGGCCGAGTACGGCAAGCTCAAGAGCACCCAGTACCAAGACCAACCCTACGCAGAAATGCCCTTCGATCCTAGGGCGGCGGCGGCGGCAGCAGCAGCAGTACAAGCACAAGCACCAGTGGGCCTGGACTTGGACCTATTCACGTACCCAAACATGACGGCAAACTATCAGATGTGAAAACGTGTATAAACCAGATCTTTCGTCTACAAGAAAAACGGCATCGGTGTTACAACACTACTACTACTACTACTACTACTACTCTGCGAAAATACCCCGGCGGACTTTAGCTCCCCCAGCTTTCGGACATAATCACCGGCGGCGGCATCTAGTGTTTTGGTCTTTGTGCTCGCGTACGGCGTCTCGATGGGGGCTCACCTGTTTGTTTGAACTTTGCAACTATGACGGTCTTTTTGCATAAGAGGACAGAGAGGCAAGACGACAGGGCGCGCACGGCGGGCCATTCGGATCGAGTGGGAAACGCAAAAGAGCGGAACCGTCTTTGGTGGGTTTTTGGGTTAGACTTGGCTCGGTCTTGGGACGGACGGAACTACTCTCTTCACAAGAAGGTTATTCGGGGCGTTTTTAGGCGTTGGGTGCCCTGCAGTGGTGCAAATCCCGCAAAAGAGGGAACGCTAGTCACCCTCCGTTTTGGAGTCTACCGGCCCCTACCGCAGCGCCGTCTACATCTAGGGGCCGGGTGGTATGCGGGCAATAGGGCGGCATCAACGGATGGGGCAACTGGAGCTGGTTCGCAACGGCGTCATGCGCCGATCCCCAACGAGCTTTTGTTCTTTCTTCTTCCCTTGCTATCTCCAATACATCAACAAGTACATATATATGAGTTCACCACGTGCAGCAGCAAGGTACTCGCGGGATGGGATTGGACATCGCTCGGCCGAGACGGCGCCGACCAGACTTTTGAACAAACATCCTCCTTCTGAGTTTGCCGGAGAACACCGGCGTTTCATCCCAACAAACGGCAGTCCGTGTCGGCATTTCCCTGGGCCAAGTACGGACGAGTCTCGGGTGCAGCAGCCGGGAATAGGAAAACGAGCTGGAATTTAGACTTCTCCGGACCCCGCTTCAGAATACAAAGCCAAAAACGAAACGGCTTCATCGTTGATAACCTATATTGCGTGTCTGTCTACGCCATGGAGAACCGCTGTTGAGATTTGCTCTTTATCATACGATTGCCAATCGCTCAGGCCTTTTTGCTTGCCAAGGTGGATTGTGCATGTTGTTGAGCAAAAAGCTCTCGTCATGATGAGTCGAACAGTTCGTCCCTGGTGGAGCAAGCGTTCCAGGCCATGTAACTAAGCAGGGGCGATAATGATGAGACTCCATATGGATGCCTTTCGTGGCGCCAGTCCATGCCAGCCACACTGAATTTACGCCTCGAGACAACTTTCCAGATGAGGACCAGCTTGATCCACCTGTCAGAGCCTATGTCTCTGAAGCATGACATGACGGTCAGAAAAAGAAAAAAAAAGCAAGATCAGCCGTTTGTCTCTCGCTGGTTGCGCTCAAAACGGACGACGGCGCTTTTCGAGCCTCGTAGAATTGTCAGGAAGTTGCTAGACTGTACGGAGTAAAGTTGCCCATATGTCCATGAGTGGTGGTGGATACAACCGTTATTACCGAACTTATCACCTCATGGCCCCCCCAACACAACACGTACGAGCATGTAAATTCGCCGATCTAACAAGTACAAGCTTCGAGTAAGAAAGTTTACTGGACCACCGTTGTCTGAGTCGCAAGTCGAAGCTGTAGTTCGAGAGCTGAGACCGAGCCAGTGACATGAAGGACTACTCGAGGAGACTTTGGACGATCTCACATAGAATACGCTCGGCAGGACACGCCCTTGAGCTGCGTCGCAGGCCAGGCCAAGTGCCTTGTACGTAATTGCTTTCCCAGACCTGTAAGAGTACCTAGATAGATTATGATCTTTGAGCGTCTTCCCATACCGGTATAGTTGAGGCTCACTCCTTGACCATGATCAGCCAGTCGTTCACACAAAAAGCAGAACCTTCCAAATATGCCAAGATGACTAGACTCTTACGCCACCATACCTCACAGCTGGGTCTCAGATAGTCCCTTTACGGAGTAGGGCGGTGCTCGTACAGGGTATTCCGAAGTCATGTTTTGGCGGGCTCGTACAGGACTCGAGGATGTCCCTAAGAGAGGGCATTTGTGCCGGCTCAGCTGACGCCAGTATCTCTCACCTGCTCATCGTCCGTTCCTTTTGCTGTCCTTTGCGTCCCGGTTGACGACTTCCTCGGGTCATGTGAGCAAAAGCGCCAGTTTCGACAGCATGCTGCCCGCCTAACGCTTCCGAGTAAGCCAGTCCCTTGCTGCCAGTACCTCCTTTCTGATTCCATCAGTAGGTATGATAGGCCTTCTTGGGTTGGTTGTTGTTTGGCATGTGTGATGAGATATCACGGATATGGCGAGTGTCAGGATTGCCGATCTAATCTGCCAGACCTTGAGGATGAATTCCTCCTTGACCAACCCACCTGACACATACGCAGGAGTACTCGGAAGGAATTTGAGGTATACAAGTGCCCTCTTTCACTAGCTCAAAGATTCAGAACAGCGATCAGCCCGAATGAGGATTTTGTACCCCGGCAACACTAGATCTGATCAGCAATGTTGATAGGTCAAGGAGACCTCGGATCCCATCGATTCCGTCGATGCTATCTCACGAGTCATCATCATTCAACCAAGCAAGGGTATGCTGGAACGATCCCCTCTGCCCATTTACTCGACTTAGGTCTTAATTATCCCCACGGCCCTGGAAGCATCAACCCAGGCTCTTACCTTGGTAGTGCTGGAAGCATAGGTAGGAGCCCTCCTTGGAAGTGATCGCCACATAGACAGTGGGCACTCCATTAGGCATGGGCAGAAACAGGCATGCATGGACACCGAAAGATATGCCAGGAACGAGGAACCGTGCCTTCAATGTTTCGACTTGTTTTCATTGATTGGGGTCCCTAGGTATGTACAGCAGAAGTGAAGTCTATATCGTCATTGAGGCCCAGCCCAGTCCAAAAGGTAAGCAACCCCCCAAAGATTTCCCATTCTGTTTCTTTGTGCCCGGAGCATTCTTGGGCTCATGTCGTGTGAAGATGCCAGAAGCTGGCCAAAATCTGGAAAAAAGCGCCGCCCATACATACATTTCATTGATCAAGACCGACCATCCTTGACGCTCAAATATACTCATTGTCGAATAAAAGCATAAGCACGTCGCTTGCAACGTGTTGTTGGTTCAAGGCCTGGGTGCAGGCGGAAACACGTCTGGCTGACAAGGCAAGGCATGGTCGATGAATGACGCCCTTAGTTAAAGGTCCAGTCAACGGGGCTGCGTCCGACGTCAAGCGAACCAAAGATGTCGATGAAGACCTTCTCGCTGACATCGATCTCGCCAGAGGCGCAGCCCATGCACTTGTCGCGGATAGTGGCCTGGACAGACTTGCCACCGTGGGTGATGGTGATGGTCTTGCCACAGAGCGGGTTGCCATTGCTCTGCTCGCCCATCTGATCCTTGGAAATGGCGACGATGTTTTCGGTCATGTCTTTGCCGGCGTCATTAAAGCCACATGCGCCCATTCCGACAGTATAGTAAGTCATAGCGCCTGTGAAGAGGCTAGAGCCACTGCCCTTGCTGGAGGCGCCGGAGCTGCCAGAGCCGCCAGAGCTGTAGGTCGACGAGGCAGGTGGTGCAGCGACGGATGGGGTCTCTGCAGGGGGAGCAGGCTTCGGGGCCGGCGGTGTGTAAACAGGACTCTGAACGGCCGGAGGGGTGGAGGGTTTGGGCGGCTCGACATAAGGGGTGTTTGCGGTGTCCGGAGAAGAAGAGGGAGAGGCAGGCGGAGGGGGAGGGGGAGGGGGAGGAGCAACAGAGCTGTGCCCTCCTTCGAAGAACTGGCCGGGAACGTTGGTGGCTGCCGCAGGGCTGGCAGCAGGAGTCTCGGCGGCACCCTGGGTGAGGTACGAAGTGGCAGTGACGTCGATGAACTCGACGACAGTCTCCGTCTTCCACTCGGTAACCCACTCAGTCACAAGCGCGCGCTTGTTGTGGGCTTTGACATGAGCGGCATGCTTGCCATGGGGTTTGGCAATGGCGACAGAGGCCAAAGCAGCGCAGAGAATAGCGACAGACTTCATGTTGGTAGCTTGGATTGTGAACTTGGTAAATGATTGTTTGACTGGCGAAAGACACACAAGGACTTTTGGGCAAATAGCAGATAAACCACAAAGTTGACTGAGGCTTGATTGAGGAATGTAGGTCAGTTGTCAAGTGCGGCTGTGTGGGGTCCTGGTCGAAGCTGGGCTTTTCAAAAGACAGTCGTTGGGCAAAGGAGTGATCAAGTGCTCACAGAGGTCTGTGAGACAGTGGTGGAAATGAATGTGGTGTTCAGTGAGCCTGCTCGAGGAAGTGAATGAAAGTGAAGAGCACAACTGAAGCCGGAAGATGATGAGTGAAAAAGAGCGTCGAGAACCCGAAGTCCAAGGACAGGAGACCGGGATTTATCTAGAGAGGGCGAGGAGGACATAGCTGACGAATGGCAAGGACGAGACGAGGCCTGCTGTGGGTAACAATGGCAGGCAGTGTGGGAGGTGGTGGAGCCCAGGCTCCACTACCCGTCCCTGATTTGCGCTTTAGGCTGGCTGGTACCTGCCGAGCGCTGGCCTAACCACCTGTAAGGGCTCTCCAAGTGCAGGGACAACGCCCCATCTCCACCAGTCCCCTTTCGCACTTACCCACTGTGTCCCCTGGAAAAAAGGCCTGGAAGCTCGTGCTGAACAGGGGGGTTACGAGGCTTGCTCCGCTTGGTCCAACTGGCTGAACGGGGCTGGGTGCAGATTTCCTGTCTGTGATTGGTGTTCCTGGAATGCGCCCACACCAAGCTTTCCGGGCACCAGGGCACCACTTGCCCTCCCCTGAGCTGATCGTCCAACAATTTCAATGCAGCAGTTATTTTGGTAGCCGACGACCAACTTCCAGCTTGCGCCGATTGGCTCCCTCCAACAACTCCTGCCAGCACGCCGCGTGTTTCAAAACACACAGCCGTGAGGGAAAATCGGTCCCTCGACACACACGGTTGTGACTGGCCTGGACACTGCATCAATCACGTGTAGCCCCTGCATGCAAGTTTGTAGGACTTGACTCGGCAGCTCTGTAGGTACCTCAGTCAGGTAAGGACGTAAAGGCGGAGCGAAATCACTGGATTGGTTCTCCATATCAATGTTCTTGCTCCCTTCAATGAAAGGACGGTGCGACATCAAGCATGCACCCTTCCTCCAGTAAAGCAAGTAGTGATGGATGGCTCAATGCAAGGCATGTGCAGTTCGTGGTTTGCATGCAGCTAGGCAAGTTCACTTCAAGTTGTGATTGCCTGGACATGTTCAGATTGGCCTTTGCCTGGTAGTACTGGCCAACCCTCTTGCAGCATGCAAAGTGCCAGGTGCATCAAAGAGAAGAGAGTGGCCCAACCTAGTTTCCTCACTGTTGTGCACCCACCTTATGGTAGGTCTGACTTGGCCGTCAAAGCTGTCTACATGCTTGTGTCCCCCCTTTGAAAGTGCAATCATGTTTAACCGAGTTTTCCTCTCTCTCAAGGTTGCAAGGTAATACACAAGTCCAGCCAGTACCATATACTTATCTTAAGATTAATTCTATACCCAGTTATACAGCCAAGTCAGGAAAATTAGAAGGCTTGATCACTAGAATAAGCGCCACTTATCCCGATATCAGATTCAGAATTCGTTCAATTCATAATGACGCGCTATGTGGAATCTAATGCTGGTAAACAAGACTTCATGAACGACACCGGCGATCCAATGCTCAACTCCATGTAGAATGCCAAGGTAAGACCGCTTATTGCTTCTTGGTGAAGGTGTAAAGGAAAAGGCCTTGACGACTGAAGATGGGCCTGTCCTCATCCTCAACCTCCACAACATGAAAGGTCTTCTGTGCCTTCTTCAAGAACTGCATGTCGGCTCGACGCCTCTTCTTGAAACAAAAGTAGATGGTAGTCGATGGGCACAGCGTCAACAACTCTGTCAACGTGGCAAGCAGTAGTGGAAAGGCAGGTTCAAAGTAGACGCAGTCAGCAGCCAAGATGACATCCGGTTTGAAGTCCACAATCTCCTGCGACAATGGTTCACCCCTAAAGCAAAGAATTAGCATTAGAAACCTGGGTCACAACAGAGGGATGCAAGAGTCGTGGGACCATATGGGATATGGGAGGCCAAAGAGATGACCCGGCTGGATGCAAACACCCAGACACCTACCAGTTGAGCAGTCTGGCCTCGACCCGGCCCTGCAGGTTGTTTAGTTCGATGTTGTGGCCCATGAGAGCGAACATCTCCTCCTGATCGGTGATGTACAAGGGATTCTGGAGTTTGGACCCCAGGGCTACCGACAGGCCTACGAGACCGCCACCCGCACCGAGCTCGAGTCTACCTCACTGTCAGCGGCTGTCAGAGGCTAGTCACAACGGACAGTGGCGCTAGAAAGCTTCAAATGAGGAAAATTCTGAGAAACGAAGGAGAAAGAAGAGGATGGCTTACATCCTTGCCTCTTGCAGGTCCTTCTGGTGGTATCGGAGCAAGTGCTTGGCAAGCACCATGCCGGCCGGCCAGAGTTGGCCGCCACATCCTGAGGATAGATCTTCATGTAGCTTCAACGGCGCGGGGAGCAGGCCGCCAAAATCGAGGACTGTATCAGTGGCGACCTTGTACTCGGGCAAGGGCGCAAAGTCCTCTCCCATGGCCCAGGGAGAGAACTCTGGGCTGGGTGTCCTGTCAAGATCCACCATGTTGGAGAACTGCAAAGGGTGGAGTTTCCCAAAGGGGGAATTGACTGTGTAAGGGCGGGGAGATGAGGTATTGGGAATTTATTGAAGAAGCCTGCCAGTCTGGTAAATGAACGCCATGCTTTTCCCTTCACTCCTCTGCTGACCTATCTGCACACTATCTCTTGAGACATTTCTCAAGCGCCCCTTCTTGGACTTTTTTTTTTGTGTGTCTACCGATAAGTGAGATGGGGACAACCGAATCTGCTGCACACGATGCAAAAGACGCTAGCCCTAAAGCATCACTAACCCCCCGAAGAGCGTGCTGGGCTCAGGCTGGTCTAGGCTTAGCGGAGGGCTGCTCCAGCGCTGAGTTGTCCTTCCACCCGCTGTGGAGCCGCTGTCGTGAGGCATCACATTCAACCTCGATAAGCTCTTCCTCATGAGATAGATGGGTTTTCAATGTCGGAGGCTCATTTTCTTGTTCGGCATCGGCCGAAGGCCCTTTGAGTTTGTTTTGTCCTTTTTCTTTGGGTTTGACCTGCCAGAGTCCAATTGACGACTGAATGATGCGCAACAAAGCGCTCGTGGCAGGCGTGGCAAGGGGCGCCAGCCCTCTCGAGGCGCTGGAATGTTGGCCCAACTCCGGCCCATAGTCTCGTGCTTGGGCATGGCTCTTCTATATTCCCAAGTCGATCTTGTCGCCTTGAAGAAACTAGAAGCCGCCCCTCCTTCCCAAAGAGGTTGCTCTCTAGGGGCGAAGATGTGTAGTTCATTGTCTTCACCCCCTCTGCTCTCCGTCAGCCTCCCTCGGGCGTGCGAAACAAGGGAGGCAACGCGCTCCGCGCCGGTGTGCACGCATCATACCCAGCCACTTCCCCTCTGGCGGAACGAGTGTTTGTCCAAGGAGTTTGTCTTTCTCGTGGTTCATGATGTTTTGACTTTCTTTTGTTTGTGCATGTGTATGAATCATACGAAACAGCCGTCCCGGGTTTTGTCGTCAACAGCTTTGGAGATCGTGGGCGCTGCTATCGCCACCTCGTCGTCGTGATGGCATCTCTCTCGGTCCTCTGGATAGCAATGGCTATCATTGCGCTCGGCCAGGCAGCTCCGACCCTCAACTTCCCCATCAATGCTCAGGTGCCGCCGGTCGCAAGGATAGCGCAGCAATTCTCCTTTGTCTTCTCGCCGATAACCTTCACCTCCCAGTCGGCAATCACCTATACTCTCTCCAACCCTCCGAACTGGCTCTCCATCGACAGCAGCGGTCGGCGACTCTATGGCACGCCGCAGGATGGCGATGTCGCCCAAGGCGAGGTCGTGGGAGTGCCCATAGAACTGGTGGCGACCGACAACTCTGGCTCTACGACGATGAGCTCGACTCTGGTCGTGTGCAGGAACGCAGGACCACAGATCCAGGTGCCCTTGTCTGAGCAGATTTCTAGCTTTGGGAACACTTCAAGCCCGTCCTCCATCATCTCGTACCCCGACAGGCCATTTTCCTTTGCCTTCGCAAAGAACACCTTCTCAAAGCCAGATTTGAACTACTATGCGGTATCGGGTGACAATGCGCCCCTGCCCTCGTGGATCACCTTTGATGTCAGCAACCTCGCATTCAAGGGAACGACGCCGCCGCTGAGCTCGTTGGTAGAGCCTCCGCAGACGTTTGGATTTCAGCTGGTCGCATCCGATATCGTTGGATTTGCAGGCGTCGCCATTCCTTTCTCAATTGTCGTCGGTAATCGTGAGATATCGACCGGCAGTAGCACGCTGGTGCAGCTCAATGCGACGGCTGGAGCTCCACTTACGTATACGGGCCTTCAGCAGAATGTCAAGATCGATGGCAAGATTGCAACCTCCGCGGATATCGCCTCTATTGAGACGCCGGGCATTCCAAGCTGGCTGTCCTTCGACAAGAGCAGTTGGGTGATTAGTGGCACACCTCCCGCCGGTGCGACAGACACTTCGTTTGCCATCATCTTCTCGGACACGTATTCCAACACCCTCAACGTGACGGTAGAGGTCGCGATGATCAGCGACCTCTTTCTCGATGCCCTACCCGGTATCAGCATTGAGCCCGGAAAATCGTTCACCTACAACATCGGTACGCACCTGCGCCAACCGTCAGATGTTGATGTCACTGTACAGAGTGAGCCGTCGCAGGACTGGATCAAGTTTGACGCCAAGTCCATGACATTATCTGGCGATGCCCCGAGCTCTCTCCAACTTTCTCAGATCAAGGTCTCTGTGCAGGCGAAATCCAAAAGCTCGAGCCAGACTGGAACAGAGACCTTGACCATGCAAGTTGTAGGCAGCACCCGGACCTCTTCCACTGCGACCGCCACCCCAACTAGCTCCGCAACATCAGGCACAAGCAGCTCGTCTTCTTCACCGACTTCAGAGCCGTCTCAAGACAAAGGGTCAAAGTCGACGAGTACGCGCACCATTCTTCTGGCAGTGCTCATCCCCCTTCTCTTACTACTGCTTGCCCTGATAGCCATCCTCCTTTGTCTTTGCCGCAGACGCCGACAAAAGCAGAAGCAGGCCGTGGAGCGAAAGGATATTTCTGGTCCGGTCCCTGGCAGCTTCGTGTACACGAGTGGCAGTAGTGAGGCCGCTTCGTCTATGCACGAAGTGAACCGCCATTATGACCTCGGAAGGCAGGGACCTGGAGCTGATACAACCGGTCTAGCCATCTCAACGGGGCCCAACAATCTCAGAAGGTCGCTGTCTCACCAGGACATACCGCCTGTACCACCACTGCCCATAGGCACCGCAAGGTCGGCCACTATGCGCTCCTTCAGTGAAGGCAACATATCCGAGCGGGGATCTTGGGCTACTACAGCTGTGATGCCTCAATCACTGTCGCGGGCGCAGAGAACACAGTCAAGAAGTGAGCTCTCTGACATGAGCCTCTACGAGGACATGTCAGACGCCAACTCGATGATCTTGCTCGGCAATGGCTCGCGAGATACTTCCTTCCGAGATGGGCTTGAGGTCAATGTCCCGGTCATGGAGCCGGCAACGTCAAGCATACAGCACACCCCGGACATGGCGTACGGAGACAGCCCAGCTCCTCTGTCTCTTAAGAGTGTGGGGGCTCGTCACGAGAACTCGCCTTTTGCCTCGTCAGAAGCACTACCCACTCGGCCAGCCTCAAGGCTTGGACCACAGGGACCCCGCGACCTTGAGCAGCAGCCTCCGCCGAAACCGTGGATGAAGGGACACGCGGCAAAGCTCATGAGCAATCTCAAGCACAGCAAGCTAGCCAACGCAACAACCGTCGATACCTTTGCCGATAAGACGGCAGGTCGCAACGGCGACGAGCAGGACAGCATACTCGCCAGGCCCCGCCCGCTCCGCATCGTGGACAAGAGCACGATCTCTCGGCCTGTCAGCCGGCGCGGCGAAGGCGACGTCGGTGGCTTCTTTGGCGGTTCTCAGAGGCACCGCCCCCAGCACGGGCCCTACAGCGGCCAGCTGCCTCCTCCGCCAGAGGACGAGGTGCCAGAGATCCCGCCACTGAGCACGGCGAGACTCAGCAGGCAAAGGCTGGCCAGGGGCGACACGATGGCCACCACAACCACCGATTCCCTCAGCGTCCCCGTGACTCGCAGAAACCCTTTTGACATCAGCTACGAGGACCTGGTCAGCAACTCGCCTTTCCACCCGTCGCGGACGTGGACGACGGTCGCGTCGGGCGAAGAGATGGGCAGCGCGAGAGACGGGACGAGCGGCGGGTCCGCGTCGGAGCCGAACTGGACGGTGGTGGTGGAGAGCCCCACGGCGACCGCGCTGATGAGTGCCAGCGGCACCGGGAGCGACGAGAGTGGCCGGCCGTTCGGCGGGTCTCAGGGGTCTGGCAAGTGGATGGCGTCCGGGAGGGCGCCGCTGGCCGAGGTGCAGGTGACGTCGCCGCGGACCATGAGCAGCAGCGTTGGCGGCTCAGGCAAGCCGGGCTCACGGCACTCGAGGCCGAGCAACAATAACATGCTGGGAGACGACGAAGGATACCACGAGAACGAGTACTTGGAGAAGCTGGCGTCTAGCCGGAGCGGGTCGATCGACCGTCTCAGCGAGGAGGACGAGGATTTTGCAGTTTACATATGAAGCGGGCGGGTGGATGATTGAGAGGTCGGGGAGGTTCTTCTTCCACCGTGTTTAATGTGTTTAATGTCATGCATACGTATTTTCGAGATAGAGTGATACCACGAGCGGGCAGATTTTTGTATTTAGAAATCAATGATAGATGTTCTTTTGCAATAATGGGCGGCTTGTCCGGGCAGTGGGAGTCAATGATGCATTTCGTGTGGGAAGCCCATTGCGGCCCAGTTCACCATGTTGATTGAAGTAAAAATGCCTAGATGGATGGCCAGGCATACCTCAATATGCACTGCACTGGATGGCTGTTGTGAAGGATGGTCATATGCGACGCATGGCTGCAAGAGATGATTGGTGACCCCAACAGATATGGGGAAGGGTGTTTCATTGTGTACCTCGAGAGCACTAGGGTTGCATACTAGATCTGAGGTACCCTTGGTTGCTGGTTTTGACCACTTGCAGATGGTCCAAACGAAGATGAACCTTGAGTGAGTTGTGGCCCTGCTTGTCGTCGTCGTCATGGACTGCTGGCTCTGTTCAAGTCTCTATTATGATCTGCTAGCCTGCTTACTATTTGGTCCTTTTGCGTTGCGTGTTGTTTTCCTGGAGTAGCAGAAACAAGCAAAACATGCGATTTGTGCAACTCGTGCTTAGCCGCCACTGTCACCCATCTTGGAGATACCCCACACAGGCTTGCAGCTCGCTGCAGCAAGGCCAATACCGAGCTTGCTCACTACCCGCGCACACAGGTGCAAGCCATCCGCCCACTGTCCATCCTTGGCCTGTGCTTTCTAAACCCCCCCCATCCCTCGCCCCAAAAGAGCAACGAGCAGCACGTCTGAGGCTTCTGGACCGACCTACACCACGCGACCAGGGCAGAGATTTTTTCACGCTTCCCTTGCTGCACGCGCTACCTAGTTCGCCCGCACCTTACGATCGGATCCGAGATCAGATGTGAATCAGTTTTTTCTCCAGATCAACAATTCCCGTTTATTGGGCTAGTCTCTTTGATATCGTTTGATTTGGTAAAGATAGAGAAGGCCTCATCGGTGCAGACCCGGTTCAATCACACCAAAAGCGATCCCTGTGGCAGCAGGCATATTCCGTAACTTCCCCCCCAGCAGACAGGTGAGCACTGACCGCTCTCCCCACTGTATCTGTAGAAAATACCCTCAAACAGCTATAAAAAAATGCTGGGTTCTGTGCTAACCCCTGCCCTGGACTAGGTCAGGTCGGCCTAGCCTTGTCAGCAAGCAGTTCTCCCGCCTGCCGCCCTCTCTTTGTGGGTGTTTTTGTGAGCCAGAGATCGCGCACTCCGACTCGCAGAGCGCCCAGGCTCCACCACTCCGGCCAATCCACCACCCAGTACCCCGCCCTGCCCTGCGCAGTCTCAGTCCTTCTCTACCAATCTACCCTACCACCTTTGCCTTACCAACCGCCGCCAGAGCAAGCACCGGGTTTGTGAGAGAAAGGCAGAAACCTCGTCCAACCAATCCAGCTCATCCGACGCCGCCTTCGACCTCCCTCCTTTTGCCCAACGTCATTGTTGTCACCACTCGACACGAAAAAATTCGAAAGATCCCTCCCTTCGTCCTCTTCTCCTCCCCAGACTCTCCAGTAGCCTCGTGTTACTGCCAGTCTAACACGTCGCCAACATGGGTCAGACTCTTTCGGAGCCTGTCGTCGAAAAGGTGCGTCATCTCGTGTGCCCTCTCAACCAGCCCCGGTGTGCCTCGGCCTCACCTCTTCCCTCCCCTTGATATCGCTGCAGTGCACGCAATGTCTGCGCGCGTCAACTTGTGTTTTATCTCCCTCTCTCGCAAGATATCGCCTTGGCCCTCCGGTCTGACTCGGCGCTCACTTTCCACGCCGACGATCGCTGCTGAGCGCCATTTCCTCATCTCTCCCCTCGTCTCCCTGGCCCCCCACCACCAAATGCACACTCCATCAAACAACCACCTTGCTGACACAAGCGCGTTCATCTTTAGACGTCCGCCTCAGGCGAGGATGACAGACTCATCTACGGCGTGTCCGCCATGCAGGGCTGGCGAATTAGCATGGAGGACTCGCACACCACAGTCCTGAATCTTCTCGCCAACAATGCCGAGGCGTTCAAGCAACATTCCTCTCAACTGTCCTTCTTTGGTGTCTTCGACGGCCACGGCGGTGACAAAGTTGCATTGTTCGCTGGGGACAACATCCACAACATTGTGGCGAAGCAGGATACCTTCAAGGCTGGCAATTACGAGCAGGCGCTCAAGGACGGCTTTCTGGCCACCGACCGCGCAATCCTCAACGGTATGGGAGCCGATCCCCCGCCCTACCCAACATCGCACGGCTGCTAACACTACCGGCCTTGACCAGATCCCAAGTACGAGGAGGAGGTTTCAGGCTGCACTGCTTGTGTCTGCTTGATCAACAATGACAAGATTTACAATGTTGGTGGACCCCTTCTGACAGGGTTCAAACCTACGCCGACTGGGGAATTTGTCACTAACACTGCTGGACTAGGCCAATGCCGGCGACTCGAGGAGCGTCCTGGGTGTCAAAGGCAGAGCCAAACCCCTGTCATTTGACCACAAGCCTCAGAACGAAGGTACGAGTTCACGTCCATTGCGGTGGCAAACCCATCGTCAGTAGCTTTCTAGGGTTGTGACTGACGCCCTTCGCTTCTTGCAGGTGAGAAGGCACGTATCACTGCTGCCGGAGGATTCGTCGACTTTGGCCGAGTCAACGGCAACCTTGCCCTTTCCCGGGCTATTGGCGACTTCGAGTTCAAGAAGAGCCACGAGTTGGCTCCCGAGCAACAGATTGTCACCGCGTACCCCGACGTCATTGTTCACGATCTTGGCGATGATGACGAGTTCCTGGTCATTGCTTGTGATGGTCAGTATTCGCAGCCAACCAGAACCCTGAGATCATATACTAACAAACCGGCCGGGGTCTAGGTATCTGGGATTGCCAGTCCTCGCAGGCTGTGATCGAGTTCGTCCGACGCGGCATTGCGGCGAAGCAGGACCTGGATAAGATCTGCGAGAACATGATGGACAACTGCTTGGCCTCCAACTCCGAGACTGGTGGTGTAGGCTGCGACAACATGACCATGGTCATCATTGGCTTCTTGCGAGGACGCACCAAGGAGGAGTGGTACGAGGAGATCGCCAGGAGAGTCGCAGCCGGAGACGGACCCTGCGCACCCCCGGAATACGGTGAGGATTCATCATGAAGTGCGCTGTGCAAACTCTCCCCGGAATCGAGGCTAATGCAGGCGTCTTCCACAGCCGAGTTCCGCGGTCCGGGAGTCCACCACAACTTCGATGATAGCGACAGCGGTTATGATGTCGATATGGACAACAAGGGCAAGCCTTTCGGCATTGGTGGCTACCGAGGTCGGATAATCTTCCTTGGTGACGGTACAGAAGTTCTGACCGACTCAGATGACACGGAGATGTTCGATCAGGAGAACAAGGATCTTGAGAGCCAAGTCTCCAAGCCCTCTTCCGGCAACGACCAGGCCGACTCAGAGGAGGACAGCTCTGCCAACGCCAACGCCAGCGCAGAGGCCAAATCGGGCGATTCCGACAAGGCTCAGAGCACGTCTACATCGACAACCGACGACGCATCAAAGGCGACAGAATCCAAGGCCGAGGACACCAAGGCCGAGGACACCAAGGCCGAGAAGACGAAGGAGGAAGCTTGAATTTTATTTTCTCGATTTGATGAATACCCTGACAGCGGTTTTTGTTGTCGAGCTGGATTTGACTCGTCTAGTCTGGCCATTGTACGACTATTAGGAAGTTGATGGCCGACTGATGAATCCCTCTCACCACCCCCTCACCGCAGCGGATATACCTAATCTGCCGTGGTACCCTTGATTTTGCAGCAATAACAACATACGAGTTTTTGTCGGATTAGAATTGGGAATATGTTCTGGGCTGGAGAGGGTCGCTTGTTGGCTGGCTAGCTTTGCTTGAGAATTCTTCATCATCGTTTCCCGCTACACATACAGTCTCTGCGCCACATGCTCCAGAAATCCTCTCTTGACTCTAGAGCCGCCTGAGTAGTGGCGGGATGTGGTCAGGGGGGAAGATGAGAGGTGTCGTGGACTTGAGAGGTAGGACAACAGCAACTGCTGGATCTTGTGCCCTGCTGCCAACACAGTGGTCCCTCACCTGGCCTAGTCGATATACAGAGCAACGGAGCAAGGCGTGAAAGGGAGCATGGAGGGATTGAAGGAGGGAATGAAGGAAGGGAGGATGGATTCATGGGCTGGCATCATCGCGTGGAGGAAACGTCTTTTATATGTGAACCTTGAGCAGAACTTCTTTTTTTTTTTATTGACGAAAGAAAAACGGATTCCCCTGAAACTATGAAACATATCGTGATAATAAACGGACTGTGAATGGCATGTAATCGTTGACATGAAGAAAATGTCCTTGTCCTGGGCAACACGGAGGATCTGAGAGGAACACCGCCATAGAATGAATCTGTGTGAGTGTGTGTGGTATCGCTAAAATGATGTTATATTAGAAGTGTGGTGATATTCTGGCTACTGTGAACAGTGAAAGCTCCTATTCCAGAGATGAGATCGCACTGCTCGGTGTCTTGAAACATGAGATATCCATGGGGAGCTCTCTCTCCCGTCTACCCGGCCATCCTTTCTCAATCATTGGTTATATAGCACTCTTCATCTCACTCGGGCCAAAACTAGCTAGCTCGTGAGAAGTTGCCGCCCGTCCAAAGTCTTCGCTTTGCGAATCGCTGCTCATTGTGTACAAGGTTGTTATGCTTCTTGTGGCGCCTTGGGAATAATGTCCCCGGTTGAGAGAGGGTAGTAGGCGCAAGGACCTCAGAAATAGATCCTCCGAGTCAGCTCCTCCGTGCCATTACCGCCATTCTCACCGCCGTCATCGCTCCCCCGGACCTCTCTCAGAGGGATGGACATGGGCTCCCGCACCAATGCAGCTGTAGCAGCAGCAGCAGCTGTGGCATCGGCGCCCTCGCCCTCGGCGGCGGCGGCAGCAGCGGCAGCTTTCTTGACGGCGCGCAGGTAGTCGCCGTCGCGCGCCAGGGCCTCGGCGAGTACCTCGCCCAGCGGCACCGCGGGCTCCCACCCGGCGTACCGCTCGGCGTAGTACCGGCTCGCCGCGGCGCCGAGCCGGCTCCACGACGGGCCCCTCTTGTTCTTCCTGCTGCTGTTGCCCTTGGCTGCGCCTCCGCCTCCGCCGGCGGCAGCGGCAGCGAGGAGGCGGGCGCTCTCGCCGTCGGCGCGGGCCTCGTCGTCGAGGATGGCTCGTGCCGTGATCATCCTACCGGTGGCCGCCGGTGACGAGGAGGAGGAGAGGGCGGCTGCGGCCCGGCGGCGCATGCGGAAGCTCGTGGCGCGGGCGAGGGAGGCGTAGCGCCAGATGGCGCCGACGAGGGAGACCATGCGACGGCGCCAGGCGAGCTCGAAGAGCAGGTGGTACGTCGTCGCGTCGGGCGCGAGAGGCTTCCTCTTCTTGGCGGTCCGCCGCGGCTGCTGGGCTGCGGCGGCGGCGAGGCGCTCCATCTGGCGGAGGGTGCAGATGGCGGTGCCGAGCTTGTGCTGGACCTTGCAGTGCGTGAGGACCGTGTTGAAGGAGACGACGTCCGGGCCGGCGGCCGGCCCGGCGCGGGCCATGACGTCGAGGAAGGCGGAGCAGTCGTCGAACCTGCCGTAGCGGCCGAGGACCTCGAGGACCTTGTTGCCGGCGTCGCGGCTGAGCCAGGCGGGCCCGTAGCGGGACTCCTGCTCGGCGAGGAAGGCCGGCACGTCCATGTTCTGCTGCACGGCGCGGTCGATGTCAAAGGCCACCATCTCCTTGGCCACGAGGCGGACGGCGGCGGGCGCGTCGAGCAGGCCCTTGGAGCTCATCGAGTGGATGATGTAGCGCTTGACCTCCTCGCTCTCCATGACGCGCATGAACAGGATCCAGGTAGTCAGGTCCGGCGCGAAGCCGCGGCCGTTCATCAGGCGGAGCGTGCTGTCAAAGTTGCGCAGGTCCCTGACCTTGGCCGTCGACGCGAGCAGGATGTTGTACGTCTCGACGTCCATGGGCAGGCCGAACATCTCCATGCGCACGTACAGCGCGCGGGCGTCTGGGCGATGCCGATGGCCCCTCTGCGCCATGAAGGCCAGGGCCATCTTGAATGCCGATGTCGAAAGGGCCGAGCGCGTGCCCTCTTCGTTGAAAACCCCGTGGAGCAGTGCTATGACGGTGTCGTCGTGTGTGGCGCCTCCTGGGTAGACCTTGGCTGCGAGCTCAGGCGCCAGTTGACCCTTGACCAAGGCGGCGACGTAACCGAGGAAAGATTCCTTGGTCCAGACTGCCGGCTTCGGGATGTCGTTTGCGCTCCGTGTGAGGAGATATGGTTCGAACTCTGCTTTTCGGTCTATCTCGGTGGAGATGATTGCCGATGTAGACTTGTCAGACTTCGAATCCGCCTTCCCGTCCTGATTAGACAATGCGAGTCCATCCGACGGCGTCACCGCCGCCCCTTTTGTATGTCGCAGTAACTCGGTCACTGCCCGAGCAATGGCTCGATCGGTTCCAGAGAGGAGCAGTGCTGAAGAGCCGTCTTGCTCGATACAGCGATACAGCTTGAGCTCGCAGCCGGTTCGCTTGCGAATGTCCCAGAGGTTGTGGTCCACGCCGCCGAGGAGCTCCGCGACCGCAGTCTCGGGAACGACGACCTTGACTGCATCTCGGCGGTACACTTCCGCCGGGCTCACGTCTGCCTTCGCACCGTCTGGGGGAGTCGCATCGGGCGTCCAAGCCGTCAGGTTCCGGAGAATCACTCGCCAGTCGGGCAGCGGCTTCAGCTGGGCCTGACGGATCGCCTCGAGACGCGCCTGCCTGGTCAGGCTCTGGTGGTGTCGCATGCGGCTTCGATGCGTCTCGGCCTTGTGCGAGTATATCAGGAGCGGCTCGACGAGGACGGAGCTCTGCCGACCGTGTTGTCGTATAGGGACATCGGCGAGACGGGCGACCAGGTTCGAGCCCGGGGACAGCCCGGGCTTGTCGTCGCGTTCGTCCGGCGCATCGCTCGAGGTCGAGGACTTAGAGTAATTATTGTCCGCGGCGGACCCCGTACGCTCGGCAAGGGTATGGACAGAAGCGGCACTGTGTTGTGAAGCGTGATGAGCAGCCAAACGCGGCAAGCTGCGATTCGGGCTATGAGTGGTCATGAGTGCCGGCCGGCTCGAGGTGAGGAACTCCCTGGGAATCAAGGAGAGCCGTGCAACTCCGAGTGAACGGGATTGGGCTCTCCATGATATGTTGATTCCCAGGGACATTTGCTATGAGCGGGACATCCTGTGCCGAGCAATTGTGTCTGGGTGGTTGTGTAGGTGCTGTCCTGAATCTGAATCTCGAAATTCTTTTGATCCACCGTCATTGGCACCGTCTTGGCAGTGCTGTGAAAGCTGGGAGAAGTGGGTCCCTCTACAGTGCAAATCATATCGCACACGGTCTTGCCGTCCTTCAACAGAATGTGATGATCTCTTCTACCGAAACCCAATGTGCAAGCATCTGCTTCGACAGAGCACTTCACAATTATTGCAAGCGTGTTGATAGGTTTTCATCGGGGGCCCCGATTGCTCCCTACGATGCTGTGTTTCATTACGTAGTGCGCAAAAAGAGAGAAAGCCCTGCGAAGGCAACATCTAATCAATATTACACTTCGTGGATATTCATTTACGCTCCTCAGACGGGGTATCAGGCGCCGGTGGTTGCGCAGGACCACTCTTGTCCACTCCCTGCCAGCTCTCGTCCCACCCTTTCTTGGTGTCGACGGCGCCCCTCGACTCTCCGCTCTCGGCCATGGCCTTGATATCGCTCCAGTACTCCAGCTTCTTCAGTTCTTCGTCCGCATGCTTGACGGCAGCCGACAGGGCGTCTGCCTTCCGCTTGATCTCGGGCCCGCTGTCCGGCCTCTCCTTCTCCTTCATCGTCTCGTCGTACATATGCGTGAGCTTGGATAAAAGGACTTTGCGCGACGCTTGAAACACAAACAAGGACATGATCTCGTGCATCTCGTGCTCCAGCTTGTCCAGCTCCTCCTCTCCATGCTCGAGGAAGTTGTCGATGGCTTCAATCTTCTCTCGGTCGATGCGTGACTCCCGCAACACGAGCATCAGCGTTGGAATGTCTTCGATATCGGGCTTCTCCTCCGCATCAGTAGCCGCGTTCGATGTCATGCTGGCACTGGCCTTCCCACTAAGCCGGCTCGTAGCTCTGCTAGAGGTTCGGGTGATGCTCGCCGCCGGCTGCACGGAAAAGTACTCGGGATTCAGCAGGTGCGGGTCATTCTCGGACTGCGCACTGGTCTGCTTTTTGGCCCGCATGCGGATCCATGCTCGTCTCCTCACAAAGGAATTCCACCACTTCGGGCCATGCCAGGAGAACTTCCTGGCAAACATAAACGAGTATTCCCATCCTCCCTCGTCCGTATCGTCATCGTGATTGACCCGCCACTCGGGCCAGACCCACTCCCATGTCGGGTCGGGGACCTGTGCCGTCGTGATATCCGTCGGACTGGGTCTATGCGCGGCGTTGGTCCAAGGGGTCGGATCTAGGTTGCCCAGAGCTTTGGAGGAGAAGAGAGCCACGCCGCAGAGAAACCCGCCCCTTTCGTTCTCGTATAGGATATCAATGACGGTCTCGGGCTCTTCGCGGGGTGGCTTTCGGGGCTGGGCGGCCTCGGGCGACTGAGGACGTTCCACGGGGGTTGCTCCTACATAAAAAGAGTGTGAGCATAGACTACATGTTGGTGGTGAATGCACCACAGACAGGTATACCGTACCCTCAACCTCCACGGCCGGACCTCGTCCTTTGGGGAAAGAGTCTGATTGCCGGGTTATCTTCGGAATCGGCGCATCTTGCCTCTGTTCGGGCGCCCGAGAAGAAGAGGCCTCAGCTCGCTGCGTGGCGTCCCTTTTGGAGGCATGGTTCGAGGGACTGGCCTCCAGATTGGGGCTCTGCGCCGACGGCGAGGCAGCATGATCGACTAGGTTTATCTCGTGATCATAGTCGCTATCCTTGAGACCCGGAGCCCGGCGTGAACTGCGAGGCTTGATCTTGGGCATGGCGACGGCGGCGCGTCGGCGCTGTGCCGTTACACCTGGGCTGGCCACTCGTGGGTGCGACGAAACCCCAGGCCATCCAGAGTGCGGTCCGACACGGAGGGCACAAAGTCTAGCAGAATGGCTAGACAGCCCAGAAGAGCTTAGAAATTGAAGCTACAAAGGAAAAGCGGTCAACAGAGCATGGCCCGGGAACAAGGCAGAATAAACGAGAGACTAATGAAGCTGAGAAAAGGTTCCAGACGAGCTCTGTGCAACAGGGAAATGGCGCGATCTGGCGCTGCTTGGCTAGTGTGTGGGTGCGCTCGTGGATCTCCAAAAACACAATTGCATGCAGAGGCTCCAAAGAAGACCGAGCTCAAGGAGCAGAGTCTACACCGATCACTCGGGAACTAGGCCAGGAAAACAGATCGCGATTCTGGAGACGGGAGGCACCTGGACGATGTTCACAAAATTTGCATCCATGCCTCGTCACGCCTCTGCACGCCTCTGGCTCCGTTGCTAGCCTTGGCTAACAGAAGCTCTTTCCTATGATGTAATTGTTCCTGTGGGCGGACCAAGTTCTCCAAAAATACGCTGTACAAGTACCTAGGTAGGCTCTACAAGTAGCTCGGCTCCCAGGCTAGCATTTCAGCACAATCAAGTGGATGGTCAGGTACTTCATCATCTATCAGCCCCGGCACCTTTACAAGCAGTGGGATGAGCCATACATTGTTTGGTGATGATTTTTCGGAGAAGATCAAATGTGCACGCAAGCCAGCCTTGCCAATCGCGACCTTTGGGCGCGTACCCTTTGAATGACTAGATCAAACATTGGAACAGCTGAGCGAGCGAGCTCCAGCTCGCGAAAGCTAAAATGGCTGTGGGGCAGCTGTAGACGGCACTGGATGGGTACCTGTTTCCCCGCAACGCATGCCACTTTACGTCATGTATCTATCACAAGCAATCCGCCCAGCAGCACGCATTAAACTGTATGGCACGGTGAGGTTGCAGCCCCCCCAGCACCCGGTGACTGCGCGACACGATGGCCGTAACAGCAGGCCGGTTGGTCAGTGTGAGGGCAGGAGGGAAGAGGAGGAGGTGGTGTCAATTTCGTAATTCAAATAAAACGGGCTGAGACATAACTTGCCTGCCACCCTCTCATCTCTTCTCTTCCAATCACCCATCGTGAACACATTCCATCACCCGACGACACAGCTCGACTCACCTGTCCACGACCATCTGCAATCGCATCTTCTCTCGCATTATCAGATACTCAAAGTCTTCCCACCAATCCTCTCTCTCTCTCTCTCTCTCAGATCAATTCACCCTTGTCGCAAAGATGGCTCCCCGGTTCTCCACTGTTGCCGCCCTCGGTGTCGCCGGAGGCGTCGGCTACTACCTCTACCAGTCCGGCGGCAGCCCCAAGGTCGCCGAGAAGCAGTTTGAGAGTGAGTAATAGTCTACCTTGTTGCACCAAGCCCACACCAAAGCGAAACGCGCTGACCGTGTCTACAGGTGACGTCCACGCCGCCTCCGCCAAGATCCGGGGCGAGCTGCCTGGTCGCGCCGCCGAAGCGCGCAAGGACGCCGAGAAGCTCGGTGCTCAAGCCGGTGCCAAGTTCGACTCTGCTGTAAGTCAAAGCCCCTTTCGCTGACCACCTCTTCTCGCCCTTGAAGCAATTCAGACGCCGAGAAAGACAAAAAGACTGACTCTTGATTCTTACCAACTCTCCAGGTCTCGAGAGTCGAGAGCGAGGCCGCCAAGGCAAAGGCCGAGGCCGAGGCTTTTGCAAAGGACACCAGCGCCAGCACCATGAAGAAGGTGAACGAGTTTGATCGCAAGGTGGAGCAGGAGGCTGCAAAGGCGAAGAGCGGTATCTCGAGCTGGTTTGGCGGCAAATAAATGGTTAATGAGAGAGGGACGCGACTCGTCTTGTTTAATCCATGGTACACTCTGGGCCTGCCTTCTAGTTCTGTCTTCTCTCGTCTCACCGACCATCACCGACAACTGTAAATTCGGTCTGAAGTTATCATGTTTCATCAGGGGTTCCAAGGGAGTAAATTGACGCATTGCACAGGATTTGCCGAAGAATTGTCTGTTCTATTCTGTCTCCTAATGATATCTTTTGAAACGCCACAACCCTTGGTATCTAGGTATACAAATTACAACTTTGCTCTTGCGACGCCAACGACCTAGCTTGGCAGAGACGCTGTGACGAGCTTCAATATCTCCTCCACACTCTTCCTCGCGTTTCTGGGGTCCTTCGCGATGGCCTGCCAGTGCTCACCGTGCCTCGGGTCGTTGAGCACGCACTTGTTGACGACGTCCTGCCTCTTCTCGTCCGTCCCGTGCTGCAGCAGGAACTTGTAGTACCACGCCCACGAGTCGCCAATGTCGGCGTCGAGCACGAGCGCCTTCTCGAACCAGTTCTGCGCGCGCTCGAGCTTGCGCTCGCCCCAGAAGATGCGCGCGACGGCCACGAAGAGGATGGGATCGTTGTCGACCTGCTTGATGGCCTCGAGCGAGAGCGGCTTGCGCTGCGTGCGCGTCTCGAGGTGCCAGATGCGCTCGCTCCAGAGCAGGCCGCTCTTGGGCATCTGCCGCAGCGCTGTGGCCATGAGGTTCTTGGCCTGCGCCGCGTTGCCGGCGCGCCGCTCCACGCGGATGAGCTCGCACCACAGCTCGGGCGACTTGGGCACCGCCTGCCGCGCGCGGTCGAGCACGCTGCGCGCCTTGACGATGGCGCCGCTGCGCTCCTCGAGCCGCGAGAACAGGAGCCAGAGCGGGACCGAGCCCGGCACGGCCTTGACGCCGGTGCTGTACGCCTCCCGGGCCTGTGGGACCTTGCCCATGTCTTCGTAGATCTGCCCCTTCATCATCCACAGCTTGGCTGCACCCGGGAATATCTGTAGGCCTTCCTGGACGAGCTCCAGTGCTGCTTCCTTGTTGTCCAGCTGTCTCTCGAACGCGACGCTGCGCATCCATACCCTGTCCGTAGGAGCATTCTGCCGTGCCGTATTGAGTAGCTCCCTAGCCTGGTCGATGAAGCCATTGTCAGCCTCGAGCTTGACAGCAGCCAGCCAGATATCCTCGTTGTTGGGATTCTGGGTGAAGGCACGGCCCAACACACGGCGCGCCTCGTCGAGCTCCCCGGCCAACAGCCTCTCCTTTGCCAACATCATCCACAGGACTTCGCTGTGAGGGCAGGCCTCGACAGCCTTCTCCAAGACCTGCCACAGGCCCTCCTTTGTGCCGTGATTCCTCTCGAGGTCCACCGCTGCAAGCCATAGTGTTCTGCTGTTGACAAACACTCGGAGAGCGTAGGCATATATCGCCCTGGCGGTTTCGTACTTGCCCCTGTTGATGCTCGATTTCGCATCCTCCATCCAGACATCCTTGCGGTCGTCGTCCTCGTCCAAGCCCCATCCAAGCGTTTCCCGGATGATGTTGCCGCAAGTCACGACAGCGCCCTCTTCCTCGCACTTCTCGGCCTCGGCTATCCATTCTTCTCGCTTGGGCATCGCCGACTCCTTGGCGAGGACCTGAACCGCGCTCTTCATAACGTTGCCCTTGCTCAGCTCTGCCAGCTGCTCCTGTAATCGAGCGGCTGCAATCCAAATCTCGTGTGATGTTGGAATAGCCTTTCTCGCCTTGTTGAGCACCGCTTTGGCGTTCTTGGGCGTTTCGAGTCGCGCAAGGGCGAGCCAGAGGTCGATCGATGCCGGGATCAGCTCTGTAGCTTTGGCCAGGAGTAGACGGGCGTCCTCAGGGTCCTCTTCCAGGTTGACCGCCTCTTTCCAAAGTGCCTCTGACTCGGGAATGTGATCCAGCGCGTGACGGATGACTTTCTTCTTGGACCGAGGGTCGGTCTCGAGCTTCATCGCCTCGACCCAGAGTCGCACGGAGCGCAGATTCGCCTTGATGGCTTCGGCAGCAATAATTTTGGCGTTGCGGTTATCGTTGAGGCGAATGTTTTCCAGCCATACATCCTCGCTCTTGGGACAGTGCTTGCAGCCACGGGCTATGATAGTTCTGGCAGCAACAAGCTTGCCAGCCAGCTCTTCCACACGCGCTGCTGCGATCCAGCCGGGCGCATTCGTAGGGTTGGAATCGACCGCCGATTTGAGAAGCTTGCGAGCGAACTCGACATCGCTGACAGCGGTCTGCTCGTTGATGCCCGCATTCCCGAGAGAGGTTAGGTAGCCCTTCGGATCAACACTTGTGGCAGTCCCCACCGACGTGCTGGTTCCGCTGCTCTGTGAGGCCTGGTCGAGGCGAGCTTGTAACACCTTGTCTCTGGCCGCACCGATCTTGGCAAAGTTCGTCATGGCTCCATCCTGAGGGGCAGATGCGGCGCCGTCCTCCGCAACCGTTGTCCCGAATTCGGAGGAGTCGCGAGCTGCTGCAAGCACGCTGTCGGGAACTGCATAGAAGCGCTGGTGCTGAGCCGCGCGCGCTCTCTTATTCCGCCCCGTCAGGTCCTTGACATCTGGTAGATTCGCCCATTCTTCGTCGGTCACCGTGCCGAGAGCTCTCTTGAGATCTGCGAATTGCTGTTGGATCTTGGGGTTCTTGCGCTCGTAATCTTCTTGTTCGGCTTTCTCGCGCGATTCTCTTTGCTTCTGGCGGCGCTTAGCCATCTTCTCGTCGACATCTTGCCAGATGCGATCGGCCTCCTCGTCATCCTTCTCGTAGATGCCGCCTGCGAAAAGGCCAACCTCGTTGTCTGGATCCTGGTATCTAGGGTCATTATCGTCGCCGCCATCGTCCTTGGCCTCTGTCAATCCGAGCTGTGCTGAGCGCTTGGCGACAGCTTCCTTGATCTGGTCATCACTAGGACCTTCTCTTGCAGGACCGAGATCGGATCGCGTCGTGAAGCCTGTCGCACCGCGACCGAGACCGGCAACGTAGTTCTCGGGGGCCGGCTGGCTGAGAAAGTCGCGGCGATTCGATGCCATATTGCTGGATGCCTTGCAGCCGTGGGCGCAGCGTGGATGCCGAGAGGACTGTCGCTGGGAGAGTGAGAATGAAGCTGGGGGAAAGACGGAAGGCCAAAAATTCCAGTCGGCAAGGCTGATAAGTGGCGCCTGAGCTTCTGAGCTTCGACGTCTAGGCTGTGTGTTAGCGTCCTGTGCCCCACAATTAATGCCTACTGCAACATCAAAGTTCGCAGATGCGCTCCCTCAGGTCTATCCATAGATTCTTCAAGTCTCAAACTCTTGAATACCTGATTTGGCTCTTGTTACTATTTCTTCCCACTGAAGCATCAAATCTAGAGTTGCACACTGACCTAAAGTGCAGATTTGTCAAAATGTTAACTTGAAAGAAGAAGAAAAATACCCTTCGCTAGCAGGAGATCAATTTCCCAGTCCACCCACAACTTACAACGAGGTGGGGAGTGCTGTCCATCATGGTAGTTCTCAACTTAGTTGAGACAACCTAAGCTTTCGTTGTGTCTGACAGTTGATATCTGTTTGGCCAGTTCACTCTATGCATTCATACTGTTGTTTGAATTCTATATTCGTGCATGTTCTTTACGAGAGACTATTTGTTCTTTTACACCAATGGTTGTTTTCGTGCTTGAAGAATTATACCAGGCTTGGCTGCTGTGTTAACCATCACGTGGCACAAATTGAACAGAGTCACCATTGGTGAGGCCAGCCTAACATCACAGTTCCAAAGTTGGTCTTACAAGACATGAATCACAGTCGAGGACAGGTCCAGACTTCATGCCTTCACAAGTTGCAGAAAGATGTGACTTATGTTACTGACATATCTATAGATTAGTTTCGAGAGCTTTCACTGATACCGGGAATGTCTATGTCAATGAAACCAGTAGATTGAGCTCCATGCTTGATAAGAGAGTATATTACATCCTAGCGACTCTAGTATATACTCATGTCATCCTGGTCAACTTAGAGTTGAGAAGACTTTGCTTAATAATTGCTGTATCTCGATTCTAATCGACTTATGTACATTTACATTGCATTTTTTAAATGTATAGTGTGTCCGGGCTCAGAGACTCCTCAAACGCTTGATCAATCTCGCCACTAGTTGGCTGGACGACCTACACAAGCTAGGGGCGTCCTAGCACCTAGAGAAATAGAGAGAGGGGAGGTTCTTGTAGAGTTAGAGGAGAATCAATCAAGCTTCGTTCTCATCAAAAGGAGACAGTGTTGTTCAAGTGTTGGAGTGCTTGAGCTAGGTCTTAGGTTGATCAGCTAGTTGAACCTGTTGTTCGACTAAGTGAGTTGATGCTTCTACATAAGAGTTGACGATGTTTTAGGTTGGTTTTGTTAGGTGCTTTCCCTCCTCGTTCTCAATAGGAAAATGACGAATTATCATTGAACTTGAACTACGAGTACATTGCATTTGATATCGTAGTTACTGACAAACTATTGTGTTGTTCGTAAGAAAGCAAAGGTGCTTCGATGAGTTTAGTTTTGAGGTCTATGGATTAAATTGTTTGAGTGTACCTGATGTCAGATTCAAAACGGCTGCAGGAAGCTTGATACAAGTCTCATCGTTCTAAAGCAGGGGAGGCTCTGTCTGCTATATTTGTGCTCAGATCAAGGGATAGAGAGAGCCTGCGACGCCTCCAGACAGCATAAGATGTACGAGTCAAAACTATCAATCTTTCAGAAAAATCAAGAAGGACTCTAGCGTTTTCCTTCTATGTTAACTGATGGGCATTCTGTTGCAGTTGAGAAAACAAACTAGTTGGATACTTGATATGTAACATATTGGTTGCTGTCAAAGATAACATTAGCCTCTGTGCTAAGAGATGCACTTCACGTCTTTACTCCAACGTTTTCTCGTTGTAAACCTTTTTAACAGCAATTGGCAGTTTGTCAAATCTTGTGCTTAAGGTACAGCGGAACATCTCCCCCATCGACACTTTCATAGTTTCTGATACTCTGCAAAAGATACAATCTGCAAACATCATGTCACTGGCCAATTTCGATCACTGCAAGGAAGTTCGAAACGAGGGTGTACATTGGCTCCTTCACGATGATGGTCTAAATTCAAACCACGGGATTGTTCTGTAGTACAGAATCTTCCAAGACTACTCCACTACCACGACACACAGACGGCTGCCTGCATGGCATATGCATGGCACTGTGTTGCGAGCGGAAGCCTCGGGTCATATGTTCTTCTTATTTCCTCCCGCCTTAAATCAACGTCGAACAACCGCTGTTACTCAACGACGCATGCTTCCGGGCCGCGCAATGCCGTGTCGCTTAATTACTCTCCGTGCAGTTCCTACGGCTGACGAAAAGTCACGGCAAGGCTTGAGACATACATGGACCTCCCGAACTCTTCACACCTCGGTACCAGCGGGTGCGACATATACCAATCATATGTCTCCGGCGTAGTGACGGACCCATGTCCATATTCACGGGCTCACCGTGCAACAGCGGCTGAGCAGCGGATCAGCCTTGCATGCTGTCTGTCGGAAGCAGGCAATCTCGAAGAAAAGCAAATGCCTGGAGGTATGTTTCCGCTAAACGACGAGGAAGTCATCTCTCGAGTTCTAGACCCTCAGAACGCTTGTGGCTGCCCTCCCGTGACGAAAAAGCAACCAAAAGAGCACTTGCAATCTAGCTAGGATCTACTCGGGAAATAAATTACGTAGCACAAGACGTGCATGTGCACACGAATAAGAGCGTCATCAATGAGGGACGACAGCACAGTGACCTCTCTGAGGTTTCTCAACAAAAATCGGTTGTACGAGTGTTCGGATCGTGAACGATATGCCTGAGGTCCATTTCAAGCCGCGTCTACGGCATGAGTGGGACGTTGCGTTAGATGTTCCCTAATTTCCAGGTGGCTGGCTGTGCAACATCCCGATCTCAATGGCACGAGCCAAGCGAAGCTGTCGCCGACTGTTTGGCAGCTGAGTCTTCATGCAAAGCCAAGCGACGCTCAAGAGGCTTCAATAACGCATGTGGCTTGAGTCACTCGCTGTGACCCGCGTCAACTTGGCGGCAGCTGGCCTGGGGACGGCCAGTCATACGGTCTGGTGCTTGAACGTCCGTGTAACGGTTGAGTACGCAATTTGGCAGTTTCTCGTATCTGCTGCGTCTCACGCCAGAAATGGCCAGCAGCGACTTGCACCATGCACTGCGTGGATCTATTGACAGGGGAGCATCCTCAATGGCCGAGTTCAAGACACAACACACTCCGCCAAAAATTCCTCGTTAACTTCACACCACATACCTGAGGGCTGCTATCATCTGATTGTCTACATGACGGAAAGCCGATGTTGCTAGTTTGCTCACCAGCAACAGTCTGAGAAAAATCGCGTGCCTGCCCACGTAACAATGCCCAAGACCGAGGTGATGTCATCCTTCCAACCGAAAGGTATTCTTGGAGCAGGCAGCTGAAGTAAAAGGGCCGTGAGTGGCTGGGGATCGGACCTGCACGCCGTTGACACCTCAATAGTTTCGGCGATTGAAGTCGGACCCCTGTCAAGTGGCGGCCCAGTGATGGGACTACCGAGGACAGAACAGGGGTCTCTTGGATCGATCCCTCACCCTCCCATTGTCAGAGTGTATCCTTGTTTTGGGTCGTGTGCGCTCCGGATTCTAGCTGAAAGACGGGCAACATCTAGCGGAACATGCCAAGCAAACTGCCCAGTCAAAGCACACCTGAGATCACTCCAGACGAGCACATAGCAATTGTTCTACCATCAGCTCGGTTGCCAGTAGCATGCATGTTGGACGCCGCCTTTTTCTTTCACATGCCAAGTCCCTTGGACTACGCCAAGAGCTGGATCGCGGAGGGCCCCAACCTTTACCCGGCTGATCACTTTCAGAAAGTGTCTACTTACTGAGCTAGTAGTAAGGTCAGCCTGTTGCATGTTGGCAGTCTTACAGACGCATGCATGCCTGTGGAGATCTGCATGATATCAACCAAGTAACCTTCGGTCCATCGGTCTTTGCAGGTACCGTTGAAGTAACTGGTTTATCAGGGAAGCTCAAGTCGTGCTTCTCGATGACGAGCCCCCCGATCAGATCAATCTTGGACGTCGCTGGCTTACGATGAGGGTATCACAACCCCCCAAGTCTTGGCCCTGCAGTGGACCAAGCACACCCGAGGACGTATCAGTCACTGAGTGGGTGCGCTGGGTTCACACTGGGGTTCGGTATTCAGCCCTGGAGCTGACTTGAACAATCCCTCGGGTGCCCAACTACCTAGTGGGAGTGGGTGCTCGCCAAATTCTAGGATCTGCGGTTGGCCCGCGCGGTACGGGACCGACCATTTCGGTACTGCCAGGCCGGTAGCAACCCCAATCTAATCCAATCTAATGAGCGTGGCATCACCATGCTTCTTTCAACCTCATCCCATGATATTGGTCTCCACGAGCGCCGTCGCCCAGTCGCCCATCGGCCCACCGCCGGCACCGAGCTCACGGAGCAAGACATGGGCGGCCATGTGGATCTGTCAATCCTCACCGCTGATCAAAACGGCTCGGTACTCTGGCTCCCCACGCCACCAAGAAGGCGAGGTCACTCACTCCATGCTCGTGGATAGCAGCCATCTCTTCTTTTCCCCCGTTCCTCTCGAGTAACCCCATTCACCCGCCTGCCACTGGATTGTGGAGATTTCCCTCAAGAGAAAAGCCGTGCTCTTGCAGTAGCGCACTTTCGTATTTGATTCCATGCAATCTCCCTACTCTTCTGTGGCTGCACCCGCGAGCTTGACCAGCCAGACCATTTTAGCTTCCCTATTCGACCAAACTATACATGTGTAGCTTTGTCTTGTTCATCCCGCTAATGTTGACCTAGGTAGCCTGACGAAAAGGTCCCTTCGCTGAACTGGAAATCTCTCAAGTACTTACGTGCTGTTGGCACTCACATAAGCCGCATCAAGCATGGTTCCAACCCTGCATCTTGATTGGCACCACTCGTGAACCTTGGCGCATCCTGTGTGATGACCTTTTCCCTTTGTATTCCTGGCCTGGCGCACTTTCTTGGCTGCTTCGACTGTGTGAGATGGCGGTCTTGAACTTTCCGGTCTGCACTTCTTTTGTTCCCAAATACATAGTTCTATTCGGCACTAAACATGCGTAGCTGATCCTGTCTCTTGTCAGCTCGCAATAATCCTGTAGTATACAGGACTTGGGCTTTTCTTTTTTTGGCTTCTCGTTCCATGCTGTGTAGCATGCAATCAGGTCCCAGATCTTGGTCGGGGTCATAGCCTCGTACCAGCAAGCCAGGCGCAAAACGGTGGCCGATGGATTACTACTCCTAAGCACTTGCTCTTTAGCTCCACATTCTTGAAGCCACGAATGGCACCACTTTCTTTTCGTTGCATCAAACGAGGTATAGGAGTACCCTCCTTGAGAATCTTTGATCCTTTGACTGCATGGCAGCTGCCGCGGCGATGTGCTGAAGTCCCCTCAGCCATGTCATCAAATGACACCCCTGGTGGGTGCAAGCCACGGACCTCCGGGCTGCATCCGTTCGAGTGACAAGACGTCCTTTACTCCAGACGCAGGCGAGAATCGCCGAAAGAGGCTTGCTGATGCCTTGCACCAGTCGGCTTTCTGCTCTTCCAATCCCACTTGCAATTTCCCAAAGCCACCAGACAGCTGCCCTTCAGGGGCTTGCCGAGAGAATGATTGCTCCCAGATGCTGCCGGGAGTCCTTCAGCAGACCGGATGAAGTAAGGTTTTCTTCAGATGATGCTGAATGCTCCCTCTCCGGGTGACTCCGCATGGTGGTCTGTACAGCTCGCGTGAGCTGAGTACATCACTTAAAACTACCATGTTCCCCCGTGCGATGCACAAAGGTAGGACGATCTCCCCAAGGAGTTCTTCTACTGTCTCTCTCGTTGTCTTGGCTCGCAGTGTCGTTCTGCGTTGTGTCTTCTCTCATTTGTGTTTCACTGTCCCCTCGTCTGGTCGTTCCGTTGTCATCATGCGTCTCCTCACCAACCCCTTCTTGCTGCTGGCTGCTGCCTGTGTCAAGGCAGGCACTGTCACTTACCAGTGGGAGGTGAGCTGGGTCAACGCCGCACCTGATGGCTTCTCAAGGCCTGTCATCGGCGTCAATGGCGCCTGGCCGTGCCCTACTATAGAAGCAACAGTCGGCGACACTGTCGTGGTTCAGCTGACAAACAAGCTTGGGAACCAGACGACCGGCATTCACTTCCATGGGATCAACCAGGTCAATACCGATTATATGGACGGGCCTAGTGGCGTAACTCAATGTCCAGTGCCTCCAGGCTCGTCCATCACCTATTCCTTCACGGTATGGCAACGGCCAAAACTGAGCTGTCGGTAGTCGTCTGGCTAACAAGGTGAATGACAGGTCGATGCTCCAGGAACATATTGGTGTAAGCAATAGTGATGGGTGTTGTCGAGTGACGGATCTAAACATTATTATAGATCATTCCCACAACATGGGGCAGTACCCAGACGGATTCCGCGGCCCGATGATCGTGCACGATCCTGTTGATCCATACAAAGGACAATATGACGAGGAAGTAATACTTACCGTGTCTGACTGGTAAGATCTCGGCTCACAGACTGCCTTTGTCACGAAGTTAGCTACTGACGTCAGCTAAGGTACCACTCGCAGAGCCTTGATCTCGTGCGGAAGATGCTCTCGCCCAACAACACACAGTTCCAGCCGCCGATTCCGAACGGAATCATTGTAAACGAGGGCCGCAGCGGGAGGATCAACTTTGTCAAGGGCAAGACCTACCGAGTGCGGATCATTAGTTTTGCGGCATTGGGCTCTGCCATGATCCACTTCGACTCTCACACTATGAGAGTTATCATGAACGATGCCTCCTATGTCCAGAAAACCGATACCTACCAACTCCGTGTATCACCAGCACAGAGATACGACGTGCTCATCTCTGCCATCGACAGAGATCGTCGCAACTATCCCTTCCTGGTCTCCTTGGACATCAATCGCGACTTCGCGAACGACGCCACGCTGCGATGGCCCTACAACTTCACCGGCTACCTGGCCATGGACCCAGCTGGTGACTTCACCCAGAAGGACGTCGTTACGAAGTGGCGCCCGGCCGATGACTCGCGCTTCAGTCCACTTGTCCCGGAGCCGCCAATTGGACCTGTAACCAAGACCGTCAAGCTTGACTTCACCTTTTGTATTGATGCTAACGGCATCCCTCGGTAAGTTCTGCCATGGGGGGTATTGAGGACGGGCGCGGTGGACTGACGGATCGCTGTAGTGCCTGCTTCAATGGACAGCCCATGGTTCCCCAGAAGGTGCCAACCTTGTACTCTGTTGCAACTACGGGCAATGACAACACCAACCCTCTGGTTTATGGTGCCGTCAACCCCTTCATCTTCAAGATGGGTGACATCGTCGAGGTTGCACTCAACAACATCGACGCCGCCATTCATCCTTTCCATCTGCACGGCCACCAGTTCCAAGTCCTTGACCGTCCCGCCAGTGGCGCTGGCAGGTGGTCTGGACGTAGCACGTCTTCCACGGGCTCGGTACCCCGGCGCGACACCGTCTCTGTCAATGCGAACTCGTATGTCGTCATCCGTTTCAAGGTTGACTGGCCCGGTGTTTACCTCTTCCACTGCCATGTACGTAAAGCACTTGGATACGCACCCCTCAACCCTCTGGCCCCGTATTCCGTACAGGGATGAATGCTGCTGACACAAGGAAAGATTGAATGGCATGTAGAAATGGGACTTACTGCAACCTTCATCGAAGCCCCTGAGCAGCTGCGTGGTATCCAATTCCCACAGGATCACCTCGACAACTGCCGGAAGATGAACATTCCCTACCAAGGCAATGCCGCTGGCAATACGCAGAATCCGCTCGACCAGAGTGGCATGCAGACCGTGCCTGATACCACATATAATGGGTAAGTCTCAGGCACCCTTCTATATCGTGCCGCCTGAAGACTGACTTCGCTCGACCCAGTGCCATGTACACACCTGCCTCGACACCGAGACTTAGGTCTCGAATCGTGAGGAAGAGCCTGTAGATGCTGGAAGATGTCGTTGGCGTTTAATTCGTACTAATTCATTCTCCTTACTTACTATAAATGATTCGAGTCAAGACGTACCTTTTTTGTGGTTGTTCCAGAGTCTTGGTGAGCATATCGTTGTCTCAGTAGGAACACTGGGTCGAGCCGTTCTGCTTCATGTTCGAAAGCGGAATGCTCGAGAAGAATTTCTTTTTGTCTTCCTGGGTTGGAGAGGAGTAGACTGCGTTCGGTTTGCCAGATTGTTATGACAAAGTCCTTCCACAACCAGCCATCGTTTGACGTTGCTTGTCCCTGGCGCTGTGACTTGTCCATGTAAAGAATGTGATGTCGGTGCGCTATGTCATGGCGCAAGGTGATGAGATTAGTTTTCGTGATGGCATTGTCGTCGTAATACATATATGACTAGGAGAACAAGGGACCAAGACATGTATAAGGAATGCCAGGGGTTGGACCTGTGGCATAGGGTTCATCAGCAGATAAGAATAGGTGTTGCCAGAGAAATGAATGTAGTGTGCTGTAGAAATACCCAAGCTGAGGGTTGAGCCTGCGGATGAAGGCCAAGCGATTATTCTTGTAGTCAGTCAGCACAGAGGCGATGACGACAACTGAGTATGTCCATCACTTGCGATGCCTCAGATGTGAAGGTGGCTGATGAAGAAGAGCTAGTTATGCATGCACGTCGTGTATCAGAATATGTACGGCTCGGTCTTTGTTTGACCTTGCTCGATCCTCACAGGTGGGAAGGTCTCGTTGGGTAAGAAGGATCGGGAGCACTGACTCCCCATAGGCTGGGGGAAGGGGGAAGAAGAAGAGGTCGGAGGTATTGGAGGATGAAGCAAGTTAGGAGGTCGAGAGTCCCCGGCGTGGAGAAGGTGCAGAGCAAGATACCCTTTTCAGCTAGCCAGGCCAAAACTCGGGGTCAAGGACTGGATGTTTGACAAAAGGGAGGGACTGTGCCAATGAGGCGTCCAGGATGCAGATGGTGCTCGGCGATTTGTGTCAACATTGCATGAAGTTGTGGCCGGCTCCCCACGATGTACAAGAATCACCCGGCATGTCTATGCCTATTTTCTCTGTTGAGAGACGAGGCATCTCGACGAACAAGCTGCGGACGAGTTCCGACACAGGCCGTGTGCGTGGCTTGTCCTCGTCCCGTGTAGCAATAAGCTTATACGGACAGCAGGGCGACCAGGGCCTCGACTCGAGGACGGACTTTGAAGCTGCGACGGAGGCACAGACAGGTAGCGGGCTAGCCATCTTGTGACTCCGTGTGATGGAAGGACTCACCAGCCGTAAGGCGTCTACGGGGGTAGGACAACCGAAGCCATCTTTTCTTCAGCAAGGACCGAGCTTGCTTCTCGGACGGGTGACGAGAAGAGGAAGTGGTATTCACTCGCTTCCGCTTGGCCGGCAATGCCAAGCATGAGACCTTAGCGGCGAAAAAGCAATACCGGTTTCTCAGCATCAAGTCAGCCTGAGCGATGTGCCAAGCGTCAATATCCCGATGGTCCTGCATTTTAATCACACGGCGGTAAGAGCAAGCAGGACGGGTGAAGAGGTGAACAGTAGACAGTGATGGCAGCTCTTGGATGTCTGCTACAATCGAGAATGCTTGTCTGTGACGTGCTATGAGAAGGCTCGGAGCAGCCGTTCAGCACCGCAATGGACTAGATTGAGATCAGAACAAACTAAGTGATACCGACAGACTTTGTGATAGAGAAGCCAAATCAGTCTACAGCATCCACAGTCATAACAAGTGTTGAGGCGAAATTCAACCTGGTAGTCTCGGCTTCGAGATCTCAGTGCACAGCCCATGAAGATAGTTGCTATCTCATGATGCCATGTATGTTCAGAAAGGGGTACGGAAGAGTGCCGACCAGCTGTGCATTAGTGAAGTGCTGTGGCAGCTATTAACAAGTACCAGTCGAGTAGCATTACTGCCGTAGATTACACATGCCTGTTTGTAAGTGATACTGACATGAACAGGACGCCTGATGCCGCGCCTACCATGCTCACGGTGCTCAAGGTCTACCCGACAACACACCCTTTGCGTCCTTGGCCACTCGGCCGAGCGACATTGACTGGTCTTGATCGTACATGATTCTCTTAGCAGCGGAAAGAAGCCCGAATGGTTCTTCGGCGAGCATTGCCGAGTTGGGTATCCCGACTCTGTGGAATGCATCAGCCTGTATGCGAGAAGGCCTCGACTGTGCACTTCAACATGGCAGAGTGGCACCACATCATGCATGGTTAGTAATCGGATGATCAGGATAACGGTTGACAACCTTCTGCCCTCTGAGTAGACAGCAGGCCCTCTGTAGACATGCAACCGGACATCCGTCGAGTTGCAGCGGCAGTCGGGCTAAGAGTTAAGCCGCTTCTGCCTCCCAGTGGACGACCCGGGAAGGAAGAAAGGCTTGTCTTGCGACCTTCAGGCTTGTTTAATCAGGTTAATTAAGAAGATTCCTCTTCTGGCCCTGCTCCGCGGCCAGCTGGCTGGTCGATAATCTATCAGCCGCCCAACGCAGAGATGGTTGCCAACAATACCGGGACTCCGGAAGATAGCACTACGCCACGATACCCAGGGGTGTGTCATGAAAGTTTCGGGAGGCTGATATCTTGGCTGCCTTGATTGCCACCGTATGATTCCGGCCAAACGAGACTCAGGGATTCGGGGCTGACCCGAACGGTGAACCGTTGACGTCGTGAACTGGTCGTCACCGGACAGACCAGCTCGGAGGTGTGTGCGCGTGCGGCTGACAATGCTGCACAACATTCAGACAAACTATTTGCGAGAAAGAGAAAACATGGCCTTAACTGTATATCATTGCCGAGATACTTGATTTCATTCCACTGTCTTGACGTAGGTTGACTCTGTCTGGGCATAATTGACGAAGTGCGGCGGAGGTTGGTTTCTTCATCAGGGGTTTCCCGGATCCCCAGGCTGATTCCTAACGTCATAGTGCTATCCCAGTTGCTGTATTTGACTGCTGTGCCTTCCGAGGCAAGCCCACCATTGCGGTTATCCAGAGCCACTACTTTTAGTTAGCCTGGGCTGACGTTAGCGCGCTGATGCAACCCCGGACGGGGGAACTTAGTGGCCCGATGCGCTAATGCGCCCAATCCGATGCCCAACAAGAAACCTTCAACACTAACCAGTCAGGTCGTCCAGCAGCACACCAACAACCATGCTCTGCACGTAGGTACTTTGATGGCACGAAAGCTGAAGAAAGCCCATGCAAGTCTTTCTCTCTCTAGATTGACTACACTCTGGTAAAAGTCTCTGTGCGACAGTAGCTTCTGCAGATCACCGCCGAGGATGTGTTAGCCTCCATTCTTCCCTCTCTTCCTCCACGTTGTGTTGTCATGGTGGTGAAGATGCCGCATTGATCTCCCAGCTGCGAGAAATCCTTCTCAACCTTGTATCACAGATCAGCCTAGACAAGCACCTGGACTTGGATGGCATCAACATCGTGGCGTTCTTGCAGGATGATGGAGACCTGAGTACGGCTGCCAGGTCCCCGACCGGCAGACCGCGTGAGCTCTCCTTATCCAGGCCTATGTGACACCTTCGCAATACCCGGTGGTATTCCTTTGGTGGAAGTACTTTGTGAAGCCGGACGCTTGGCGCCCGGCGAGCTTTGGCAGGTCTCACCCAGGCAGCCTCCTTCAAGTACCAAGGCAATGGTCATCCCGTGCGGGTATGGCTGGCTGCCCAGCCCAGCTTCGGCGAATCTGCCACCGCAATAACATGATTGATCAGAATTCAACTATTTCTGTCAAAATCTCAACCCCGGGACAGAAACACGAACCCGGCAATGGGCCAACAGGGCCTGTGATACAGGCCAAGAGGCCACAGAAGCCGGATGTTCGAGACCTTGTGGTCTCCGGTCCAGCACTACAGAGATAAGCAACTGGTGTAGCCCAAGAATGCGGCAGATAACAATGGACAGCTAGACATGTTGATGCCGCTTCATGGGGTTTCACGGTAAATGTCTGTCTGTGTGCGTTGGTGCACATGTTGGAAAAGACTGGCCTTATATCGACATGGTTCTGGAGGAAGCCATTGGCACCGCCCTGACTGGCGTCTGTACTTTGTTGCGTTTACAGCTACACGATATACTGGCTATGAAAAGGCATTATGTTAACACAGTGGCTGTTCTACCCCGGGGCGAGATCCAGACTGCATGTGATTGAAGCACAGGGGACGGACCACTTGATATATCGATCCATCGAGATCAAAGGGAGCCAACGGAATCTTCAAATTACACCAGATAAAGATAGATAGCTGTGCTGCTCAAGCGAGGCCAAAGCGATGTAGTTGGCGAAAGCCAGTGGTTGATGCATCTGGCCATCAACAGTCGCCATCGCCATCGCTTGTCATCGACTAATCGGTCGATTCCCAGCACGGCATTTCCCCAAGTCCAATTTATTCTGCCGCTCTAAGTGCCCAAAGCTGAAGTCTTGACGTATTCTTGCGTGTGTCTCTCGCGTTCGCTTTCTCTTTCTTACTTGTTCTGGGATACATGTGATGATGCAGTGCAGGGGGTAAGATGGGATGGGCGTGCCGCTATCAAATCAATCCTGATTACCAAGCTCCATTACCTCCCGTCTTATTACTGGGGCAAAGTTCTTTCCCCTGTCTTGGTCGTACTTTTTCCCCCCTTGAGGCTCCTCCTTTAAGGTAAGGCTGCCGTTGGCGGCTAGCTCATGGTGACGACATGCAACAGCATCTCGCGATCCATGGTCAAACAGTCTTGCTCAACGAGCTATGGGAAAGCGATTTCTGAGCTACCACCGCGTTTCGAAATATTTTCCTTGACCTGAATCGTTCTGGGTTGTATGATTCCGTGTTGCCTGAAGTTAAGTGACTTCACGTCAGGTTCATTTCGCTATGGATGGGGGAGTCCGAAGGTTGTCCTAGAGACCCACCCCTGCAAGCATGGCCAACGATTTCCCATGTCATGCTCGCGACATCTAGGCCCCCCGGCAGCGGCAGGACACCCATGTCCCTGGCTCTCTGTGAGGTACAGACCCATCTGTGCTCATATCGCGGAAAGCCTACCGGCCGCACCTCGCTTCATACGATGCTTGCTAAAAAAACGTCCGTCGTTGGTGTGGGGTGCCGTGCACTCCCAGGACCAGTTGTCAAAGCGCCTGATCGTGCTGCGATGATGGCGTTGAACCATCAAGGCGCTCGGCTTACACATGGTGTCGCCAGCAGGTCACAGCAGCGGCGACTCGGATCTTGGAGCTCGAGTGTTCACAACGAGGACTGATATGGAAGGAAGCCGTGGATGGACATGCTGCACGTACTGCCATGCTCCACGTCAGAAGGTGCTTTGCTACTGTGCTGCCGGACATCTCACTGATGACTGCTTGCAGGGGCCAAATACCACTTCGCGGCTGGTCGGCAGGTTCCCTTGTACAGGGTCGTTTTACCCATCTGTTTCTGGGGGGGGGGGGGGGGGGGGGTGCAGCCCCTGACTGGGATGACCCCAATACGGCAAGTACTTGATTATCACTCTCGAGTCTTCGGTGACCGAAGACTTGTAAATACCGGACTACCTTCACGGTACACGCCGGCAAAAGTCGATGGTGGGCTGGATCAAACAGCTCGGGGCGTGTATCTACATGCGTGCTTGATCATCCACGGGAGCTGCGGCTTGGGAAACCTTCTTTGTCGAGACCGGCTCTGCAAGCCGTACAAGACAGCATATTTTTAAACACCAGCAACTTGGCTCGATGCAGCTGTGGGAACTATATGTGTGGATATAAATATATATATCTACCGGGACCTCGTCGACGGAACCTTCCCGAGTTATCTGTTGTTACATACAGCATGCTATGCAACTCTCATTGCTTGCTAGTAGCCACTGCATGATCTCGTCTTGACGGCTACTGCGCTCGACCAACCTCATCATGGCCGACAATATCGTGGCGGATCAGCTGGCATTTCTCCTCTTTGGAGATCAGTCCCTCGACACCCATGGCTTCCTCGCCGACTTGTACAGGCGGGGGCCCCAAGGCGTCCTGGCCAAGGCCTTTCTTGCACAGAGCTGTGAGAGCCTGAGGAAAGAGATTGAAGGATTGCCAAAGTTGGAGCGAGAGAAGCTACCCAAGTTTCAATACCTTCAGCAGTTGAACCAGAGATACCACGCACAAACCATCAAGCATCCCGGGGTTAGCAGCGCGCTGTGCTGTATCACTCAACTCGCTCACTACATAGAGTATGTGATAGCTTCTGGTCCGAGAACCCCTGCAGAAAGTCATACTCGTACTAATTGTTCGCGTAGCTATGCCGAGTCTCATTTCGAAGATGTCACAGACCATGGGCGGATGTGCCTCACGGGACTCTGCACTGGTCAATTTGCCGCGGCTGCCATCGCATCCACTCCTTCGCTATCAACACTCGTTCCAGTTGCCGTCGCGGCTGTCCTACTGGCTTTCCGGACAGGCCGTCATGTCGGAACCTTTGCCGACAGAATATACCAATCGTCAGATAGTACGGAGAGCTGGACGTACATCGCGTACAACGTCTCAATAAAGGAGGCGCAGTCTATCCTAGCTGACTTCCACCACACGAACGTGAGTGTAATATCTTCATCATGGCTCGTGCCTTCAAGACTGACGTTGCCACAGGGAATCCCAGAAGCAAACCAGGCCTATATCAGTGCGTCGGCTCTGGACAACCTGGGTATTTCTGGCCCGCCTTCAACCCTGAAGGCGCTTTTCGCCAATGGAAAGTTCGCTACCAGCTCGACCACCCCAGTCTATGGCCCGTACCATGCTCCTCATCTCTACTCAACGACAGACATCGACAAGATGCTGCGCCTAGATGACGCCTTCATCATCGATGCGTTCACGAAAACAAAGCCTCGGTCCACCATTCTCTCTTGCAGTTCTGGTCTGCGATTGGAAGCTCCCGATACGGCATCTCTGTTCCGGAACATTGCGAGCGAGATACTCACCAAGCCACTTCAGTTCGACAATGTGATCAATGCTTGTCTGGACTTCGCGCTCTCCTCCAGCTGCAGCCGTGCTGTAGTGCTGCCTTTTGGCCCCGCGCACAACTCCTTGACCCTTGCCAGCCACCTCAAGGAAAAGTCCGGCATCAAGATTGAGCACCGCCAACATCCAGGTATTGCCCCGGAGAGCATTTCCTCGCCTATAGGAAACCATGGGTCTCGAGGCAAGTGCAAGCTGGCCATTGTTGGCATGGCAGGGCGTTTCCCCGACGCGGCTACCCATGAAAAGCTCTGGGAACTGCTGGCGAGTGGCCTCGATGTACACCGAGAAGTCCCAGCAGATCGCTTTCCAGTGGCCACCCACGTGGACCCAACGGGCAAAGCCATCAACACCAGTCACACACCGTATGGATGCTGGATTGAGAAGCCAGGTCTTTTTGACCCTCGATTCTTCAACATGTCGCCTCGTGAGGCGTTCCAGACGGATCCCATGCAGAGGATGGCCTTAACGACAGCCTATGAAGCTCTGGAGATGTCAGGTTACGTGCCCAACCGAACACCTTCGACACGCCTCGACCGCATTGGCACATTCTACGGCCAGACCTCTGACGACTGGCGTGAAATCAACGCCGCGCAGGAGGTGGACACCTACTTCATTACTGGAGGTGTCCGTGCCTTTGGTCCGGGCCGAATCAACTATCATATGGGATTCAGTGGGCCTAGTCTGAACATTGACACGGCTTGTTCGTCCAGTGCTGCCGCTATGAACGTGGCTTGCTCTTCTCTCTGGGCTCGGGACTGTGATACAGCTATTGTTGGCGGTCTATCGTGCATGACCAACTCGGACATCTTCTCTGGTCTGAGCCGTGGACAATTCCTGTCCAAGAAGGGACCTTGTGCCACCTTTGATGATGGTGCCGACGGTTATTGCAGAGGTGATGGCTGCGCGTCTGTAGTTGTCAAACGTCTTGACGATGCGATCGCAGACAAAGATACCGTGCTTGCCGTCATCCTTGGCACAGCGACCAACCACTCCGCAGATGCCATCTCCATCACCCATCCACACGGCCCAACGCAGTCCATCCTCTCGTCTGCTATTCTTGACGAGGCTGGTGTGGATCCGCTTGACGTTGATTACGTGGAGATGCACGGAACTGGGACCCAGGCCGGTGACGGCACTGAGATGGTCTCCGTAACGGACGTCTTTGCACCGGCCGAGAGGAAGCGACCGAGGGATCGGCCGCTTTACCTAGGTGCGGTTAAAGCGAATGTCGGCCACGGTGAGGCTGCATCTGGCGTGACTGCCCTTATCAAGGTGCTCCTCATGCTTCAGAAGAACACGATCCCTCCGCATGTGGGGATCAAGAATGAGATCAACAAAGGTTTCCCTCAAGATCTCTCGGATAGAAACGTCAACATTGCATTCCACATGACTCCCTTCAAGCGCAGCGACGGTAGACCTCGCCGCGTCTTCATCAACAACTTCAGCGCTGCTGGTGGCAATACTGGGCTTCTGCTCGAGGATGCGCCGAAGGACGCTTCCCCTGTTGCCGACCCACGCAGTTCTCACGTCGTAACCATCACGGGCAAATCAAAGTCTGCCATGATCAGGAACGCCGAGAGGCTCGTCAGCTTCCTGGAAAAGAACCCTCAAACGCCCCTGTCGCATGTGGCGTACACAACTACGGCACGTCGCATCCAGCACTACTGGCGGATGAATGTTGCCGCCACAGACGTGTCTGAAGCCCGCCAGTTGATTCAGGCCCGCCTCAAAGAGACCTTCGTTCCCGTGTTGCCTGAGCAGCCCAAGGTCGTGTTTCTGTTCACCGGCCAAGGAACCGCCTATGCCGGTCTCGGAAAGGAGTTTTATGCCCACTACTCTATCTTCCGTGAGAGCATTGATGAGTTTGATCAGATCGCTCAGATCCACGGCTTCCCGTCGTTCATGCCACTCATCGATGGCAGCGAGACAGATATACAAAAGCTGTCTCCTGTTGTTGTGCAGCTAGGCATTACATGTTTCCAAATGGCATTAGCGAGACTCTGGTCTACTTGGGGCATCAGGCCTGCCGCAGTCCTGGGCCATAGCTTGGGCGAATATGCCGCCCTGAACGTGGCTGGCGTGTTGTCCGTGAGTGATACCATCTTCTTGGTTGGAGCTCGAGCACAGCTACTGGTTGAGAAGTGTACTGCTGGTACACATACCATGCTCGCCATTTCTGGTTCTGTCGAGTCCGTCAAGGAGGTGCTTGGTTCACGTCTTGTCAATGTCGCTTGCATCAACGGTGCACGTGAGACCGTCCTCAGCGGCGAGACCGCACAGATGGCAGAGGTCAAGGAGCAGTTGAGCGGTGCGGGTTTTAAGTGCACCACTCTTCCAGTTCCTTTTGCCTTCCACTCAGCACAGGTCGAGCCCATCCTTGACGACTTTGAGCGGGTAGCTAGCGCTGTTCGTTTCCTGCCTGTTCAAGTCCCAGTCATCTCTCCCTTGCTGGGCGAGTTACTTGGCAGTGAGCCTGTCACTCCTGCGTACCTGCGCAACCATGCTCGCGAGGCTGTCAACTTCTTGGGTGGGCTGACTTCGGCCCAGGAGTCTCGTCTCATCGACGAGAAGACTGTCTGGCTCGAAATTGGACCCCATCCAGTCAATGCCAACATGGTCAAGGCTTCTTTTGGGGCTGCAACCGTGGCCGTGCCTACGCTGCGCCGCAATGAGCCTGCCTACAAGACTCTCAGCAATAGTCTGTGCACTCTTCACACGGCAGGACTCAACATTGACTGGGACGAGTTTCACCGGGACTTCGGAACCTCGGTTCGTCTGCTAGATCTCCCTAGTTACTCGTTCGACGAGAAGAACTATTGGCTACAGTACACTGGCGACTGGTGTCTGACCAAGAACCGCGGCGCACAGATGGTTTCTGCCATTGCCGAAGCTCCCAAGCCCAAGCTGGAGACAGCCAGCATCCACAAGGTTACCCAAGAGAAGGTCGAAGGCGACGTCGCGGTGGTTGAAATCGAATCCGATCTCTGCCGCGAAGATCTCCGCCGCGTTCTGGAGGGCCATCTTGTCAATGGCGCTCCCCTTTGTCCGTCCACTCTGTACGCTGATATGGCCATGACCGTTTCAGACTATGCCTACCGACTACTGCGGCCTAAGGCTGAGAAGTTTGGCACCAACATTGCCAACGTCGAGGTTCCCAAGACTCTCATCTTTGACGACAAGGCAAAGAGCCAGATTCTGCGGCTTACCGTTACTGCCAACGCTGCTCTTGGGTATGCAGATCTCGTATTCCACACTGGCGAGGGCGCCGGGCGTACTGAGCACTGCACCTGCAAGGTCCTCTATGGTGACCTTGAGGACTGGAGCAGTGAATTCGATCGTGTTGCGTACTTGATCAAGTCTCGCATCGATGCCCTCGTCGAAGGCGAGCAGAAGGGCACAACGTCCAAGATTGGTAGAGGACTGGCCTACAAGCTCTTCACTGCTCTTGTCGACTATGCGCCCCGGTACAGGGGTATGGAGGAAGTCATCCTTGACAGCAAGACTTGTGAAGCCACTGCCAAGGTGACCTTCCAGACCACTGAGAATGATGGAAGCTTCTTCTTCAACCCCTACTGGATTGACAGCATGTGTCACATTTCTGGCTTCATCGTCAACGCCACTGACTCTGTCGACTCGCGAGAGCAAGTCTTCATCTCTCACGGTTGGGGCTCCATGCGGTTTGTGGAGAAGCCTGATCCTACCAAGGCATACCGGAGCTATATCCGCATGCAACCCGTGCGCGACACCGGCATGTACGCTGGCGACGCCTACGTCTTTGATGGCGAGCGCGTCATTGGAGTCTGTGGAGATGTTCGGTTCAAGAACATCCCCCGTAAGGTGTTGAACCTCGTGCTGCCTCCTCGTGGTGCGCCAGCCCCTGCTGCACCAGTCGCCGCCGCGAAGAAGGCCCCTGCTCCCGCTGCGACCAAGGCAGCAGCAACCAAGTCCAAGGCAATGACCAAGAGCGGTTTGGCCAAGGTCAACCAGAAACTGACCTCTATTGTCTCACAAGTCTTTGACATTCTCGCAAAGGAAGTGGGCGTCACGCATGACGAGCTTGCTGATAATATTGCGTTCACTGACTTGGGCGTCGACTCCCTCATGTCTTTGACCGTCAGCGGCCGCTTGCGTGAGGAACTTGAGCTCGATCTTGACTCTAATGCATTCGTCGACTACCCAACAATTGGTGCTTTCAGAGGATATCTAGCTCGCTTCGAGTCTTCGCTTCCCAAGGAGGTTCTCTCCGAGGACTCAAGCTCAGACTCCGACGGCTCTCAGATACTGGAGTCCGACTCGAACGTGACCACACCTCTCGATGAGAGTGAAACATTCTCGCTCAAGGGAGATGGTAGTGTCGACGGAGACTCGTCTTCGCTTCAAGAGATTGTGCGAAACACAATTGCCGACGAGATGAAGATGGATGTCGATGAAATCGTCGCCGCCCCTGACTTGGCAAACCTGGGTGTTGACTCTTTGATGAGCCTCCAGATCCTGGGCACTCTGCGAGAGAGGACCGGCCTGACCATCCCCGCGGATCTCTTCGTATCCAACCCTACCCTGAAAGACATCGAGCGTGCTCTTGGAATTAGTGACGCCCCCAAGCGTCCATCTGAACCCAAGCGAGCCAAGCCCCAGCCTCAAATCAGGCTGGAACCTGCAGACCCTGTTACCAAGAAGGACCCGCCCCCGCAACATATCGTGGATAACTATCCCCACAGGAAGGCGTCGTCAGTCTTGCTTCAAGGAAGCATCCGCACAGCCACTAAGCAGCTATTCATGATCCCGGATGGCAGTGGTTGTGCGACTTCTTACAAGGAGATCTCTGACATTGGAGAGGAGTGGGCCGTCTGGGGCCTCTTCTCACCATTTATGAAGACACCCGAGGAGTACCACTGCGGTGTCTATGGCATGGCTGCAAAATTCATCGATGAGATGAAGCGACGCCAGCCATCCGGCCCTTACAGCCTAGCTGGCTGGTCTGCCGGCGGCGTCATTGCCTACGAGATTGTCAATCAGCTCACCAAGGCTGGCGACAGGGTCGAGCATATCATCTTCATCGATGCGCCGTGCCCCATCACCATTGAGCCCCTTCCCAAGGGCCTTCATGCATGGTTCGCGTCAATTGGTCTCCTTGGCGACGGTGATGACAGCAAGATTCCTTCATGGCTGCTACCACACTTCGCGGCTTCTGTGACGGCTCTGTCCAACTACACAGCCGAGCCCATCCCCAAAGACAAGTGCCCCAATGTCATGGCTATCTGGTGTGAAGATGGTGTCTGCAAGCTGCCCACTGATCCCCGTCCGGAGCCTTACCCGACCGGGCACGCACTGTTCCTACTTGACAACAGGACAGATTTTGGTCCCAACAGGTGGGATGAGTATCTTGATGTCAGCAAGATGAAGCTCAGACATATGTCTGGCAATCACTTCTCCATGATGCATGGCGATTTGGTATGTTTCCCTCCCTACTCATATGGGACGACGATCTGGCGAACTAACTTTAAACCCTGTCGCAGGCCAAACAGCTTGGAGCATTCATTCGTGAGGCTGTCTTGTAAAATGGAATGAAGCAGGATTTCAGAGACCTGATTTGTTCACTACGGTCATCATTCTCCTTTGTAAAACTTTTAGCATACTATTTTATCTGCTGCTCATTTTCGGATACTTGTTGTTTCAGGGATATCACTACGATGGAACATGTGGTGGGCGCGAGTGATTTGGGCATTGGGACCTTCTAGCGATTGTATTTGGTTCATAGACATTACTCTTCCAAATTGCTACTCTTTCAACGTTTTGTCTTCCTTGACTTGAATATGTCGTCCCCCAACCAGGCAGCCAAGACTCTCTTGCTGGATATCTTCATGGGTCGCAACGACAATGCTGTGCACCAATACAACCTCAACAATCCTTCTGGTTGAGATTTCTTTTCACATCGTGAAAACGTACGCCCAGGCTGCTTGTCTCACCCAACGCTTTGGTAACCGGGAAGCTGGATGGTTGCTTCCTTTGTGTCTCAGACGGGAATTTCCATGTCTTACCTTGTGGGTGATCCCGTCGTTTGGACGGCGGTAAAGGACAACCACCAAATGTCCATGACCCTTAGATTCTGCCAATACATTGGCAATGTCTCTCTCTGTTTCCAGGAATACAGGGTTGTCAAGATCTCGCCGTCGGCAATCTTGCTTGCGATCTGCAGTAACGTGATAAGGGTTTAATGAGAGATGGCGCGGGCACCCTCGTATCTGTAGCCAGAAAAAGCAAATATAATTGAACTAGAGACAGGTCGGCGATGATGGGAAAGTGATGCCAATGTCTTGGGTCTGGCTTGCGCAACTTGACGCCTTCAAAGGCGATGTTGGCTGCATGTGGGCGACGGGACGGCTCGCGAGAAGCTTGGCTACGCTAGACCAAAAAGCCCTCGTATTGGATATCATCCATAGGTAGCACTCGACATGATCGACTTGCCATGTCTTAGATATGTCTTTGAATGTCCTCGATGGTCCGACGGAAGCTTGCCCTGGGCGTTCCTCAGGGAACAGAAAAGGGGTCCAGGCGGGACGGGCGGGAAGAACCAGCTCGTGTGCGTGCGGCTGGACCGGCAAAGCGACGCACGCACAGCAAATTGCTAATAAGTGAATATCATGTGTGCGTACATGCTTTGTGTACAGATGGCACATGGTCAGAAGACTCCTTGGCGCTCGGCTGAGCGAGACCGCTTCCGAGACATTACCGTTGAGTCGGCGCAGCTGTAATTTCACTTGAGATTTCCCTGAGCCGTAGACGTGGGACATCTTTCTGGGGGCTCACATGGCTTTTTGACGCGTGGCATATCGTCTAAAGGCGATGAAGATTAGTGAGATGGACAAGGTGAGAAAATGAAAGTCTCGATACTCAGTCGAGCTTCGCGACACCGCCAGACCGGAAACCTTTTTAAGGCCTGTCACACATCGGCAACAGTTGTCTCAGTGCCGGGCTTTTGACCGGTCAGCCAACCGAGCCTTCCGAGGTAGGGGACCTCACGACATGCGATGCGAGTGGACGAGATGTCTCGCATTAGCTCCCATCGTTGCCTTCCGGTTGCCTTTCGATTGCATCCCGTGCCATCGACCATATCAGCCTATCACCCACTCTCAACATTCCCACCCTACAGGCTGATCACTGAGTGTCTTCCGCAAACACGCTATCGAAAGAGGAATCAATTACCTTTTTGCATTTGGGAGGCGGATGAAGACCGTCGTCCTCACCGACAAGTGTGCCACCTCAGGAATCGTTGACGTAGTTGATCTCGAGAAGTCACCTCACCGAATGTGCCAAGCGCGTATCCAAATTTCCTGTTGATACTTCTTGGATGTCTTCTTCCAAATCTCAGGGGTCCGACTCGCTTGAACAGGCGGGTGGTGATCCGCTGATGTTTGTTCGTCCCATTTGGTTTCTCATGTCCCTTTTGTGTGCAACTTCCCAGGTCTTAGTGAGGTACATGAACCCTCCATCAACAAGTACATGGCCCCTATTGCAGATTGTTATAGGCACGGGATGCACCCGCTCTTAAAGAAGCAATATGCAAGACTACATCGAGGACGGTGCCTGGGACCTGGGGAACTGTTCCGATCGACCCATCTGCTAAGACACATGCCCTATCAAGACGCTCCTCGCACTCGTCTCTGGCCAGTAAATCATGAATGGTATCACATTCTACTAGAACATCTGGGATGTGAGGCACCTGATGTATCTGCCAGTGGTACGATCGCAATCACCCAATGGAGCAGCTTGGGACTCAACTTGCCCACACTGACCCCCCTAAGATGCAAAAGAAATGTGCTGCCGGACTAAGCAGCTAAATGGGTTTCTCAACTTGGTACGCGCTCTCCTGTAGATACCTTTAGTCGGTTCCTTTTGAGGCTCCATATTTGACGGCAGAATCGATGTCCCTCTTTGGGAGTACCTTCCCGTGGTCTCGAAAGAGGATCCATCACCACAGCGGCTCTCGTCGTGTGAGACACAGCAAAAGAGTACGCTGCCCACTCAGACAGGGGGGAAGTGTCATCTGGTCTGCTGCCAGCTCTACCAGTGTTCTCGCTAGATCTTTAGAAGCGATATTCCTGCAGTCCACTCTACTCGTGGCCAACGAGTAGAGTGGACTGCAGGGACTTCGTGTTCTTGACCTGAGGGCACCACACCAGTCGATGGCATGGCGTGTCTATGAACGCGGGTACAGCATGAACGCTTCCCAGTTTCCTCTTGGTATCAAGACATGTAAATTCAGAGGATCACAAGCATTTAGATGACAAGAGACTATTACAAAAGAGAACGAGGACTTTAAGACGAATTTGCGGAGCACATGCTCCCCCGGCCGTCTCAAATATCGGTCACAAGGGTGGTCCTCCGAACAATCCAGTCATAAGTAATGCGTAGAAATCGAGTGAAGCAAACTATAGATAGCTCAAGATAAATTACCACAACATATATTATGTCCCTGAAAGAGGAACATCCTGTTGTCGTTTAGTCGGTAAGTCAGAAGCTCTCCGCAATTTCTCCCCTGAATCACATGATGGTATTGTCTCCCCTAGACCCTGACCAACTTTGGCACCCTTGACTGGAGAAACATAAATCCAGGTTCTACATATTGCACGCTCGTTTAGTGACGGGCTTTTGGCTCCCAAATTTAGATTTAAGATTATATCCCTTCATACAACCTTGTCCCACTCCGCGAATAACACGCGTTGAAACTACAGCAGAGCAGAGCACGGGGAAGCGTCGGGTCATGAGACGGCAAAACGCGGGACAAAGAATCTACCGGTGCTTGATCCGTGCCGTGTTTAAGCACAACTGTGTCAGGTAACAGAACCTCAAAGACTGGTGACTTCAAAAATACCATGGAGGGTTTGAGCCGTTGAGAAAAGCCTGTCTATGACATCGAAACAAAGGGTGTACCTACCAGCTTCATGGTGGATGTAAGCTGTGGTTCTGGAATTAAGAATTGTACACGATTACAATAAGACACCCTTTACGAGTCTTAATGCCACATATTTTCGCTCATCATAGAACATTGTATCTCGCAAGGAGTGGCTTAGTCCACATCTACAGAGCTTACCGCATTGCTGACCTCTTTCAGCGTTGGAGAGAAGGTGTTTGCCTGTTCACATCTGGAACTCGTCTTGGGCAGCAAAGGCTGTGGAGTTCCTCCAATACGATGCGAAAGAAAACCAAGAGGATGTGAAGCCTCAAGGAAGACGTGGCAAGCTTGATCTGATTGACAGTGGCTTGCAAAATTGCGTTTGGCGGTTGTTCGCACGTTCGTGACTTGGAACCTGCCAACACAGGTGTGCTGTCTCGAATGCGAATCCAAATCAAGCGAATGGTTTTCAATATTCAAAGTGATTAGTAATGTGCCTTGCCGCTTCTGGGCTAGGAAATAAGGTGGTGATCCTGCTGCCCACTGGTTCGAAGCATAATTTGGGGACAGTCCGGAGGCGCTCAGGTCCATTAGTGAAGCCAAGCTTTCGGTAGTCATTCATGCTTTGAGGGCATTTGTTCACATATTGATGACTCCAACGTTAGCAATCGGCGATGATCTCCGAGCCGCTGTCACTACCCTTGTCCTTGTGATTTGAGGCGCTTTTCTACGGTATTTAGAGGTTGACTCGAAGCTCCCTACAGGGGTTGTGGCGAGATATTTGGCCGAGACTCAAGCCAAGCGAGGCTCTCCCACAACGAAACTGGTATGGCGAATTTGGAAATACCATCCCCTAAAGAAAACGGTGAGCGATTCAACTTCATATCAAGGCTGGAAACGGGTCTCAGCTACCGGTCAGTGCAACGGTAGTCAGAGACGTCTCAGCCCAAAGGCAGAGGAGAACAGGGATAGTCCCCTGTCAACCTCCCTCTTGGGTCGCCTACGTGTGACTCGGGCGCCCTAGACCCCAGCTTCAGCTGTCTCGAAATGGATTGGTATGAATCCCCTCAATGCAACCTCCTCACTGTTGTCAATCTGCCTTTTGGACGAGCCACAGGTGCCGCCGTCGTCAGCAGAATAGCATCTCTGGGCTAATATCTACAACTCTTATCTGTAAGATATGGTCATGCTAAAGTCACAAGCATCAGTCCGGAGCTTTCTTGTGCTATCGACTGGTACGATTGGCTTGACGAGCGGTGCTCCTTTGCCACGAGTTTGTAGTTTGGTGATTGTTCTCTGTGGGGCCATGGTGACAATCTACCACATGATCTTCAGACACACGAGTTGCCCAGAGCTCCGGGCCCGAATGCAACTCTGAGGCGCCGAGAGCCTGGAGCCGTTCCAAAGAGTTGACGGTGATCGGCAAGAACAGTGCGCTTTTAGATCACGGCATTGTCCACATGCACGCAGGGCGACAGCAGAAAGCTGATTGCCCATGGAACCCTTTTTCCCCTTTTGAATCGAGAGCCCAAGTATTCTCATGATACTTGCGCCCAACCGTCTTGAACACTGAGCGGTAGGCATAGACCCCCGGGGCAGATTGGCCCCCACGACAACCCAGAGGATTGGTGATGATAAGTTCAAGGGTCCGATAGGCTGTCCGGAGAGACGTGGAGGTGCGAACGCCACTTTGAGCCACGCAGGTGTCAGACGGTCACGTTTATGAGATCGCCAGAAGCAAATGTTGGTAGATCAAGATCCTAGGGGCAACCGAGGCTGGAAGACGAGAGTTTGAGAGATAGTATGATAAGAAGAAGCTTCCGTCAAGCGCAAATCCAACAACGTCCAGGGGTTTTCTTACGCCAGTTCGCAACCACTTTTCAGCCCAGCCCAGTGTGTCGATCATTACCTGGACAGCATTGGCGAAAGTCAAGACAGGATGCACGCTCAGGCAGTGAGCAGCCGGGATTATTGCACCATAAAAGGGTTTATTAGCGATACTAACGGCGGAGCGTTTGTCGGAGCTCACGGACCGCTCTCGAGCACCGTATCTCCGGGAGGAGCTGGCCATTGTGTGCCATTGGAGCGATCTTGTAGCTCGACGATGCTTTGTAGCCTAAAAGAACATTGACAACACTTGGAGGCTTCGATTATTTGCTACTGCTGCGAGCTATGAGGTCATCCGTCAACTTATCACCAGATGGTTTGCCAAAACCACACATCCCGTTCAGGCTCAAGCTGGAATCGGGTCTGACTTACAGCGGGCATCTGAAATGAAGGGCTGCGAATGAATCTTACTTGTAGAGCCGCGACCTTCGGCTGGCGTCTCAACGTGTCTCAACGTGGCCGAGCAAGTGTCCACTTGTTCCATGCAACCGCCTCGCGGCCTAACACCCTGGGTTACATCCGGGAATTGTCGTAGAAAACTGGCATTTTTTGTTCTTGGTACTCTTTCTTCTCCCCCACTGACCGTCTTTTCAGGTTCGAGAGCTGATGGCCGAATTGAGCACCAACAACAAAATGGTTCCGTGACGTAGAGGCCAAGTGAGTCCGCCTTTCTTCACTGACCTCCACGCAGGTTGGTAAGGCGGTGAGAATGAGCATGTGTTTGCTCACTTCTCCCCGTTCAGCATGAGGAATACCCAGCTTGAACGGAATTGAGAGCTGTCAGTTGACTGATCCGAAGATTTGAGATGATATCATCGCCACAGGCTTCCTCTTTTGGTACGCATCCCGTCCTGTCCTGGTAGGGCTCAGTGACTCCACTGCCACGATGTACAGTCGAGGGGATGGTCACCTTATCTTCCACTTGCAATGATCGCCGCTCAAGTGGACGCCACTGCCATGCTGTCTGCGGCATGTGCTTTAATCCAATCAAGGACGAGATCTACAATGTGTATGCAAGGCGAGGCTCTGCAAGTTGCTGTTGTCGGTTGCACACAGGACTGGAGCAGGCATGCAACACAAGTGCATTAACAGGCATTCTTGCTGGTGCGGTCTGCTTCTACTCCAGTGCAGGTCTCTCTCTCCATGCGGGGTAGGCCGTTTTTCAATGGCAAGCACTTTTCGTGTATGCATGCCGTGCAGCATCGTTTTTGCTTATCTTTATCACTCCGCTGAGGAAGACCTAACATGATTTACACTACCTAGACAATACGAGGAAAACCGATCAGCAGCTTACCAGAGGGGCTACTGGAGAACTCCAAGGGCGCTGCCGTGTTTGAGAAAACAGCATCCAACATAGCAGAGAACAATGAACGCTGATCATCGTGGTGCATTTGCATGGCAACCTTGACCCTCGATATGGGTTCAACCCCATCTGCTGGCACCTTTCTCCGAGCGAGAAAAGAAGGGGATCGTCTCCGGCAGCGATGCTTCGGCAGACCGGTGAACTGACGTGAAGCGGAATGGAAATGGCATGACTAAGAGAAGAACTACTGCAGTGCCAGATGACACACTGAAATAGTTCAGTGGGCGAGACTGCAATAGTCAAGCACGGAAATCGCCTGGCATTCTCGTCTGACAGGGCAGAGGTTATTAACCCGGTTCCGAGGGCGTTGTTCGCTCAAAACACTCCTTAAGTGCTCAAGTTCGATAGCATGATCGATCTTATGACTTGAACTCAGATGCCTTGGCCTGAGTCTGAGTAATGGCATTTCAAAACAATCTCTGCTTGCAAAGATCAGTGCTGATTGAATGCTACAAATCATCAGCAAAACGAGGCTCACAACGCTGTAACACCCGTCGACGCAATCTGAGCATCGAGTAGGCGTGACCCATTGTCTTATTCGCTACCTGGCCAAGGTTGCATACCCCTGTTACAGCTTGCAGGCGGCTTCAATACTATTTGTATCTTGCATGAGGTGTGCATAGGTACCATCCTAACCACCTTCAGGTACCTCTTCATCTACCCAAATGAGTCCATCTCATACTAAAATTTGTATTCTTGGTAACCTTTTCCGTGACTTGGTACACAGATGAGCGTTGGACCGGGTTTGGAGCATCAGTTCTTCAGGGCGTATTCAATTGGCGAGCTGAATCGCATTATCCCTGTCGATTCGCTCTCCCGTTAACCACATCCTCCCACCTGCCGCCAGCGCCTCCATTCGAAGACGAACCTCCAAAAGAGACCCCAAAGGCGCACGCTGAAAGCCTTCGGCGGGCGAAGTCGTCTTCCGTCACGCATGGATCTTGGCCCACCTCGACGAAGCGTCAGGGATTTTGCTTGCTCTTCTGAGTGACGGCACACACGCTGTTCAGCCCGGGATCGTGGTCAAAAAGCCCAATCTCCACCACCCCCGAATCGGAGAGGCGGGACGAATCGCATCAGCATCCTACTTCCCCAACCCTCTTCCGGGATGTTTTGCTCAAGAAATGCCACTGCCCCCCTTTGCCGCCAGGCTGATGCTCACAGTACCCCGTCCTCGGCTTGCTCTCTCGCCTATCCCACTCCCACACGAGCGCTTCTCAGTCCGTTGGGATAGTAGGCCGCCCAAAGATGGCTGCCACGTCCCCCCTTCGAGAAAGGCATCCATGCCGGAAGGGCCTATTTGCAGCCCCCGGTCGGATCTCATGGTCATCACTACTCGCTTTGCACCACCGTACCACTCCAGTCACCCGCTTGGTGCCACCTACACACTGCCATTTAACGATCTCCTCCAATCCACCTACACACTTTCTTGTCAGCTAGCGTCGACTAGGCTTTGAGTATGTACAGCTGGGTAGCGCCGTGTACAATCCATTTCAAAACGGTACTTTGCCCACGACACCCCACGAACCTTACCAATACCTCTTGTCTCTTGAAGCAAGGCATCGCACTCTCTTCCCCGTTCTCTAAGAGGCACAGTCCCTGAGCCACTGCTCAGCTCAGAACCTTCTCTACGAGCCATCTGGCGTGGTCGTCTCTTTTTACCCGGTCTGTCTTGTCCGATTGAGCCTACTGTCAACCAATCTGCATGTCCTTGAACCTTTCCCTACCAACGGTGCTTTGTCAAGGAGCTGTCAGCTGGGTTACTTTATCACTTCCCATTCATACTTGGAGCTGCTTCTCACTTCCTGGCAAGGACGGCCCGCGTTTCTCCTTCGTGCTCCCTCTTCTCTTCTGTTGCACTCACCCTGACATATGCCGTTTTCCATCCGAAGATCACACTTGATACATACAAGGCCTTCCATCCCACAGCACCACTCCAGCCCTTGTTTGTCACTCGGCTCGTATAATACCAGCCAATTTCCCCCCCAGTGAGGCACATACATCTGGTACTTTGTCTGTTACCCCTTGAAGACCTAACTCTATATCAAAGAGGGTTGAAGACAACGACGAAAGAGAGATATAATTTCTATTTCCTGTTTCACATTCTCCACAATGGCATCATCGTCGAAGCCTCGACAGACTCGGCTCCGCGCCTCTTGCGATGGTTGCTTCCACGCCAAGGTCAAATGCTCCAAGGAGAGACCTATGTGCACAAGATGCATGTCTTGCGGCATTCACTGCGTGTATTCACCGTCAAGCAGGGCTGGAAAGCCCAAGTCGGATGGATCGAAGCACCTTCAGCACAGCACGCGCGTGCCGGATGCCAGTACCACTACATCCAATATCGACGATAAACCTCTTCTCTCTTCGGCAGGCCAGCAAGTCGTGTCGATAGCTGGCTGGCACACGCCTCCGACCAGTATTGACATGGGTCGAAGTCCGTCAATAGCGTCCGAACTTGCGTTATTGGGAGTCGACACCAGCATGGCTTCTCAGCAACTGGACATAATAGCTACTACGGGCGAGATGTATCCCTCGATATCGCCATGGACACCACCAACGGACTTTTCCTGTGCCCCATACGGCGATTGCCAACCCGTCGCCATGGCCATGATGCAGAGCATCGGCCGTTCTCGGTCTCATGACATGGCGATGTCAACCGCTTTGGGGTCGTGGCAGCAGGATACAAGCACGGCGGAGGCTTTTGGGTATGAGCAGACTCACATGCCCACACCTGCGAGCATGGGCTCCAACTACTTTCCGAGCCCATCGACCACGCCGCATTTACGGCCGGCACCACCGCGACACAAATCAACATCTGCTGCATCCATGGCCAGCACAGGCTCCTGCACATGCTTTACTGTGTGCCTGCAGTCGCTGCAAGCGCTGCACAACGCATCATCGCCGGCATCTCCCCCTCTTGACTTGGTGCTCCAGCTCAACGGGAAAGCGGTCGAAGGCTGTGCGGCCATGCTGGCATGCTCACGGTGCATGAGCAGGTCCGGCACGCACACGGCAGCCATGCTACTCGCCACGGTCATTGGGAAGATTACGTCATTCTATAAGAATGCGTCGCAGTCGCACTTTGACAGCGGAGGCATGAGCAGCCCCGTCTCCGGGTCAAGTCCCGGTCTCGGCGTCAGATTAGGTGCCTACCAAGTTGATGGGGAGCACGGCAGAGCCCTCGAGCTGCACATCTTGGGATGCGAGCTCCAAAAGCTCAAGGAGGTGTATGCGAGGTTCAGCGAGGTCTGCGGTCAGCTCTCCGAGGATGCGGAGATGTCAAAGGCCATGATCGGCTATCTGAGTCAGAACCTCGACACAATGTTGGAAGTCGTCAGCCACAGCAAGGGAGGCGTACCCTTTGCATGACCCTCTCCCTCGGTCACACGGCAGTTTGAGTTTATTGCTATTCATAATATTGTCTGGTCATTTCCTTAAAACCATTCTTTTTGAGCGATTCGGCATCGAAAAATGAGTTTATGAGCTATGTATTCAGGAACGGAAGACGGGCTGTCTAATTCAATTCGCTAGACACACGTCCTCTCATTCATTTCCCTTGGGAGTTTCAGATGTATCTATTTCTTACGTTTTCTTTCTTGTTTCTTCCCTCTTCTCCGAAGCATCACATCGCGTTTTTTGTTTTATTTTATCTTTTATCACGGGATTTGCAAGTAGAATGCTTGACTGCAATTGGAATGTGCTTCCGGTCTTGAAGCTCTGCATACAATGGGTATTATGTTTGCCATGGAATTCATCACCTGTCAGCCTTTATCCGAGGGCATTCTGGTTGCTTGTTATCAGACTACAAAGCGGCGCTACTGGAACTCTGGTTGTCGATTGCCTAACCCGGTCTTCGGGTAAATGAAAGCAGCAAGTTGTCTTCAAGGGAGCTATCTACGAGACTCATGCAATATCAGCAATCTCTTATGAATAATCCGAAGGAAATCTCTGCCCCTGTGACTGATCTGCAAACTTCTGAGGGGATCAATAATGTACTGTCCTCAATCCCTGCAGGTCTTTTCCTTCATCTAGGCAAATATTGGTCATAAGCGTACGCCCATCTCTCCGCGATCTAGTTTCGATTTCGCATCACCGATCGCAAGGGACCTTACTCTTAGTATGTCTCACGCTCATCCTGGTGATGAGTAGGCACAGACCGTCAGATCTTGGCAAACCAGGGATGGTCTTGGACTGCTTCGTTGTCACTCTCGGCCGATCATACGAGGAGTGTAATCGACTGGAATGGGTTTCGGCGCTGTCCGCCGCCCGGCCTCCCGAACAAAGATACGCTTACTACAGAGCGGACTGCCGCGCATCTTGAAGGCGGGTCGAGATATCCACACGCGGCATGCTTCCGGATCCTGTCATAGAGATGTATCACATTATGCCCGGAAGTGCGATGTTTGATGACGTGCTCGGCACTCTAATCATAATATGCAGCCGCTCTCTTGGGCCGTTCGTCCCCTCTCGGGGTTCCGTGATTGGCCCCGTTTTCCCACGATCCAAGTTGCTTTGGCGTTTTTTTGCTCTTCCTCTGTCTATTCCCGCTTAAACTCGCCCAATATTTTCCGCTCTCGACCCGTCTGTGATCGAATGCTTGATTGTTTGGTATGCCTGTGTTTCTATTTTCAGAACAAACCTGAACCATGCAAATGCGGGGATAAGTCCCCCGTTCCCGGTCGATTGGGGGCTGCAATTAACGAGGAAGTTTCTTTTTGTCTCATGCTTCTCGTGACGGGGCCGGCAGCGCATCCGGGAGTGCTGGCATGCACACATAGGCTACTGTCGTCCGTTGAGAGCCACATTCACAACCAGCAAAAAGGGAACCCTGCCGCATCTCACCTCATGGACTACTGCATGGATCTTGTTTCTTTGCAGGGGTACCACGTTGCGCTTGGCGTGCCAGAGGCGAGGATACAGAGGGCCTTTTGCAAACGGTCAGCACTAATCCTGTGGTCGTGAGGTTTCTAGGGCTCATATTCGAACATCAGTGGCTGGTCGGCGGCTGGTCAAGGCCCATCCAGGCTGGGCGCAGGCTCTACCCGGCTATAATGGCCTGGAAATACACCACCCAAACAGCCGGCCATCCGTCCTTTACGAGCGGCCTGTGGTCAGAAATCGGACCAACTCGGGGGCTGGAGCCAATCAGTCTCGCGAGATCTCGTATCCGACTCGGGGGCTTCTATCTGGACCTTCACAGACCCAGTCAAGTTGCCATGGACAACAACACCCTTCGAGGAAGACTTGAGAATTCAGGGATGGCCTGTTCGAGTTATTTCCGGATCACTTACAACAGACATCAGACTCAGGCTTTCTGGCAATCCCGGACGACCAACATAGGGAGTGCTCGAAAGAGCCGGGAAGGGGCGATCCATTGGGCTTAGCGGGCTTTAGCGAGACATGGCTGCTGTAAACAAAACCCCACACTGGTCGTGATCGTCGCCAAACGCCCAAAACCTTAATTTGATGACCTGTACATGGCTACATGACCTGATTGCGCCCGTCCTCCTGCTCTTAAGATTGTCCTTTATTGCCCATGCCCAGCGTTCCGACATCACTTCATGCTTTGGTGGTCTGAGTAATGATGCTCTGGATGATACGAGAGGTCAGACCAAGGAGGGCAGCGAAACCTGCTTTGGAGTGCCATCCGGCAGATGCTCCGGACCCGAGGCCAAGTCCCGGTCAGTTTCGAGAAAGGATGGAGAGTGTACGTGTGCCTTATGGAGGGCATGTAGTGGGGGGCTCAGGTAGGCCCTGACCCATAGCTCTCGATCCCGCTCCTCCTCCATTGCGAGCGATGATCCTTGGCCCGACAACCCGCAGGTTTCCCACCATCTAAACTCCTGCTCTGGGCTGCTGCGGCTGTGCCTGACAAGATGTGCTAATTTGTTGCCAGCATGCCAATTGAAGATCGCCATGGCACACCCTTGAACATGTGAAATTGCGTCAAGTTCACTCACACCAGTTTGCACAAGAACCGCATTCTCAAATCACGTCCGCCTCCAGTACTCCCTCCAAGGCTTAATTGTCGGCCGATATCACCGCACGTCAGCCAGGCTGAGGGTGGGGGTTGCCCAGAGTGCCTGGGCTGATGAGACGAAAGTCCGATTGAGAGCTATCGCGACCAATCGTGTGCATACAACGACAATGGCCATCGACGACCAGGCAGGCAGCACACACCCTGGGTCTTCTTGTTGTGTGTGTCCATCGTCGATTCCTATTCTCGGCAGTATTCTCGGAAACTACCGACTTATTTTCGGAACAACACCAGACACAGACAGCCTTGGTGACATTTCCTACCGGTCTTGATACAACCCACCCTTCGACGATACAACACACCAGCATATCAACATCGTGGACCCTGTGTGTTACCCCACAGTACTCCAAATTTGCAGATTTGCTGGTCAGGTGTTCCTCCATGGGCTATCATGCTTTACGGTTACAGCCCCTCGTTGTGCAGCCAGCTCGTAAGCTTCGGCGTGGCGACGCAAGCGCACCTTTTGGTCACCAAGCCGGCTCCGCAATGATCATAGAAACAACACGACACGGGATTGCGTGCGCAGGCTTACAGCTGTCTTCTCCGCGAATATTCCTCAAACTTTCTTCTTTTTGCAGATCAGCTCCGCCTGCGAGTTCCTTGCTGCATGGGGGGTACCACCCCGCATGCATCAGTGACCATACAGAGGTTGAGAAAATCAATATTCGCAAGCAGCAGAGTGGAGCCCTGCGAGAAGCTTCAGACCGGCACAGCCCTACGGAGCATGCAAGGACTTGATGGCGGGGAAACCTCTCGGGACCGATGTGCCTATCTGATGTTATAACCTTGTCCTCGTCGTCCACGCTCTGTCTGCCACGTCGAGATCGCATACGCACCAGCGGCAGGCCCACTCCATACGGATATCAATGACAGCCACCCAGATGTTGAGGCTTCTGCTATCCTTATTATCGGGTACGTACCTGGAGAGCTCCAGCAAGCTCTGGTCGCTCGTGTTCTGAAGATCATTTCCACTGCTGGGTCTCTCACCGCACGCCAGGCTCTCAAAGTGCACCAACATTCACCGTGTCTGGGCCATACAGCCACGTTCTGATAACGATAGCTTCTTGGTTGAGGGGCCTGATATGCACTGTTCGGCATTCAGAGCTGCTGGCACTGTTTAGCTGGCAAAGCGACGACCAAGCCATTGACTGCTTTACGATATCCCCCTCTTTTTGGGCTGCAGATGTCAGCTCTTGTGGCGTATCTCCCCATCACTGATGTATGCGGGCATCCGCAATGCTTACATGCGGATCGAAAGCATAACATTCAGTCCGGGGAATTCACTGTGGTGTTCTTATCATGTGAGTTGTCAGAGCTGCTGGAGCGTAGCCTGTGATGACTCTGTGCCCCGCAGCCTCTCCTTTGACTACTCCGCAAGTAGTTGATGATCGCCATCTATATGTGGTTTGCAGGTTCGTCGGTTCAGTCTCAGCTTACGCCCGATTTCAAGTCTCGATGTCATCGCTAGTTCCGACTCGACAAACCGGGAGCCGTTGTGTAGTTCCGCTCAGAGATTACAGGAAGAAGGAGCCACATTGCTCCGACAGCAGAGTTCGTTGGCTTCTTGGCAGACTTTCTCGCACTTTCAGGTGTCGTGATGGTCACACAGGACGCTCGTTGGACGAGGACGACAGCTGCTGCAAGTCAAAAACGCAATGCTTACTGCAGTTGGCGTCCTTGTCTTCAGCCATGTACCCAACTAGCTTTGCCCAAAACACTGACCTACTGAAGCCAGCGCACAGGCTGTTCAGGCAAGCCCATTACTCAGCCTTCTTGCGCTACGAAACCAGGGTTATCCATGTTTATCGTTTGGACTCTCTGCATCGCCGTTATTCCTCCAATGGAAATTGGCACTAGCGATCACTCCTGAGCCATAAGGACCGTTTTCGCTTTCGCAAAGTCACTGCCTACCCTGTGGGCCGTCATTCAAGATTTACAGTCGTCACTGACGACTTACCTGGTCCTGGCCCAATAACCTGTCTGGACCAGTGTGATTGGCCTCTCGTACCCTCTCGGTTGAGTTTATCTTGGAACGACAACATCTAGCCCCACTGAGGCTTACCCCCGAAAGGTGTCTTGCGCCCGCCGCGGCTTGATGCAAGCGCTAATAAGCGACAAGGCTGAGTGACAGGTATTTTTGAGCCTGTCAGCATTGATCGGAGATGTTATCGGCTGAGCAGGATTGCACGTCTCCTTTACAGTCGTTGGGTCTCGTGAGCAAACTTGTGTGTCTCCTCGTCCTGCAAAGTACCCTCCAAGGTACTTCAGGAGTAAGCATCTTGTGTGAGGAGAATGGAGCTCCAGAGATAAGCCCTGGTTCTGCATCCCTTTCTGCCACGGCAGACTTGCCATCAGGGGAGAGTCGTGCCCAGCCTATCCAGAACAGGTTTTGGGAGGCTCGACCTTGCAACGCTCCGCCCTCGATAGGTACATGGCCTGTCGCTTTCCGAAATTCTTGGTCTACCCTAGACCCTTCAACCCTGCAGGCTTTCCAAGACGAGTTGCAACCTGCCAGGTGAAGCAACGCCGCCTTGGACCCCGGGTCAGGACATCCTATCCAGATTTGTAATACAAAGACATAACCTCACTCCGGCATTTGGAGCCCCTGCCAGACATCCTCCGGCTTGGCCCCTGTGCTTGGATCCCTTCTCGGTTATGAAGTCCTCATTAAGCTATTTTGTCACCCCTTCACATCCGGATTCGATTCGGGATCCCGGGGGCTTCTAGATGTGCACGGTTCACCAACAAAGGGGGTAAGAGGGTGTATGCCATTAGAAAAGTAGGGGGGGTGCAATTGTATTTTTGATGGAGACAGACCTGACAACGTCGCAATAGGATTAGCACCCTGGCCATGTCGATCTCCCGGCAATGTGCTGCAAGCCCCCCATTCGCGGCTCCTTACAAAGCTTGAGGCACCCACTGCACCCCACCCCCAGGCCTCCTCCGTACAAGGGCCAGGGGGTGTCCTTTGCCAAGGCTTACTTACCTAGTTCGGCGGTGGGGGCGAAGAAGAGGCCAAACTACGGTATAATTTCCTAATGCGGTAATTGAGAGTACATGGTCTTCTCGTACAGTCTTGTTCCTGGGTTGAAATAGCAGCTCCTGTCTTGAACCTCTTCTGCCTCAATCCGAGGCTGAGCAGATTCGTAAAGCTCACAGGGTCATTTCTTGAGCTAGCACTCTAAGGGGGTCGAGTTACATTACCTATTGCTACCCGGTGTTGCATATCCCGGGCCCCCAGGATTTTTTCCTTGACATCCCCACTGCGGAACGATGCGTTCTGTAAAGTGGATCGTTGTTCAACATTGACAGCTTACCTTAATTCGTGTTCAGACCTACTTCGTACGAAGGCTGTCACTGTGCTCGGGCAGAGACAGAAACAGCCCATGCTCTCCTCGAAGGGGACCCGGTTGGATTCTACACCTGGACACACAAGCAAACAAATTTGAGGGGATTACAAGAAGCACTACTAAAGGATGTGCCGAACTCCAAGGTCAAGGGTTGACACGGCAGAGCGAATCTCCTGGCCTGAACTGGTGACGGGCCGGATTTAATCGCTACCAGGTCCAGTTGCTTCTATGCTGATGGCGGTCAACAAAAGCAAGGCCGGATCTCGGGTAAAATGACCTGGGTATTCGTCACTTTTTTTAATACAAGCACAAGTCTTCACATCGGATCACGCTTTGTCCGGAAGGGCAATTGCCGCAAGAGAAAAACTCGAATTATGAAGAACATGATAGTCCTGTACTCATTGCACCCCCTGTTTTCCAGCAATATCCCAATGCGCCCCCTCTATGCAAGCAAGCATTCCCGGCCATCTTATCTCCGTGTGAAAATGACTCAGGTAGCAGAGCCACCGGTCAGCTTGATGACTTGACCTATACGAGTATTCATGATTAGCAAGCAATGATCAATCTCAGGAGTGTGACAGGGGGGGGGGGGGGGGGCAGGTTTTGAAATGCATACCGTTGATCCACTCGCCCTCCTCGCTGACAAGAGTAGAGACCGCGCGGCCGATGTCAGCGGGAACGCCAACCCTGTTCAGGGGGCACATCTTGGCCAGGCCCTCGTCGATGATGGCCATGTCCATGCCCTTGTAGCCGCCGGGGACGTAGTGCCACGAGTTCTCGTCGTACATGTCGGTCTTGACGCCGCCGGGGGCGATGCAGTTGACCGTGATGCCCTTGTGGCCGCAGTCGACGGCGAAGGCGCGGCAGAACCCTTCGACGGCGGCCTTGGAGCCGGCGTACAGGGCGTGGTTGGGGATGCCGGACAGCACGGCGGCGACGGACGAGGTCAGGATGATGCGCCCGCCGCGGCTGCAGTGCTTGAGGCCCTGCTGGGCGACGAAGAACTGGCCGCGGCAGTTGAGGTTGAAGACCTTGTCAAAGAGCTCCTGCGTCACGTCGACCTCGGGGCACCAGACCTCCATTCCGGAGTTGGAGACGACGATGTCGATGTGGCCGTAGTGCCCCGTCGCCTTGTCGAAGAGCTCGACGACCGAGGCCGGGTTGCTGATGTCGGCCTGGATCGCGACGCTCTTGGAGCCGAGCTTGGCGAGCTCGGCGACGACCTCCTCGGCCGACTTGGCGCTGCTGCCGTAGTTGACGACGATGCTTGCACCGCGGCGGCCGAGCTCGATGGCAATGCCGCGGCCAATGCCGCGCCCGGCGCCCGTGATCAGGGCGACCTTGCCTGCCAGAGGACGGGCGGGGTCGTAGGCAGCGGGCGCTGCGCTCTCGTTGAGATCGGCAGTTGCGGTGGGAGCCATTTTATCTGGTGAGACGTGTGACGCTGTGCAATGATGCGGTGGCAATGTTGCTGAATGCAATGTAAACAGACTAGATCTCTACTGCTGTACTATTGAGGATGATGAGGATGATAATGCAAATCTTGAAGACAGTCTGGGACAGGAACATCGTCTTATATCGGAACCCTGAAGGCAAGTCCGAAAAGGCGTCCGAAATATCATCCTTGAGATTGGGGAAGCTCCCGGGCCCTGGCATGAAGGTAACAGGGATGATTCCGGCGGCGGATAGGGGCATGGAGAAGAACACCAGTAGCACCGCCAATACCTCCGCCTCTTCAAGGACGTTCGTCCGAAGTCCATCGCAGGGTGGCTACGGACCGACTTGTTTTACCACAGGCCCTTCAGGAGCTGAGAGCAGCTGAAGATCGTTGCAGAATTCTGTCCGGACATTACTTCAGTCAGTGCAGCGGCGCAGACCCGGGCTCCGGGTGAGACCCTCTGTGTCTGCGGCGGACGTTGAGATACACCCTCCACACATTGAACGGGCATACCGATGCGTTGAGGTTTTGGAACTCAAAGGGTCGAATGTGTTGAGCCGCAAGTAACTTCCTTCCCTCAAAGTTTAATTGAAATAAAGAAGGCACTGATGTTAAAGATCAGTAGGCCATTCCTTCGTTCAGAGGCCTTCACGGCCTTTCCTGTTCTCTAGCTACAGTAAATACAGTGCATTCAGCGGCCCCAGTAAGCAACCTGCTCCAGCTATGGAAACAGGCCCGGAGACTAGCAACCCGTGGTGGTGTTCAGCTGCTGGGCTACTGAGGCCGGGCCTTCAACCCACACTCAGCCACAACTAGCAGTGAGATACACAGTGAAATGAAGGAAGTGGTGGACTACCGGCATTCAGGTGGAGGTGCTCGTGGGGTTGTCCAAGGCGAAGGACGGAGTCGGCCACTTCCCCAACGGATGTCCGTGAGGGGGATCAAATGTTCGCGAGAGGTCCATGCCACCATCTATGATCGAGGCAGCGCGGAGGAACAATCTTGCGGCATTGAATTGATTCAGTATTGATTAGCGTTGCAGTCGAGCGATTACACGTATGGTGCAATCAATGCTCCTTTGCTTCCAAGCTTCGAGACGCAGTGTGCGCCTGTCAGAATTGAGCCTGCAGCGAGGCTGACAAGAACACCAATGGTAACAACGCCTGCCTTATCCGGCCTCAGATCTCATCAATTGGTCGACTTCTACCTTCCCCTTGTTCGGAAGAATATGCAAGTGGCAACGGAAGCAACCGCGGCTTCAGCAGGTCGGCGAGCTGCCATGATTGGGACGTCATGGTCAAGCTAAAAGCATGAGATCAATCAGGATGAGGAGAGTCCAGATAGAATGAGTCTCATTTTCTCTCCAAAATGGTGCTGTGATTGCTAACTGATTGTTCTTGATTGCAGCCAAGCATGAGAGTACTTCATCAAATACTGGAGCGGCACCAGGCATGTTGCCAAAACGGAGGAGTCATTCTACGCTTGTCTGGTCTAAGAGAATGCTCCGCAGGTTACTTCCAAGCCCTTTCTCGATGTTCTGTTAACAAACATTTGCCTACAATATGTTCCCACAGCCGTATCTGGAAGTGTCCATTGTGAAGCTAACCAGGTGCTCCCAGGTCTGTTCCCCAATTCGGTCTTGCAGTCGAACCAAGCATCCCTAGGACGTACACGCGCGCCATGCTTCAGATGACAGATTGAGCACACACCACCTCAGGTCAAGCTGTATCAATCACGGACGTCTGATTGCCAAGCATTGGTGAGGATACCATAACCGTTTAGCCGGGTCGTGTGGTGGAGGGGAGGCAACGCGGGTCGTAAACGGCTGCACGGCAACCCAGACCCAAGAAATTCTCCGGGAATCCCCCTTTCTAGCACCCAATGCAGACCCAAGGGACTCAGCGTTGAGAGCGTGGGATGGGCACCCAGTCGCCGGAAACGGATGCCGAGACGACAACCCCCGCCCGCCCTGCTGCAGTGTGAATAGCAACTAGACAATTTACCCCCTTCGACCATGGAGGCGGCCGAGGACATCAGAGCGGACAGATAGTTGCGCCGATCACATAGAATCACCAAGCTCTCGACTCAAGCTGATCTGCCTTGTGCGGATAGTTTGTCAACCTTAATATCTCCGAGTTCGAGTCTAGATTGCTTTCAGAGTCAGGCCATGAATTTACCATCGACATCCAGCGGCCCGGAGCCACATCCCGCCGCTTCAGATGCGAGAATCCAAAAGCTGCGCGCTCTAACCAATGACTGGGTAGAGTCTATGAAAGAGAAACTGCGTTTCCACACAAGCCTGGGACTAATATCGGAGCTGGGTCTGAGATCTCCCCCGGAAGAGTCCAAAATAGAAGCAATATGACGCTCCAGATCGCAAGTCTGGATCGAGTGTTATTCGTGTCCGTCAAGACCTTCCGATGTACTGGCATGAACATCCTATGTACCTTCTTTGTTCCCCCATTCTCATCACGAAGTATCATTTTTGTCGGCAGCAGGTCGCAGTACATTCGCAACTTGTCACCCTTTCTGACTGACTACCGACTGAGTTGTCGTCACACTTGAGTTGTAGTTCCAAGTCCAGTCACAAAATTCACGAAGTCTGCGATCTGCGTCTAGCGTTCGCAAACCAACATCTCTTCAGCCATCTGGTTGGTTGCGATCCCGGTACGTAGTCAGACACAAGACCACCGCACCCGGCCAATCGAGACACGGAACGAGCAGTCAGTCATCCTCCGTATATTTTGGCTTTGGGCCAAGCTTTTTTTCCCGCTGCTTCCAATCCCTCGCGGTGCCCCTCCCCTCCTTGCCCCGTATCATCCCTCGGACGTTGTTCCTCTTCCGCAGATGGTGTGCCCGGTACTCGTCAAGGAGTTTGCCATCCTAGCGTCTACGGTAACAGTGGATCACACAGCAGGAAAGGCCAAACGGTGGCACGGAGCGATAATTGGTCCCCGAGGGGGAGGGAGGTAGACGCTACAAGGAAACCAAAGAAGGTTTGTGTTTGGACTACTGTAACGTGGACAATCGGCCCTTAAGGGGATCACTCAAGGTTGGACACCGCTCACCAATCGCACGGCAGATGTGCCTTTTTCACCATCCGCATCATCTAGATAGCCCCAGGACCGGCTGACAGGGGCAGGCCCAATCAGGGCCATCAGGCTGGCGACGTCGCCGTCTAATATGACGTGCGTTGTCGAGGTGCGTCTGGGGTAGCCTACCCGGGCGGCTGGTAATTGCTACCCCCCTGCCTTAGATCCCCTCTCCGCTACCAAGCCTCTTTTGCTATTATCCCATGCCGTTAACGACGACACCCACAGCCCGACTTGCTCGGCGGAGGCGAGAAGAGGAGGAGGGGGGGTGAATGGCAGCCTCGCTGCTTCTCTTATCACGCTCGATCACACCCCAATCCCACCACCCCTCAACCGGGTTCATGCAATCTATTTCTGCAGTTATACTTCCCCTCGCTTACATCCTGATCAGGAAAGTCTGGGAGCTTTAATGGTGGGTTGCTATTACCACCATGCCGCCATCTCTCACCCCTTGAACCTTGCGTTGTGTTGGGGGGTGATTGTCGGTCCTTGCGGCTAAGGAGATACTTTGACCTGTGAGCTTAATCTGATCTCACGCGAGGCATATCGCACCCCCCACCACCTTTTGCCCAATTTACAGGGGAGAGAAGCGAGCAGGTGAGAGAGAGGCACGCGGCGGCAAAGACGACAAAGTTGCGGAAACATAAACATCAGAAGGAGGGGTGTAGGGAAGAGGATCCGAACAAACACATTTGCCTTCCTGTCAGCATGATGAATCAAACTTGGACATGTCCGTTATCGTGAGGAACCGGTAGTAGATCAGTTGACAAAGGGCAATTCAATTAATGCTAGTTTTCTCTGATAAGATCATAACAGAATAACAGACGTGGGGCGTTCTCTTGTTATTTTTAGACCAACCCTCTCTGGCCAAACGGCCGAGGAAAACATGAACCACCAGGCCCTGTGCCTCGGGGACGACAATGGGGAGGCGAAGTTCCACCAGTGCACAACAGGAATCCAATGCGCGACGAAAAAGGCGGGGGAGACAGAAGGCCGTGTGTGTGTGTATGTGTGTCACAGATCTGGGACAGATCCCTTGATGCCGGCACTAGCCACAACGTCCCCGGGCTGAAATGCCGTGAATCTGAGAGAGTGCCGATGTAGTAACACGTAGAGAAGCATCGCGAAAGACCCGTGTGGTCTTAGCAGGGATTGGCTTGTTCGGTTTTGTCGACTCTACAGGCTGATGGCGCTTTTCGTAAGGACTGTCTAGCAGTCGTGCATCTGATGCATCTTCGAAGCATCGAGATGAACAAGAATACAGAACCGGCACAGAGCACCACGGCAAGAATTCGCAAACGTATCCATTACTCAAAACAACGATACTAGCAAAGACTAGACTACCTCCTGTATGCTTAATGTACCATACCGCCACCATTTTGTCCCACCAGGTCCATAACTCCTGCTCGTGATGTCCATGTGGACCTTTGAACTATCTTGTCTCCAAACGCCCTTCAAAACCCAGAAAGTTGTATCAATACAGATGCAAATAAGAGAAAGAGAAATGTGCACAGGATCCTTGGGGATGTGTCCAATCAGGGAGGGAAGGCCACACCATAGCTAGGAAGCTCCCAGGTCTCGGCCAGGGCGACAAGCTTTCGCTTCAGGCCATCAACGAATCTGGTGCTTGCACTTTGCTTGAGAATGTCCACGCCAAAGGCAAGAACCTCAGTCGGGCGATCCAAGCTGACTGTAGACCCGTCTCTGCACGACAGCACGATCGTTGAAGGGTACTCTCCCCACATATAGGGGATCCCATTAGGGTCCTCAGGCAAGACCCTGTTGATGATAATCATTCCCGGCCCGTTGCCGCTGTTCGCGGCCCCCTTGAAGCTAGGGTCGGCGCGCACGAGAGAATCCGTCCACAGGATGAGTGTGGCGCGGTACAGCGCCGCAGCCCACCACGGGGGTCTCCTATCGACCGGCATGGCCTCGATCAGGCGAATGACTTGGCCGCAGTGGAAGATGGCCTCCTCGCGGTGGGAGATGCACCGTTTATGCCTGAGGCTCAACTCCCAGGGGGTGCCATCAAAGGCCTCGCGCCGGGCCAGGCGCTCGATCTCTGGAAAGTGGGCGACCCGGTTGAGCGAGACGAGATGATAAAGCACCAGGTTGCAGCGGGTAACCTCGCACTCGGGGTTCGAGGCGTGAAGCTCCATGCAGAGCTCGTACCACTTCTCGAGTAGCTCCTGGACCTCGTCCAGACGCGTTGCAGTCGAGGTCTTACAGATCGTCCGGGTGGGAGAGCGACGGACGCCATAAACATCTGAGAAGCAGGAGAGAACCTGCCGTAAGTGGAATAGGAGCGATTGGAGCGGGTGTAGTAACAGCCTCAAGTGTTGAGGCGAAAAGTTGTATCGTCGCTGGGTTAAATTGTCATGAAGGAAATCTTGGAAAATGTCGTACAGTGATGGCGTGAGTGAATTTGACGAAAGAAGTTGAGGGTTCACATTTGCCGTGCAGCCATACAGGTGTTGTGCACTGGTGTACCAACTTTCGGCATCTGGTGATTGCCACAACGCCTCGGGGCCTGGAAGTGGACACTGGAGTTCTGCGATGGAGAGAATCGGAGAGCAGTCGTGGAAAAGACTGAGCTCCTGGTCGATCATGACGAAATTGTAGACTAGGCGATTCCGCGATTCGCGCTGGAGCCAGGATCGCCACTGCAGGCTTGGGCTTGTCGCAGTCGAGAGGGTGGGGATCATGGAAGGTTGCTGATCCAGCATCCCAGCGTGCTTAAGCATCTAGACTCGAGGTCAGCTTTCATTTGCACCGACAACGGTCATCGGTTGTGAGCGGTACTTACCGAGAGATACATCCCCCGCTGGCCCATAGCTATGTTCATGAGCCATGCATCCCCGGACCACGCACCGAGTAAGGTAAAGAGCAGCGCGCATCGTAGCACGATGGGATCTGCCGAGAGCTCCACGTCTCTCTCGATAATGTCAAAGAGAGAGATCCGGCACGTCTCAATGAGACCACCAGAGAGAAACCTCGCCTCTGCCATCGGTACGGCAGCTGCACCTTGTGCGATCATGAGAAGGACAAGCAATGTCGAGGCTTGGGTATTGTACAACATCTCATTCGGGTCGATAATATGGCATTGAACGAGGGAGAAGTACACCGTAAGACTTCGGACATAGCTGCCGAGAAAGTACTCCACAATGTTGGAGGGCGGAAGAACAATGAAGTTAAATGGAAATCGACCATGTTGCATCAAGTTTGTCTTTGCATACATGCTGAATCCTCCACGGTGGATCTCGAGGGCTTTGTGCAAGAAACTCTGGGTGATGGCCAGCATCTGCTCTCGTGAGTTTGCTGAAAGCGGCTTGACTTGAGGAAGGGCGTTCGAGTCACCGTCGAGCGCAGCACGGTTCAGGTAGCTCTGTAAAGCAGTCCATGTCCCCTCTTCCCTTGATTTTGACTCCAAGGCCTCGAGGTGCACAATGGCTGTCCGAGGGCAACGGCCGCTGTACATGGGCTGACTGCATCGCGCCATCGGCCAGGCGGCCTCGGCAGCAATGACCGCGCTGAATTCAGCCACTGAGTTCTCAGCCTCGACAATCAGACTCATGTCGATCATCTTATAGGGACCCGGATCGTTGTTGAGACTTGCAGCCATGCTTGTATCATTGGTGCGATCAATCGAGCCCCTTGACGAGGAGGCCATCATGGGTTCTGAGGCAGTGGAAATGTCGCTTATGGATCCAAGGGAAGGCATAGAAAGGTCATTGTGATCGAACGTGAAGGACGTCCCAAAGAACAGGTTGTCGAAGGGAGCAAGTCCCGCTTCAGCCCAAGCATAGGCATCATTAGCCACCATTTCATTGTTCATCTGCATGAGGCCGTCCATGGGGGTGGGAATGTCGATTGACGGCGAGGGGAAGCCATCGGCGTTGAGACCAGACGAAGACTTATTATGTTGCAGGGCATCGTGAATGCGAGGATCTATCGTGCCGGAAATATCCAAGCCTGGTGACGACGTGACTGGAGAGGCCTGGTTGTGGAGGTTGCGCATATCCATAAGGGCTGGTGTAATGGTATCTGCGGGCTGCTGGGGCAAAGTCGGAAGTCTCGCCACTCGGGCAGCTTTAGACGTCCTCCGTGCAAACCGCGCCTCGCAGCTCAGCTTTTTCTCTTGACATCGAGTGCAAGGAACTTGCTTGTCGCATCCCGTCTTCGCGTTGGCGCAGTTTTGGCAGGCAATAGGGGTGCGTCCGGGAGCTGTTAGCGCTCCGCTGGGAAGCGGATTTGCCGGATCGCGGACCTCATGATAAGTGGAATAGTGCCTTTGGAGAAGGTCTCTGCACGGCGGCTGCGTTAATGCACTGGAGATTTCTCCTCGGTTGTGGATAAAAACACATACTTGCGAGTAAATGAGATGGTACACGCAGTGCATACGTGAGGCTTGACGTTCGTATCTAACCAAGGGATTGATCAGCTAGGGAAGAGATCTGGGGTTTGGGCCATCCATCTGCGACTTACGGGTAGGCAAGTGCCTCTCTAGGTGCTCCTTCCGTGTGAATTGTTTACCGCAGTAAGTACAAAAGATCATCGTGCCAGGACTGATCTGGTAGGTGAAGGGACGCGCTCGGCAGGGAACTTGTCCGAAATTTCAGGGTACGTCTAGACACAATCGACAATAAAGGCCGTTGAGTGACCCAAAGTCCCTCAACAGGTGGTGACCAAAGAGGCAAAGAGTCTGGCACACAATCCGGATGAGCAAGGAGGGGTGGGAAGGATGCTTGATAGAAAGACTGAGGTTGAGCTGGTCAGAACAGACAAGACCTCCAGGCAAGACTCCGAGAAGTGAAGGAGTAAGAATTCAGAAAGCTCCAAGTTGCGAACCAAGGGCAGTTATGTAGACGCACGGCAGAGAGAGCAGAGGCCAAGAATGTACACAGGACGACAACAGATGGATGGGTGAGATGCGGGAAGAAGAGAAGGTTTTGATATATGAAAGACCATCATGTACACAAGCTCGGTTGACTAGAGTGCCTGCCCAGGCACAGAGCAGAGGATACTTCCAAGCTTTGTATGGATGAACAGCAGCGGGTCCTCCGTCCCAGGGTGAATGACATGGATGTTCAGGGTAGCGGCTGTATCCAAGACATGGCCAAGAGCAACAGGCAAGTCGACCAGGTTGCTGTTCCCATGTGGGAGAGAGGAGAGAGAAAGAGAGCAGTACCTACCATGTAGTTCAGCCGCCATGGTGGCAGGAGCGAATGGTGTAGGTGATGCGCAGGGTTCGTCGGCCCAAGTACCGGCCCTGGCCCTCGAGGTGGCGGGCGGTGTACCTCTAAGAAGACGAGGACGGAGTAGGTATCTTCCCACATAGCTACACTGGGAACACGGGCTGCGTGTGTAGAGCGGAACGAGGAGCATGGGGATGGGTACAGATCCTGGCTGAACATTGACCAGGATCTGGTGTGCCTCCTCATCAAGCCCAGAAAGACGCTAGGCCGACTTCCCACACTTGGGAGTGCCGCAAAACTGTTTTGGGCTGGCCTTTGTCCAACCGAAGGCATTGCACATGACAGGAAAGGAATATGCAGCTCGGGGCGTGGATCAGTCTTGCGCCGTCCATCAACCAGCGCCGTGCAGATGAGTGAGACGGGGACCACATCGCCAATAGGCTTCCCTGCCTCCTGGCGCCAGCAGAGTGCATTGGATGGTATTGCTGATCATTCTTGAAACTTCTCTCAACTTGATGACAAGACAAGGGGCAGGTATCCAGGCCAGTCGTGGGAGGGTCTGCCACAAGGGAGGGAGGTAACTAGGGGTAGGTCCATGCAAGGTTGGTTGCAGGGCAACGCTACGCAGGACGGCGAACGTATGGACTTTTCCGGTACTTTGAGATCAAAAGAGTAAGATTCACTTAGCCCCATAGGCTCGACGCTAACCGTGGGTAAGGTAGATAGATGCCAAATTGTAGGGCTCTGCCTCGAGGGGTCTCACATGCGGCACCCAGGTCCCGATCTTCTCGACTGGAGCGCACGTCGAAGTTTGATGAAGAATGTGCCATTTTTGGCAATGATACTGTCCCTGGGTGTGTAGGCATCTAGGCCACCAACTCACACACGCACATCTGAACGAGCGTTGCTCGAATCACCACGCTTCAAGCGCGGACCATGTTCGGCGACGTGTGTCATGTGCATATCCCGGGCTTTCCGCAGGATGAAATCTGCTTGGGAAGAATTCAACGTGCCGCAGGGTCCCCGGGGCTTAGGACGAGGAGGCCTGTCCTTGTCATCTTGCAGTGTGTATGCACTTGTATAGGTGACATGAGGTGCAATCTATCGCATCTGCCAGTGTGGAGCTGTGGAGCAGCCAGCCAGCGTGAGAGCCGAGATCCGCCTCACCAGCAAGCCAAGCTTGCTCCCTGTGTCTCGCATGCTGAACAGCATGCTTGAAGAATACGGGCTTCCAATCGGGTTGGTGGTATGGCAGGTGAATGACAACGACAACAACAACAACAACATACCACACTAGACATCAGAGCTTGTAATGATTCACGGCCTGCGAGCAGATACAGGCGAGACTAGGGGGGCAATCAGGGTTCTCTGCATGGTCCAATCATAGCGTGAAGACGAGACTCGATGGGAGGCATGACAAAATCAGCAAGAGACGGAGGAAGCTTGAAAGGTGAGAGAGAGCAACTTGGTTCTCCCGTTTCACCCTTCCCTCTATGCCGTGCTAGGGCGACGACGTTGGGTATGTGCCTGTAATCAAGAAAGCGAGCTAAGAGCTGCAAGTTTCGGTGATCAAGAGATTGGGTTGTTCATCTAAAGGGTGATCAGCATGGTGACCGCATTCGGGGTTAAGAGCGAGCGAGCGCGTGTTTATCCCGTCGGTCTTGGCTCTGGCCTGGGGCTGGGGCTGGGGCTGGGGCTGCTGCTGGTTAACTACTGATGCGACGCCGGACCTGTGGCCGAGGAGTGTGGGCGCGCGGCTGGGCGATGAATGAAAGGGCGTGGGTGCTGGTTATACGGGTACGCCCTTAGCTCAAGGGTGCTTTAGTACCCATGTCCCTGCCCCTGGCTCCCGTCTGCCGTGCCTGCGAGGTGCGTGGAGATGGTGTGGTGTGGGTTGACGCTACGGGAAGATGGGTTGAAGGTTCCAAGGTTGATGTCCCTCGTTGTTGAAAGAGACTTGGGTGGGCGGTGCCTTGCCTTGGGTACCATTTGTTTGCCCTATCCGGGTCCCTTCTTCCTCCCATAAACTGCCCCCAAACCTGCCACTCACCCCGGCTGGCATCCGATTGCGGACCTCGCTCTGCAGTCATGCTTCACCGCCCACCGTCCACCTTCTCACCGACCGTCTTGCTCTCGACTGTGGGCGAGACTGGAAGGTCTGGTGGCCGTTTCAAGCTGCGAGACGGGAACCGTTTCCCACTTCGTCCAAGGTTGCTCCGGATGTGTCAGGACGAGACGGACCCGTCCTCGCAGCTACGTTTGTACGTTTGCAAAAGGCCCGTCGCACTCGAGCTCTTCTTGTGAACTCAAACCACCATCGCGGGCCTTTCTCTATTGCAGACCAGCTGTTTGGCTGGCGCCCGGATCACGGGCTGACCAGTGTCATGTCTTCCGGGGTGGATGTACTGCAGGGTGGACTAGATTACGGGCGACACTCTCCGATTTTAGCCTCCTCGAACCGCAGGCCAAAGACCGCTCGCCGCAAGACTGGCCTATTTCTAGCTGCCAATCTGTGGAGGACCAGCCATAACTACCAGCCGTACCGTTGTTCTCTAGGGTGAGGAGGTATGCTTTCTTTTCCGACCAGCCAGACCACCTCGGCTGCGCGGCCCAGCTAGGTAATGATTTCCTGTTTGTACTCCAAGAGACGGGCCAGTGCAACAGAGCACTGTGGTTTGGTCACTTGGCTGTGGGATTTGGCGGCACTTGCCCAACTACCAAAGCGGCTTCAACTTGGGCTCCAGACGCGCCGATGCGTGAATGAGTAATTCTCGAGATCTCGCTCTTCGCCAACTGGTTTCAACAAATTGAATCAGTCATGTCAACTTTTCGCAGTATAGCATGCTCCGTCGAAGAGGGCTAGCTAGACAAATGACAAGGCAACCTCGTCGATATTGGGACGGTTCCATAAATAGAAACGAATTTCAAGAGGGCAAGCTTAATTATCTTAGTATGAGGGGCATGGCCAAGGCATCATTAATTCCCGGGAATCCAACATAGCTGCAATCAGCGACCTAAATCTACCTCCACATGAGACAGACGACTGAAGAGGCAGGGAGGCTCGGTCGATTGCCACTAATTGGATGTGCTAGATGTAGACGTGGCTTTGCTGGTCTGGGTAGGAGAAAGCTTCAAGATCTCCACGGCTCTCGTTCCCTGACGTTCAGCCCTATTCTAGCCCCGGAGGAGTATCTAGTGGAGTTCTCTAGCCTCCTTTATAGCGTGGGAATAGTGGAACCAACCCCCAAAATCTGGCGAGAATTAGCGCTCTTCACTCTAATTCCAACTACACCTCCCCTCTAGGCACTCCTGGGCTTCCTCTTCTGTTGTGTTTCTTGCCATCCGATCTCGTCTCAGGTCGAGTATCCTTCCAGGTCGCCAGAGACAACCATGGATCTATTGTTGACAATCATCAGTGTGCAAAGAACCTAGGGATGGTCTGGCGATGCATGTTTAGATCATAATACATCTCAAGAGTATCTTGGAGGAGGTCTGTCAGAGAACCTTGGGCTCATGCTGAGTAGTCAAGTGTGCTTGACCAGCGGAACATGGAGACATCGATCAGTCTCGGGACCGGGGGCTGTCCCGCGTCCCCGTCAAATTGGCTGTCCACGTAGCACTACTGCTCGGATGCCCTTTGAGAGCAGAGCTTCTGCAGGAGAATCAAGAGTCTCCAGCTCGCGTTATGTGCCCACCGTAGGTGCTACCAAACGTGCAATGGCGCCGATGAAGCGACGAATATCCTTGGGCCAAATGCACTTCTTGCGCCACCGACGTCGTACACACTTCTGCTGTCGTAGGCATAATTCGGCATGAGGCTTTCTGTCGC